CCTGCAAGGATGAGATGGAAGCGGGCTTATCGTGAAGCCTAGCGATCCGAGCCAGGCAGAGATGAAGGAGGGAATTGGGTTGCCTCCGCATTCGCAATTGCATTGGCATTTTACCTTGGACATTGGCATTTCCACGCGTTGGAGCGTGGGCCGTCTCAGGTATGTCGCAGCCTGGGTGAATCCGGGGAAATGCAGCGACTTGCCAAGCTGTCCCATATTTACAGCCGCACTCTACCTTACGCACGGATAGACTAAAGCCCGAATGTCCGGAGACGGTGAGTGGCTGTGGTAAACGGAGTTTGTAGATCACGACACGATCCTAGGATTGGAAATCAGCGGCTGACTGAGAGGAATTGGAAATCATTGTACGAGGATGAGTTATCCGTAAAGCCTAAAACCATAAAGCATACACAAGTGACCAGTTGAATAATCGGAGAAAAGAGCAAACAGCGGCCGGTTCGGTCGTAAAATTTCTTTGCTCCGCGGAGCGGCATTGGTCATCCGAGGAAAGTGGGGGGGGATTTCAAAGGGTCCGGTCCGGGTGACTCATGACTATGGATTAGTTAATGGATTACTCGGAATTATCTAGAATCTTGGAGATGGGAGTGGGAATTAAGGGCAATTGTGATTGTGATGAGTGCCAGAGTATTTTGTACTCTCTGCACTCTGTACAGACTGTCTTAACTAGTCGTAAGTAATGAAGCGGTGTACACGCATATCCCTGGGGTAGACCTTGGCAACATAATTGGACGAAAAGGGGAAAATGAAGTTGAACCAAAGAGAGGGAAAAATAAATAATTAAAAATCAAAAAATGAGAAATCCAAAAATCACCAATATTATTCAGCGGGCTCGGGCTCGGATCCACGCATAAATCCATAAATCGGTGGGGATCTTCGTCCGATCGGGTCCCGGACTTAGCACGGCTACGCGGGCGAAAATAATTATCTGCGTTTTATTTCCTGGCTTATAACCATCCTGTCCCTCCGCTGCTTCGTGGATCTTACTACTTACTACTTACTACCTACACAACATCTGCTATACTATAACCTTTCTATATTTGAAGCTTGACCTTCCCCAGCAGACCTCAACAATACTACGATACTACGAGTATCACATTGATTGATCTTCGCTACCCAGCCAACCTGCATTATCCACACCGCCTCCCCCAACCGCGTCGTGACTGGATGATCGCAGTATTGAGTCACCAGCTTGGCAGAACGAGTCATTTCCATCTGAGCTCATAAGCACCTCAACTGCCGCCATGGACGTCTCTTCCGTGTCCACTCCTACTACCCTCCCCAAGGATTCGTCCTTCTCCTCCGCCGCCTCCCCATACTTCGCCTCCCTCCAGCGGAAGCGTCAACAGAAGAAGATGAGCATCACACAAACATACTACCTCGCTCATACCGCCCGCAAGAAGCTCACTCGTGAGGCTTCGCGGGCTGACCACGATCTCCGCCTACTGGTTGGCCATGCCAACCTCCTCGACAGCCTGATGCTCGATCTCGCCGATGCCGAGCGTGACCAAGAACGCTGGTTTAACCAGACCGTTCGCGGCGCCACCAAGGAGGAACCCCGACACATCCAATGGGCCTCGACCGTCGTCGAAGAGCCCGAGGAGGACTGGGATGCGGAGGATGCCTCCGACCTGGAGTCGGAAGTCAGTGACAGTGATAGCGAAGACGATTCTGACTTTGATGAGAACGACTTCGTCATTAACACCCCAATTCGCCGCCGGGCTCCTTCGCCCCCGGCTCCCCTCTCCATCCCCGAGTTGGAAGAGGAGGACGACGAGACCGATTCCGACTTTGAATATGATGACGAGGAGGACCTGGATGATCTCAGCCTAACCCGATCTCCCTCGCGCCAGTCGCCGCCCGAGCTGCTGGCCGACGTGGACGACTCCTCCGAGGACGAGGCCACCCCTCCCTCCCCACCGCAACCCACTCTCGAAGTCTTTGACGAGAAGGAGCCCTCTACTATGGCCATTCCTCTCGCCCCCGCCGACCAGGATTCACCTCATCTGTTTGAGCCAGGGTACTACGTTTCACAAGAACAGAGCACCATCATCGAGGCGTACTGATCTCGCCCGACTATGACGCATCTTGTTTCTGCTCTTGTATACCACGAACTCTTGCTTTTGATTTGAAACTATTTATGATACCCTGATGGCTTGAACGACGAAGCGAATCCTTTTCAGCAACACCTCTTATTATTTATTACACCATCTCCTCTTTCTTCTACCACGGCGTTTTGGAATGGCCGCATTAATGGACCATCATACATACATTCGACTCCAGTGGAGTCAGAACATCTCATCTCACGACTACACCGATAGTCCCATCTGTTGCTATCTTTTCTTTATCTCATATTTTTTTGGACTACCCACTGGAAATTGGGAACCAGATCTCCCTCCCCCTCCCAAGTGCAGCGCACGAACAGAAGAGGGGTATGGTTTTGAGACGGTTTACAGGGACATGGAATTTGAATCCCGACCGGGCACATCTGATCTGTGCGAAGTACATAGAAACAAAAAATACAAAGATTATACTACAGAACACACTCTCTCCTAGTAAAACACCAGTTTAAATCGGGGCCTGTCTTGCATTCCACCGACATTCGTAGTTCGTTCAAGAGTTCCTCCTTTTCCAACTCATTGGCCCCAACTGCCCTCAATGCCCCAACTGCCAACCACACCGGTTCAACGGTGCATGTGACCCATCGATGTCGATCGGACTGCATTGCCCTAGTGGATCTAGTGTAGGTTGCTGGCTGTTGGCTCCTGCTGGTCTGCCCAACCAGATAACGCGGTGTTGGCGCATTCCTCACCGCTGGTGGATAGATCCACGTCAAGGGGGGGGTCAATAGTCTCCGATCATCGCGGCTAAGTCGGCATAGTCGGTCCGCTACGGATGCTAGTGTCGTGAAGAGTTTGTTTAGGGGGAAATGAATTAGTGGGGCGGGTCAGGGTCAGGCCAAGGTCAAGGTCAAGGTCAAGGTCAGGTGGTCGCGGACATGATGTGAGGAGGAATGCGGAGGACAGAACAGGATAGATAGGACACAAAGAGGCTGGGAATTGGTTACGGAGAATAGTTATGTGTAGCGACCTGCGAAGTACGGTGTACCGATGCATGCAGACCATGTTGGGATGAGCGCATGTCGGCACTCAATTATTGTCAATGCCAAGGTGATTGACGAGGGACGGGGTCATAGTCATAGTAGTCACAGTGCTTGCACGGAGTACTAGTACTAGTAACATCTACTCCGTACAGACGGTTCTCCGCTGGGGCGCCGTAAGGCCGACAGATCCTCACTGCCACAAGGTGCACGGAGGCTATTGGTTACATGCGAGTAGATACGGCGTGGTATATCCAAGCCGTAAGAGAAGGTCCGTGTTTCTGCGATAGGGGCAGTTAGGAAACCTGACAGTGCTCCCCGAAAGAAGAGAACACAAAGAATAAGCCCTGGAGGATAAGGGAAAAGTCGGGATTTGTGATCGGCGATCTGCAAACTTATTCTCCCTTTGACTCGGACGTTGATGGCGTGCTACCATGGTACTCGCTGCTTTGACATGTGTGCAGGTACTCTGTCCTCCGTACTCCGTACGTAGTACAGAATAGCTCTGTACATCTGCAGCTTGAAGAACTACTTTTTGAGTCGTTCTACTGGATTTAATTTCCGGATCTGGTTGAGGAGGCCTATGCTCATTGGCGAGTGCGAGAACTTCAGGTTGAAACCGAACTTAATTGCGCTCTTGTAACTATTTTGCTGGGTACTACAGTGGTGCAAAAGTTTGAAACCTCCGATTGCCCTTCTTTATCGACCGCCTTCTAATGGCAGACTAGTACTCCGTAGCTACCTAAGATAGAATGGATTGGCCAATCTATTTCATCCCAGGTAGCTACTTGTTCCCTTGGGAAGGCAGAGATCAGGTGATCCCTGTACCCTACATATGTTGTACAAATGAATCCCTCACATCAAACACTCACAAAAGACTAAACAAGCACCGTACAGAATTATAATCCAAGAAACCGAGAGTTTACAGTTCAGGATGTAGGTTTGTTGGGTCTGGGGCTGTCAGGTCATCCCCGGCATCTGGATACATACAGGGGTGTTATCCGTTGACATTATACGCCTTTCAAAAATTTATCTAGCGTGCTGCTCCAAAGAGTTATGCACCGCGTACTTCAAGCTGTCTGATTTGCTGGAGACAGCTGTCAGAAGAATTCTGCATAGTCTCGCGATGCCAATGGATCGAGGCACGAAGAAATCCATACTGCCCGAGAATGCAGCCCCAGGCATATCGCCCCGCGAATGCAAACCAAGCCCATTCGCATAAAGAAATACATAGTTGCCAAGACGGGGAGGAAGAGGAAGAAAAGAAAGAAAGAATAGAAGGAGGACGAGGAGAAGGAGGGAGGGGTAAGGCCCCGGCTCTGTTGAGCCATTGTTGGTGGTATCTGCGGTGGTGCCCATCATGGCCAGTGCGAGTAATATCGACAGAGAAACTGTTAAACTCGGGTCAGCATTGACGCGCACATGAACTGTCAAATTGCGTCTAGTGGATACTTACTCAGAGTGGGCAAGGTGTATGACTTAAGAGAAAAGGCAAGTATTTTGTCGCGATTGTACACTGCGCTCATTGCAGGTCCCTTCGAGCATATGCGCTTTATAGTCTCCCTTACTGAGAAAGAAACATTTCAAAGGGACGAACTCTGAATACCGGTGTTGAGAGTGCTCGCGGCGCGTTGTAAAGCCATGGCATTTCTGGTTTGCGTCTTGTATTTTCTCGGACGCGGTTCTTGCTCATGAAACTAGTTGGTCATTGTCTGAATCTGTGACTTCCTACATTTGCTGTCTTAACCATGCCAAAGGCATCGAACATGTCTTTCTCTGTATAAATATAAAAGCAAACAGGCCCTTCATCGGTCAATGGGCCATATATTTTCGCCAGCTTCGCCAGCTTCGCTATCAGGAGCACCCTGGCCTTCAGCGCGAGCTACAAAAGCCCCTGGTCATGGTCTGCTTGAAGAGCCTCGGATAGCCTCCCGCTGTGGAAGGTGTAATTGTAAACGTGGGCTTCGATATAGTGCATTCGAAGTTTTGCGGGTGCACTCTATACCGTTCGGACATCACATCCTTTCCATCGGCAGACAACCTTACCCTTAAAGGGATGTCCTTGGCTGGCGAATAGCGCACCAGTGTTTCCGGATCGGTTATAATAGCGGGCATTCTTTGAACCAGCACTTCATCCTTGACCACACGCTCATAAGTCAAATGATCGCCATACGAAACATCGAGGGCCCCCTTAGCCTCCCATGCGCCACTAGGGATACGCTTGCGCGGACGGCCAGGTCGGTTCGTGTGAAGTTTTGTCCGCAATACTTGCATGCGGGCTTCGTGACAGGATGTCGGTTCTAATGGCTGTCTCGAGCATAAGTGGTCGGGAACTCTTGTCGGCAGTTCTCATTTCCGCATCGTCCATCACAGATATATTTCCAGAGATTCCTGCTCGTTGGGTGTGTGTTTCGGTCAAGCAACCGCCTGGCTATGATTCTGTCAGACATACATCCATCGTGTATTCATAAGTGAGATGACTTGCCAGGTGTGCCAGAGAACCAACTAAAATGTTGTAGGTTTTACCTACAACAGGGGCACCACCCCCATTGGCAATCACGGGCCCACCGTGACTCTGGCCTGTGACATGTTTTGAGATACCGCCATAATCACGATGACGGTATGAGCCAGGACAAGGGCTACGTGCCCATGCTTAGGATCATTCTCCTTTTCCGCGGCGGTCCAGGCGGCTTACTGCTCCGCAGTTAATTTGGCCAATTTGTCCTTCCGGTGCTGGTTTCTTGACAGCTTCTTTGATGCTACAGGTAAATACATCAGCCTTTGATGAATGAGATCAAAGGGAAATCAGATGTACTTACAATAGGCGGGAATATGATTTCCCTTTGGTTTCCGAAGAACTCTTTCAAGTTGGATTTCAGAGGCAGAGGCAGAGGCCCAGTATTGGAGGACAAGAATGTTTACAAATTTTTCTCGGACCAAAGAAAAGTTGTTTTTTTACTAGTATCGTGCTCAAGAGCGCGCTTTCCCTACACAGGAGGTGTTGTCTTGGCTACGCTGGTAAGTACGAGGTAGGTACGACCCCCCGGGCAACCTGAAAAAGGCAGACTCGGCAATACAATTGGATACAGCATGGGAATGTCTAGTAGCAAGATCATTTTCTGATTTGCGTCTTCCCTACATTGATATTCGCTTCCCAAATTGTTGTACATTGTACGAGGAGTATGCAATGACATACTCTGATTTAATTGGTCAGACCACAAATTGTACATGATGGCCCCGAATGAGCCAGCATCCTATCGATAACCCCTTACCGCCTGCGGAATTAGGCGACCCCTCGCTGCAAGCGTCACCATCGCCAGTTCTCCGTCCCTTCCATCCCCAGCAAAACCTTGGAATCTACTGTGAAACATGGAGTCACGCATTTGCAAGAGTGGAATCGACAGCGAAATTCCCGTGGCTGAGGTGCATGACTGAGCATATCACTCAAAGCTGCCTTCCAGTGTTGACATTCGCATCGTGTGGGACCATCTCCATCCATCTCCACAAACCACAGGACCCCAGAGCACAGACAAAGCACAGCACCGAGCAGTCTCCTGATCAACACCTCCTGATCCCCGGTCAATCGGCTCCCACCAGATCGGCGCAGCAATCCAAGTTTCAACAAGAGAGCTACGTAGAGCGCTCTTCTCCAAGAACAACAGACATCCGGACCCCATCTCGCAGTCGGCCGGATCTCATCTACCCCTCGCTGCATGATGTCAGCTCCGCCTTCCCCTAAACCTTCGGTCGAGTCCGACGACCGTCCCAGTACAAGCGAAAGCGTACGACAGTCGAAGAAAACCGGTCACACTCGCAGCATTTCATTTGAAGATACAAAGGCACGCGATCACAGCCCACGTCGGCGCTCGATTCAGTTCAATGTGGGCGCCGCGGAAGCCCAACTCCCTACCCGCTCGCTGAGCTTCAAGGAAAAACGGCTATCTTTCGGAGGGGAACACTTGATTAAAGAGGAAGAAGACGAGGTAGACCGGGAACAACGTCACCAATCCATTCCGCGCGGGTTGTCACCCCCACCGCCAAAGTACGTTCTGCTTTGATGATCAAGGTCCCCTTGTCAATACTGACCCCTGGCATAGAACATACGAACGGGGTGTTTCATTCGATACATTTGACAATCGCGATGCTCCCAACTTTTCCCTGACTCTAAACTACAAGCATAAAGGATATCAAAGTACCCGTCGAAGTCGGACCTTTTTGTGCGGCACAGACCAGAACGACTACTCCGACTTTGCGCTAGAATGGCTGATCGATGAACTGGTCGACGATGGTGACGAGATTGTCTGCCTTCGAGCAGTAGAGAAAGACTCGCGCATGGCGAGCGAAGCGGCGATTGAAGAAGGCAAATACCGCGAGGAGGCTAAGAAGCTGTTTGAGCAGGTCATGCAGAAGAATAGCCAAAACGAAAAGGCAATCAGTCTAGTTTTGGAATTGGCTGTCGGAAAAGTAGAGGAAATCATACAGCGCATGGTATGTCTATTCAGTATGCCTACCATCCACCATGTCTAACACAATGCAGATTCGTATATATGAGCCTGCCATGCTGGTTGTCGGAACACGAGGTCGCAATCTCAAAGGCGTGCAGAGTCTCTTGCCGGGATCCGTCTCCAAATACTGTCTGCAGCAGTCGCCCATTCCTGTGATTGTCGTCCGTCCATCACCGAAACGGGAGAAAAAGAAAAAGAAGCGACGCGCAGACCCGACCCGACGGAGCTACAACCATATCCTCGAGCTGAGCGAAAAGCGTGGTAGTGGCCTTTTCAACCCCAATGCCAGTACAGAAAGCGAGGTCTCCAAGCTACCCGATGAAGAAGCTGCTGTCGCCAAAGCGCTGGGCCTCCCAGCCTCCTATTCCCGCGCGAACTCCCGCAGCTCTCTGTCTGTATCAGACCGCAGTAGTATCAGCCAAGACGACTCTGATTCTCCGTCTCCCGTTCCATACTCGCTCGATTCAGTGGTGATGAAGAGCCCATTGAATGGCAGCCCTGCTAGCTCGGAAGAAAGCGTGAATGTCAGCGAAGATACGCAAAGGGCAATGTCGCCAGGGCCACCGGCTCGATCGCGTTCACCACCACCTGAATATGACTCGGCAGATGACACATCTTCGATAACACGGACTTCCACCGCAGAGAAGACCGATGGAGAAGATTCAGACCCCGAGACATCCTTGCCTCAGACTCGCGTTTCCATCCCCGTGATCGAGGTTTCCAACGACCAGGAGAAAACAGAACCACAGGAACAATAATGTGGCCCCATACATCATCACCTTTGGCTCACACCTGATAAAACCCATCACCACACACTCCACTCAACTAACAGTCATGCCTTATGCATTCTTCGTACACATCCAGATCCACCTTGCATGGCCTGGCCCATATACCCTCATGAGCGCACACAATACCCCGCCGAGCCAATGACTCCTATTCTATCATTCTATTCCCAGCTCAAGTCCTCTCTCTGCTCTGCCTTTAGAGAATCAATAAATTTTTTTTTCCATGGGACTTTGGAAAAGCTATCATTCGATATGGCCATTCCACAAGTGTACGCCTTTCATAACTAGATCCCCAAACATACAAGTTGGAAGCTGGGACAAATTCTGAACCTAGTTCCCAAGTATGGTGAAAGACTACTACTACTACTACTACTAAGAATAGAAATCAAAGAAAATGCCAGATCTGGGTTTATGATTTAAACAGGAATTATCATTGCCGACTGTTTTAGCCTACCCTCTTGCTACTAGTACGTACCCTAACCTAACAGCAAGAGGAAGGATTATACTATAACTTCAAGTTGAACCAACCAAGCTTTTGCGCTGGCTCCTACCACACCTACCACTAACTACCACCCATCGATCGATGGTAGGATCAACCAAGCCCATTTTCAATCTCAACCAACCAAAACTCAGCAAAGTAGCCAAGAAAAGGGATCATCATGATAGTAGTAATAAAAAGCTAGAATCAGAGGAAAATAAGGGGAAAAGAAGAGAAGAGAATAGGAAGAGAATAGGAAGAGAAGAGAAGAGAAGAGAAGAGGAAGAGTGAGAAAAAAAAGATGTGAAAATTGTACACTATGAAGGTTTCGAGATGAACATTCAAGTCCTTCCGAGATCCGGTCGAATTTCGAAAGATAGTAGATCCCCCCCCCCTTTCCCTTTTCCTTCACGCCCCCTTTCCCTCCCATACCATACCATAGGGAGAAGATTGATTGGAGATGAAGAGCAAAATGGAGAGGGAAAGAGAGAACCCAGAATGAACTCTCCGATAAAAGAATCTCGAAGAGATAAGAGAGGAAAAGGGGCGAACACACAAATGCCATAGTCTCGGGGGAAATGACCGACCCTGTTGGAAAATGCAAACGGGGGAGGGGGAGAGGGAGGGTTGTCGAGACTTGATTGAGAGTGTGCAGTGCATTGAGGAAATAGAGCTGAGGCACGGGTCTCAAGAGCATGGGTGCGCAGGGATGGAGCAAGGCAAATGAACATACAATGGAGAAGGAGAAATGGGAGGGGAAAAGGAAAAGAGGAAGAAAACAGAAAAGGGAAATCTTTTGGGGAAACCGAGGAAAAAGAGAAAAATGGAAAAGCGTTGATCATTACTCCTAACGAATCTATGCTGCGTTCTCGCCGTCCTTGGACGGTGTTTTGGATGGCCGGCGCTCAGCGGTGGCGGGCTGGGACTTGGTGAGCATGGGGGAGGTAGGGTTGGAGGGAGGTGATGTGGCCATGTTGTCCTTGTCTTCCAGGGCAGCGAGGGCACTGCGGAGGGTGAAGTTAGTATTGGGACATTAACAAAGTGAGGTTTGATATCTGGCTGAACATACCTGAAAGCGTTCATGGATGAAGAGGCCTCCTTGTCCTCCTTCTTTCCGGCTTGGCTGGCGCTGCGGCTCGAAGCAGCACTGTCATCGCTGGCGCGGACCAGGTTGCCACCAGGGCCCAGGTTCTTGCGGCCGCTGTTGCTACGGGATCCAAGCAGGCTGGAGGGACCGAAAGACATGGGCTGGTTGGGATTGCGAGTAGCGCGCAGACGGCGGAGATCGTCACTACCGACCTTGCTGGAAGCATAGTCGGGGGGCGGGGCTTGTTGACCGTAGCGAACATCTCCACGACCCATGGCCATTCGTCCACCACCACCACCGCCACGGTTAGACTGCTGGCGCTGACGCTCCATCTCCTGCTCTTGTTGAGCACGGGCAGCCTATCAAAAGGGTTAGAAATTTGCAACTTCAATAGAAATATGGGGGTTTTTTTGCTAGAACATACCTCCTCGCGAATCTGTTGAATAGTCTTGGGACCCTTGTCGGAGTCCTTGGACATCCAGCGCTTGGAACGCAGATCAATGATATCCTGGAAAACAGCAAGTTAATACATCATCATCGGTTAAGAGAAGCAAGGGGAAGAAACATACCAAAAGCATGAACCTAAGACGGCTAGGCAGACCGACAGTCTCCATCATCATGGTGATGCGAGCGAAGTAAGCATCCATCATGGCGTGTCCCTTCTCAGAGACATCCAGGCTGGCACCAATGGTACGCAGAAGGCTGGTCAGAGACTCAACCTCGGCCTCATCGGGAATACCATCGTAATCGACCAGCTTCTTCACACACTCGTGCATGATACGCTCCGTCAACATACCAAGTTTGTAGAGCTCACCAATGAACTTGACGAGACCAAGACCACGACGCTTGGCGGCAGCAGCAACGTAGTACTCATCGGACAGCATGGCGACCTCCTCGCTGGTACCCTCGGGCTTCTCGGGCAGGTTGACCTTCCAGCCACGCTCGAACTCCTCTTGACAACGGTTGAGCAGGTACTTGCGGAACAGGTTACCACCAGCAACGACGTTGCCGTTCTTATCACGGATATTCTCATCCTTGATTTCCAAACTCATGCTCTCAAGCATAGCCTTGCAGAACTTGGCGTACATGGGGGCCCAGTGAGCCTCGTCAGTAGCCTTCTCGAAGGTGAGTTGGATGACTTGACGGAGAGTGCGGCCGTCAGACTCATCCTTGGATTGGGAGACAATGACCAAAATTTGCTCAGCGATACGGTCAAACTTCTCGGGAGTCATCTTATTGAGAGCAGCCTTAACCTTACGCTGCACAACATCCGGAGCCATGTAGCCCTCACTGCCACCAGGAGTAGGACCGGAAGGAGCCTGACCGACGCTACGAGGCTTCCAACCAGTGGAAGAAGTCTGGATAGCCTTGAGATCCATACCGGCAGTCAAAGGCATAGACTTGTTCTGATCTTCCTCCTTCTTTCCGGAGTGCTTCTTGCTGGCATTGCGACCACCCTTGCTGGAAGCGACACGGGGAGACATGGGCATGCCAGAAGAGTTGTTGCGGCTCATGCCAGGAGCGCCCATACCCACGGGACGGGGGAAACCGCCAAAGGCACCGTTGCGGCTGATAGAGGGGTTGACGGGGGGCATGCTGTTACGGCTGCCGGGGGCACCGAACTGGCCCATGGTATTGGTATTTGGGAATCCACCGATTGCACCACGCGAGGTAACGCGGGGACCCATACCGCCAGCACCGGGGCGGGCAGACTGAGGACGAGAGGAGTCGGAGGGGTCTCCAAGAGTTTCCCGAATACGGTTATCCCAATCAATGGACGGCTTGTCCTTGTATGCGGCCTGGAATTGAAGTAGGAAGTCACGGTCATAATGGAATTGACGACCAACCGGGGAGCTGGCGTTCAGGGCAAGGTTAGGGGCAGTGACGGAGGAGGGATAGGTGATCTTGCTGAGATCCTTCAAGAACTGGGCATTCTGTAGAGACTTCATAGCAGCGCTTGGTTGAGCAGGCTCGGTGGGCTTGGGAGTATCAAGCTTCAGCCCAGCGGGCTTCTTAGCGGTAGCGCTCGCAGGTTTTCCGGGGGGTCCCATGGACATATCCGACGAAACAGGTGTAGCGGCGCCGCTATCACCAGGGGTGGATGTCTCGGTGGCAGCGAGGCCACCCTTCTTGAGAGACGCGAAAAGGTCCTCACTCTCCTTGCGGGCGGACTCATCCTCGGTGGTGGCAGTCTCGCCCTTGGCACGAGCGGCTTCACGAGCGAGCTCGCGCTCCTCAGCCTCGCGCTCGGCCTTCTTCATGTTCTTCTCGTAGTTCTCAAGGTCCTCGCGCTCCTTGCGCTCGGCAGCCTCCTTCTTCTCCTGCTTCTTGCGGTTGTAGTCCTCCTCAGCAGCACGTTCCTTAGCCTCAATCTCGGCCATCTCACGCTCGATGGCATCGAAATCAATCTCATCGTCATCGGCAGGAGCAGCAGGGGCGGGAGCGGCAGCGGGAGCGGGAGCAGGGGCGGGAGCAGGGGCAGGAGCAGGGGCAGGGGCCTTCTTGGGCTCTTCAGCCGGGGCAGACTTGTCGTTCAAGCTCAGCTTCTCCAGAGCAGCAGAGGGATCAGTGCTCTCCTCCTTGGGCTTCGCAGGCTCAGCTTCCTTGGTATCCTTGCGAGCGGCCTCCTCGGCCTCACGCTTCTGCGCGGCCTCATCTTCTTGAATCTTCTGACGGACAGCATCTTTCAATTCCTGCTTCTTCTCCTCATCGGTCTTGGCGGTGCTGGCCTTGCTCTCAGTTCGGCTGTGATCCGACGCGCTGGCGGTGCGTGGGGGAGGGGTCGAGGTGGGAGTAGCAATCTTCACCGGGGAGGGAGTGGCACGGGCAGGGGAGGCGGGGTTCTTGTCGAACGTCTTGACGGCACCGCTGCCAGGATCCTTGATAACAATCGCGCTCTTCTTGGAGGGAAGAACAAAGTGTGACTTCGCAGGGGCGGGGCTGTTGGAGGATCTGCTGCCAGTGTGAGCGTGACCGGAGCCAGCCTGAGCTGGCTGGCCAAGGCTCGAGCCTGGACGGTCAGTAGAAACTTGGGAGGAGAGTGCGGGAAAGAGGGGTGGCCTGCGGCGGCTGAACGGGATATTGACCAGGCAAGAAGCCAGCCTGAGGGTTGAAAGGCATGCCGGGACGGGGTTGGGGCGAGGGCGGCATGTATTGCTGTTGCATGCCATATCCGGGGTTGTAGTAGCCGTAGTTGGGATCGTAGGGAGGGTAGGGAGCCTGATGTGATTTGACCAATGTTAGATAGTGTTCCCAATTGCCGGCTTCAGGCCGGAGGTCTGGGGGAATGAAATTGGTCGAGAAGACACGGGGTTGTCCTCGTTTTTGATAACTGCCACGCCGGGCGGGTTTATGGGTGTTTGAAGAACGGGAGGGGTTCTGGGATCTCACTGTTTGGGGACCCATGTGCTGGCCATAGGCGCCATACGGCTGGGGAGGCATCTGGCCGGCCATGGGCACTGGGTTCATCTGGGGGGTGGTTGGGTGCGCGTTGGCGAGGGCCGGGCTGCGGTTTGCTTGATGAGGCGAGTTCGGGAAAGGGGCCAACGGACGTCCCTGGTTGGGACCGTGGAACTGAGGACCCATGTTGGGGCCACCGCGAGGCTGGTTGGGAGTCTGGCGGAAGTTGGGACCAGGTGAGTATGGCATCTGGCCTTGGTAACCCGACTGAGAGTATCCGCGACCGCGTCCGCCTTGGTGAGGGTATCCGCCACGCCCGGGGCCGCTGCCCATGTGGTTGCTCATATCGCTGTGGGTAGACTGGGAGGATTCGCGTCGGAGGTGCTGAGGACCGGGGCCGAGAGGTGCCTGTAAGGATGGGCGCATCTATGTGAGCAGCAAGTTAAAATGTGGGGACTCGGAGAGAGAGAGGAGCATTTTTTTTTTTTTCTGCGCGGTCGCGTCCCGCGTCTCCATGCGACATTGCGCACAACCACATTTCAACCGAACAATAGTGTAAAAGTCAAATAAACGAGGGACGATGCAACTTACGTTGTTATCACCAGACTCGCCGAAGCTGCCAAAGTTGGGAACGTTTCCTTGTCCCTGGTAGGTGGATGGGGGACGGCCGCCGCTGGAGGCGGGCTGAGGAATGGGCGAAGGAGAAGTCTGAGGCGAGGTCACACGCGGGTTTGTCGAAGGAGCACCCAGACCAGACTGCGACTGGTTGTTGGCGAGAACGGCGGGATTTCCCATGTTAGGCGAGCTTTGAGGGTTGGCGAAGCCGAACTGAAGACTCTGTGGGCGGCTGGCAGAGCCACCGTTGGGCATGTAGCCGGAGGTACCAGCAGATGTGATGGTTACGGAGGGCTTGCGAGAGTGATCACCCTGGGAAGCAGTTGTAGCAGCAGCCGGAGCGGTTGGGGCGCCATTGACAATGGTCACACCCGAGGCGGGCTGCTGGGGTTGTTGGGTTTGCATAGGGTTGCCGTTCACAGGAGATGCTGAAGTCGACTTCCCATGTTGCGCCGAGCCACCCACGGTGACGGGAGCGGCGGTTGAGTCCGTCGCGGACTTCTTCGTTGCGTTGGCGTAGGACCTGGCCGGTGCCGAAGCAGTGGCAGCCAGGGGGGTGTTGGAAGAGGTGGTGGTGGTGGGCGGGTTTGAAGCAGAGGTAGCGGTGCTTTGTCCTTGTTGAACGCCCGACTGAGGAGGGTTCGAGGTCATTAGACAGGTGGTATCCACGTCTGGTGCGTAGAGGGGGGGGGGGGGGGAGTGGTTGCAGAAGTGAGAGTGAAAGTGAGGTCAAGATACGGAAGAGGCTCTCTTTCGTCAAGGCCACATCCAAACCTAAGAAATCTGCACACACAGACCGATTAGGTTAGAACCGGTTTTGATGGGGAAGTTGTTAAAAATGATCGGTCAAATCAAATCAAATCAAAAAGAAAAGAAAAGAAAAAAGAAATGACCCCGAGAGAAACGCAGATAGTAGCGCGTTTGAACCCCGATGTTTGGTTGAAACAAAAGTGTGTGGGTGGGTTTGGGGAAGGGCAAAAAAAATCCGAGGGAAAAAAAAGTTGGGTTTCGGTGGGAAAAAATGGGGCGAGGGTTTTGTGGATGTGACGAGGCAGCGACAACGACAACACTCAGGATCAAGGAGAAGGCGATGGGGGATCAGAACTCACTCAAATTCACTGAAGAGGAGACACGCTACTCTAGAGTCCTCAGAGGGTGAGGAAGGGGGAAAAGATCAGGAAAGATTGAAGGGGGGTAATAAGTGTTAGTATTGTTCGTACGAAGTACGAAGTACTGCGATACTCTGGTACTCTGGTACTCGAGTATTCTAGTCTTCACTATGTGTATTCTCTCCGCCACCATATGACATCGACTTGGCTGGATTAAGTCTAGTAGTCGTCGGCGCAACTATTGACACTCCTCCTTTCCTAAAAAGATACCATCACCTCCCTTTTGACTCATTCATGACACCGTGCTGACTCTGATATTGACTCGATTCACCTGATTCATTCAATACATCCGTCACTTCATTGTTCCTCCGAGTGGAGTCTCTCCATTTCCGCCTCCCACACCAGCCCAAGCCCACACTTTGCCACAGCCCCGGATCTAGCCTTTCCACCGTTTCTTGTACAATGTGTATTCTCGTTGTTATAGTTGATTCTTTTTTAGGATAAATATAGTAGTATATTGGAATTTGGGGCCCCTCTCGGATCCATCTAATCTTCATTTACTCCGTACCCCTGTGATACCTGCCATCTCACAGGGATACATACCCACATGCATTCCTAGGATCGACTGCCCGCCTTCCGCCTTACCTTGCATCTGCGCGATCTTTCCATATGCAGGCCTGATTCTTCCGACCGGATTGATTCGGGCTGCTACTAGTCCTCCACCCTCGCCTGTCAATTCGCTGGCCCTGTCTTTGTTTACTTGTAGTCTCCAGTAGGTAGTACTAGTATCTAGAGCAAGCTTGATGATGCTGATAGTCCATCTCATTCTGAACACTTGAAAAACATACGAGCAAGGTTTCTATTTATTTTGTCTTCTGCCAACGGCACGAGCAATACCTTTCCTGCATCCATGGCTTCTGCCGAATACTAATACCGATCATAACCGGTGCTCCGCCCCCCGTTGTCTGGATTCGACGAACCCGAGGAATCATGGTCATTTCCAAGCCAACCGCCCCATCGTTCGCTGGTTCGTCGTGTCGCACGGTTCCCCAGATCCTCATCATTCACCACATCAAACGAGTTGTCGCTGGCATCCTTCCTCAGCGGTCCTCCGTACGCCAGATCATCCGTCTCGCGATCACCTCGCCCCATCGTCTGCTCCTCCCGCATCAACGTCGACCGCAGATGATCCAGTACCTCGCGCTGCGCAGAGATATATTCGGCCTTTTGCGTGCTCGACATGCTCTGTAGTTGCCGCTGTAGAAGCGTTCCGCTGGCCGACAGCTCCTCCTCTCGTGCCTCCCGGGACTTACCCGTCGAGGTAATCGAGCCTAGGGTCGAGCTGAGGACCGAATACCAATCGTTCGAAGCGGCAGAGGTGGATGCAGCAGCGGCGGCGGCGGCGGGGAGATTGAATCGTGATAACAAAGATTGCGCATACGAAGCAGGTCCCGACGGGGGTGGGGGTGGTTGACGCTGGGGAGGGAGACCCATCACTTTCTCCCGAATCAGGTCGATGGCCATGTAGAAGTATTGCAGGCCCAGTACCTTGGCGCGCTCATGGGCATGACCGATCAGGTCCTCAATCTCCCGTTCGTGATGTGTCAGGAACGGATCCACATAGTCTTGGTAAAGGAGGCGGGCGCCTTGGGTTTGTGGGAGGACGAGATAGCACATGAAGAAAAGGCGAATCCAGCTATAGAATGGGAACCTGTGTGTGAAGAATGACCTTTTAGCTTGACGAGCTCTTGGTCGAAGAAATCCTTGAAAAAAACCATACCACCCAATGATGAACACGGTCCATGATTCAGCCAACAGAATGACAGATAGAACCACCCAGTACATCAGCCATGGTGCCAGCTGGGAGGGATCGGCGGAGCGGAGAGCCTTGTAGGATGCGAAGATAGGGAAGAGGATAGTGATGACGGAGCTGCAAGGAGGGGGAGTAGGTATTAGAAGGCACAATTCCAATATATCGAGGTGGGAATCAGGGGAAACTACTTACGACATCAAGTCCGCAATGATTCCGAACATGATGGGCGTTGTGGGAGAGGTGTCTTATTCGCAAAGATTTTAGAGGGGTCGGTGAAGCGGTGGAGGATCGAAAACAAAGCTTCCCCTCCACGCCCTTTTTTAAGCCGGTGGGTTGAAGGGAACAGATCGGATGGAAAATCTCTGAACTGATGAGGCCGAGAGAAAGGAAAAGGAAAATTCCAACAGAGGAGTCAAGCGGAAGGGTTAGTTCAAAAAGATGAAGGGAGAGGAGAAAGAAAGAGCAAGGCCCACCGCAGGCTTCCATCTCAGCTGAGCATTTCTTACTACTGAGTACTCCCCGCACGGGATCAACGGCTCTTCTTGACGTCACGCCATGAACCTGGGGAACAACAACACTTTGGTTTAGTCTATAGACCTCAAAAGATGTAACATTTCTTGTGTTGATCCCGCATTAATTTCCTTGTCTTTATCTTCAATCGACCTGGAGAGACCCAGACACTGCGATCTACCGACTGTGGAGCTCCCAAATCGGCCCAATCACCCGATGCCCAAGCTTCTTTCTTGTATGACCCCGGGCCCTTTCTTTCCTTCTTCAAGTCTCCGGTTCCGCTTCCCCTGGTCCTGTTGAACTATTTTGTTTCCAATCTACAACCAACAATCTCTGATCTTGCGAGACTCATCTGGCGTGCTTGCAATATCCCCCCTTCTCCCCCTTCTCCCCCGCATTCCATCCTGGTTTCCCCGCAGCCATCGAACCTGTGGCGCTTCGGGATTAACAATGTGCATCGCCTTGATCTCAACTCTCCACCCGACCTATTCCCTCATCGTCATTGACAATCGAGATGTATGGCTCCTAGTCTGCGTTGGAAGATCTGACCCGACTGCTAACAACATCCAGGAATTCCTTCACCGTCCGACTTCGTCTCCCGACTGGTGGCCGGAGCCATCCTCGTTTGTCCTCGGCTCACGCGACCTAGCACGGGCTACCCACGGCACTTGGATGGGGGTCACCAAACAAGGGAAAGTAGCAGTTCTTACCAACTACCGCGAAGACACAGCGATCGAGGCTATTGGGCAATACAGTCGGGGCAGAATCGTCAACAGCTGGTTGACCAGCCCCCCCAAGGAGCATCAGACGACCCACGACTTTGTACAATCTATGGTGGCCAGCCCAGAGGCGAAACAAGTCGGCGGATTTAGTCTGATCTGTGGTCACATCAATGAACCACTGGCCATTGTCTCTAACCGGTCTTCCAATATGGATCACATCACTTGGGTCGCTAGTGAGAGGAATCAAACCCGAGGTCTCAGTAATACTAGCGTGGATGACCGATCATGGCCAAAGATTATCAATGGGGAGAGACTTATGCAAGAAGCCATTGAAGGCCATATACAGGCCCAAGAAGACGAAGAAGCCTTATTGGAGCGCCTTCTCGCGGTACTGAGTACCGACACCATGCCCCAGCTCCCTGGCGTGAAGAAAACACTCGACAATTACGTCAATGTTCTCCGAGATAGTATTTTCGTCCCTGTGATTAGGTCGGACGAAACCCCAGATCAGACTGCAGAACAAGAGGCTGCCGCCCGCGGACCCCTTGATCAAAACTATTCTTCGGGTCCATATGGAACACAGAAACAAACGATCCTCTTGGCGCGGCCCGATGGCCGTGTGAGATACTTCGAGCGAACTCTCTACGATGACAAGGTGAATGCCGTACCTATCGGACAGGGCGACCGGTCCTTCGAATTTCACGTGGAACCATAGCAATTAGCCGGCCACGACAGAGATGTGCGTGGCTACCGTGACTCTAGACTTTGATGTGCTATGAAGTGATGAATTGCATGAAAGTGTCGACAGACATGAAACACGAGAAAGAGGGGATGGTCTTCGCCTACTGTATACGGGGCCGTTACTGTACCTAGTATTAATCCTACAGCCTGAATCCATAGAAGAGTACAATTGTGGTTCTTACAGCAATATCACCTCTGGCTTATGATAATTTGCCGTTACAGTCATGCCATGGCGAGTCCTTTTAATGAGTACTCTGAGGGTGTAACTGTGATGTGCCACATCGCAGGTACTAATCCAAAACTGCAGATCGAACTTGAAGAATGGAGTGGAAGTCGCAAATGATTTTTTCTGACACTCATCACTCTTCAAAACCCGAATACATCCAGGTCATCGACAGTACTGACTTTGCCCCCCCGAAACAAGTTGGGCCACGAGTGTTGTTAGCGCATTCGCCTGCTGTCATGCTAAGCGCCCCGCCGGGTTTCACCTTAAGGATCGCTCATCTACCCGGGGCTTCAACTCGTCGGCCACAACCCCAACTGGGAATGGCCGAGTCCACAAACATACCGGAACAATTTCCTTCGGTTATCCCACCTACAAAGTGTCTTTCCAGAACACACTTGAAATGACCCTGAGGCCCTGTGGGCCTCACTTTGAATCCCCACTCTACGCCAATCTCATCACGGACCGGGTACCTTATGAGCCTTAGTCACTGAGGCAATGTCTTTAATAACAGGTATGCTAATAAAACTAGATTGCACTAGAGTCAGATAATGACCGTTCCAGACCGTTCGTGCCATAACTAGTGGCTCCCAAACAATTAGGCTCCCTGTTTGACCCCTGACCCTGGGTTGACTATCGAACTCCATCACGGAGAAACTATGGCAATACTGTGTTCCAGATTGGCCGTCTCCACAGAAATCCTTTTCACAATGAGCTAAGGACCTGTATAGTCGTCCTGCCTGGTGGGCCCTTGAACGGTGAACCCACTCCAAGTATCAGATGCTTGTTAGACATCGCTAAGCCTAATGGAAGACGCTGTTCGACGCCCCCTCCAAAGCGAGGACAGGGTATATAAAGTCAGAGGATGGCTGCAGTTTCGATCTTTCCTTGGCAGTCGTTTCATCGCATACATTCTTTTCCTTCGCTATCAAGAACTGGTTTCTTGATTTCCTTCTTTTGGATCCCATTCTTTCAATCTTTTTTCTCGACAAGCTCGACATACATTCTCTTATCTATCAATCAAGATGAAGTTCTCCAATGTTGTTCTCGCAGCCAGTGCTGCCACCATGGCCTACGCTTACCCCCGTGGCCGTGATGTTATCCCTAACAAGCGTAGCGTGTCCAAGCGCGCCAACGGCTTTACCTGTATGCTTTTTCAACTATCATGCCCGATATCTAGATATACGGTACTAACTTTACTTAGGGGTCGGTGTCAGCGAGTCTGGCGCTGAATTTGGCGAGGGCAACATCCCCGGTACCCTCGGCACCGACTACACCTGGCCCGAGACTTCCAAGATCCAGGTCTTGCGCGAGGCTGGCATGAACATCTTCCGTGTTCCCTTCCTTATGGAGCGTCTGGTTCCTTCCAGTATGACTGGAACCCTGGATTCCACCTACCTGAGTGACTTGAAGTCTGTAAGTAAATGGCCCATCAAATGGGAGAGGTTCAAGTGCAGATGCTAATATAGTATTCCTCATAGACCGTCAAGTTCATCACCGACAGCGGTGCCTATGCCGTCCTTGATCCTCACAACTACGGAAGATAGTATGTTTCTCTATTCGCCCTACACTTGAAAACAATGAAGAAGAATGCTCACAATTCCCCAGCTCTGGAAGTGTCATTTCCTCCACCGACAACTTTAAGGCCTGGTGGAAGACCGTGGCTACTGAGTTTGCCTCCAACGAGAAGGTTATCTTCGACACCAGTATGTTGAACAAACTTTTGATCTAGAAGCTCCAAACACTGACCATGAATCCAGACAACGAGTACCACGATATGGACCAGACCCTGGTTCTCAACCTGAACCAGGCCGCCATCGACGGTATCCGTGCTGCCGGTGCTACCACCCAATACATTTTCGTTGAGGGCAATGCCTGGACCGGTGCTTGGTCCTGGACTGACAACAACGACAACATGAAGGGCCTGACTGACACCGAAGACAAGATTGTCTACGAGATGCACCAGTACCTCGACTCCGACAGCTCCGGTACCTCGGAGACCTGCGTCAGCTCTACCATTGGCAAGGAGCGCATCACTGCGGCCACTGAGTGGCTGAAGACTAACAACAAGAAGGGTTTCATCGGCGAGTTCGCTGGTGGTGTTAACTCCGACTGCGAGACTGCCGTCAAGGGCATGCTCTCTTACATGTCTGACAACAGTGATGTCTGGATGGGCGCTGAATGGTGGGCAGCTGGCCCCTGGTGGGGCAGCTACATGTACAGCATGGAGCCAACTGATGGCCCTGCTTACTCGACCTACCTGCCCATTCTGAAGGAGTACTTCGTGAGTAGCTCTGGCTCTTCAGCCTCAACCTCCACCACCACTACTGCTGCCGCCACCGCCGCGGCCAGCACCAGCACTTCATCATCTACTTCATCCACTACTTCATCCACCACATCTTCTGCCGCAGAGGCTATCAGCACTCCCAGCACCCAGGCCCAAGTTTCTAGCCCAGCAACTGAATCTTCCAGCTCTCTTGATAGCTCCGCTGAGTCGGATGCCTCCACCGCCACCGCAACCTCCTCCCCGTCCTCTGTCCCCGTCGTCGTTCCCACCGCCGGCCCGACCACCTTCGCCAGCGCGCCTTCCTCTATCCAATCCTCCACAAGCTCGCCCGCTAGCACTAGCACCAGCACAGCCAGTGTTGGTGGCACTGTTGCTCACTACTATCAGTGTGGCGGAGCCAACTGGACCGGTGCTACTACTTGCGCCAGTGGCCTCACTTGTGTCAAGCAAAATGAGTTCTACCACCAGTGCATTTAGAGCATGGATTATTATAATTGGGGGTCGATTGTAGGATATAGAACAGGAGATTGTTCCGTTGGGTCCGGTATTACTTTCTTTTCAATTTTGAGGATTATTCCCTCATCTGTATATTTTTTCTCTTCTGCCGCTGGGAGTATTTACTACTAGTAGTACCTACTTCTCGGTGTGCTTCAATTCAACCATTTTGCACCCATTATTTCTGGCGTAATACTAGTAGTATTTCAAGTTCGACACACTCCAATCCCACCTGGCATTTTGAATCCGATTTTCATCACTAGTTGCAGGCAAGCCTAGTGAGTTACCTCTTTCAATCTACAATTCTGCTGTCTCACGATCTCAGGCTTGGCCAATATTGTTCATCACAGCTAGGAGTCTCCGAGAAACTGACGTCACCGCCAATTCTCATATACTATCCAGGAACCGAAGTACTCTAGGAACTCCACGTAAAGTTAAATTTGAATCTAGAAGAGTTCTGGTATAGTGGCTTTCTTAAATCGCTTGAATATTAGTTTGGGGATTTCTGTTCAAACTAGTCCCTGATTCGATTCTGTACCCTGGTCTGGGGACAGCGCTCCAGGCCGCAATCGACCCAGTGTTTCAGCGTCCAAATTATAGTATTGTTCCATATACAGCTGGGGCGTAGACCATTCATTGTATTTTTTAAGTAGTATTAGAACACCTACTATTATAATCAAGAGTAGAAATTACTTAGCTGGCGCTAGTATATCGGTAGCCTAGGTATCCAATGTTGGAGATATCTGGAAGACCTTTTCACATGCGAGGACCAACGAGATCAGAACACAGATGGAGAAGACAATGATATTCCTCCGGGCCTAACGCCCGAACTAACTAAAATGTGGGCAATCCGATGGCCGACGGCCAAGACACCTGCCACCGCCATAAAAGTGGCGTCCTCGCCATGAACATGACAGCAATGAAAGAAAAGACAAAAACAGAACCTTCTCCTCCTCCTTAACCCTCCATTGCCTCAGACTTATCTTCCTTCTTCTCCTCCCCCCCTAATCCTCCATCGCCTCAGACTGGTCCTCCTCCATCTTCTTATTTTGCCAGGCAACGGCGGCTTGTACGCGGTTTTTCGTTTCCGTGATCTGTCTCAGATACCCACTTTCAAAATTGGAGGTTAGGCTGGGGTCTTCCTTCATCATATTCTCTATCATTGCATTGGTAGCGATGGCCTCCGGAGCTCGAGCGGGTATTGTTGTGCCTCCCTTGCTAGATTGTCCATTGATAGATCGTATGTACGCATAATATTCTGGAGGAATGCTCTGTCTGCCGACATGGAGTGAATGGTGGCCAGGTATTCATCGAGAGCTGATAGCTTATCCCGTATTTTGAAGTCGCCGTTGTCGTCGCGATCGCGGAGGCCAAGGTAGGGGACGTCCGGGGCGGCTTGGTCATGGGCGTCGTCAGGAAGTTTGCCAGCGTCCTCTTGGAAGTGCTTTGCCACAAGAATATCAAGCCTGTCAGCCGCTTTATCGAGCATATCAGCCGTCAAGGGTTGAGGGTTGTCTTCCCTTTCGGGAGCGTTGCCAGCTGCACTGTCGTTGTTGCTCGAAGTGACATTGCCAGCAGCAGAACCCGGGGTAGCGTTGTCAGCCATAGCGATGTTGGACGTAATCCTAGAGTTCCAAGTCTCGTTTAGCTGTCAAAAGGCCTTTTCTGGTGTGTTCTAACGATTTCGAGATCTCACAATTGGGGGTTCGTTTCTCTTCTGAAACGCGTTGCTGTTCTTGTAGAGTATGTTCAGACTCTCTGGGAAGGCGAAAACCACACAAGTTGAGGAAGTTGATCATCCAGGAATCGATTTTCCGATCGAAAATGAGTGTAGCTGAAGACTTTAGGTGACTTTAGTATCACAGTTGAGGCCTCAGGTCATTGTTGAGCGAAAGTGAGAGACGTACCTAGAGGGGGAAATGAAACTGCTAGTAGACTGGACTCATAGCCCACCAGCAGAGGACAACTGATATCATGAAATAGTACGAAATGAGAACGGACTGAGTAACTGATGGTGGTGATGAGACTACTACCCTTGAAGCTATCCAGACTCCTACTATACATAGACAAGGTGAGTCCGAGTTGACTAACTAGTTAACTAGTTAGTTAGACACTGCTGCCCGGGGCCTAAGGCTTCGACAGTCATTCACGTCCAGACCGAAACGAACCCCACTTCAACCTGGTTCGATTCCAGGAGTATTGTTGATCTGTGGCATTGCAGAGGGGCCATTGGTGAGGCTTATACACTGGTGGTTTCTAGTGCGTGCTGGAGGAATGTGGACCTTGTTACCATAAGATAGAAATGCTTCAAAAACCGAATTATAGAAGAGTGCACTCTATTTCCACCAATAATGTCAAGGATGGTAAGAAGCTAAAGTTCATTTCCAGAATAAAAGCGAGTAAAGTACATTCATCACAGAAAGAATATCGTAAGGGTCGTTTAATGAGTGGTACCAAGGTAAAGCACCATGCAAAATCCAAAACAAATTAGGCCCACCCCTCTCCCTCCTCACACAGATGCAAAAGACCACCAAGAAAAGAGGAGAATCTTAAATTATAATCTTATTGGCTTCAAGTAAGCTATCGCGCGTCAGCTGCCTCGTGCATGCGGACAGTGACCAGGTCGGCCGGGGCGGCAGTCAGAGTCATAGACCAACGGGGCTTCTGATCAGGGTTGACATCCTCAATCTGGTCAAAGCGCTGGAGTAACCGAGCAATGACATAGCCTGCCTCGGTGAGAGCGAATTGCTGACCGATGCAGATACGAGGACCACCGTTGAAGGGAATATACTCCCACCCAGCCTTGCGGTTGGACCAGCGTTCCGGCTTGAACTCCTCGGCATCTTCGCCCCAGAGGTCCTTGCGGCGATGCATAACGTGGACGCTGTAGACGACGGCATTGCCCTTCTTCATGTAGACGGGGGACTCGCCGTCCGGACCACCACCACGGGGCAGAGTCGTATCGCGAGCAGCCTGGCGGCGGTTGAACGGGACAACCGGGTACAGGCGCAGAGACTCGTTCATAACGTATTGCAGATATTGGCAGTTCTTCAGCGCGGAGAAGGTAAGGTTCTGGGGGTTGGAGTAGGTGCCGAAAGTTTCGATGATGGTCTCGCGCAGCTTGCGGAAGATCTCCGGGTTGCGGGCGAGCATTAGGAAGGTCCAGCTGAGTAACGAGGCGGTGGTGTCTCGGCCGGCCAGCAGAATATTCAGGAGCTGGGAGCGCAGTTCGATCGGGTCTTGGGTTACCTCGACCAAAGCGTTCAGGAAGACGTAGTGGCCGGACTTTTCGGCATCGGCGGGGGCGGTTTTCTCAGTTTTGGCGGCCTTGAGGGCTCGGTCAACGACCTTGTCCACAAACGCGTGGACCTGCTGGTCAGAGTGACGGGTTTCCTTGTTGTTGACGATGAAAGCGAGCCTCTCGAATCGAGATCGTTGGGCGCAGACCCACTGGGAGTTGTCGAAGTAGCCAGCGAACGAGTCCTCGATTCGCTGGAGTCCTTGAATCGCACCAAGCTGACTCTCTACGCTCTCGCCGAAGAGGAATTCCGTTGCGCTGTCAATAGTCAAGCGGAAGAAAATAGATTGGATATCAGTTGCCGCAGTCCATCCATTGGCTGCGACAGGCAGAGCCTGCATAGCCTTCTGGACATGGGATTCCTCGAGCTCTAGCTGGCTAACCTGCTCACGGGTGAATTGTGGTCGCAGCAACCCACGGGACCGGGACCATTCTTCTCCGTCAGCAGTGAACTAAATAGGAATATGAAGATTAGTATAAAAACGGATATTCCCCACTTGGGGTTGATGGGGCGAGGCTTATGCCTTGCGCCTCCACCGTTAAGGTGGTAACCATGGTTATGACGTACAATTCCGGTACCCAATAGAGGGTGGACACTTCGACGACGAATTTCACCGAGCTCAAAGTCCTTGAATTGGGTTGCGAGCACTGCCTGGATGTTCTTGGGATCGACGGTGAAGTAAAGATCGCGACCGAGATTGCGAATAATGAAGGTGGTTACGTTGCGGTTCTCGATGTCACTGATGGTTTGCACACGCTGCTCCGCGAGCGCCGGCAAGGCCTTAGCCTTGTCGGCGGCGAGCGAAGCTTTCAAGTTCCCGATCCCAAAGGGGTCGGAGCATGGATACATTGGCACATTGGCACAACCAAGCTCTCGAGCTTTGCGCGCGTGTTGCCAGGAGTTGACCAGGGAACGGACGATATGTAGGATCACGGCTGCGGCCGCGAAACCAAGTATAAAGGTTGGGGTCATGATGGCGACGCGCTGGGAAAGCTGATCGACGATCAGGTAGAAGATGATCTAAGGGGGACGGCAATATATATCAATTTTTTTCATTCATTCCTTCGTACGTCCGTACAGAGGGCCAGAGCCTCGGTTGAGAGCATCATAGGGTGGGGGATGCAACACACAGACAGGATGATCCCACATGTCGATAGAACCAATGAGGGCTAGTACGGAGGTCAGATACAATGGGTCGTCGGACTTCGCACTCATTTCAATGTGGACTCCGATCAGATCGGTCGCTCGTGCTCGGGGTGGGAGTCGAGCCCGTGCCGGTTAGCCCGTCGCACCGTCTTTGTTCTCAGAGCTCCCCACAGAAGCTGAACTTGAGTTTGCGTGTTTCACACCGAACCCATCCAAAAAAAACAGCGTAGCTTTCCACATTCCAGCTGTTCGCAGAAGGGCGTGCATATCCCTGATAGGGTATGTGTAAGAGCACAGTCAGATATGGACCACGGTTCCCCCTTCGCCATCGTCTCTCTCCCTTGTTCGAGAACAGGGGAATCCGGGGAAGATTGAAGATCGGAAATTATGCGACAAAACAGCTGCAGCTAGGCAGCTAGGCCGCCTGGAAGGTCTGCAGAACAAAAGTGGTTCCCTTTTGTGGTGGATTGCATTGCAGGGGTTGCGGTTGGGTTGCAGGGGAGCGGAGACTGCCGAGGTCTTCCCTATTTGCGATTATTCAACATCAAAAGGCAACTCAGTTTGCCATGACCTTGCGGACCGATATTATGTTCTAATGTAATCCATATCATCATCTCGAAATATCCGTCAGAATCCTTGGACCACGTAGCACTTGCACTTGTTCATGTCTGAGTGGGAAGATTCGCGACCGGAGCCACCGGAGTTGCCGGACATGTTATCAGCCAGATCGTACCTTGAACTAGGAGGAGGATTGCAACCCTCTCAACAGTCCTATCATCATCATCATCCACTGGGAGTCGACACGCCAGATAGTTCCCCTGCGACCGAGAAGCTCGAGATCAATGCTTCTGCTTCGACTTCTCCCCGGGCAAGTCGGGCCCGCGCTCTGCCAAACCGTCCAAGTCCAACTCGGAGAAGACCGTGACTGTGGGTCATCCACGCAAACGAGGTCGCCCGAGACTTGAGACGACGAAGGATGCGGCTGCCATCGAGGTATCCAATCCATGTGAATCGCGGACATCCCTCATCACTAACTCCGCTGCAGGAGCGGCGACTTCAAATCCGTCGGGCGCAACGAACATACAGACAGAAGAAAGAGGCAACCATCCAGGGTCTTAAAACCCGCGTAGAAGTGCTTGAACAGACTCTGCAGAATGTATCCGATCTGATAGGCTCGGAGCCCGAGGTTGAGACCTCGAACAGTCTGGCCACTGGTCATTTGTCGACGATCGCACGTACAAGACAGTTGGTCCTTGCGGAGATTGACAGAGTACAACATCCATCGGAGGAAAGTGCAAATGGCGACGACCGTGACCATCACCCTCACAACACTCCACGGGAGACTTTCGGATATCATGTCTCCCCTCACTCCAATACAGAAGATCACTCGATCACAATCTATCCCCAAGAACAAGCCCACCCCCACCCCCATCCTCATCCCAGATCCCCATCCCCTCTTATCAATCGCCTCTTCCCAACAACCACCATCTACACTTATAGTCACCAGGAATCAAATCTTTCCCGTCGTCTCCAGCGCTTCTGTCTAGAGCATACATACCGATGGCTCTCAGATGGACGCTCAGAGCCCGACCAGATGGCCCGAGTCTTCGGCCTCATCCCCTGCATCCATGATATGCCAGGCATCCGACGTAGCTACCGGCGCATACTACGAGCCGAGATCGGCGACCCGCTAGAAGTGGTGGATAAGTTGCCCTTCTACAAGCTCGGCGGCGCAGGTACTCACTACCCACGCATCGGACCAGATGGACAGCCCATTTACCCCAACCAATTGCGCCGGCCAGGGAAAATCCTGCGCCGGATGACTAGGATCTTGCAGCGGGGTGGGATCCAGGATTGGGATGAAGATTGGAGTGGGAATTTCGAGCCTCCGAATAATGGCGACGATGGAATTTTGGCCATGAGCGATGCTGATTATCTGCGCCTGCTCGATCTCGATGGCGAGTGGTTCGATTGTCATGATGTTCAGGGGTACCTGGCAGATCGGGGGGTGACACTCGGCGGTTCGTCGACGATGTGGATGGAGGTTCCGGCCTCGACGGTTGGGTTGCTTTATGGTCTATCGCCGGATCTTTCTGCATCGCAGTATTACGTTTCGCCGGTCGAGATGGGTGCGACGCAGTATCTAGGCTCGTCTCACTATGTGCTGGATGTGGAGTCTTTCTTTGAATGTGAGTTCTTATTCTGGCGTATTCTGGCGTCATCTGTTGAGCCTCAGGATAAGCTAACGCCATCATCGCTAGTGCTGCTCGCCAATCTTCGCATCCTGGGCCGAGCGCCGGGGTTTCGACAAGGGGATGTTGATGCGGCTCTGCGGACAGCCATTCATCGGCGATCGTCGACTTGATGGAACTTACAGATTATTTATTTTTGGTAATGAGCATTACGAGAGACGAGGAAACGAGGAAACGAGGAAACGAGTAGAATCATAGAATCAGAGATAATATGGGAAATCAATTTGTGATTCGCATTGTTTGGCATTGGGTATAGTAATCGCATAGACATCTGGTCTTAAGGTCTTGAAATGACGCAGGAAACATGAGAAGAGTCCGGGGAAATAAGCAAGGCCAAGCCCAGGGGGGATTATTCATCGTGGATCGTCAAGGGCGTGTGGCTCTTCGATTCCGATCTCCTCTCGGTGGGAAATTCTGCTTTAGCAGCAGATCTCGCAGCACTCGAAGCAGGCCAGACCGGCGCAGCTGGAACCAGTTAGTGTCATGAAGATCTATCTATGGAAAGCAAAGGCTTTTTTTTGCGACTCACATTCCGCAGCAGAGACCACCGCCACCACCACCGCGCAGTTGCATAGACATACCCTCCTGGTTGGCCTGAAAAAAATAATATTGATTAGTTGAAGATCGCATGGTGGTGAGTGTTCGAAATATGAGGACATACGGGCTGCTCAGAGACGACCTGCTGGTTGGTAGAGGGGGCAGCAGGGCTGGCGGGCTGCTGCATGGCGACGGTGTTGGAGTTCCAGGTGTTCTCGGGCGCAGAGTCGGACTCGGCCGGGGCAGACTTGAAGAGGTTGAAGTTGAACATTGTAGTGGGTAGATGAAGAAGGAAAGATTTTCTGTGGAGAGAGGATATGGTGAAGAGGAAAAGGAAGAAGTAGAAGGGTGGACACGGAAAAGGTGTTTGAGAAGGTGTTTGAGGTTAATTGAGGGAATGAGAGAAACGGCCTGGCGGAAGGGAGGGGGAAAGTAACAATTTAAATAAATTTAGCCGGGGATCAGCAGGGCTGTAAGAAGAGAATCAAAAAAGGTACTTTTAATTAGAACAAACATTGTACTCCGTAATACGGTTCAACGTGGAGGATCGGCTTTTCATTATTTCTCTAGTTTCGGTTTAGTGGCCCCATTGCTTAAAGGGGGGGTCAGGGCCATGGATTCACAGCCTTTTCCCAAGGTTCCGTTGAAATGAACTCCCGCTAGGATGGCCATGCAGTTTTTGGTGCTAAGTATAGCGTGAGACTAAGCGGAATGGTGCTGCCTATCCCCATACTGCTGCGGCATCTTCTTACGAAACATACACAAACCACACCGCCACGCTGTGGCTCAGATGGCCGTCTAGATGGGTCGTTACGTATTCCATTGGACTATTTGGATTCCGCGGCACGGAGAAAGCAACGGAGAACAAAATAGAGTGGATATCGATATACATTCAGGTGATTTTCTGCACTATTGACATCGAACCAGAGAGGGAGAGAAGGCTCAGCCCTTCAGCCCTAACCGATTTGATCAGCTGAGTGCCAAGACTCTTGGCACTGGGCCGTGTCACCGGATACTCGGCATAACATAACTTCAATGTTATGAACACGAACACGAATAGCCTGTCTCTGCCTCTGCCTTTGCCTCTTTATAACTTGGCCAAAATGCCATCAGGTTGGAGCACCGACAAATAACTCTTTTGGATCTCGCCGATATTGCGGCACCTGAAGATGTTAGCGACACCGATCACAAATGCCACGAGGGGAACACCACGGGGAGATCTCACCCGGCCAACGCCATGGTAATCTTTAATTCTTGGCGCAGAATCTTGATCCCGAGCTCCACTCCTTCTTGTCCATCATACTACGTGTGATCAGCAAGGGCCGCATAAAAGAATGTGCACATGAACTGGCAGGAGAGAACATACGGCCAAACCCCAGATGGGAACTCGTCCCAAGAAACAAAAGCTGGCACCCAGAGCCAGTGCCTTGAAAATGTCCGAGCCCCGACGGATTCCACCATCAACCGCAATTGGAATCCCACCTCCTGCGGCGACAGGGGCGCAGATGCGCAGCGCATCCAGGGTGGACGGGGTACCGTCTAACTGGCGCCCGCCGTGATTGGAAACGATCACTCCGTCAACCCCATACTTGATAGCCAGTTCCACGTCCTCGGGAGAACAAACTGCAGGGGTCCACTCATTAAAAAAAAAGATCGTTGCCAAGGAGTGTCATGTTTCTTACCTCCTTTCAGCCAGATTGGCAACGAAGTATGCTCCCGCAGCCAGGGGATAGTGCTCTCCCAGTCCAAACTGGGGTCTGTCAAAGTAAGCTCAGGTCATATCCACTTGAGACGGGCGAACCAACCGTAGTCGGTGCGGTCTGAGTGGTCGCTTCCACTGCTGAGAATATTGGGCCATTGCATGCTCTCCGGCAATGTGTAGTCATTTCGGTACTCATTCAACCGCTTTCCCAGTACAGGCACGTCTACCGACAAGAACAATGCCTTGTACCCTGCCTCTATAGATATTATCAGCATAAAATGGATATCAGTACCATTGGGAATAGCACCTACTCTCCGCTCGCTCCAGCAACTGTATCGTAAGTGATCGGTCCTTCAGCACGCACATTTGCATCGCATATGGGTTTCCAAGACCTTGTGCAGCAACGTCTTCCAACGCGTAATTAGAGTAGGAAGATAATCCCATTGCGATTCCATAGTTGGCGGCTGCGCGGGATGTTGCTAGCTCGCCCTTTGGGTGTGCAAGCTGGTGGGAGGCACTGGGGCTGAAGCCGAAGGGAAGAGAGACCTATATGACCGGCGGGAATGAGCGCTGTTTTTTCAACCATTTTTTTTGTTTCCCATTTCACTTCAGAAGCAACCAACCTTGGAACCAAGAATCTCGGTACTGGTATCGATTTCCGCGACGTTGACTAGGATTCGTGGTCTGATTCGGTAGCGATCGTAGGCAGACTCATTCTCGCGCAGACTGGCGGTTGAGATGGTTAGCAGACTCTCAATTCGATATCTTTAGATAGTTCATACGTGATCAGATCCATAGCTCCCTCATTGTAATAGTCTACTGACTTTAGTCCTCGTTTTAGACTTGATAAACCCAGAGTAGCCTACCTCGGACCATAGGGGGTAACCGCTTGCTGCCCAGCTCTTTAAGGTCTGCAATACAGCATACATCTTTGTGGAGGGTCTCGCCGCGATGCGCCATGATTAATTGAGTTGTAATATGTGTAGGAGGGAGGAAAAGGGAATCGGAGAAAGTTACGAAGACGATCACAATAAGTAAGTTACCTCTACACCCGCGAAGCTACAAAAGATTGCAAGTGGTATCCTAATTCGAACACATGCTCGCATGACCTTCCAAGTGTATACAGTTACTAACACACTTCAGGAACTGGCTTCCTATCGCAGAATCCCCGCCAGGTGACCGTCGGGTGGCCGTCGGGATCACCTTCCTGCAACAGAGGCACCCCCGCAGGGCCGCGGCGACATAGTATTAAAAGCAACATTCGAACACGCCAAACCCACAATTCTGCATAACTATTTCCTTCCAAACTAGAACAGCTCACAAGAAGCTTCTCTCAATCAACATGGCTCGCATTTTGCTGTGAGTTGTGGCCCGTCCGTCTTGAATTGGTGGCTTGCTTACACTTTACCCCTACAGGACTGGCGCCTCCGGCTACATTGGCGGGGATGTTCTCCACCTCCTTAAGACCAGTCACCCAGAATATGAGTGCAGTATCTTACTGCGTGATAGTGGCAAGGCAGCTGCTATCTCTAAGGTATTCCCCGATGTTCGTGTCGTACTGGGGGACCTTGATGCCGCCGCTTTGATTGAAGAAGAGGCTGCCAAGGCGGACGTGGTTATCAGTAAGACTATCTTTATTGGTGAAACAGGGACAGGAGGCTGATAGTGTAAAGATGCTGCTAGCAATAAGAACATGACTTGTGTGGAAGCCATTGCCCGTGGCCTCAATAAGCGCAGCGGGTCTAAGCCTGGTAAGTCAAGAGTGGTTGTTCTAAAGTGCAACCCTAGTTAATAAAGGTGCGACAGGCCACTGGATCCAGGTCTCTGGTGCCAGTGTTATCTCAGTCCCCGATATTCTGGCCGGCACCTTTGGCGAGGGCTCCAGCAAGAACTACAACGATGTCGACAATGCCGAAGAAGTCCGCGATATCATCCGTAAGAATGCAGGCATGAGGGTTGTAGACAACCACCTGCTGAACAACGTGACCGGCCCTAAGACTGCCATCATCTTCCCACCTATTATCTACGGCGAGGGCCGAGGTGTCACCAAGCAGCGAAGTGTACAGATACCCGAGCTTTCACGGGTCGCGATTGAGACGCGGCAAGTCGTTCAGGTGGGCAAGGGAGAGAGCACATGGAGCAACATTCACATTGCCGATCTCAGTGATTTGTTTGTCAAGCTGGTTGAGAAGGCCGTCCAGGGTTCGGAGGAGGCGTTGTGGAATCAGAACGGACTTTATTTTATGGGAAACAGCATGCTGGTAGGCTAGCTCGACCATTCCAGAACCGTCCAGAGGGCTAATTTGTGTTCAGTCCTTCGGCAAGATCTCACAACTCGTCGCGGAGGCCACGCACGATCTTGGCTTGACTGACACAGAGACTGTCAAGAGTCTCAGTGCTGACGAGGCGGACAAGTTGTGGGCGCCTGCCAGAATATTCTGGGGCACCAACGCACGCATGGAAGGCCAACGAGCCTCGCGCCTGTTGGGATGGTCTCCACAGAAACACTCAGTCGAGCAGGAGATTCCGACAACCGTCAAGGTGGAGGCGACTCGACTAGGCAAGTTGTGAGGGATCCAATTGGATAAACCGTAATGATTTAGATAGTAAACCTACCCTACCCTGGTCATGGGATCCATTCTATGGTCGTGGCGGGGAGGGGCAAATGTGAAGATAGAAAAATGATAAGCAAAAATGAAATTGGCAAGTCATTCCGACCGTGGGTTTGCGGGGCTCCAAGCTTCCACTGGCATCACCCCGGATTTTCATTCCTCGCCATGGACTTCATTGATTTGAATTAATACAATCAATTCCGATTTCTAAGTCAATTTGTATCAACAGGCTTAGCGCTATGGCGAGCTCGAAGCGAGCGCGCGCTCGCCGATCACATGTACTGGGTGGCTGCAGTACTTGCAGACGGCGACACGTCAAATGCGATCAGAAACGTCCGGCATGCCGGACTTGCCGAGCCCTTGGAGTCACCTGTGAAGGGTTCCCCAACCAAGTCCTTTGGATGCGTGATGATGAGCCCGGCGATATCGATGGGAGCCACCGTGGCACTCGCCGACATCTCTACACAGGTATGAGGCGCTTGATACGTACCTGCTCATATAACCAAGCTAAACAGGTGAATAGAGGAATCCAGGCTAGCGATGAGCACAGCCCTCGGAAGCAATCTGATTTCGGGTTCTATTGATGCATCGTTGGCTGAAGTCGACACAAGGTCGCGAGACCCGGATCGGCATCTCAATCATGACATTGTCATCGGTCCCTTTGCAGTTCTCGACTTTGCTGGATCGGCCTCGGAGCCTCCAGCAGAAGAAGATTCCACGACAATACAAGAGAATGAACCAGCTCCCATCGACCCATTACCTGTTGGAGACTCGATAGATGCCATCATACCTCCGGAAATTCTGGATTCCAGCCCCGTGTCAATGATCGACTCTCTGTCTCAAATGGACGATTTCTTACATTGGTCCGACCTACTTAGCTTCAGCCCTGATCAAGCTGGATTTGCGACTCATCCAACTCTAACTATGCCTAATGATTTATCATTCGATCTTACGAATGATGCCCTGCTTCTTCAGAATTTTGCACACGGCCCAGAAGAGCCCATGCAACGGATGACTCCTCAGCAAACCCCAATGGAGATGGCCCCCATGGAGGCAGACGTTCTCAAGGATGCTCAATTTCTACTGAAACATTTTCAAGATATCGTCATTCCTCAAATAATGGCTATTCCATTTGGTCAGAAATCTCCGTGGAAAATCTTGAACCTACCAGCGGCGGTCGTGGCATTTGGCGACACAACTTTCCTCGGAACAGAAGGAATAAGCCATGCTCGACTTGCGAATCTTTATGGCCTGCTTGCATGTGCGGCTGTTGATCTAGCTCTGAAGCCACCGTCAGACCCGACACAATCTACCGAGCACTGGTTTCAGATTGCAAACCAAACATATCAAAAAGCAAAAGATCATATCCAGACTTCTTTGCAGCACGAGACACAAGGTCCAAAGAAGGCAAAATACAAGGACCAGCTCATGGCTGCCAACATTCTCACACAATATGCAGTAAGTCTATTCGCTTCTTGCTGTAGATTTTCGCGGGCCGTTATTGATGAATGCAGATTCTATCCGGGCAACAACAACACGCTCGCTGCTTTTTGATCGATGCAGAAAGGCTTCTACGTCTTCGAGGACTGTCAAAGCGAAGAATATCCAAAAAGGCGCGTCTCTTACACCACGTCTACACTTGGCTGCGAATAGTAGGCGAAAGCACCTTCGTCCTTCACGATTACAGCCTCTCTTATCCATGCCTCGCTTCGCTTGGCTCTTCATCACGCTCCCATGCCTCTAGCCTGGCGGAGAGCAACAATACGATAGTTCCACACGAGCCCAATTCCAAGCTCGATGACTTTCTGCGCCTCGAAAACCAAAATTCAGATAGCGACCTTAACATTGACGAACCCAAGGATCGAGCCTCTGGGTTCCACGACATTCATCTTCACGACTCTCGCAGCTTCCCCGAGACCTTATACAAACAAATCTATGGCATCCCAGAGACATGGCTTAGTCTAGTATCCCAGACGACAAGATTGGCAAATGTTTTGACGACATTTCTGGTTGCCCGAAACCTGGGTAGAAATGTCAGCCTCGAGGCCTGGGAATGCATACAACGCCGCGCCACGCGGCTGGAAAACCTCATCTGTTCTTTCAACCTCGGTCTGGCGAGGGGCAAAGTCACCGATCTCCAGGCTACATCCAAGCCACACGCGCACATGTTGGAAGCTCTGAACAGCGCACTTGTTATCTTTTTCTATCGTCGAATCCGCGAAGCCCACCCGGCTGTACTACAAGGGCATGTTGATAGCGTCATTTATGCGCTTGAAGAATGCAAAGCCTCACTGTTAGAAGACGGTCCGACGGGGCCCGGAACAGCCTGGCCAGCTTTTATTGCTGGATGTGAAGCCCTCACCATGTCACGGCGTAATGCAATTATGCAATGGCTCAATGATGCCAGCTCAACATGCGGATATGCATCATTTGCCACAGCCCGCGATATAATGGTCAAGTCATGGCAGAGACAGGATGAGCACTTGGCAGCAAACCGAGGTCATTCGATGCCATGTTGGATTGATATTGTGAGAGAGGAGCAAATTTGGCCTCTGTTTTGTTGAAAATTGAACTCTTTTCTAGATTTGTCTTTATACTAACACCTTTTTATGTATTTAATGACTCCGACTAATAGCGCATACTACTACTCTGCATAATTATACTCCATGAAGAAACGATGAATTACCCCATTACCGTGGCATAAAATTCTCTCTATAGTAAATTTTCACATCAAATGTTAATATATCTAGATCGTCTTCACACCAGCATTCTGAAGCAGCTGCTTCAGCTCGGCCTGCAGCTCGGGCTTCAGAAGGGAGAAAGGCTTCCGCAGGCCGCCAGTAGGCTGGCCAATCAACTCAACGCCAGTCTTGACTGCACTGCAGTAGTTGTGTGTCTCGAGGAACTTGCAAATAGGGAAAGCCTTAGTCCAGAGCTCACGTCCACGCTTGAGATCACCCTTCACAGCAACGGCATCCCAAAGCTCAACAGCCAGCTCAGGAATGAAGTTGGCAGCTCCCCACACACCACCGGGGCATCCAGCGGCAAGACCGTAGAAGGTAAGGGTATCCCAACCATTGAAGGCTGTGATCTTATCCGAGAGACCGAAGATCAACTCCGTAAGGGCTGGCGCGTTGCCGGAGGTATCCTTAAGGTACTTGACGCCAACCTTGGACAGACCGGCAATCTCTGAGGGGGAAAGAGTCAACCCAGAAGCACTGGGGATATTATAGAACATAATAGGAAGCTTTGACTTGGTGTGGATCTCGCTCAGCAGCTCCTCCAATTGCTCCAGGCTAACTGGGTCGTAGAAAGGAGGGACGACCATGACGGCGGTGGCTCCGGCTTGCCCAGCGTGGATGGAGAGCTCGACGGCCTCATCGTGTGAGCAACTACCAGTACCAATAACGACGGGAACGCGTCCGGCAGCGTACTTCACGCACAGCTCGGTGAGTTGCTTGCGTTCGGCTGTGGACAGCACGGTGAATTCACCAGTGCTACCGCCGGGCACAAGACCATGGACACCGGCCTTGATGAGGTGCTCAATGTGTGCCTGTAGACGGCCTTCGTCGATCTTGGTCTTATCGTCGTTGAAGGGGGTGATCAGCGCCACCATGATACCGGTAAGTTCTGAAGACATTTTGAAGGTTGTTGTTGATGTTATTGTTTTAGAAGGACGAGTTTAGATTCAGAGGTTTGGAGGGGTAAAAGATGGAGGTATTGTATGAGTCGATATAGTCAGTGCGGACGTCACTTGTAAATATACTTGCATAGAACGGAGTTGCTTTCTTCTTGTGTTCAACTTGTTCCGTGAGCCATCCCACCTTGGCTGGTATAGATAGGTGGAGTGGATTTCTATAGACCGGAATGACTTGCCTCGATTCGGTGGATCCACTTCACTTTGGGGAATGAGACTCCGACCTGCGGGGTACGCTCACTTTGTTCATGTCTTCAATGGTATACAATTAAAATCATTAGGTAAAATGAGGGGATCGATATTTTGCTTCGTTACTACTTGTACTGATATTCAAAGTTTTAAAGCCCGACAAAGGCAATTGGTAATTCTAAATTCTATCATAAAAATGTTTATCTCTATACATTGCTTTGGTCATCTTCATAGCTTATTGCCCATGTTCACATGAACAGCCTTGATCTGGCTATAAGCTTCTAGACCAGCCTCGCCAAGCTCACGACCAATACCACTCTGCTTGACACCTCCGAATGGAACTCGGGGATCACAGTCCTGGCTGCTGTTGATCCAAACCATACCGGACTCAATCTCGGAAGCAACGCGATGGGCTCGCTCAAGATCAGTGGTGAATACTGCGGCGCCCAGGCCATATTGACTGTTGTTGGCACGCTTGATAGCCTCCTCCTCGCTATCGAAAGGCAAGATGACAACAACAGGTCCAAACACCTCCTCTTGAACAATGCGCATGGAGTCGGTGACATCCGTGATGACTGTGGGCTGAACGAAGTATCCATCCTTGTTCTTAGAATCAGCCAGAGTATGAGGAGCACCACCAGTCACAATAGTGGCGCCCTCATTCTTAGCAATCTCGAAATAAGACAGAATGCGCTCATATTGTGCACGAGTGACCTGAGGACCTTGGAAGGTATTCGCATCCCACTGATCGCCAATCTTCACCTCTTCCACGGCCTTCTTGAAGTTCTCCAGAAAGGTGGGCAGAATGTCACGGTGCACGAGGATTCGCGAGGTGGCAGTGCAGATTTGGCCCTGGTTGGACATGATACCAAAGTGCGACCACTTGACTGCTTGGTCCATGTCTGCATCAGGGAACACCAGCAATGGCGACTTGCCTCCAGTCTCAAGAGTAATATTCTTTAATGAACCCGCTGCCATCTTCATAATTTCCCGGGCAGTGCCTGTGGATCCAGTGAAGGCCACCTTATCGACGAGTGGGTGAGATGCCAGCGCAGCACCTGCATCCCGACCGTAGCCATTGACGATGTTGATCACACCTGGGGGGAAGCCAGCTTCCTTGATCAGCTTGCCAAGAATGAGGGCGCTAAGAGGGGTTTGCTCGGCAGGCTTCAGAACAACAGTGTTGCCGCAGGCCAGAGCAGGTCCCAGCTTCCAGGTTGCCATGGAGAGAGGGTAATTCCAGGGAATAATCTGGGCAACAACTCCGATCGGCTGACGGATGGTATAGGCGAACTTCTGAGGGGTAGTGTTGATGGTCTGTCCAAAGGTCTTATCGGCCCAGCCGCTATAATACCGGATAGTGGTGATGGCTTCAGTAAGATCTTCCTCAAAGGCGACATGGTAGGGTTTTCCTAGGATTATAGTTAGCCTATGCATGAAGAATCGGTGATGATACAGAACGAAAGCCTACCGTTATCCCATGCGTCAATTGTAGCTAGGAGCTCCCTGTTTTGTTCGAGAAGATCGGCGAGACGAGCCATCAGCTGGCCTCGCTCGGTTGCGGGGAGGAGCTTCCAGGATGGATGGGCCAGGGCGGCTTTGGCGGCTTGCACTGCGCGATCGACATCCTCGGGGCTGGCAGCATCGACGGTGGCAATTGGTTTATCTGTGCTGTTCAGAGTTAGTCAATTGCACGGGAGAGAAAGAGTTCTGGGGGAACTAACGCGGGGTCCAAGGAGGTGATGGTTTGGCCGCCGGTCGCCGGAACAAACTCGTTGTTGATAAACAGACCGGTGGGCTGCTGGTAGCGCTGCCCATTAGGGGCGACAATCTCTACTGATGCCATTTTAGAAAAAATGCTAGAGGTAAAGGAATTAAAATGGGAATGGGAATGGGAATGACATTGGAGGCGCGGGGTGTATATAGTAGTACCCTCCAGGGCTGTAGTAGTACTAGAGAGAAAGGGCAATCAATTCCGACGGTGGAGCCCTCTGGAGGGAAACTAGTCTGTCTCCGTTAGGTCCACGCGGAGAAGCTCCGATGAGGGTTTCATTTCATCGCTTATTCCAGGATCGACAATATTATACAGTACTAGTAGCTGTTATTGTTGTTCATTTCCATTCGGTAGCTTACCTAGTAGCTAACTTAGTATGGAACCTCACAAGATTTCAAGGTTTGAGGGGACCTCTTATATACGCGTAGCCACCATATTGATCATAAACAAAAGTCCGTATGATGCACGCATTTTACTACGTTACCACCTTTTGAGCCATGTACTAAGATGACTGGATCTGCAACTGTTGTGTAATGAGGTTGCTGGTCGTGATTGGTCGATTACCCGGTTCGTTGCATCAAAGTTTATATGGACACGAGAGTTCTGCCTCGCATGAACCACGCAATATGATGTATCGAACCAAACAACCTACAGTACAGTACATACAGTACATACGGAAGCAGTACTTATGTGCATAAATACGAAGTAAAGATGCAAGTGGTTTCTATTTGAGTTTGCCATATGGATATTACTGGTAAAGTACGTGCTTCCTGCCACGTTCCAACCAGGTTAACCTTTACAGATGACAGGCAATAACTGGGAAAACTGGGGAGAGGATGTAGGAATGATGGGACTCTGATCTCTCACCCCGTTCACTCCTGTATTCGAATATCTACCCCGCCCCCTCGCTTATGAGACAATGCATTCTCATACGCTTTTGATATTTGGTAGTAACGAGGGGGGCCATCAATTGCTCAATCTGGCAGCAATATGACACTAGCAAGCATCAACTCAAAAGAAATTAACTCACAGAGGATCCAGTCACATAACAAGTCACAACATGTATGTCAAGTGGAAATATCCATGCACGAAAGACCCACAATATTGCCCATTTCCGGCGTTGATCCCTGCAGTAAATCATGGAGGTGTTTGTTGCATGAATGGAAAACTTTGTCAATCCTTCAGCTCCGAATAAAAGCCCTCCCGGTCGCCCACAGTCTCAAATTGCACTGCCTTCAAACACAACCAGTAACCCTTACTTGGGACTTGAGAGCTCAAGTGCATGAGTACCCCACGATCCGAAGTCCCTTGCCAAGTCCACCAGCAAGCGCTCTTCATCTTGTATTCCCCCATCTCAGCTTCGGGGACTTCAAACCTATTTTCTCTCCTCCCGAAAATTCCACCGATATGACACATGTAAATGGAAATGGCAGGCCAAGCTCTGGTGATCGCCCGAACGAGTACTCTTCACTCATCCCCAGGCCCGTCGATTATGAGACAACACGGCGGCGCAATGACGATGGCATAAATAAAATCAGCCGCTCAGCCCAGGCAAAAGGAGTTTTTCTCGAATTTTGGATACTGTTCAAAGGCGCCGCCCCGGTCATTCTGGCTTATATGCTTCAGATGAGCCTACAAACAGTCACTGTCATTGTGGTTGGCCAGTCATCGCCGGAAAACCTTGCTGTTGCGGCATTTTCTATGATGTTTGCCGCGGTCACTGGATGGATGATTGCTCTCGGAGGAACAACAGCCCTGGATACCCTCGCCTCATCGGCATTCACTGGTAGCGAGAGTAAGCAGGATCTAGGAATTCTGTTGCAGCGTGCATTCCTGGTGCTTGGGATCTTTTATATCCCAATCGCAATTATTTGGGCGTGTTCGGAAGCTATTTTCTTGGCTTTGGGGCAGGATCCTCAGATTTCCTACCAAAGCTCTCGGTTTCTGACGGCTCTCATCCCCGGTGGACTTGGTTATATCTACTTCGAGACCATGAAGAAGTATCTTCAAGCGCAAGGTAGATGCAAGTCGACGCTTCCATACTTTCCGTTTCCGCTAATAAATTGTTTTACTAGGAATCATGCGCGCTGGGACTTACGTCCTTATGATCACATCTCCTCTCAACGCCGGATTATGCTACTTATTCTGCTACACCCTAAAAATTGGACTTCTCGGCGCCCCAATTGCGGCTAATATATCATATTGGTCTTCATTCTTATTGCTTGTTCTATACGCACGCTTTGTTGGTGGATCCGAATGCTGGGGAGGATGGTCACGGACAGCCTTCCAAAACCTATGGACTTTCACAAGACTGGTACTCCTTGGAATCATGCATATCGGTACAGAATGGTGGGCATTTGAGATCGTCGCCCTGGTGGCAGGCCGCTTGGGAAACGTCGCTCTAGCTTCCCAAAGCGTTATTATGACCACTGACCTTATTTTGAACACGATTCCATTCGGGCTCGGCGTCACCACTTCATCTCGAGTGGGCAATAAACTGGGGCAGCGGGACGGAAAGGGTGCTTATCGAACCGCCCATTTATCTACGATGCTTTCAATATTCTTCGGTACGGTCATCCTGGTAGTGCTCATGTCTACCCGAAACCAGTTCGCCAAACTCTTTAATAATGATCCACAAGTGGTTGGATTGACAGCAGAGGTTATGCCTTTTGTAGCTCTGTTCCAGATTGCCGATGGTATCAATGGGAGCTGCGGTGGCACCTTACGAGGGATTGGACGGCAACATTTGGGAGCTGCTATCAACATTGTTTCCTACTACTGCTTTGGTATTCCTCTGGGAATTTATCTTGCATTCCATGGCTGGGGCCTTAAAGGCCTATGGATGAGCAACTGTTCGGCACTTTGGTGTGCAGCAATTCTGGAATGGGTTTTTGTTTCAATCACGGACTGGGAGAAAGAAGTGCACCAAGCATTCAAGCGTATGGATGGACATGATGGCGTGGAGGCGGGTTATGGTGTTGGGACTGACATATTTGCCCATAATTGATTATGGTAGGGGATCGGAAATCTGTGGCTTGGTTTCTCCTCCGACAATACGTGTTCAGATTGAAACAAAATACTAGTAGATCATGCCAGAGGCTATGGACGAGTAGAGAGATACGACAATTTTGTGATCAGATGAGAGGGGAGACAAGAGAGTGAAGCTAGTATCCAGACACTGAAGGCACAAAACAGAAGGCATGATGTCTGAAAAGTAGTAAGGTTCCTGTACCTTGAAATATCCCTATAAATACTAATTATTCACAAAAACTACAAAGAGACTGTCTGCAAACTTGAATTCCAAGGTGCTAAGGCATGTTTGCAAACAACTTGCAACCCGTCACACTTCTATTTAATTCTAGTTTTTGAATAAGATAGATCTATCAGTGTATTATCTGCAAATTCTAAGATGATGTCTATGACCAAAGGCTAATATGTAACCAAGTGCAAAATAAACGATGTGAACAGATGCAGATAAGGGTATGTATCAGGCCAAAGTGCGAGAACAAGGACGCAGTATACACCAATGGGTATTATTCAGAAAGAGCATGCATTTTGGACCAAAACTTTCACCAGGCAGATCACTCTGCCTGTCCGTTGGTAGCCTGAGAGGCAGAGGGTATGTTCTCGCCCTTCAGGTAGTTCTCGATCTCACCAACCTGCTTGCCACCCTGGATCCACCGTTCGCGGTAAGCCTCACGGCGCTGATCAGCTAGCTTGTTCAAGGTGGGCCAGTAGGTCGCATGATCATATTTGAACTCAACATCACCTCCAACAGACTTCAACAGTTGACCGGGAGGAACATGCTGTCGCAGATCCTCGTTGAACTTGAGCTTTTCACGAGTCAATGGGTCGATAAAAGGTGTGATCACTTTGAAGAAACCCCAGATCAAGAAAGGAACTATGTGATGTCGGAATCAGCATTGGGCAAATAGAGTAAAAGAGGGTTTATACATACCATTGATCACGAGCGCACGGCCTAGACGCTCAGGGTAGTGATTCTGGAGAATGCTGAGGGTTTCTCTCGCCTGGCCAACACTGGCACTCTGTCCGGACTTAGTGTCGCTAAAGTTGACAAGCAGGGCCAGGGTCTCCTGGTCCGGTCCCATGAGATCAATCACACGCTCAAGCATGAAAACCAAGTGCTGGACTTGGCGCTCGCTCTTCTCGGTGTTTTGGTTGGAGGGCAACAGATAAAGACACGGCCGGCCGTGAATATCATAACCCAGGAGCACCTGCTTGCCAGTCTCATTCTCAATGGAGATATAGTCCGGAGTCAATTTCTCCATGCCGTATTCTCGGCGCCAGGTAAGGGTAGCCTTGATCCGAGTCTCAGCTTCCGCAACATTCCATTTGGTAGCGCGCAAGTAACGCAGCAGACATTCACGAGTCAACCACATCCGCTCATCGTCGGTAATTGGAGCGGATGAGGCATCCTTTGCGGCCGTGTTGGGAATAGTGGTCCAGGAAGATACTGTCTTGAGGAAGGTATCGTACTTCGTCTGCTGGTCCGCAGTCAGCTTTGCGGGAGGCTGGGGCTTGCTGGACTCGAGCGGCTTGCCGAATGGCTTCTGGATGAGACCATCGGCGGCAGAGGTCGGGAGATCGAGATTAGCAGCAGCTGGTGTGCTCGGTTGTTCCACAGATGTTGGGGCGGTCTCTGGGGTAATGGAACCATTGTTGGTGGGCGTCACGATTGCTGCCACTTCGGCAGATTCATTGGTGGCCATGATGATCTGAGGATAGTTGTGAATGTGTCAATGCGTGCCACCAGGGAGTCTCTTAAGTGTTTCGGTCAAGGATCGAAGCTAATTGGTATTTGGGGGACCCATGGCCCACTGCGATCTGCCGGTTCGCATCTTGCCTTTTTGGGCCAGCTGACTAACCGACACGCCTGGCGCGTCGCGTGTCGCGGAGTTGAGAGCTGAATACTAGTTGGATATTTGACATCCTCGACGACCTCGTTACACCACACCCGCGCACACGATGGCTGACGCTTCAGCGGAGCTCAATGAGCTCTTTGCGGCCTCCTTCCCAGAAGGTCTGCCTAAAGATGTTCTCGCGGAGCTTCAATCCATCCTACGAGTACACTCGATCTCCGCGGAAGAGCTCTTCTACAAATGGGAGTCCTACAGTATGAAGATGGGAGAAGATACAAAGTTGAATCTTGATACCGTTCGGGGGTTCAAGAAGGATGTTCAAGAGGCTCTCGAGCGTGAGAGTCGCGCCAAATCTGGTCGACAGGCAGACAGGAGGACCGCAGCTGTTGGAACCCCGCGTGCGGCAGCAGGCACTGATATGTTCGGAATGTATGTGACTGGCCATGTGGAGTGATCTCAAGAGCGGAGATAAACTAACTTCCTCTAGGCTGGACGGATTAACACCCGGTTCTGCGAATGGCCGGCCCTTGAACGGAGGCTCTGTGAAGCGCAAGTCCAACTTTTCATCACCCGCTGCGCCAAAATTCGGACGAGTCGAGAGCAATGGATCGCCAATGGGAGCCAAAACAACCAGTTCTACGATCAATGGCGCTACCAGCGGCACACAGTATGCGATATCCCTCTGGAAGTGATGGGTAGAAGGATATAAGTGATTCATTGGATATACTAACACAGAAGACAGATCCGTCGCATTCGCTGACCGTTCAAACGCCGGCCAAACAATAGAAACGCTGAATTCGCATCTTTCGGCACCAGTTACGCCAATGGCCCCGTTCTCCGAGGCGCGGATCAAACCTACCGCCAATACAGATTTGAAGAAGTTCGGATACAAGCCTATGGGAATGCGCCTCTCCGAGGCATCGGAGATCTTGGATGACCGGATTGACGAATTTGCCGCCATTTATCAAAAACACTACGACTCTGAGGAGCTCACATTTGGCAGTGCGGCCACCCAAAGTACATCCGAAATCATTGCTGTAGGTCGGATTGCATCGGACTCCCTTGAGGGGAAACTGAACCCGGCGTCTTTGGTGCTTGAAACTTCGCGCAGGACTGGAGCTGGCAGGCGTGTTCCCCTCAAAGTCGATTCCGTACCTGGATTAAATTTCATCCCGGGCCAGATTGTTGCTCTTCGTGGAATCAACCCTTCTGGAGATTACTTCACGGTGAAAGAGATTCTTCCGATTCCTCTCTTGCCACCTGCCGCATCTCCAGCAGTTGCTCTCGAAAATATTAACGAGCGCCTCGAGAACGGAGATGCCAATCCTCCCCTCAATGTTATGGTAGCGGCTGGTCCGTACACAGCAGACGATAATCTGGATTTCGAACCGCTACAAGAACTCTGTCAAAAGGCCGCTGACGGTTACGCTGACAGTCTCGTCCTAATGGGTCCATTTCTGGATATCGAACACCCTCTAATTGCCTCCGGGGACATTGAGTTGCCCGAAATCAAGGGTCTTGACCCCGACACTGCTACGCTCACTACGGTCTTCCGGCATCTCATTTCAGCGCCCCTGGCACGCCTTGCGGCTGCAGTACCCAGCATTACCATTGTACTGGTTCCGTCCGTTCGGGATGCACTGAGCCGACACGTTTCATGGCCTCAGGAACAACTCCTAAAAAAGGAACTCGGTCTGCCAAAGCAAGTCCGAATGGTCTCCAACCCTGTCACACTATCATTCAACGAGACTGTCTTCGGCATGTGCTCACATGATGTCCTCTCTGATTTGCGCCGCGAGGAGGTTCTCCATGGCCGACCCGCTGAGGGCAACCTACTGACTCGATTGCCCAAGTACCTTGTTGAACAACGACACTTCTCCCCTCTGTTCCCACCATCCGGCCGTGCAAGTCTTTCAAAGCCAAGTACCGAGGGTGCCCTTGCCACAGGTGCTATGCTGGATTTGCCCTATATGAAGCTTGGAGAGTGGTGGAATGTCCGGCCTGACATCCTGCTTGTTCCCAGCATGCTGCCGCCCTTTGTCAAGGTTTGTGTTTCCTTTATCTGACCCCCCGCAATACCACTATCCATAACTTATACTAATTTCACTTTTCTCTAGGTGGTGGATAGTGTCCTCGTCATAAACCCTGGCACTTTGTCCAAGCGCCGCGGCGCCGGCTCCTACGCCCAGCTAGCAGTCCACCCACGAGTGATATCCGACGAAGAGCGTGAGCAGAAGCAACTCGATCACAAGCTATACGAGCGAGCTCGAGTAGACATCAACAGAATTTAACCAGGGGGCGTTATACACATACTGCATGACAACAGGCGTCGGGGCGTGAAGTGAAACCGTAGCGAGAACGCAGAAGCTACGCGAAATAAGATTATAGCGAATATTCGAAGTGATATTTCTTCCCATCAGCAATACCAATGAAACGAAATCAATGTCACAAAACAAAAAGAATACAACCTCCGTAAGGCGGAATGGGTATCAGAGACTCCCGCAATGCAAAGTAAAAAAAAGGAAAGACAAGGGAATAGAATAGAACAGAGCAAGACCCAACGGTCTCCCCCCCTCATCGCAGCCCAACCGTCCTCCGCCCACCCATCTTTCTACCCGCACTCCTCACCCGAACAGCGGCACTAGCAGCCGACGCCGCACCACCACCACTCCCCCTCAACGTCGCGCCAGGTCCAGAACCAACCGTCCCACCACCCGCCCCCGTAGTCGCCGCAACAGCACCACCTCCATGCCCCTGCCCACTAACAAGCGCCTGCAAGCCCAGATCCCTCCAAACAGCCTCGCGTCTGCGCTCCATGGCGCGCGCGATCCCGAACGCAGCATGCTGGTCTGGTACGACGTCGTCCTCGTCTTCGGGGTTCGGCGGCTGGTGCTGCGGCGCGACGTAGATGTCCTCGATTGGTAGGAAGGAGGGGATGCTGGATTGGGTTGTGGAGCCGTATGTTATTGCGTTGCTGGCGCCGGCTGGTTGGGTGCTTGTTGCGGATGGGTTTAGTGTGTGTGGATTTGAGGAGGAGGATGTGTGGGGTCGCGTGAATTCCTCGAAGAAGTCTGCTAATCGCGCTTGGTGCATGTGGATGTGTGTTGCGGAGGAGTCTTTGCTCTGGTGGGTTGTTAGTGGCGGTTTGCTGATTTGTTTGGGAGAGTGCAGTTGAGGTTGGTTGATACGCACCATTTTGGCAGATTTGAAAGGCTCGCGGCTTTTGCGTGTTGATATTCAGTGGATTTCACGGTTTTGATTTGAGAATTGTTGAATTGCGCAATGCGTCGCTGAGCTCTTCGTTGACAAGAAAGGTTGTTGACATACACTCCGGAGCCGGCAGAATAGATTCACTCCGCACGCCGCTTTAAAGGCGGTGAATAGCATATCAGCCATGCCAATCCAAGCCAGATATATAGATACGAAAGTCATTCGATCAAGGTTCAGGACATATTCATTCATTTCGTATTCAGATCTAAAAGTTCTTCCCGGAAACCCAGAACAAAGACAATGCTGAGGGTCATTACAAAAAGAGAACCCCACTACTGCGCAGACAAGCTAACATATAGGATCTCTCCTCAAAAAGAGCCTTGATAAGAAAGAAGTCAAGGCCATCTCAACTTTTCGCGGTATGGTAGCATATAGCATGGGAATAAAAGAGTCTTATCAGATATTCGTAGACATCCGGTGGACAATCGGCACCGCGCTGGGAGGCAAGCTGCCCATCTCTGTGATCACCATGTCCACGTACTCCGCTGGAGTCACATCATACATGATGTTTAACAGCTGCAGGTGGGGGGTGTCTTTCCAGTTGGCAAGGGGGGGGAGGGGGAGGGGGTACGAGTTGAGGCAGATGAATCTTGGGTGGGAGCTGCAGAAGCACCCTTGCCACCCTTCTTAGGCTCGACTGGAGGAGCGGTAAACGCAGCAGGGTCGGGGAGGCCAGTCACTTGCTGTGGGGGGGTTTGCGGGAACCAGCTCGTCGGCATCGGCGATTTCGTTGACTACGATGCTGTCGAGAGCGACGCGGTCGGAAAACTTGATTGTCTCGCAACAGACAATAACGGGGACTTCAACGCCACCGGCGCGCTCTTTAGCAGACATGGCGACCAAAGCGGTACCGACGCGAGAGTAAAGACGACCATTACTGGTCATGCCGTGTGCGCCAAGGAAAACCTTAGTGGCGTCCTTGATAGCATGGCTGATAGCATGTACGAGCGAATATTGAACGTCCAGACCAGCGTTGGCCAGAGCTCGAGCAAGACTCTTGCCTTCGAAGAGAGGGCGAGAATCAATGATCGATACGCGGAATCGCTTTCCTTCCTTGTGTGCTTGTAGAAGAGTTTGTTTGACGATATTGCTGCCGGCAAATGTCACAATCACATCGCCGTTCTCAATCTTTTCCACCGCGCTTCCTGCGATAACTTGATCCGCCACGGTAATCTTTTCGCGGATAAAGTTGTCAATAAAGTCGCACAGGGTCGCCTTGGCAGAAGACTCCGGGGTGGACGGGTCGATTCCGGCGATAGCCAGCTTCAACGCGCGAATCGCGTTACCCTGGCTGACGGCGAGTGGTCGACATGTCGAAAGGTAGCTGATCTGGTGGCTGAGATGGGTCGTCAAATGGCGTGCCAGCGAAGTACCCAGAGGGGTGGTGTAAGATTCAATCACCTAACACATGAATAAAGTCAGAATAAACAGCACCACAAGTTAGATTGGCGAAAGGCTGGAAACAACTCACCCGCTTGAAGGCAAGCAGGGTCGCAACGCATCGCGCACTGCTACCGCAGACCACATAGTCTCGCAGTTGGAGACCGAGCGCCAGAACAGCAGGGTGCACCTCCTTCGCAGCGCCATTGACAGTAGTTCTTCGCTGTTGACCGTATAAATGACTGAACACGGACACGCTCTTGTCTTCTTTTTTCTTCTTCGGCTCAACGGCGGTACTAGCCTGAGTGACAGGGCCAGATCCACGGCGCGGCGGCGCGCCCTTTGGTCCCTTCTGAGAAGCGCCTCCGCTGACAACGTCCTTCTTTGGTGTATTTGGAGGACGAGACTGGCCTGCATCGGGAGCTGAACCGCCCGCAGCAACAGCTCCGCCGTCTCTGTCGGCCTTCTCCTTCGCGCGCCGGGCGGCCTTCTCGGCCTTGGCTTTAGCCTTCAGTTGCGCAGGGGTCAGGGGCTTGTCACTGGCGCCATCGCCACCTGTAGAAGGAGCTGCGGGGGCATCCTTGGGCTTTGAGGGTCCTTTCTCAGGTTGTGCGGGCTGCTTTGCGCTCTTCGAGTCGCGGATGGGGAGGGATTGAGAGGGAGAATTTTCGGCGACGGGGTTGGGGGACGCTTGGGAAGGCGCAGTGATTGACGGAGAGGTCAAAGCCGGGTCAACAGAGTCCGCCATCTTTATTGACTCAATCGCGGTAGTTGAGGGGCGTCTAGCGGGACCTTGAGTTGCTTGGTGGGGAGAGAGGATTGACTCACGGAAAAAGAAGTGATGCCATAAGCGGCCCACCGAACGCCGCAGCCCTAATCTCCGGCGTCGTTGTTGCCGCTTCATTTTGCTCAACCAAGATGATATTATGATTTAAAAGTCAAGTACGAGAGATATAAATGAACTTTAAGCTGTTCAGAGTATTTCCCCTCGGGTTGAGATTATTTCGGCCTCAAGAAGAAGCAGTCTACTACTGTAATATGGGTCGGAGCAACACCGGGCGGTCGCCTTTGAAATTTGCATAACTCGTTATTCGTCAAAGGGGACTCTTGCTGCTGTTCAAAGAATAAAAAGAAGACAGAATGGCCCAAACGCTGCCTAACGATTGCTGGTCACGTCCCGAGGGCGTGGCTTCAGCCCAAACAAAAGATCGAAACAAAGACTGCGCCCGCTAACACCAATTCTATACAAAAGCCTCAAAGGCTGCCAGGAACTCGCCAGAGCTAACGATTATTGGCAGCTATTTGCCTTAGAGCTCGACGTTTGCGAGTCGCAGTCTGCTCGTCATGATGCCAGCGCTCATGGTCGGTGGCTAGCTTCCGTTTGAAAACACTCAAATCGCCAAGGAGATCCTGCATGTGATTTTGCATCAGGTATGCCTCCTGCTCGTTCATATCCGTCGAGTCATCCTCCTCCTCATCCTCCCAGACATCAGTCTCACTCTCGGTGTCTGAATAAGCGGGAGAGCCTTCTCGTGAACGGTTTTCTTTTGTTGCAGGGGAGACGGGGATTCCTCCGCCAATGATGCGAGACTAGGTTGTCGTTGAGGGATATTAACTGGTGGGATTGGGTTCTTGAGACTTTCCAGTGCAAGTTTCAGGTGCAGGCGCAGTGCCTCATTTTCTGTCTGCAACTGTTGGATTTTGGACTTGCTGACCATCTGGCTTTCCTCCATTAGACGCTGCATCTTCTCAACCTTCTGCTGGTATTCATCCAACTTCTCGTCCTGAAGCTGAGTTGCGCGCTGGTTTTCATTTGCTTGGCTCACGCTTAGCTGAAGGTTGCGAATAATTTCAGTCATCTCCGCAATCTGCTGGTCGCGCTCGGCAGCCGATAGATGGTCCTGGTTAACCCGTGCACGAGTGCGAATATTTTTGGCCTGGTCGGCGTATCGTAGTGTGGAAAGTGTCTCCTCATAATCTGCAGGGGCAATACATGCAATCATTGCCGTCTTCGAGTTTCCGCCCAGACTATCCTTCAACAGCCATGTGAGAATGGAGTCACGATAAGGCACCAGATCTTTGGCCTTTCTGCCACCTCGGGTTTTCTTAGGATCTGCCAACGCAGCTATCACTCTGCCAAGAGTTGTAAGAGACTTGTTGATATTCGAACCTTCACGGAGTCGTGCGCCGGTTGCTTCAGTCGACTTGGCTCTCTCAGAACCTGCGAGATCGACAAGGCGAATGCGAGCCGTACGTTCCGTCGTTTCGTCCGTAGAGAGATCGTGATGTATTTGCTTCAAAGTTATCGTGAAAACGGCGTGTGATCGAGAAGAAGTATCGTTCATTTTGGTGCTTGCCGTGGTTCGTGAGACATCACCCTTGCGCATAAACTTCATCAACTCTGTGTAGTTCCTTGCTGTCACCTCCGTGAGGTCCTTGACGTATGGGCCTTCTGATGGAGACTCGCGGATTCGAAGGTAATGCGGGGGATCTGTCCGTGGTACCAAAAGGTCCCGCACATGCTCATTATAGACTTCAAAGTAGGATACCCGGACGTTATAACTGATGTCGGGCGAGGGCGATGATTCGATACGCTGAAAAAGATCCTCGCAGGTACGAGGAATCAATCCTGGCTGCTCGGGCGTTCCCATCATTGTATAACTCTTGCCGGAACCCGTTTGTCCGTAGGCGAAGATGCAAGTGTGGTAACCTTCGAAATTATGATCCAGAAATTCTTCACCAAGCGAGTTATATACCTCCTCTTGGTGCGCATAATGCTCATCCTCCTCTTCGTGGGACCAGAATGAATTATCGAATGTGAAAGACTTGTCTTCGAGGACCTTGCCGCGGGCTTGAAACTTTGGTTTTGCTTGATCGGCTGCGCTGCGCTTCGGGGCGTGTAGGAGCGTCATCTGGGTGTGAGGGTCCATGGAGATAAGACATTCCGCCTGGCGTTGGATTTCTGTCAGAAAATGGTTAGAAATCGTGGAGTCCAGCGTATCATATGCGGCCCATGACCTCCTCCGGGCGCACTGCGACTTGTAGGAAATGTCATCATACCTCTAGGGAGAAACTTCCGAACTCGCACCACGACGCGCACATTTCCTCCCGGCGACGGACTGCCAGGTCCATCCTGGCGCGCGACATGGACTGGGATGCCTTCTCGGGCGCGTAATGACGGGCTGGACGCGGTCGATCTAAGCGTGGCGGCGGAGGCGGAGGTGGACAGGATGCTAGGCGACGTGATGCCCGTGGCAGCCGAAAACTCGGAGGAAGAAGCGGAGGAGATCGAGCCAGGCCCCGCCTGGTCGATATGGTTGAAGAAGCGCGGATCTAGCGCCATTTCCCTGCTGCGATCCCTTAATAATTGAACACAAGCGTCGACGGCCTCGCGTCGTCGGTCGATGAGATGATTGTACATGCAATGAATCGTATACACATGGAATGAGGGGGAATGAGAGTATATTGGTAGGGATGAGGAATCAAAGGGGAGAAAAGAGTGACGTGAAGTGAAATGAAATGAGAGATGGAAAGGGGAGGGGGTCGGTACTGTTGTGAGGCGCGTTGGTTCGCGGTTCCTTGTGGGAGTTTCAAGTTCCAAGTCCAAATTGAACCTTGGGAACTTCCTGCGGTTCGCTCCGTTGGGCCCCCGCGATGTAAACAATCGATCTGGTTTAGGCTCGGTTTCGGTTTCAGACAAGCCGCATGCTGTCACGGTCGATTTGAATAGACAAGTTCAATAAATGATGATGGACTGAATGATATTTTGCAATGCAATTGAATCAAGAAAGACTATTGCGGTGCATGGGGTGCGCTGTGGTCGGTGTTACCCGTTGCCACGGCAATGACTATCATACACTACTAGTACTCGTACTAACAAGAAGTATATCCCACTATCCAAGGTACTAGTACACTACACTGCTCCACATTAATCCATTGCATTGAATCAATTCAATTTCAACCGTACTGCGAAATATTATTCTTCAATATACATATCCACGTGTTCACTTAATCAAAGTCCGCGGTCTCCGCATTCATAGCATCAAATAGATCGCTATTTTCATCGATATGGCCCTTCTTCTGGCCTTTCATGGGGCCATCTTCACCACCGATAGGATCGGCCACTGGATGGCCCTGGTTGTCCATGTGGCTACTGAAGGACTGAATAGGACTCCATTTGGAACTGTCCTGCTCGCTCCAACCGGACTGCGACTGCGACTGAGTTTGCGAGGGCTTTGCGGCAAACTTCGGGTCGGTACTGCCAGGGAAGCGCAGGATATTCTCCTTATTGGACGACATGGTAAAGTGTGCCTGATTCTTCCTCGTGGAATTTAGACATTAGTACATTATAATCTTGATAATGATTGGAGGTATGATTATCTTCAGCAGGCAGGTAGAAGGGATGGAAAGGGGCATGCATACCAAGTAGTTGTGTTTGCTGATTATTGACTGATTTACTGGATAGTAATTCACTTCATAAAAAAAAAAGAAAAACAAATAATCTGCAATTACAAGGCCTCGATATTTATGAGAGAATGCCCGTGGAGAAAGGTGGCGGATGGCCATTCGATGATATACTGATGACGATGGCATTTACCACCACTCCATGGTCGCTTCCCCGCATTCGCCATTGGTGATTTACTCGTCGGTGCCACTGATTCTACGCTATTCTCGAACTCATTATCGAGCTGGCCAGTGAATGCCGAAATTCAATGAGTCCTGAGCGGGGCTTCGGTCGAGGCAATTCCATGGCTGAGGATCCACCCACATCACGGGGATTATTCTCGCCACAAAGCTCTCACCTATGCTCCAGATTTGGAGAAAACAAACATTATGATTGGACCTGAGGTGGCTAAGGAAGTTAGTTCTGTGAGAGCAAGACCTCGACCCATTGAAATCCAGCCAGTGAATAGGTGGAGGTATATCTGGTTCAGCTTATCTCATTTGGTCACAAGCTCAGAGGCATTTTTGTCCCATCCGGCCTTCTAGGATTGGATCATTGTTGGGTTAATAATAAGCTCTTTGCCGCATGTCACTCGAGCTCTCTAGCTCACCTCCATCGTCATACCTGGGCAGCATCCGGACAGCCAGTGATTCCAATTGGTATGCTAGGGTGTGAGAAATAAGAGTAGTGACAAGAACCTCGATATCTTGGAGTAAGCTATGTCACAACACAATATTGCCCTTTTTGATCTTCTAAAACTCTACTACGTATTATCCAATTGGAGCTTGAGGTAGTATGCAACAGTCAAGCCTCGATATCACCTACTGTTAACACCATATGGTAAACGATTGCAATAGCGGCAACCAGCCCAGTAGTAGTAATTACTGATTTCAAGAAAGGCTTTTGTAGCCTAAGGCACTATCTAGGAACATCCATTCCTTTTTAAATTTTTCCTCTGAGGTTCGTAAGATCAGGTTTGCTTACAGTACCACTACTTTGGGTATTATTATTAAGCCCTATCATTAATTTATTTAAGACGTCCCTCGAAGGTTGGTTATACCAGTATTATCATTGTCTTTTATATACAAACCTTAGAAGTCTAGAGGTGCGGGTGGCTGCTGGGACAGTCAGTCTAATTGCTGACAGACTGAACTAGTCGTCGCTATGGAGCGCCGCACTTCGGAGATAATGCAAGGCCACCACAGAGTAAGCCCGAAGGATTATATTCCTTCAGCCAAGTGAGTCACGCTCTAACTTGAAGTGGATATTTAATTGCGACCGTCTCGTATCAATGAAGTGGGGAAACCTCAGCTGGAGCTAGTAGTAGTACCTCGCGGCAACGATTGAAGACATAGAACTACCACCACCTCACTCAGATGGTGTAACTTGAAGTACCCCCCAAATCCAACAACCCGACACAATTATAATAATCACTACAATATGAGTGACTGCTGCATTAAAGGCTTCCAGTGGGACGGCGAACCCAAAGGCCATGTGACAAATCTCGCAGGAAATGCGACCTATGTGACAGGTTCGAACCGAAAAGTCGCGATCCTGATAATCCACGACCTGTTTGGATGGACGTTCCCCAACATCCGGCTTTTGGCAGATTCCTATGCTGAGGAAGTAGACGCTACAGTCTACGTTCCAGACTTGTAAGCAAAATGCATATTCTATCTCTACTATCTATTCGCACCAACACGATATTCCCCCAGCTTCGGCGGCGAAGTACTGCCATCCGAGATTATATCGAAGGGTCCCTCCGAATGGGGACCACTGGACCTACCAGCTTTCATAGCCCGTAACACTAAGGACATTCGAGAGCCCGAGATTATCGCATTCGCGAAGGCATTGCGCGAGCAGCATCAGAGCATCGGGGCAATCGGATTTTGTTTTGGTGGTTGGGCAGTCTTTCGTCTGGGTGCCAAATCACACAACAATCTTGTCGATTGCATCTCTACTGCGCACCCATCTTGGCTCACGGAGAACGAGATTGAAAATATTGGCGTCCCAGTACAGATTCTAGCGCCCGAGATCGATCCCGTGTTTACCCCCGAGTTGAAAGAGTTTAGCAACCGGGTGATTCCCTTGCTGGGTCTGGACTATGATTATCAACACTTCCCCGGCTTAGAGCATGCCTTTGCCGTGCGAGGGAACCGCGCCAACAAGGCTGAAATGAAAGGTCTAGAGAGGGCGAAGAATGCGGCTGTATACTGGTTCAGGCAGTGGCTACACTGATGGTCTAGCGGTATAATCTTTTGTGAATATACTAATAGTTCCTCTATTGCAAAAGAATAGAGCAGAGCCAGCAAGCTCGTCGGAGGAAGGATGATCAGAGGATATGCCAATCGGCATAGTTATGTCAAGTAGCCTATGGCGAGACAGTAATTGAAAATCGTATCCGCACGCCAAATGCCAGACCAAGTGAAACCGGCAGTTCGCCCGAGAATTCCATAGGCTCCAGGTCTCACAATTGGAGTGGTGCATATGTAGCCCAATCCATCAATAGCCACTGTTTATCGATCGTGGGTCGCCCGCAGGAAACGTCCCTCGAGAACGGGGCGGACCGGCAACTGGAATGTGGCAATCGGCCAGGAGGGCAGAGGGGGGCCTGTTGCCTTCGTCAGGGCCATCAGATAATAATGTCCCTCGCCATTTTAGGTATGGGGCCGGGTGTCTACACGGTCCCATTGGGGATTTTTAAGGTATGCGCGATTAGCGAAGTGTAGACTCGGTGGCATTTTTGCAAGGAGGTGATCCCTGCCCGTCGAAGGAGGGCTAGAATGAATGGTCTGTTCCTGTGATGCCCTGGAATTTGAGGAAACACTATATTCCTCTTTGAGGTCTGGGGAAATGGAGGGGGATTCTCTCTCTCACATATTTGCCTTGCCTCGCGACTCGTGTCAATAGTATCTACCCCGATCTGCCAATGCCATGGAGACGTACTTATAAGCCGAATTGTACCTCGGATGTAGATAAAATTTGATCCACATCGCGTTTGCTACTGCCTGGGTATGGAGGTCTAGATATTGAGCCCTTCTCCTGCTTTCCTTTACTGGTAGTCAAAAGCAGACAAAAGCATCCTTTCCTGATCTTTTTTCTTCTTTTACGACTGCGAGGCCTCCCGGTCATGGATCTACATTTCCCTATTGTCCCATCGTTCCGAGTCGACCGCTTCCAGCCGAGCCCTGCCAAACGATTTATTGCCTTGACGCAGCGTCCTGGCTCTCTTGGCCCTGCATATATCGATAATATCTTCCGTGGTCTCAAGCCCGTACATCCTGACCAATTAATGGGAGAATGGGACGGATTCATTCTATCCACAAGTCATCCGTTCGAGAAAGACTTGGACGAGTTGAATTGGTTCGGCAACACATTTGATTCTACCGAAGATGTCGCTCCACTCATAGTGGCGAGAAATGGGGAAAGAGTACGATTTGAAGATTGGGGAAGTGCTTCGGTGAGAGTGCATAGACAAGTAACCTTTCGTTCTCAAGCTGACATACTACCTTCTCTTTGGATAGTTACGTGAGGTGAAATACCAAGGCGTGGTCTCCGCTTCTCTGGTCTACGACGAACGGCCAGTCATTGTATACTATCGAGCTGTGCGTTCAAATATGATTGCCGGCGTCATGGAAAGTAAAAGTTTTGGCAGAGCAGGAATGTTCTATTTCTATCTTACGAAGTAATGCATGTAAATTAAGAGTGGTTGAAACTACGCACATTTGTTATCGAAGTGAATTTCGATTTAGAACTGTCAGGTAAACGACGAATACCATGATAAAAAGAAGTTAACAAAAGCAAGACCATTACGACCCTTCAGTGCCCTTCCAAGTACTAGTTATGTCATTGCCAATCCTCTCAATCTTGTCCCACTGCAGACTACTCCACTGCTGAGGTCTCTCAATCGACTCGACAAATTGCCTCAATGCAAGGACGGTCTGAGACGCCCAGCGCTCCTTGCTGACCCTCCCAACACCTGCGGCAAAAGGCGTCATGAGGATCGATCTGATCTTCTTCGAGTGGCGACGATTATGACCTTCAACTTGACACATCAGACTCCAGGTACATTCGTAAACAAGCTCCCGGTCCCAGTTGATATTCTGAGGCTCTCTCATAGTCGGACAGACCGCGAGCCAGCGACAGCCACGCGAGTTGCTAGCCAAGGTCAGTCCCCACTCAACGAGGGTGCAAGATCCTGGCGGGGCAAACCCCCGCCATTTGTCGTAGAGAACGGTTTGAGCAGAGCGTGTCACGGCGTGGAAGTCGTCAAGTGGACTGAATGTTTTTGAAATGGCCTGGTCGAATGCACCATCAAGGCGACCGTATGAATTGGACGGGGAAACAATCAGGTCGAACTTAAATGACTCTGGGAGAGAATTGAGGCGCTCGTTAATCATGGTGATCTTCACTTTATCGGGGGTGTATTTGGGCCAGCGGGTCCGTAGTGCCTCTTTGAAGGCATCGATGAAATCTACATCCTGGCAAAGGAGCAGGATCTCAGGTATGTTTGAAGTCATTTTGTGAAAGTTTTGAGAGATTTGGGAAAGAGTGAAGATGCGGCCTATTTGGAGGGAAACGGGTGCCTTGGCATACTAGTAACTAATTATCGCTGACAGGTAGACTTGGAATGGAGTCACGCTGCACAGCCTCATATCCACTATAAGCCGGCTCTCATCAAGAATTACCTCTATCGGAAGAAATAGGAAGGCATCCAATGTGAAGCCAAGGATTATTCAATTTGCTTCACCATCCGCTACTAGTATGCACATTGAATCTAGCAATAATGTACAACGAAATATAGCAAAAGGTACTAGTAGCACTCTAGTATCCGGCGGTCTCCTCCAGGTGCACTCACGGTCTCGAAACGGCAAAATGTTACCAGACAGTTGTTCATTATTCAATTCAAGATTGCTCAAGTCCGAGGTCCTGCTCCTTTCTCAAGGTAGGCTCATCGGCCGTATCATCTCCTTGGCCCTGTGACTCGGCCCTAGCCTGTTCCTGGGTCGACACATAACGGACCAAGCTCTCACACAATCGATCCAGCACCCATTCTGGCTCCGTCTGATGGGCTAACATGGGACTACTCTCGCCGATCCAATCCCAGTTGAGTACACCGAATTCGTCTTCGTCCATGGATACACCTCGGTGTTGCTGCTTGCTCCCGGACGAAGAGGGACCAGACCGTGGATCTGTAAATTGGATCAAGCGGGTGTACTCAACCCACTCCTCGTACGAATAACGCTTTCGTTTTCCTACTCGTACATCTTGAGAGGTAAGACGAATAGCAAAGGCCAATTGCTGGGCCAGTTCAAACGGGGAGGGGTTCGGCTCGCGAGCGAGTTCCTCGATTGTTCGATGTGGGCGGTCTTGAGGTCGACGGCCGATGGGCGCTTCTTCGACATCCTTTTCAGTCTGAGCTGTTGACGGCCGATCATCGGTTTGATCAGGGCCCGTATCTGCCCCAACTGGAAATCCTCGCTTGAGTCGCTTTTTCTCTTCGCGTTTTTGGATGAATTTCATGATGAAGGGGAAATGATTAATGCAGGACCGGTATGCGCCAGAACGGGGCATCAGGGTGTAGTCACCAAGCTTTCCCGTGGATTTTTTGTAAGCCGCGACGACGGTATCACTCATTTGCGAGATAAGCATGGTCATAGTTGGAATTGCGATGAGTGACCACATCACAAAAAAGGGTCTGCCCGCATTCGACTTGGGCGTGACGTCGCCGTATCCGATGGTAATGAGAGAACAGAAGCAAAAGTATAAGCCATCGAAGTATGAGATCTCCTCTAGTCTCCAGAAGACAACGGCTCCGCCTGTCCACACGATCGCGAAGACGATGATGCTTATGAACAAATCATTCCACCGACGGAAGCGTATGGTATCGTACTGGATCGCCCGCATCGCATCAAATCTATCCTTTTCTTCTCTCATAACAAGGAGTCGAGGTCTACGACCGGCTGCCAAAGTGTGAATAGTGTTGCGAATTGGTTGGTGGCGGTGCTTCCGATGTAATGAGATATGGGACAGCTGGCGGGTTAGGGTAAGTGCCACAGGTACTCCATTTCCTTGCACAGATAAACCTGCTCTAGCCATGTTGGGATCATCAATAGCAATAGACCGCTCAAAGGTGGCCTGCCGTCGTTGCTCGATGTGCTTGCGCACCACGTTATCGTAGTGGACTTCTCGAGCAAACCGATGAATACTTCCGATCACAAGACCTAGCATGATAATTCCAATCACCGCATACGGCCATATTAAGCCTTTCCCAACAGGCGTTTGAGCAATCACATCGCCAAACCCTAAGGTGAGGACCGTGATATCGCTGAAGTAGAGTCCGTCTGCAAAAGATATGCCTAGCACGCGCTGGAAGATGGCAGCACCGATAAGGAGCCAAGCCACAAATCCAGTCATTTGCAGAATAAGGGTGCGTTGATCGTCTGTGAGGGAGAAATGTTGAGGATAGCGCCCAAGAAAGTAGCCCAGCATATTGACCACCAAGATGACGCTGAGAATGAAATAAAGAATCGCTGCAATGACAGCACTCCAATAGGCTTGTGAATACACATTATTCGGGCCGGTTGGAGGAGCGTAAATCGAAAGAGCTGCAGTGAGCCCGCACAACTATGGCAGGTCCGAGTAAGCATAAAAAACGACTCGAGGGGTGACTGTGATATACTCACCATTCCTGTAGCTAAAAACCATGTAATTATCGTCACAGGCAATGCAATAATGTACCGAACCGTCTGTGTAAAGTTCAAAAGCAAGAAAATATTGCCCACGAGTCCGCAAACCAGCGACGTCGCATTGAAGGCTGTGACCCTATGAGATACAGTCAGCCGTCAGTGTTCGAATGAACATCTTAATTCGAGTCTAATATTACCAATGAGGATCATCATAGCCGACTTGAGGCAAGTTCCCGGCCGGTCCAGGCACTGTGGAGGTGACATGGCTTCGCCAGGGCATGACTAGCGCAACAATCGACATGACATTTGCCAATGGTCCCGCTGCAGCTGCCACCAACGGGATGGCCGTCGATGCAACCCACCATGACTGAGGTTCATCGTCCTCTGGGGGTCTCATATGAAATTGGCTAGTAAATCGGTCCCATAGAGACGGCCGGGTATCCCGATGGTCGGTCTGACGCGTCGGATATCCATTCTGCATTGTTCATTCGCCCCGTCCATGAACCGTTGAGCTCGCCGTCGGTAGAGGTACAAGAACAGACGGAAAGAAAAGGAAAAGGGACAAGGGAAAAGAAAAAGAAAAATCTCCAATCCAGGAACCAAAATTTCGGCAGTTGATCTTGGTGGGGTTCTTTGCTTGAATGCTTAGCTCCGAGCCGGTAGACCGGCAGATCGCAATATTACTCGGGGTGGGCGGCCGCGGTGGTGTTTGGTTTGTCTGATTTGTACTTGGATTTACTATCTCGAAAGATCGCGATGCTAGCAGGATATTGGAAAAGAGGCCAAGCAGCAGGTGTATCCCATGCTCTACGCCGGTGATGTCAACTCGCGCGGACTTTCGCCGCTTTGGATCTGAGCCCAGTCCCGTGACTCTCCTTCTTTTGGTTCCGTCGCCTCAACGGGCAACACGTCAACATCGCAGGTGATGGAGGAGGGATGATATCCAGTCCGAATAGAGGACTTATGTATTCGAGTATAGAGAAGATCCGAGGTTAACAACAGGACTAGGCCGATATTCTAGCGGCTTAAGGTTTGACCGGTTTCCTGGACGACTCCACTGTATGGATCCGATGGAGTTTCTCATGGAGCAAGAGGAGGAGAGATGAGAGAATGATACCATACTATTGAGTACGAGGTACGAGTACAGTATCTAGGGACTCGCCAAACCCTGTACTCGAGTGCTTGCCAGAGTACAGAAGGAAACAAGGCAGCCTGGGTACGAAGATCATCATCGGACCAGTCAGAAGCCGCCCTGTCACATTTATCTGATTGGCAAGGAAGAGAGGAATTTCCAGATGGTTGGAGGAATCAGGTGTGGATGGCCAACAAAAGCATGCATTCAACAACTCACTAGCCAATGTATGTACAAGCACTGTACATTGGCCTGTGCAACCTCTCTCACACCATCCATGTGGCACCTTCGCACTCCCGAGATAACCTCGCATCCCCTCCACATCAACCTATCAAAACCGTCCAAACCTCAGTAACAGACCTTGGAACCCCTCTTCACCCCGCACCAAGATGGCTCCGCCTAACACGACATCCCCTCCCCTCCCAATAGGATCGCCACGACCCGCTGCAGCCCACCACTTTGTACATCCCACCACGCCCAGCTGGGACCCTAGATGCCGACGAACCAGTAACAAGCGCCATCACCCGCTGCAGCTGCACGTCCCTGGAGGCTGCACGGCGGGTGACATCAGCCATTGCCGTCATTGGTACCTGCTTCCCACAACCGGTCGCCCCCAAAGTATATTCTAGAACGTACGTAGAGGTACACCGGCCACGCAGGACTGATGCACCGTGCAGCGGCTTTGCAGCGCTTGCCGCCGGGAGCTCATCACATCACTGCCATTTTGGGGGCTCAAGGCGGGGATGGAGGTGACTACGTGGAAATAATGTGATCCGATTACATGAGAAGGTGAAGGCCAAGGATAGTTGAAAAATAACGTAACGAGTGTTTTTAAAGGTCTATCAGATGTTGGGATCGTGGTTCTATATACAACCAGGTTCCTCCTCGGACCCAACATAGCCAGGCAAACGACCGACAAGGACGTTGAGAACAAACAAACAGAAACAGAAAAAAGCAAAATAAGTAATTAGCAGTCAAGGAATCGCAGGATGGTATCATCAAAGCAGAATGACACGAACATCGACGACAACAAAGAACAGAAATGCAAAAGCCAAACGCAAAGAGAGCGCCGGGAATCAAAACAAGAAACAAATTGACGCCGCCCCAAGAAGGAAACGCAACAGAAATAGAGGCGCCGAAACCATGGATTCTTTTGGGGGCTCCTCCCGTAGGATGAGAGCAAAAACCGAGCAAAGGTAGAACGAGTAAAAGCCAGCCGAAGCCAAACCCAACGCGCTGCAAATGCGATTCAACAGAAATGTCAAATGCTCCCAGTGTAAAGAAATAGAAAACAAAAATAGCCAGAGCAGTGACAAAGGAAAAGTGAACATAGGAGAAGACAAAAGAAATGTCTGTATCAAAAAGGTATAACTGGATATCTCTGTCAGGTCGCTCCTGGGATATCTCCGTGTATTTTCTCTCGGTGTTGTCTTTCGTTGTAAGTTGCAGATTGGTTGGTTGGGTCTATTTGGCCGACGGACGGCGCAAGATTTCCTCACAGTTGGCGTCGAATCGCATGTTCCAAAGTCGAATACTATTCATCAGCTTCTCGGTATTCTCCAGCTCGCGATCGCGGCCGAAGATCGACTCGACAAATTCACAGCCTGAATTGCGGCCCATCGATACGGGCGCACCTTTGCCACCACTTTCCCTTTTAGCGGCTTTCCACATGTATAGCTCACATGCCTTGAGCAGCTTCTTGAATCGGTTCCAGAGGCGGTCGCCACTTTCTAAAAAGTCCTCGACGACCTCCTGCGCCTCGACGCGCTGGATGCGCGGGAGACACTCGTCCGCTCGCTTCACCTTTCCCGCCAACTTGATCAGCAATAGCCACAGGTCGCCTGCCACGTCAGCCATGGGTGTCGATGCGCCATGGTGAAAAACCGTCCAGTCGTAGATCCACTTGCCGAGGGAGTTGGCGTCGAATACACTGCCTAGAAGAATGATAGGAGCCTCCGTTGGGTCCCAGTTCTTGATCGAATAGCCGGGTGGGATGCCTGCGTTCTCGGCATCCTCCTCGGTGGCGACGGGTGGCGGCTTAGAGGCGGGCGCAGGCTTGGGCTTGTTGGGAGTGCGGGTTGAAGTGGACTGGCGACGGTGACGAGTGCGACGGGCCGCTGATTCGTAATCCTCGTTGTTAGGAACCTGGTTGAAGTAAAAGTGAGAATCAGCGGCTGGGTTTGATTTGCGGTGCGAAGCCGATGTGGTGCGACGATGCTTGGCCGGACCCTCACGGGTCTGGTCTGCATGTTTGAAGGTCGAGGCCGGGGGGCGGCCAGAGCGAGCCGGACGGGCTTCGCGAAAGGCGCAGCGTGGGAGATGAACATCGAATGCATCTCCGCCCACATCAACAAAGATGGGTCGTTGCTGCGATTGCGAGTCGAATCCAAATGCGAACCCGGAACCAAAGCCACCCCCCGTCGGATAGTCGGTTGTGTGGGTGCGACGGTGTTTCGGCATTGCCGCAAAGGAAGCACTTACATGATCGTGCTTTCGCGACGGGATGCCGTAGTCGGGCGTGGGTTCGTAGTAACTTTGCGGGTAGCCCGAGTACCAGCCCGGTTCTTTGGTGGCCGTGTAGCTGGCCTTGCGGGTGTGTCGTCGCGATGTTCCTGTTCCTCGGGGTGAAGCATAGGTGTTGGCATATTGCGAGGCATATTGAGCGTAGTAAGGCGAGGTGGGTGGCGACTGGGTGTAGTCGTAGGCAGTCCACCCGGGTGGTGGGCTGGAGTAATGATACATTATCGAGGGAGCATGGGCAGAGACCAAAGACCGGTCACGGTGTGGTGTGATGAAAGTATGCGCGCGCGCGGGATTCGAAGTGGTGTGAGGTTGGTCGGATATCGCAACCGTGGTTCTCTGCAAGGGCTCCAAAATAAACCGAGACAAACAATAAGAAACACGAACAAGAAAAAGCACCCGAGTATATTATACAGGATATCGCAAATGAGCAAAATGGACGCCGAGGGAGAGTTTCCAAGAACAAATAAGGTCGAGTAGGACCGTCACCGTGGTACGGTTTCCGATCGGAGAGAGGAGGGTTGAAGTTGAATGTGCTGAGAGTGCATTTGAACGATATATACGAGCTGATAAAAGGCTCGAGTGGCGCTGGGTTAAGGATCCTGGTGAAACTGGACCCAAAATGACTCTTAACGAAAAGAGTCCCAAGAGATGAGGAGTGAAAGAGAGGGCTCCGTGTTTTTGATCAGCCGAAGCAGGGTGGAGATGGGAAATTTTCAACCCAAGGGAGAGAGAAAGGTGGTACTTTAGGGAGTGGAGCGTGTGGGAGTTGGCGAGGTGTGTGGCGTTTGTGGGTAAGCGGATTACGTGCCCTAGTGTGTACTACGAGTATGCTCTGGTATTTTACGCATGATACGGTATATTAATTTATTAATTAATATCATATTCTACCATCTATCATAGGGTTATCTACCATTTATTGATTCCAGTGGGTGAAAGGTAATAGGTCAAGGGTTGATCTCCTCCTCTGTACCCAGGTGGTACTATACTCACTCATCATGAAAGTACCAATGACTCCATTCAAATCACAGCTACCCACTCATTCGCCAACTCGCAGAATGAGAGGGTGAGGGTCTCCATCCGGGCTAGTTTGAGGGGTAGCAGGCTCTTCCACTACAGTATGCAACCACTAACCACTGCTGACGCCCTCTCCCCTCCTTCCCCTCCTCGGGCACCGGACAACTGCAGCGAGAGCTTCCTGTTGGGCAAAACCGGATGATCCTGTGCAAACAGCCAGCAACGCAAAACGAGTCATGGAAGAGTCATTGCAATTTGCCATCGTATAAGTTCCAACATGGTGGGATGACATATCTCGCCACTGGCTGGATGGGATAGCCACTCGGAGGAATTCTATTTTAAAGCGTCCAGCTACCGGCATTCTTGCGGCGTGTCAGGCCTCCGTTGGACTGTCGCCATGTGTAAGGCTTCCAGAATCGGTGCAATGCCATGCTTTTCTAGGTCGTAGTAGATGTACAGTTCATCTGCATGAACCCTGAGTGCCTTAGTTGCAGCATGTCGTCGCCAGATCAGGTTTAACTCTTGCGATATGGACTTGACCCAGTCGCAGAGCAATCAAATAGGACTCCATACATACATATACATCGATAGGTAGATACGATCATAGGGCAAATCTTCCATACTAGACAGATACTACGATAGTAGTATATCTGTACATACTACACACCACATACCACCTACCACATACTGTAGGTCGTTCTTCAACATCCGGTTCCATGGTTGGCCAGCGGCTGTTCGATCATAAACCGGAGTTCAGGACGGCCGATCCCGTCTTATCCAGCGGTTCCAACTCCACAGACCCATCTTCAAACTACCCAAGAAACCCACCTGCCCACCCATGTTGCCATGGCAAGGCCTTGATACAAAGCCCCCATCAGTATAATACAACCATTCAACTCTCCTTATTTACACACACATACACACATATACGGACTCGATCCGGCTCGTTGGGCACTCCACGGACCACGCATGGGCTTTACCGCCGCCGTCGCTGGGCAGCAACCGCACAGCTTTGGGCGAAAATGGGGTTGGTTGAGAAAGGGCTCGCAGACCGCAACTTGCATGTCCACCCTTCAAACGCACCAGTGGGAGGTAAGGAATCATCAATTTCTATCTGTGTGCCCTCAATTCAGCCCGTTAGCGAGGCATCCCAGGGTATATCGCAGGAATGGCGCGGCTGTGTCGCCCGTTTCTAATTCTATCAAGGCGCAGGCGGCATAGAACCCCACGCAGGCAGCAGGGAGAAAAATGTCTTATCTTCGCACGAGACCATCTCGGCGATACCAATCATTGACCGTAACTACGGTTTCTGAAATGAATCGATATTGCCCATGTGGGGGGGGGGGATGGTAGTGCGACCGCTGCGAAAGCCCTAAACTCAAGATGCGTTTTTGATCGAGGATTGGCTGCCAAGCGTTGGATTCACGACCAATGTAATCTAGTGAGGACGAGACTGGATACAAAAGTACCATACCTACAGACTTAGGTAAAGCAACTCACATGAGTAAACCTCCAGTCATCGATGAACCATAACTTTCAGCCTCTTCACATTCATAGTTATTGGGCGTCAAGTAACCAACGACCCAGGTCCGCTGACCTGACCCTCAAATACGGCGCTCTGTTAAGCTCACGCACCAACCGCAGGGATAAAGTCCACCCAACCCCGTCCTTACAGGGAATTCCAGGACTCATCCTTGATTCCAGGGATTGAATCACAGCCGCGATGAGTCAACGTGCCCTTGAGATTGAGAAAATATTACCCCCTTAGTTCCAGAGTTCCAGAGTTCCAGCAAGCCGGCGTTTCGTAGGCAGCCAAGCGGAGCGCAATCCTGCGCCACTGGAAGGCACCGCCGATCCTCCAGTGTTGCACATGGCGTTGGGGCGATTTGCCCTGCAATAAAAAAGAGATTTCATCAAAAATTATCTAATACTGAAAGATTAATAATACATAGAAATGCGAAGCAACCAGAAGCTGCTCGCATCCGAGTCGACCCCTACTTCCAGCTCTACCGGTACAGTACATACTGTACATACATACACATGCAAAACTTGAATGATCGACCAGTGACAGTCGAGAATACTCTTGCCACCATCTTCACTTCAGCTAAGGCGATTCCCCGAGCTGGGGTACAGCGAGAGGGGCGAAACTGACGTCGAGGTTCGCCTTCGCTTCTGGAACAGGGTTTAGGGCCAGGACCCAGAAGACCCAGAAGACCCAGCCGGGCCCAGTCAAACTTCCAGATCCTACGATACGGCCAGTCGTAGCCCGCACCGCGGCCCGGCACAGGGGCAGTGGGGCCAACGGGTCTTGGTGTCCGGGATGCAGTGCAGCTCTGTAGGAACCAGATGCGGTGCACAGACGTAAGATTCTTACATATTACATGCGCATCTCGCAGGAGGCCGTAGTTGGTGTGACCGGCTTCCTAGTAGTAGTAAGCTTACTGTAGTGTGCAGCTGATATATCTGTCTGCATGTACACAGCAGTGCAGTACAAAGTACCTACCCTGATCTACTGGCAGTTTTTCGATGTTGGATGTTGGATGTTGGGTGTTGGATTGCTGTGGCGGGTACACCGCTACGCTAGTCTTATCTCAAAGAAGAAAAGGAAGTCTGATCCAAAAGAACCAAAAAGAAAAATCGCTCAGGGGCAAGCGCGTGCGCATAATCGTTGACGGATGGGGCCCACGGAGAAAGCAGAACGGAGAACGGAGTACATGGAACTTGAAATTAAATCGATTCACCAAATGGCCCGCCTCCATTTCAAATGTCTTGAAGACCCCGCCCAATGAGCTGCGGCTCTGCGGCGGATCTGATGAATCACGAATCATGCGTCTCCTCCCCCTTACTTTGGATCGAGTGCATCAGAAACAACATGCGCGAGCGATTCTACACTGCACGCCTGATTGGTTCGACCCTGTCTTATTTTTGTTATGTATGGAGTACATACGGATATACCGTACCTCGGCAGATATTTTGTTTTGTTTTTTCAGGCTGGCCGAGCACAGATTCCTCGGGATCTGGACTGGTCGGAATTTTCAGCAGGTTTTACAGTATGTATTTTTTATTTTTACATTTTGAAAAGTTTCGTAAAAGTATGTTGTATGTTGTGCGTAATGTAAGTGCACTGATCACGCAGAGGTCAAGGAATGCCCTTGCCCTGAGCCCTAGTTCCTTTGCTTACGCTTGAAGGAATGTATGATTTCACGGGGGCCAATGGACCGAGGTCAGGAATAGGGGGACCGTGGAAGGAAGGAAAGATACTTTCCGCGTCGGGCCCCGAGGTCAGGGGTATATGGGTTTTTGGTCCTTCTAGATTGATTGTCGGAGATTAAGTGGCGTGGCTTGGTTTCTCTAGTCGGCTCTTAGTCTTCCCGACGACGGGCCATTATTGATCGCAGATCTTGGGGGTTTAACTTCATAAATCCTTCGGGGCTAGAAGAGTCGAATTATTGATTAATCTGGTAGAAAATAAGGCACTGCCTGTGTCTATTGCCTGGGGTATAGTATAGTCTCATATAGAGAACTATGGTCTGGACAAGCGTCTCCAGGAAGTATAAGCGGTTGGACCGAGGTATGTACAGGAACCCGTTCTCGACATAGATGGAATCAAAACGATAGCGGTATCAAATCGTCAACTGTGCAAGGCTCCCGGTCGCTCAGAAACAAGAAAACACCACCCAGTCTCAACAAGGAGACAAAAGAGATCCCAAGAAGTTGTGCCGCTAGCAAGTGCCAGCGGCTGTATACCATATGTTCCAATGAAGATAGAGAGAGAGAGAGAGAGAAAGAAAGGAAAAGCCGTAAAAATTATGCCACCATGTACTCTCCGCCGCCTCGTTTGGCCTGCATAACGCGAGACCAGCGGAAAGCTTGAGAGCTAGGAGGTCCACCAGCATTTAGCGTCGGGGGGGGGCCCAGCCCAGAGGGATAGACTGGGAAGGATGACTCCTCAGAGTGATCCGCCCAGATCCGTTCCAGCAGTTCCAGGCAAGAAATATTATTCACAAATCCCGAGTCTTTAGATATGTCTTTGCAGCGGCGGCGGATTGCATCGCGATGATCTTCTTGGATACACTCTGACCCAACGATGAATAGAGGCCAGAGAAGGTATACATCGGACTGGACGGCACAGAGACAGTGCATTGCAAGATAGACGAGATGCTGGATGCGCGGATGACTGGATGGAAGACTGGGCTCCGCTAGGCGTTCACAGTAGAGAAGCGCCGCATGGCGGAAACACTCAGATATTTGGTATACATCCTGAAGGTTTTCATTGGCCACATAGAATGACCCCGAGGAGGAGCTGGCGTAAAGGTAGGGGTGAAATTGGGAGAAAAATTAGGAGGGAAGTTATCGGAGGCGGATGGGGGTGGTGATGGGAATGAGGTCTCTGCTGGCGGGTCGAATCGCCAGGATTCGAGTCGCTGTCGCAATGAGAACCATTCGGTCCAGAAGGCTGGCGATGAAGGCTTTCGGGCCTGATCGCTACTTTGTGGCGGGGTTGGCATGGAGAATCCGAAGTCGGGCCCCCCCCACCATTGATCCTGGGATAGTGTTGGCGGCGGTGGCAGTAGGAACAACCGTATCCCAGCCAGGGAAGAGCATATTAGGTGGGAGAGATGTAGTGGGGACATTCATGTCGGCCGGTTGAGCGAGATTAGGCTCTTGATCCTGGCTAAGGAGATTCAGTCGGCCAAGCTGGGAGATGAGCTTGAACAGTCGGCCGTCACAGCCTGCCAGATTTTCTAAACCCCACTCCCCATCGGTCGTAGAGCTGATCTCCAAGCATTTACCGCGAAGCTGGACATCTCGGTCGTTGGTGGTGGCGGTGAGGGTATCAAACCATGAGAACATGCGAATAAACCATTTGAGGTCGTCCGTCACGACACGAGAATGTCGCATGCGAATCGCAAGTAACCTTGTCACACCGGCGAACTGAGTCCGGAATTCAGCAACACCGGTATCACAGCCGTGAAACAGACAGAGAATAAGCAATGTTGCTAGCACCGAGTCTGATAGCCTGCGGCGTGGATCGGCAAGGTCGGCATTCAATGCCTTCACTGCCATTCCACGATGGTAGTTCTCCTCTCGCGCATAACCCTCTGACATTGAGATACCATATGTATCTTGAAACAGTTCATCTGTGAGAGCGCGGTGGGCCAGTCCTGACATACGCGCTGGCAGAGTTCTCTCTGTGGAGTGATGGTTTTTCTCCCGGCGCTGGCGGAGGTTACTGGTTGCCAAGGTCGCAATAGCCTCTTGGAGAGCCTCACTTCCCAGAGCCAGGCGAAGAATATGGGTTTTGAATGGATTCGTGGGTGTGTCAAAGGCAACAATCATGGGAGCGATGACCTCGGTATAGTAGCTGATTAGATACCGAAGGCGAGGGGTACGACCTATAGACCGCGCCAAAAGTAATTGAGAGTATGAGGGCGAATGACCGGCATTCCACACAAATTGGTCGCGCTCGTATCTTTCCAGCTCCTCATCTGCATCTTGTGAGGGTGGCGTGGCATTGTTGACGGCCCAGTTCCTCGCAACGGGCCAAGCAGGTGTGGTAAAAGAGGCCCCGGGGCTTAGTGTAGGGGCATAGTGCATGGAAGCTTCCGATATACTTGGACTCAGTCGATGAGAATTAGAAACCATTGGTCGACTAGGTAGCGGTAGTCCTGATATTTGCGGCGGCGCAGTTGTCATGTTGGTCCATGAGTGCGGATCTGGCATATCCATCGTCCAGGCCATGGTCCGCGACATATCAGGCATATTCTGCATATTCGACATATTTGACGAGTTTGGCATCTCTGATGCGCGCTGGGTATCTGATTCAACTGCTTTCAAGCCTCCAACATCGATGAGCGGGGTTGGTGTCTCGGATAGAGGTAGCTGCGTCGGGGCCGGTGCGGAGGATGGGTTGGCCGGTAATGATTGCGACGGCGGCTGGCTCTGACTATTGGAAGGTAGCGGTTCTTGTTCCTTTGCGGTGCTCGCTCTAGCATCCTCCTTTGATTCCATCACGGGTAGTTTCTGACCCCGAAGCTTCCCTCGACTTGCGACTCCGACTCCCCATGTCAACGTAGTTTTGTATCCGGAGCATTCGCGGCCAAGCTCGAGGCACTGGGAACAATAGGGTCGGCGTCGGTCGCATCGGGCGCCTCGTTTTGAGCAGGTGAAGCAGTCATCTGGGGCACCGCTTACCACCGTTCTCTTTCGTCGCTTCCGGATCGGAGCATTCGGATCGGTCTTGCGGGATTTTGCTTTCGTGGGCTCTCGGGCCGCCTGGCCTGTGTTCTCGGACATTATGATCTATAGGCGCAAAATAGATTGAGAACTCCCATTCGGAGGTAGGGGAGAGGAGTGGGAAGGGTAGGTGAGAGATTCGTCGTTCATTCTCCCCAGGAACAGTCGGCGTTATGTTTACTGGAGGATCTGAGCACCCCCGAGGGTAGTCGGTGTGGGTCCTGAAAAGGATGAGGACGAGACCATGTAAGATGAAGGCGAATTTCAATGGAACATAGTTTCTAGTCGCGTGCTGGGGGAAGAGGGGGAAGAGGGGGAAGCGGAGGGTTTCCAAAATTGTTGGGGAGAGAGAGCAGATTTAAAGTGGGAGGCGACGGAGGTTGGTGGATATGAGATCTGCCCGGTGGAGGATGATCCGCGCTCTAGTCGAAAAGAGATACTCGTGCACCGTAGAAGGGAGAGTGTAGGAAATTGGTCTCGCTTGCGTACGAACCCTTTTAAAGAAGTAATGTACCCACCAGGATCGCCGGTAATCAGCATGCCACCTCATGGAGGATCTACTGTAACTTTGGGCGCAATTTTAAGAAGGCCCCGGGGATTTCGGACACTTTACCGGTTTGAAGTTGGCACTAGAAGCCCATCAGAAGCCATCAGAAGCCACTAGACGGCCGTTTCACTCTTTTGCCCCAGTTCAACTAGTACTCGAATGAAGTACGGAGTAGTTACTGTTAGAACAGTTTCATGATCTACCGTTGGACTTCCCTTTTCCCTTCCCAATGGTCCCAAACCTTGTTCCCTGATGATCGTGGGGGGGGTTGAGTGAATTTTGGGACTCCCCAGTGGGACTGGCAGTGGTGACTATCGACTATCGACTACACTTTCTCCCCTTTCCCGCGTTTAACACGACATACATCCACCATCCACCTCGCCCCCTCCTTCCTGACACCTCGACACCTTGACACCTGGTTACCCGGACACACTCTCTTTCTCTCCCTCAATCGCTGATCGCCTAAACTCTTACGACTGCATCGATCGGCGCGCGCCCGTGCGCCATCGGCTCGCTCGAACCCTTCCCCTGTACCTGTACCGACCCTCCTCCAACACAAAGCGCAAAAGCCACCAACCACCTCCTCCTCGGGCCCAGGATTCACATCGCTCAGATTCACACACAATGGGCGTTTTCAGACCGGGCCGAGCGAGGTCCCTGGTCCTCGCTATGCTCGCTCTGGTCTTGGTGTGCACGGTCTATCTCTATTGGAGTCCAACCAGCGCGTCCTCAACCGTCTCCGTTGTCCCGAGCACAGCCTTCGAGGTACCCTTGGCAGAACGTCAAAAAGATTTCTGGAAAGCCCTTCAACCCATTATCGAGCGACACAACCCGAATTGTCCATCACCGGAGAAACTGGATGATGCCGGCGGCCTCCACTTTGACCCTACGAAAGACCAGCCTCGGCCTGATCTGACCCGGATGAGCGAGGAAAATGTGAAATCAATGGAGCTCGCCCATGCCGCTTTCCTCGAGGATATAAAGCGTGCCGACAAAGACCTCAAACCTGTCCATACCCCCGGGAAGCGGGGCTTGGTGTCAACAGCTGGTGCGACCTACCTTCCAGTCTTCGTCTCCTCACTCCGCATGCTCCGCCGAGCGGGGTCAACATTACCGGTGGAAGTATTTATGAAAGATGCTGGGGAATACGAGAAGCGTGTGTGCAGTGAAGTGCTTCCCATGCTCAATGCGCAATGTTTAGTATTGGGTGACGTCGTGGGCAAGAGCGTCATCGAGCATTATCAGCTCAAAATATTTGCCGTGCTTTTCTCCTCCTTCGAGGAAATCGTTTGGATGGATGCGGACTGCTTCCCACTGGGCAAACCGGAGGATCTACTCGACTCGGATCCCTTCAAATCTAATGGGCTAGTGACCTGGCCAGACTTCTGGGCATCCTCCGCGTCTCCTCTGTACTACAAAATCTCGCGTCAAGAAGCGACACCCATGACGGCGCGCCAATCTTCAGAAACTGGGATCTTCTTGGTCTCGAAAAAGACGCACATGCTTTCGCTTCTGCTCGCTGCTTATTATAATTATTATGGCCCATCGCACTACTTCCGACTCTTAAGCCAGGGTGGTCCGGGAGAAGGTGACAAGGAGACGTTTCTACAGGCTGCAGTCGCAGCCGGTGCCTCATTTTATGCTGTCAGTGAGAGAGTGCAGGCGATTGGGCATTCGATCAAAGACGGTCTGTCTGGTTCTGCAATGGCCCAGTCAGACCCACGCGAAGACTTTGCGCTCACTACGAAAGACACATGGCGAACCAAAGACCCAGCGGCTGCCCCGCCTCCGCCTATCTTCTTCGTTCATGCCAATTATCCGAAATTCAATCCGGGAGACAACGTCTTCGGTTCGAATTGGGAAACATCGCCTACCCTAAAGCAAGACGGGTCTGATGGGCGGGCATGGACAGCCCCTCCAGAAACACTCAAGCGGTTCGGTCACGATGTGGAGAGAGCCTACTGGGAAGAAATTAAGTGGGTGACCTGCCATCTTGAAGGCTCTTTCAAGTCGTGGGAGCACAAGGCTGGTCTTTGCGCGAGGGTTGAGGAATACTGGCATAACGTCTTTGTCGAAACGCACAATGATGACCCGAAGTTCACCCAAGACGGTTAATTGGATCGAGGCTTTCTATAGTGTCCGTGGATATTAGCTGTTTCGGACATGTTCTTCCACCGCTCCGCCAGTCATCACTCTGCCGGTTTCTAATTCCCTTCGTTGCATGGTGCATACTTCGCACTACATCTGTACTAACTTGATTGAGCGTTATCTCACTGTACAATAGCCACATCGCCCTGGTCTTTTTATTTGGGCCCTACTGCACATAAAAGCATTAATACAAGGAATGATTTATGATAGAACTACGCTTGAACAACTATTTTTGATCACAACTTTTGGTACTGAAACGCTTCATTTAAAATTTTTTCTCGCCGTCAAGGCAAGATTTAAGTGGTGTTTCGTCATATCGTACATAAGTTATATCCCCCAAAATCGCGCTCCATCACATCGCATCAATGCCAGGGGTATTCTGATAATTCATAACAGCATGATGGAATAATTTATTTCTTGATGCCCTTCTCGCGCAGGCGCTGCTCATCCTCGGCCTGGAGCTCGGCATCGATCTTGGCGCCCTTGGATGGGTTGTTGCCGTGTAGCTTGGCCTGGACAAAGCGTTAGAATGGAACTTGCTTCTCATGTGAAGATGCATCTTTTATCTCTTACCGGCTTGGTAGGATCTTGCTTGCTGAGCTCGGCCTCCTCGTTTTGGACGCTGTTGTGGTGGTGAGAAGGGTCCTTCTTGCCCTCCTGCGAGGCAAGCTTGTTGGCAATAGAACGCTGGTCCTTGGAGTCCAGGTTCTTATGGCTGCCCTTCTGGCCCTCGTTGTGGCGCTCAGGCTGGTTGGCGGACATGGGCGCGTTGCGCTGGTCGCCAGCTTCATAGAAAGCGGCGCCGCCGACGTTGGATTGACCAGCTCCGTGCATACCAGACATATTGATATTGTTGATGAGGAAAGTGGTAAATTGAAAATTGAAAATTTCAAGCGAGAAGAGAAGAGAAGGGTAAAATCGGATGTTCTTAGGCAGAAGAAGAAAAGCTTTTTGAGTTGATACTTCATCGAAAGGGATCAGAACCAGGCTGGTCTTATATCTTGACCGGGCATCTGGTGTGATGTCATGCTGGAATCGCTGAGATCATAGTTGTGGGGCGAGGTCACAAATTGTTGGAAGAACCAGCATAGTTGTGGGCAATGGGTCGTGTGAGTATCTGCTGGACCCTTCTTCGATGTTCAGAGCCCTTACATCAGAGGAGAGAAGACCAAGGAAGAGTCTGGTGGGTTGCACTGACGATGTGCAACAAAATGTAGACTTTGATGCTTCATCGGACTAGCTCCCGCCCCACTGGGCCTCCCGCCGACCTTATATGATACATCTTACCTTACCAATTGCTCAATGGCAGGGATTTTGTGCTTATACATCCCATCAACAGCTCTGCCATATTCTTTATGATACAAAGCATTCTGCATCTTCTCAAAATTTATGCTCTTAGGATCTACAATGTATCATATCGTTCTGGCTGTGTTTGCGGCTCAAGCGGGCCTTGAGAGTCGCAGCCCACCGCTTCCGAATTGAGGCGCGACACCTTCAAGCTGGTCATAACCTCTTCGAAAATCTTGTATGCGCCTCGTTAAAGCCCTTCCCAGTGTCGTACCCACGGCATTGTGGTCCAGGTCTAGTCCCCCAGTCAGACCTCAATGCTGCACAGAATTACAGTGGTCGCCGCGACCCACTCCGGCCATCGGAGTCGATTCTGCACACTGCAGCTGTAAGCTCGCCATCTCCCCCCAATACCGTCCGGTTCAAGTTCTTCTCTTGACAACGGTTTCCCTGAATAAAGTATCCATATCTAATCTCACACAACAGCCCATCTCTTGTTCACCAGATATTCTCGCCATTCCACCGGCAATTCACTACCTACCGCACAATGAGCTCATCCGCCCCCGCATCAACAGAAGTGCAACCCCGCTTCCAGCAGCTCTTTGCCGAGCTAGAGAAGCGATTCCAATCAACCACCCTGGGCGACGATAAATGGTACATTCTCGCTACCTCTACACTGGCAGCCAGTCCGGACCCGGAACGTGCAGACCAGTTGTATCAATACATCTGTTCTCAGCCGGGCTACTCAACCTCCCCCGCACGACAAGCCTTAGTCCGCCGTCTGCGGGAGGCCCTCATTAAGTCCGTTCCAATCGTGGGTGTCTGTAAACCCATTGAAGCAATTCTATCCATCAGCAAAGTCGAGCGGGAAGAGGACAAGGATTACACCTTTACCCGCGAGGGATGGCAATGTGACCAGGCAAACCACGACCGCGGCGCGGAATGGATGCAGAAGTTATATTCGCGCAACACGACAGGCACGTTGAACCTGTTTAGCGCGCATAAGGATTTCTCCTGGTTGTCGGAGGAAATCACCTACGGTCTCTTCCTTTCTGATCGTCAGGTTCTGGATGATGTTGATACTCAGCTGGTTGTGCTGCCGGGCATTATGAGCCAGAATCTGCCGAATGAGACTCATTGGCATATTCGTGGCACGAGGCGCTTAGGACTGCCTAAGGAAGAGGTTCAGGTTATCTGGGACTGTGTGCAGCTGGTTGCGCAGTTCTTTGAGATCAAGTTGAGCAAGGTGCCCACTGTCGAACAGGTGGAATATGATGTTTAGATAGTTCAGGGATTATATAGACAAATTTTGACGAGACTAAAACTTCCTTGGAAGCGATTCGGAACTTGAAAATTGCGACTTCAGCTCCAGGTGAAGTTGCCAGTGGAATATTAGTACCTAGGTGTTACTATAAACCTACTACTACATACTAGTAGTAGTATAATATATATTTCCGAGTTCCAACCACGGAAGTTCATGCCATCCGAATTTCTGGCCAATCCATTATGCCTAGATAGAAGGAGATGGATTCTGCTTGAAACTGGGAGTTGACACTCAGGTTTGAAATACAAGTATTGCCGAAAAATCGTAGTAATTTCCATAGATACAGTGGTAATTCCTAAAATACCAGGATGGCTCGCCGCCTCAATGGCCGCCCCGGGGCCGGTTGACCTCACTGATAACACGATAAGAAAAAAACTTTCGAAAGCGGCCGAGAGCAACAGGGCCGGGCAGTTGGGAGTGGAGTGACTTCACTCCAACTTCTCTCCGCTTCGACATCTATTTATTCACTTGAAATACCAGAACACAATGGTTAAGCGCAAGCAAGATCTCGGCGATGTGCCCATGGGCGGCACCAATGCTCACGACTCTGACTCTGACTCTGTGCGAACCCCCCCCCACCTTGGACAGCTCCGCTGCGAACAGCGTCTAACTTCCTATAGGACATTGACATGGTCAATGTTGATTTCGAGTGGTTTGACCCGCAACCTGCCGTCGACTTTCACGGTCTTAAGAACCTTCTCCGCCAACTATTCGATAATGACGCCCAGATCTTCGACCTGTCCGCACTGGCCGACCTGATTCTGTCGCAGCCAACGCTGGGCTCGACTGTCAAGACGGATGGCAATGAGTCGGACCCATATGCGTTTTTGTCAATTATCAATTTACAGGAGCACAAGGTAAACTTTCGATATGCATTGCTCCGGTGCCAAGCATGGGCTAACAAGCGACACAGGACAAGCCCGTTGTCCAGGACCTGACCAAATACATCAAAACCAAGGCCGCCGCCAACCCCTCCCTCGCCGCCCTCAATGAGCTCCTCTCCCAGAAAACCGTCCCATCTATCGGCCTGGTTCTCACCGAGCGTGTGATCAACATGCCAGGACAAATTGTTCCGCCCATGTACAATATGCTTCTGGAAGAAATGGCCTGGGCGATCCAGGACAAAGAGCCTTACTCCTTCACTCACTACTTGATCATCTCGAGGGGATACGAGGAGGTTGAGTCGAAGCTTGATATCCAGGAATCACGCCCGCAGAAGAAATCAAAGAAGGGATCCAAAGAGAACCCGCATTATTTCTTCCACCCGGAGGACAAGGTGCTGCAGCGCCACGCACTATGCTCGGGCACGCTCGAGTTTACGCATCAGCAGGATGACGGCCACTCCGACTCCAAGCGCGCATTCCAGGAACTTGGTATCCGGACCAACGGTAGCTTGATTCTCATCGACGGTGCTCAGTTCGAGCCGGCCGTTAAGGCAGTGGAAGAGTATCTGTCTTAAGAGTCTGGGTTGGTTAAAAAATGCACTAAATGAGAGATCATTCATTTCAATTCATGTCCGATTTACGAACTATTCTATGCGCTGGATTCTTCTTTTTTGGATTCTTCAGTCCCTTTCCCCTGTGTATGCTAGCAGCATGAACATTATAGAAATCACCAAAAGAACCAAAAGTTCATAATTTCATGTCGATAAGCCTCCTTTCTACTTCTACTCCCATTGGGTACCCTTGAGACGTTGCATCAGGTATTCGACCTCAACCACCTTTGTGAGAGGAATCACGCATTCCTATCGAGAATAAGTCAGCAATGGCTACTCCGAAGAAGAGCCCGGGGGGGAGGGGAGAGGGATTTTTCTTCTCTCGCTTTCCTCACCTTATACATGGCCACCACCGCCTCAGCGTTGATCTTCTGGCCCTTCTCATCCGGGAAAGCAGGATCAGTACCATAGGTCTTGGCCTTGAGCCCCAAGCGCTCCAGCACCTTCTGCTCAACCTTGGAATCGGTAATGGCAGCATCAATACCAGCCCGATCCTCAGCCTTGATCAAACGGACAAAAGTCTCCGGATCCTTCTGAAACTTGGACTCGGCGACGAATTTGCCAAAGTGGATGCGGCGCGAGAGCGCCTGCAGACAGGCGACATCGCACGTGGCTGCAGAGCCGTAGTTCTCCTGTGTCTCGCCGCGGTCCTCGCGTCCAAACTGAGTACACACGGCCGGCAGGACCTCGCGCACGTAGCGCTCTTTGATGACATCGTTGACGTTCACGTCATTGTCGTGGAGGATGCGGGGGTATTGGAGCGGCTGCAGGATTGGTTCCTCCAGCACATCGGGAAAGAAGGGGTATTCATCGGGTGATTGGAAACGGCGAAAGCGTGACTGTATGCGTTCCTGCTCGCTGAGCATGTAGTCCATCAGGCTCAGGTTGCTGTTTGGGATCTTCACACCGCCGGAGACATAGACGGTTTTGTTGAGAGGGAACTGGACCCGTTCGATAAAGTGGAAGGTGATGGTGTCCTCGAGCCGACTGGAGGCCTGGAATGTTAATAGCGGTTCTCATGGTGTTGCGGTTTGCTGAATGGTTTATGTGCTTGTAGCTCATGGCGGGGGCGCGGAGGGGAATTGGGCTGGGATGGGGGGGGGGTTTTGGTATGGAGAATTGAAGGGGTTGGAAAGACTCACATCAGCTGGAAGCGGATATTTGCGAGGTCCAATGCCTTGGAGGCATCGGATAAGTCAATGGCGGTATCCATGGCTTGAGGAGTGGTGAGTTGAGGAGAAGAAGAGCTGCCGAAGTCGGAGTCGATTAGTTTTCTCAAATAGAATGGCGGGCCTCCAATATTTATTGGAGGGGGAGGTTGGCTACGGGGGAGAGATGGGTTGTGCGACCTACGCAGAGGAATGCTTTTCGCTTTTGGATCCCGGTCTGGGGTAGTGGCAGCTTATTTCATGCAAACATAATATAATCTAGTTTTATATGTGATGTAGCGTTTGCTGGTAAGTACGCCTCCTGCGGGTCGTCGGTACATGATGAGTACCGAGGCCAGTGCATGAGGGAGAGAAACAGCTACTCGTACCGGTCAGGTATAGGGAACCCTAGTCACAAACACCTTGCAGCCCAGTCGCTAGTCTCCGGTAGGGGTAGGCGAACGCATTGATTGACTCGTCAATTTAGCGGACAGGGTGCTGCGTGAAGCTGAAACCGAAAGTGAAACCAAAGGAAAGGTGTGAAAAGGAAGTGTCCGGGCGCCCGTAGCCGGGGAACGCGGTAAAGCCTGCGCGTGACGATTATCTCTCCTGCAACCTCCGAATCTCCCACCTTTCCAACCGCGCATGGGCCTTGGTTGAACCCAAGAATATCTCCGGCTATGGAGAATAACCACCGCCGTGATGACTCGCCCACTGGGTTGTCCGATATCGAAGAGGGCGAAGGCCTCTTGGGCACCGGCCTCACGGTATGCTGTCTCTCTCTTTTGCTTTTTCTGGTTTCCTCTTTTGGCGGTCTCTGCGAGTAGACCCCTCCATTCGATCCTGCAAGCTGACCTTGATGCGCTATTTGGAATAGACCCGCCATATTGAAGCATTTGGGCGAAAAGTCACGTCGACCGCTGGCCATTTGATGGGTCCCGCGGAGCAAGCTCACGGCACCCATTTTCATAATGCTATGACAGACATCCACCGCGAGCTGCGCCGGCCAGCAGCGCAACGTAAAGTCTTCACGCTGACCCAGACGACCCCGACCGACCTCGTGCGATCCAAGCTCTCGACCTCGGAAATCCAATCGCGAGCCGTTTCCTCGCTCCCGGACGACCTTCTCGATAACCTCCCCGAAGATCAAAGTTCCTACTCCCTATTCCAGGGCTTCCAGGCCTCCCTCCCCGAAGATGAACGTACGAATAAGAAACATCGAAGACGCACCTCCAAGGGGGGCAAGTTGTTGAAGGACAGCGAGAAAGGCGGGCTTTTGACAGCTGGTCCGGCCGGGTTGAAGGAAGAGCGAAAAGTGCTTAATCGTCGTCTGGAGCTGATGGGCGTGCGCAAGAACATGTGCAGCGCTGAGATTCACGAGATCGATAACAAGATTGCCAACTTGCACAAAATGCGTCAGATCGTTCTTGATCGATTAGCCGGCCTAGAGATGGACGAGGCGTCATTAGAACACGAAGGTGGGTTTCTTCTCTCTGACGCTTTGTCGACGGGAATTTGCTCTGAACTAATGAATGCAGTTACGGAAATCGATAACAAACTAGAGGACATGCAAGAAGGAGAAGGAGAAGAAGAAGAAACTGCCGAAGACTCTACCGCAGCTGAGACGCCAAAGTCATCGGAGGCCCAGGATGATACCATCGGATCTTCTGGTGACCCGGCCATGGATGCTTCATTTATGTCCGAATCGATCTACGAGAAACTCCCCACTCCATCACCGAGGAGCTTGCGACATCGCTCGATACGTATGGACTCCAATACCTAATTGCGGACCTTTTTGTGACTAACACGGGCTCTTAGGTAAACGATCGATGCCGATTCTTCACGAGCATTTCTCTCCGGGCTCTTTAATTAAAGAAATAGAAGCTCACACAGATATGGTCACAGCAATTGACTTTGACTATCCTTTCGGAACAATGGTCAGTGCAGCGTTAGACGATACAGTGCGAGTTTGGGATATGAACGTCGGCCGATGCTCAGGTTTGTTGGAAGGCCACAACGCCTCGGTTCGGTGCTTGCAAGTGGAAGATAATATTGTTGCCACGGGATCTATGGATGCATCAGTCCGATTGTGGGACTTGAGCCGCGCTCGGCCCGCGACGCGAGATGGTCGTCTTAACAAGCATGAGCGTGATGCTGAAGATACCGAAACACATACTACACCGGTACCACCTTCATCAAACCTCGAAGACTGCCATGTCTTTACGCTCGATGCACACGTCGATGAGGTGACCGCTCTTCACTTCAAAGGCAACACTCTCATTTCTGGCTCCGCGGACAAGACTTTGCGGCAATGGGATCTGGTCAAGGGACGTTGTGTTCAGACTTTGGATGTCATGTGGGCAGCTGCCCAGGCATCTTCGTCCTCCATGACTAATGACGGCAGCTGGCGCCCGACCGGTCGCATGCCCGATGCATCTGCAGACTTTGTTGGAGCAGTGCAATGCTTTGATGCAGCTCTGGCCTGCGGTACTGCCGACGGCATGGTTCGCCTGTGGGACCTTCGTAGCGGCCAAGTTCACAGGAGCCTTGTGGGCCATACTGGTCCGGTCACATGTCTGCAATTTGACGATATGCATCTGGTGACAGGAAGTTTGGATCGCAGTATTCGGGTAAGTCCTTTTTTGTCTCATTCGAAAACATTGAATGATGCTAACCTTGGATAGATTTGGGATCTGCGAATGGGCTCGATCTACGACGCCTATGCCTATGATAAACCCATCACCAGCATGATGTTTGACTCGAAGCGCATTGTTGCTGCTGCCGGTGAAAATGTTGTCAAGGTTTACGACAAGGCTGACGCTCACCATTGGGATTGTGGACCTGGTGTCGGTCTTGACGACGAAGGACCTCTTCCCGCAACCGTTGAACGTGTTCGACTCAAGGATGGGTATCTTGTTGAGGGCCGCAAAGATGGTACATTGGCCGCTTGGACCTGCTGAACAAATAAACCCAAACCCAAATCCTAACCACCCTTACCACTATCACCGATATAACCCTCCTCATCACCTCTCCCATTATTTCTTTGTCTGGGGATCCCCCACCAACCCCTCACTTACTACTCGCTTTGTACAGTATTGCAACCTATGTCTAGAATTGGATGCAGCGTCCGACACATCTGGTGTGGCAGGACCATGATATCATTTCTTTCTCTGTACGTACAGTAGCATTGCGCCATCCAATTCAGGTTCATTCTTTGGCATTGTGAGACCAAACCAGTCGTAATAGTTGTAAATACAAAAGAATCAAGATCACTTTGAAACTGGCTTTCAAGGTAGCAGTCTGAAGTAGAGGTGATCGAAGTAGACCTTGAAAGACATCAAAGCGACAAAGAAACCTGAAGACGTGCGGAGTCACGGTCAAAGTCACTCGAGAACCTTCACCAGAGCCAACCTTGGAACTTCCACTGTTTCTTGCTTTGTTTCAAAGTTTGAACTCTTCTCACCTCCATTTTTTTGCTCAACCCATCTGCGACACCAAGACTAGTAGTGGTCTCATTCTACCTCAACGGGCCGCTAATCGATCGTCGTCCAATTGTTGCGGCTCCACCCCTTCCCCTTCCCAGCTCAACCCGCAGTCACGTTCCGGCGCGCGTCTGCGCGTCTCAACTCTGCAAAGTTCGGGGTCGCGATCGACAATTGAGACCAGCAACGCCGCAGATTACTTGAAAACTTGCTTGATTTCACAGTCGGCGGATTCTTGTCACTTTCAGCCCCCGCGATCCGGGGATCCTTTGCTTGCGACGCCCTTGATCGTGTGCGCTGCCCCGTCCCTGGGCTGGCTATACCTCCCCACCACAACCACCTGATTCACGCCTAGACTGGTGTTTGATTTCCCGGGATTCCGAGTTCTTGACTGACAGTCGGAGTCTAACTTAAAAAAAAAAGGACTGGTCCTGGCGTCCGTTTATCCCAGACCTGCTCACTCTGGAACCGCCTAGTGTAAGTTTTTCTTTTTGTTTCTGTTTCTAATTCTGTTCCTTTGTCCTTCTCACTGCCTTTGAAATTTGTCGCATTCATTGTTTTCATTATTTGCCTGCGAAACCATGTCTTGATATCTCCCGGACATGATCCTTCAAAGCCTACTTTTCCACCCCTAGCATCTACCCCATCTGCAGGTATCCACCTATCTGCTTTCCCGGACTCAACCTGATACTCTGCGATTCACCTGTTTTTTGGCAAATTGCTCTTTTCATTCCATTTTTGTCTCAGTGCTGAAAGAATAGGTGTAGCATGTCTAAACGCGCTACGGCGGGCCGGGGTGCCGGGTCTCCTCAACGGCCGTTCGAAACACTGCTTGACTTTTCCAATGGTCCTGTTTTACCGCCAGTGGCTGTTGGAACATCACACAATTATGGCGCCACAGGGCCGACGGCATTGCCAAAAGAAGCAGCACATGATCCAATTCAGGATGTCATGGGCATGGTTAAAAGGATCAACACTGGCCTTGACGACAGCGAGCAGCGAATATCCCTCTCAAGAACTGGCTCTGTGGTGCCTTCCAGAAGCGGTTCGATTCATACCAGTCGGCGAACTAAGCGAGAACCTACGCCGGACGATCAACTTTTCCGTGCGCTACGAGAAGCAACCGAGTCGCCTACCAGAGAAGTGCATTCTGATAGGACACCGACTCCGCCTATCCCACGAGCAGTATCTACGGATTCAAGCCCCGATATACCACCGCCTAGACGCAAGAACAGCTTGATATCAGAGATTACGAACTCCCCGATGTATCCGAAGCCGCTGCGACAGTTGTCAAACTTCTTTTCCCGTGAGGAGCCTGATGACGGTACTCCGCATCGTCACAGCTCGGTCGACAATGCCTCTGAAGTATCATTTGAGCTGGAGCGCACAATCCATGATGGCGAGCTGCAACGTACGCGACCAAGTGACCATGGGTCGAATCTTTCCAAGGCCCCTCGACGACCCTCTGGTGTGCAGCTTCAACCGACGATTGAGGAAGAGGATGAACCGAGTTCCGTGCTGGCTGATCAGTCCGACTTTGTCAACCCTGCCGATCAGACATGGACCGCCGAAGCAAGGACTGTTTTTCCATCTCGTTTCCAATCACTTCCTCGCTCGGAGTCACGTTCGGATGAACCTGTTCTGCAAGAACCCCAGCAATGGGATTCATCCTCAAGTTCCGAGAGCCGCATAAGAGACTACATGCGCGATATTTCTGGGGCTGCACTGAAAGGCGTCGACTGGATTGCCATCAATTGGTTCAAAACCGCAGGCATTCTGCTGTTTTCTATGCTTCTTGTCGGCGCCTACCAGACAAATATTTGTGACGGCCTTGGCCTATTTGCCCCCTCTGGTGAATATTCGAACTTCCCTTCAAATGGAACAGACCCAGCTGTCCGCGAGATCCGAAGTCGATTGTCAGACATGAGTAGCCAAATATCGTCATTATCGAAGGAGCTGAAGTCTTCTCGATCAGAGCAAAAGGGCCTGACGACAGGGCATCCCACCAATATGCCATATAACGCTCAATTACGTTCTATGGACCTCCAGATCAACTTTCTTTCCCCGTCAAACGGAGCCATGGTCGATCCTCACGCGACTTCACCTTCGGCTAGCGAAAGCACTGTCAAGCCAGTCTCCCGCTTAAGGAAGTTCCTAAGGGGCCTTAACATATTTTCTTCAGGCGATACAATGAAAGCAGTTCACGAGCAGCTAGCTGCACTGTTACCCTGGGAGGAGGCTGGTGATTGCTGGTGCAGCGTGAAGGAAGCCCAGCTCGCGGTTTTTCTTGGTCGTGCTATCGTGCCGGAAGAACTGGTCATCGAGCATATCCCAATGACAGCAACTTTAGATCCCACATCAGCACCAAAAATCGTCGAGATGTGGGCACAGTTTGTTGTCGTTGACTCAGGTGCAAATGATGGAGAAGAATACGAGTCTGACTTTGACTGGAAGTCCCCTTACGGCGGTGGAAAGAACCAACGTCAATCCAAAAAGCCCCGACCAGCAAAAAAGCAAGGACTTGGGAATTTTAACCTGCCCGGGGCAAACTCGCTTTCTGAGGTCCTCATGAGTGCCTTGAAGAGATCGAACCCGCATTCTGACCCGGAGGACTATTCAGACGATCCTCTCCTCGGACCGAACTTCTACCGAATCGGGCGATTTTTCTACGATATCAAGGAACTCAACTATAGACAGGCCTTCGCCCTATCACCGATCATCGATATTCCTACAATCCGTGTGGACAAGGTCGTCTTGCGCGTTAAGGAAAACTGGGGCTCGAATCAAACCTGCCTTTATCGATTCAAGCTCCACGGGCATGCCTGAGTTAAGGTGTAACCAAGCTTCCTACCTCTGGCGGTTCTAATTACGACATCTTGTTGCTCATTTTAATCCTTTTCTTCTTGATTTGTTGGAATGGCCAATCGGAGTCAGATGAAACACGGATTTTTCCGCTTTCCTTTTTTTCTGCGGCGCGATGATACCTTGCATTTGGCGAGTAGCAGGAGGCGTTCAAGGGGTCAATTTCTATAGTCTAAATGCAAATATGAACTTACAAATTATTCTGTCATGCAGCGGGGGTCTACATCTATCCCAATACTCCGGTGTACCGTTGTAGCTCATGTATACACGCCACCCGCCTGAGGCATCAGTCCCAAGCCCCGAGCGGGGGACGAGCAGAGGCGCATTTCTATTTTCTGCGCCTCGCATTGCCCCCATGATTATTATTCGCAGTAGAAAGAAAAGAAAAATCGAGCAGAAGAGTTGTAGATACCAAATGCTTCTGGAGCGATCCTTTATCCTCGTTCCATTTTCCCTTCCCCAAGCACTCCACCCCCACTTCCGGTCATGACGAAGGCGGACACTCGGCCTCACCTCTCCGGGCCCTTCACCTCCCTCGGTCACGCGCCTTTCGTGCAGCCATCCTCGTACCTTCGGCCTCCAATGACCTCCCAATCCGAGAGACCTGTAGATCGGGAAGAGCGACAGGGCCTGGTAAGTTGGTGACTTTCTTTTTTCCCCTTCGATTCCCCCGCGCCATCGGTCGACCCCTCCACATTCGGCGGACCAGAGAGACACAGAGTGCGAGAGACCGAGATCGAGATCGAGAGAGATCCAGAGACCAAGGAGAGAGAAGCAACCCTCTTGCCCCTACCTCGTCGCTCGCTTCCTTTTCAATAAGGATCTGACCGGGGAACGAGACAAGCCGGGGAAGAGGGCCCAGGTTGTGTGATCGAACGGGGTTCCGGAATTGCAAACCTCGCCCCCGTTCGTGGCGGGTGACCAGCTCGCATCCAGATCTTGACTAACGCGGCATCAAACAGCGTGCCATTCGCAACTTCCTGAAGGTTCGCACCAGTTACGATGTCCTCCCCTTAAGCTTTCGCCTCATCATATTCGACACCTCCCTTTCCGTGAAGGAGAGCTTGAATATTCTCATCCAAAATGGCAAGTCACTTTCGGGCCCTTCCCCCTCCCCTCTCCTCCGCGATGGCTCTGCGACAGCTGAGGAAGGCGTGTGTGCGCAAGCAAAAGCAAAAAGAAAAGAGACACTGGCTGACTGAAGCGCAATCGGGAAGTACAGGCATCGTTTCAGCCCCGCTGTGGGACTCCAAGGCCTCGAAGTTCGCAGGTCTCCTGACCACCTCCGACTACATCAATGTCATCCAATACTATTTCCAAAATCCCGCTGCACTGGGAGAAATCGACCAGTTCCGACTTGATAGCCTTCGCGGTATGTAGCGCCATTCCCGCGCTCCTACGCTCCCCTTTCCTTTTCGGCCCATTATCAATTCAAGCTGACCAAATCTGGGCGGGCACAGAGGTTGAGAAAGCATTGGGCGTTGCGCCTCCCGAGACCGTCTCTATCGACCCCGAGCGTCCTCTTTACGAAGCATGCCGGCGCATGCTTGAGTCACGCGCGCGTCGTATTCCCCTCGTCACCAACGACAGTCAAACCGATAGATCCCATGTGCTCAGTGTTATAACGCAGTATCGCATCTTGAAGTTCGTCGCCGTCAATGTCAGCGATACACAGAAATTGCGCCGCCCGCTGGGAGAACTGCTATTGGGTACCTATGATAATATAGCGACGGCGTCAATGGACACCCCCGTCATCGACGTGATTCATATCCTGGTCGAACGGAGTATATCCAGCGTGCCAATCCTGAATTCTGAAGGTATGCTCACGAATCCTATGTCCCTTCCGCAGTTTTCCTTTCCTGAGCAGACTTAATGAATGGATTGATTGATATTTCTTCTACTAGGTGTCGTATACAACGTTTTCGAGTCGGTCGATGTGATTGCGCTGATTCGAGGTGGTGTTTACGACGATTTGAGTTTGACTGTTGGAGAGGTGCTGAAGAAGCGATCACCGGTATGTTGGAGCCTATCATTGTTTAGCAAGCGGTGATACTAATGTGCGGATATAGGAATTCCCGGGCATTTACACGTGCTCACTCAATGACGGACTGGATACGATCTTCGATACGATCCGTAAATCCCGTGTCCACCGGCTGGTAGTTGTGGATGAGTATTTCAAGCTCAAGGGAGTCATCACACTGAGTGATATCCTCCATTACATTCTCCTGGAGGGAGAAAATGACGAAGCATGATTGGGACCGGGACTGGGACGGGGAGCGAGTTCACGTCCTCAGCCCATTTTATACATACTCTTTGAATTGCATGAAACCGGCGTTCTCTGTTTTGCGTGATCTTGGACAATCGGATATCCTTGGCATTTGGGGCTGAATGTACAAAGGTAATATGTTCTCTTAAAAAGGCTCGTTGAGAAGAATCGAGCCGGCGCAATGGGGACAGAATAATAGATTTCCTTCCAATGCTTCCCAGGTACCCTAGGATATACTAACAGTACCTACCTAGGCAGGTACTAGTACTGTCAGTACTACTGTCAGTACTGTATTTGTAGTCCAAGTCCTTCTGCGCTCCTGCCAGTTCACGCAGCACGCACCTTCCTGAACTACTAGTACTAGTGCTAGTAGCCCTGGAGGATCCTCTCTTGACTGCGTCTCATTCCTCTCTACATCTACACATATTGCCACTTCTATTTCTTACCTTTTCATGCTTGAGCTCAACCTCTGCATCGCTACAACTTGAGCTTTGGATACAGTCTCGCATCAAATGGCATCACTTCGACAGATCTTGGCTTTGTCCAGATCGGACGAAAATCCCCCGCGGTCTCGTCTCACCTGGCATCGTCGGCGTCGTACAACAACCATACCTCCGCCGTATCAGACAGAATCGGACATTGTACCAGATATTCCCGACTCGGAGTTTCATCGTACTGACCCGGAGCGCACGAGCGAGACCGTGACCGCGGCAGAGAGCCCTGCTACTGTTCAGCACGACGAAGACGCACCGGCAGATGACGATGGCAGCCAGCCTTCTGGGCATGCATCCACTATCCAAGAGACTGCTCGGAGTCTCTCTCGACCTCGTGGCTCTAATCCTCTAAAAAGCATCATTACCCGCTTCCGCCACAACAAATCCAACAAATCCAGTGAACAAAGCGAAAGCTCGGAGACAGCCCAACCACTCCATGATCAAGCAGAAAGTGAGGGATCAGAAGCACCTGTCAGGATTGGCCTTTCAGGCCCTTTTTCTCCTCTATCTCGGAACCCACCTTCTGCCGGGTCGGAGGCGACAGAGCAACAGCGAACTGTTAGCACTCAAACGGCGGAAACACAGGACTCCCAAAATACGAGCGCAACAGTGCATCGGCACTCTTCTCAGCTCGGCCTTCAGACACCAGTTTTAGAATTGCAGCAAGATTGCTTCTCGCCAGCTTTCTTCGCAGACTATGTGCCAGAGACCAGTCACTTTGCCGAAGGATCAGATCCCTTTGCGGACAGAATCACCGTGGAAACTACGGCACCTCCGACGCTTGCCCATGCACCTTCAAAGCGCTCTTCGAGTATTGGATCCACCCTGATGCCCACTTCACAGCTTCCTCCCAGTGGCCAGACCTTTTTCAGCTCCCGCCATACATCTAATGCCAGCTACGCGAGTCGAACTTGTCGACTTGATCCAGTGAGGGCTGCTAATGGATTCAATTCGCTTTCGGAACAGTACAATCTCCAAATTAGACTCGACGACGAAATTATCGCAAATATTGAATGTAAGCAGATCTGAAATTTGAAGTATGGACTAGCTAACGACTTTTATGAAGCCACATCGGCGGCAAATAAGGTAGACCAGGACCACGTTCATACCCGAGATCGGGTACTCCGTCGAATTCGCCCAGTGCAATCCAATATGGAGATTGTCACTCAAGCACCAGTTCCTGGACCATCGATGCCAAAACTGCGACGAACGAAGACATTTGCAAATCTGACTCGTCAAAAGAAGCCTATGACTGCCCTACAGGGAAGGTCTCTGGAATCTATGTCTCGTCTTGGTGGACCTAGCTATCTCGTCTGGGGGTCGAGATTAATTCCTGGACCGTTGCAATTACCGACATGTTTTGTGGCGATGATTTTGTACCTCCGGAAATATGGTCCCAACACAAACGGTCTATTTAATGAGGGCGGCGACACCCGAGCTGCCAATCGTCTGTACGACTACTTTGCCAGTGACGTATTGGACGCAGAGAAGGAAGATTCCAAGATTGCGATAAGGCTGCGGACGATCGTGATACCACATTGGGAGGGCGAGTCAAACTTGGAACAAACATTGATTGTAGGTGTTACATTCCAGGCACTTTTGACGGGGCTGCCAGACGGGCTCCTCGGCTCTGCCCACCTGTTCGAGGTTCTCCAGACCATCTACGCTGCCAACATAGCTGCGCCTATCCCAACCACTCCAAGAATCCAGCTCATCACTTTTGCCATTATTGCATTGGCCAGTGAAATGCAGCGTTCTTTGCTCTGCGCTACTTTTGGGTTATTGATCTGGCTTCAAGGGCCCCAGTCCGGGACACCAATCCGACGAGTGGCGTGTCTGCAAAATCTAGATTATCTTGCACGGGCTTTTGCACCGACTCTGCTTGGATATCGGCACCTGCGAGATAACCCCGAGGAGGCCGGGTACTTCGCTATCGCGCGGCTACTGATGGAAGACTGGCAAGGCGTGAACCGGCAGTTGCGGGATTGGGTTGCAGGGGTAAAGCAGCAGGAGTGAAGGGGTGTTTTCTTTTCTTCTCTTTCTTTCAAGTTCAAGTTTTTAGTACAACTAAAACAAACATGGAGGTGTACGAAGTGCATGTATAAATTAGCTCTCTTGTTTTCTTTTTTTGGTTGTATACATTATACAGGGCCCACTTTGATGATGGGGTCCACGTACCGATGGGCTGTTGCTATTGGACGGCCTGAGTTCCCGAATTAACTTATTCTTCCTTGAATTGAGAGCTTCTTTGTATTTGAAGAAGTTCCAATTCAATCCAGAAGTTATTCAACGTGAGTAGGAGAGTGGGTAGGAGACTGGGATCGACTCAAGTAGCTAACCACCTGGGTAGCCTGGGCCATAGGGTATCAGTTTAGAGATTCTACAGTAGTAACAGTAGTAACTTAATTGCTCGGCAGTAGATACTCTCTTTATTTGTTTCCAAGTTCCCAACTGCAACACCCCTCCCCCTTCCCCTGGTCTTGTCGTAGTCAGCTCCGGGGTGATGTCAAAGACTGCAGAGAGTTCATTGTGCCAGGGCTGACCATGGCACTGCATTTGTCTTCCCTCCCCTCTCCGCTGCTCTGGCACGGCTCTTGCTCTATTTTGACTCCTATCCTGGTCTGTCCCACAAACACCTCATCTCACCCTGCACGCGCATTCGCCCGGATCTGCTGGACCGCTGGAAGTTCTGTCCGACCGTGGCTCCAATCGGTCGACCGACACCTGGGCCTCTTCTCTTCAGGCACCGGCCGGCCTCGCATCCGTGGTTCTTGACGGTTGAACCCCAGCATCGCACCTTTGCTGGTTTTGACGCCCGAAACTCTGGTGTTGTGGTCAGTGTTTCCATGTCTGCAAGCTGCGCCTAGTCCATTTACTTCGACAGAAACAGAAGATCCAGAGCCAGAGGCCGAACCAGCAGTGGAAGGAGAAACAGAATCGACATCAGAAACACAAAACACAAATTCAAAACAGAAACGCAAGCTCCTCCGACGCCCAAAACAGCACACCTTCACACGAATTGAGCTGCGGCACCTTCCTCGCACCTGCAATTCTCTTTCAATTGAACCGCAGCAATGTCTACCAGCAACCTCAACCCCTCCGTCGCCCACCACGGTCTCCCTCACGTTGGCCCGTCAGCTTTCCCGACTGCCAACACTTTCACCGGCGAGTTTCTAGGGCTTCCCATCCCCGACGACGATCAGCTTTGGGGCCTTAGCCCAGTATCTCCCACCATGGGTACCGGATGGGATGCTAAAATGGAGGCCGCAGCCTTTGCCAGCTCGGTTTTGGAACGAGACCTGAAGAACGCCCAGGTCCGAAACGGCCAGCCTACACCTCCACCTTACGATGATCAACACGCGCGCGATTCTTCCAGTTTGGATATCGAAAGTGCCAGTCGCCGACGTCGAGCCCGCGATTGCAATACGGCAATGGATAGTCTGAGCCCAGAGCTGGAAGACAACCCATACCAGGAGCGCGCGAAGAGGGCGAAATTCCTCGAGCGCAACCGTTTGGCGGCAAGCAAGTGTCGACAGAAAAAAAAAGGAACACACACAGCAGCTCGAGTTCAGGTTCAAAGAACAGTCTGAGAAGAAAGACGGCCTAGTGGCGGAAATTGCCCGGCTACGCTCCGACCTCCTCCATCTGAAGAACGAAGTCCTAAAACATGCCCAGTGCGGCGATGAACCCATCAAGCTGCACCTCGCGCAAATGGTCAAGAAAATTACCGACACCGACAGCCGTCTTTCAGTGCCCCCGGAGCCCATGGCTGAGATTGTTGAGAATATCCCCACTTCCTCGTCCGACGGCCCTCCTACCCCGACTGCGACGCTTCCAACTGCGACTCCTGCTTCTATTGCGGTCCAGACTGCTTCGGCATTGTCCTTTGGTTTTGATGACCCGATGCAATTAGAGCCCGTTGCAGCTTCAGTCGCTCCGGTTTACCCTGCAGATGCCTTGGAGCAGCAATTGCGTCGGGACTCAGAGGTGACTCTGATGTCGGAATCGTCGTACGCCTTTTCGACAGATGATACATTCGAGGACCTTATCAACGTACCTTGATATGATATGATGGATGTTTCAAGAACCTCTCGCATGTTACAAGGGTTGCTCTTCGTTGATGGTGGGTAATTAATTGAGGCTGGGAAGCAGCAGTCCTGCTAGGACTTGAGCTATGGTCTTTTCTTCTTCTTCTTCTTCTTCTCCTCCTCCTCCTCCTCCTCCTCCTCCTATTCTCTTTTCTTTCTTTGTGCTTTTCTTCAAAAACAAAATTTCCTTGTGTCTCTGTATTTCAGCTGGAGGGTGTTGGGCGTTGATGTGTCTATTGGGATGGAACTATGGAGCATGTTTCTTACCCATGCTACTAGTATACCTGTTCTTTCCTCTCGTTTGCTTCGAATGCCATGCTGTTATATTATTTAGCATTGGCAAGGCTTTGCTGGTTTGGAGTTGGCTCGGAGGCTCGTTGTTTTTACTCAGTGGATAGGACCCCGTGTGACTTGGTCAGTGAATGACACAGATGCAATGCATCCAATAGTATGCTTTAAATATGTCCATATGTAACTGTATACCCCCATACCGAGATATAGTAAAATGTTTATACATACCCCACTTAGACAGCTTTGTACTTTGATGTCACGGCTGTATGTCAATACCGTCTAGCGGTCAACTCAACATGTGCATGGCCATGCTTGGACTGGTCCGATTTGGCCGTGGTCACGGAATTGTTGCGATCCAGGAACTGTTCTGGACCGATTTCACGGCCGCCCGGGCCGTGCGAGCCACCCGCTTCGTCGATAACATCGCCTTTCCAACCATGTTCCGCATCGGGGTCCACCCCGTCGAACATTTCATTTATCTCCTCCAGTGTCTTTCCCGCAGTCTCCTTGAGACAGAAGAACGTAAATGCAACGATGAAGATATCCAGCACGCCAAAAAGTAAGAACGTGCCCCACCCAATCCCTTCCATGATGTATGGCGTGGAGAAGCTCCACACAAAATTAAAGAGCCACTGCGAACCCACGCCAAACGCCACACCCGGCTCGCGGATGCGTGTGGGGAAGATCTCGCTTGTACACGGCCAGGGCAGAGGACCCCAGCTGAAGTTATATGCGATGATATCGAGGTATATCAAAGCCAAGGTGGCGATGCCCGCGGAAGAGATGACCCCGTCTTGCGGTGGGTAGTTCTTGACCACTCCTGCCGTAGCAAGCATACACACCGCCATGAACGACGCCCCCATTGCCAGCACGGGACGCCGTCCGAAGCGATCGGACATGAAAAGCACGAAGATCAGACAAGCAACAACTTTGATAGCCCCGAAGATACCAGTCAAAAGCAGATTTTTATCACCTGGCCCAACGAGCAGGGAGAAGAATTGTGGACCGAAATACGCCAGCGCTGTCGAACCAGTCGACTGCTGTGCGAGGAAGATTCCTGCACCAATAAGCAAGCGATGCATATTCGGGCCCTCGAGGAGTTCGCGCAAACGGAAACCAGCCGTGGCGTGCCGCTCTTCTTCAAGACCGCGACACATCTCGTTGAACTCCTCATTCACGGCTTCGCTGTCACCCGCCCGGATCCAGACGAGACTGCGCCATGCATCGTCTGTTTTCCCGTGCGCCAGTAACCAGCGTACGCTCTCGTCAAGCGAGAGCATCCCCACCCCCATCAGGAAACCTGGGACGAGTTGTAAACCGATGGGTAGCTGCCACTGCCTGGCGGTAGCTGGCATGGCCTTGACGCCATAATCTATCCAATATGAGGCCAAGATGCCGATCGTATAGGTAAGTTGATAGCAGGAGCCGAGTTGGCCTCGGATTTCCTTGGGACTCATCTCAGACATATAGATCGGGATGACGGTTGCCGAGCCACCGACACCAAGACCACAGATGACACGCCCGACGTAGAAGATTGGCAGCGAGTGCGTGTCGATGACTTCTAGTATGACGCCGAGGCAGAAAACGACTGAGCAAGCCATCATTGCTATCCTCCTTCCAAACTGGTTCGTCACGGGCCATATCAGGAAACATCCCGCTAATGCGCCGGCTTGTTGGATGCCCACGGCGATGGCGCTAACGCGGGTTTCTTGTTCGGAGGTGATGTTAAAGGAGTTCTGGAACGAAGCGAAGGTTAGAACCCCACCTGGGAGAGTTAGTTATAGCTTCAATGGCAGCTGTTTATGCTCCGTAAGACATACCAATGACGCCCGAGTCATATCCGAACAAAGCTCCGCCGCAACAGAGAACAGCAGCCAGCCAGTATGTGCGCCATCGGGCTTTGGACAGCCGCAAAGCTTCCATCGCGTGGAGTTGGTCCTCCGACTGTAATTGAGTGGAATCGAGGTCTGATTGCTGGGGTAATTGGGTGTACGAGGCGAAGGTATTATTGGATAAATTGTTCCACCAGCTGGACAAACGAGTCCGGGCAGCACCGAGTACGGATTCAGGGGACGGGGTGGCGGTGGGAGGTCTTGATATAGAAGGGATTACATGGCTGGACATATTGCGGAGAAGAAGGAAAAGAAGAAGAGGTCATGGAGGCGATCGTCGAGAAGAGTGAAGCGGGCAATTCATGGAGAGTCTGGCTGTTTCGGGGAGTTGGTTGTTTCCGGATCGGCGTGTCTTATGTCATGGACTGCCGACGGCCGACACTACAACATATCAACACATCAACACGCAAGCATCACGCCATGCAGTCGATCAGGTACAGATCATGTAGAGCTGATACGCGTACATCTGGCCTCTTGGGTTTGCCTTGCATTTACTACACCGCTGTCGACCAGAGTTATTCTGGATTGGTAGCCCCGACTTTGAGGATTACAGTAGATATCATCCTGTAATCAGTTTAGAACTCTACTTTAAGATGCTCAAAGCACCTGAAAGGTCATCTCATTTCCGTATTAAATTCATTCAAAGATACTCTTCCCTTCTACTGTGTCTATGGATAGTTTTTGCACAACACAGTCGATCTACATAAACACCATTGACCAAGTTATCGGACAAGTAATCAATACGCCGTGTGACCGAAGTGACCGGTCCAAATTGCGGGGGATAAGCTTCCCCCGCATGTAACAAAACAGCCGATTACCACAATTCTGTGAAAAGATGGACTCGCTCCACTCTGGAGAGAATCCACTGGAGCCGATGGCCGATTAGCGATTGATCGCAGCCAAGCACGAAATGTGGATCCACGATGGCGAGGGGCGAGGGGCAATCAAGATTCAAGGGGCATGACTATGCTACTGTATGCCCATGGAACAGAGATCGGCCTCAAGGCCGAGTGCTGCTGGGAGTGCTTGTTCCGACGCTATAAGACTGCATATGCAGGCGTACCCCTCCTCACTTTTCCCCTCTCCATTGCTTCCGTCCTCTGTTGAATCCCATTCCATGCCAGTGACCGGAGAATAAAGTCAACACTGCCTCTTTGGACTCCACTGCTTGCTTCTTCGACCCTCGTGATGGCTAAACGCCCTAACTTCCTCGTTGTCGTCGCCGACGATCTCGGCTTCTCCGACGTGGGCTGTTTTGGGGGCGAGATTCGCACCCCCAATATCGATCAGATCGCAAAGGAAGGTCTGCGATTCACCGATTTCCACGCCGCTGCAGCATGCTCGTAAGTCCGCACAGCAGCTCAGGCCTGTTCTGAAATTACCCTCCGAAACTTACCATGGCCAACTTTTTAGTCCCACGCGAGCAATGATCATGACTGGCACCGACCATCACATTGCCGGCCTCGGTAATCTTATTGAATGGACCAACATCTCTGGTCAAAATGGTCCCAAGGGATCTGCTATGAGTACAGCCCCTCAGCGTGGCATGCCCGGATACGAGGGGTACCTAAACGAACGGGTCGTTGCACTGCCGGAGTTGCTCCGTGACGGCGGATATCACACAATTATGTCTGGAAAATGGCATCTAGGTCTAACCCCGGAGCGATCCCCTCACAAGCGTGGTTTCGTTCGATCATTCGCCCATCTCCCCGCCTGCTCCAACCACTATGCCTACGAACCCGAGTTGCGAGATAAGGACCAGATCCCGACTTTTATCGAAGCCTCGTATATTGCTCTGCATATGGAAGATGGCGAGTACGTGCGCAAGCTGCCAGAGGACTGGTATTCGTCCGATGGTTACGGTGATAAGATGGTCGACTACATACGCGAGTGGAAGGAGAGTGGTGGCAGCGCAGGTCCAGATGGTGATGGTGATCGTCCTTTCTTTGGATATCTACCTTTCACAGCCCCTCATTGGCCTCTACAAGCTCCCCGGGAGTACATTGACCACTACCGTGGTGTGTATGACGAAGGTCCTGATGTGCTGCGCCAGAAGCGTCTCCAGCGCCTGAAGGAACTGGGTATGATCCGGGACGATGTTGAAGCACACCCTGTCAACGCCGAGGAAGTTAAGCCTTGGGATGAGTTCACGCCTGACGAGAAGAAGAAGTCCGCGACTGCTATGGAAGTTTTTGCTGGAATGGTGGAGTGCATTGATAGCAACGTGGGCAAGGTGGTCGAGTATCTGCGCTCGATCGACGAGTTAGACAATACCTTTGTCTGCTTTATGTCCGACAATGGTGCCGAGGGAGCCGCGTACGAAGCCTACCCGATGGTGCAGAACGGTGTGATGCCTCACCTACAAAAATACTACGATAACAGTCTCGAGAACTTGGGCAACGGTAACTCTTTCATCTGGTATGGTCCGCGTTGGGCGCAGGCTGCTACAGCCCCCTCCCGACTCTACAAAGCCTACACAACTGAAGGTGGCGTTCGCGTCCCTTTTACATGCCGCTTCCCCAAGGATATCAATCTCAATCCACAAGGTGTAACGGCTGGTGGTATCACCGACCAGTTCGCTACCGTTATGGATCTTGCACCCTCCATTCTGGAAATGGCCGGTCTCAAACACCCGGCCCCAAGCTACCAGGGCCGTGAAGTCGTCTCCATGCGTGGCCGTAGCTTCCACCCCTGGGCCATCGGCGAGTCCGAGCGTATTCACCCGAAGGATTTCATCCAAGGCTGGGAGACCTGCGGTCGGGCCGCACTGCGTTGTGCAGACTGGAAGATCGTCTTCATCCCCAAGCCAAAGGGCCCCGAAAAGTGGCAACTATACAACCTCGCCAAGGACCCCGGCGAGATACATGATCTGGCAGATCAAGAGCCCGAGAAGCTGAAAACACTCCTCAAAATGTGGGATCAGTATGTTTTGGAGACCGGTATCATTCCTCTCTGCCCCGATTTGGGAGATTTCTTGGAAGCGACTGAGGCACAAATGCCTGAGAATGCATGGATGGAGTTTGATTACTGGAAGGAAGGTGCACGCGACACACCTGAGAAGTTCTCTCGTGAACCTCCCCGATTCCAGCGAACGGTGAAGCCGTTCTAGGGACTGCATTGGCGATTTGATTGTAATGATACCTCGCTTGATGAATATATGAAAATAGAATTGATTTTGTAATCATGCTGTGGAGCCTCGGGGAAGTGGACAATTAAGGTTTCTAGATCAGAAGAAGTAGATTTGTTCTCAATCTATTCGTGCAGCCTCGCCTTGGGATCGGCACCACTGACTCCTGAGCATGAAAATTGGCCATGCTGAATGGCGGCAAGACCGAACGATTAAGAAAAACTCGGGGCAAGATGAGGGCATTAAGTGCTCAAGGGGTGAACTTGAAGTGAGTTGAATGAAGTAAGCCTGTGGGAATTTGTTATGGGGTGTGGTACGCCTTAGTATTCAAGTTGGTGCCCAATGGGCCAATACTATGACGCTCTCTGAACGGTATTTTATGAACTATGCACCGTGGCCCACGTTCTATAGTATATGCATATATTTCATTTTCAACTACACGCCTTTTTCGCAGAGACAGCCTTCGAGTCTCTTACTTGGAATGTCCTACTATCTACATGTCCTGTTCTCTTCGGACAAGTTCCTAGGGCTTCTTGGAAATCGAAATTTACTAGCTCTGATCACAATGGCACATTGGCTTGTTCCCGTCTTCGAAAATTGGAGCATTGGCTACTATACCGCTGGGCAACTCAAATTAACGACGGCATTCAAGTTGCAAACCTTCAAGTTGGAAGGTTGTTGGCCCGAAGTGGAATGTCACTTTGGAGGGTCGCTCAAAACCCAAGACTATATGTTTTCCAAGTTGAAGGTTTAGAATTAGTGGTTGCTGGAGTTGAGGTCTGGGGAGAGGGCTACCTTCAAGTTACCTAGGTAGTTTAGCAGTCAAGGATGCTCAGCGATATAACGTCCACGGATAGTACATTTAAAAGTTCAAGTTAGTAATCACCTGGGCATTGATTTGGTTGATTTGTGCCGGGCGTTCAATGCTCAGATCAGTATAGTCGGAACAGCTCTATTCTCAATAGTAGTATGATATGTTTCGGGTGGTGGTAATCGCCTTTTCAAACCTTCACATGGTCGACAAATTTGAACTCCCGCTTAAAGCCTCAATAAACCTCTTATACGGTAGTTTAATTCATTCTGTGCCTAATTAGGATTATTCTATCCTACTATCAGTGGATTTTAAGGCAATGCCATATTATGGGGCATCTAACCTTGATAATTAGTACGAGTATGTCTTCAGGTTGTGATAATCATAAGGACTCGGAATAAATGGCGAACCCCTCGCGGCCCATTCGGAAAGGTATTGTATGTATATTATTGGCCGCTTCCTCGTATTATGAAAGACAACACAGTTTCTGGCCTTTGATGGAACTGAGCCGATACTGCTAGTCGTAAATTTCAAGCCCTCTCTAATGCATTTCTTTGACATCGCCCATGGCGACATATTATCTGCCGTTCACTTGGGCTGACCAGTACGAGTATGATTCGAATGCAAGACATGGCCTCTTTTAACCCTGATCGTTGCGTCCCCGTGGAGGCCCCTTGACTGCTAAACGCCAGATGACGTTGGAAGGTTGAATTATTTTAAGCTGCGATACGTAATCAAAAGGAAGCATATGGCACTATGCGTAATAAAGTCCGGATTTTAGGAATAGAGCTGGGGTTGCGCAGTGGTAAGTAAAATGCCATGCTACGGCCTAACTTCACAGGCAAGGGATACCTGAGCTACCAGCATCAGCTGCGTCAGCCTAGCTACATTTCGAGTCTTGCGCGGCGAATATTTCACGAAATACTGTATGGCGCAGCTTTGTGCATGAGTGTCAAAGGCTCACATTGGCTGAGGGGGTCGAACAGAAGCTGGACTATCGAGCTATACGGAGTATCCCGCTGGTCCTTTTTTTGCTTTTTTTACAAGGGTAAAACATGCACGCTAATTAACCATGGTAACACAGCTAACCCACTGTTGATTGGGTGTACGTATGCGGGTTCATGCATTGCGAATCATGCAGCATGCAGGATGAACGCACCCTACTTGCTATGCACAGCTCCTCGTGTAACACGCCTCTCAGCCATAGTCGTAGTGGCGAGCTGAGCTCCCAGACATTGATCGGCAGCTGCCACCGAAGGCAAACTATCGACCCCATCAAATCCATGCATATAATCACAGTTTTATCGCTCTATTCCCGTTCAAGCCGGTAAATGCCTTCACTAAAAGCTGACAGACACGTGTGCTCGGATTATTCCGCTACAGACCTTCGGCTATTTGTCTCTCAATATATCTTGTGGCTTAAATTTATATCTTAGTTGTCTTTTCTTCTCCACTATAGGTACTTAGCTGGGATATGCTGTGATACAAGTGCTCCTGCATATATTTTTTTGTTTTTCTGCAGGCTGTGGGTGTATACTCCTCAACTGAGAGGGGTATGCTTTTTCCCAGCTAGCCCCTGCATCCCCACAGCTGCAGCTCTGACCTAGCTGATGTCAATCGAGGTGGAATATGATACTTAATTCTTGCTCGGTCTTGGATTCCTGAATATAAATAATACGCCACCTGGACACGTTAATTCCCAGATGTTTCTTCTCAAGCCCTTCATCCATCCTAATCAAGACCCGAGAAGATCACGAAGGTCGTTGAGGAATTCTGCTTCATCGTCACGACTCAGTAAGATGTCCAAGTCCGACCACAAGTACTATCCCATCACCGGTGTCCCGGTCGGAGATCTCGACCTTCCAAACATCGGATTCGACACCCCGGTCCCCATTCGTCAGAACATCGACACATGGAGCAAAGACCCCGAAAATGAGAAGCAGGTCCAATTGTTTGTGCTGGGCTTAGATCGCTACCAGAAGATCGACCCCTTGGATCGGGACTCATACTTTCAGGCTGCCGGAATTCATGGACAACCTAATGTACCATGGGATGAGCCCATTGACAAAGAGGAGGCGGAGGGTAAGGGATACTGTACTCATAACAACATTCTGTTTCCAATCTGGCATCGTGCCTACTTGGCTCTCTATGAGGTGATACTTCCCATCTGCAGCCAGATTGATCTTGACTGACATCTATTAGCAACGTATCTACGAGTGCATGCTTGAAGTTATCCCCAATTTCCCCGAGGAGGATCGCGAGGAGTGGACCGAACTTGCCCACTCATGGCGTCTCCCTTTCTGGGACTTCGGTGCTCAGGTCTCAGTCCCTGAGCTGTGCAAGTATCCCACAATTGCTGTCCCAACCTTCGATGGCAAGGATTTGTACAATATCCCCAACCCGCTCTTCCAGTTCCGCATGCCAACCCACAAGCCTATGGGCACCGCTGGTGTAAAGGACTTTGTGACTGAGTGGGACGGGGATGCCAAGCAGGAGCTCTTTGTATGTTTCCGACTCTGAATACTCCGGAACTTAGCTAACTGAAAATAGTTTAGCGAATGTATTGGAACCAGCCGCTGGCCTGAAGAGGGCGATAATGCCTCAGGTACATCGACATGGAAATATGGTGTGGTCAACAACTCCAAGGTCCGGGACGCTTTGACGGCCCCTAAGTGGGATGAAGGAGGAGAATACGGCCAGGCCTCTGAGATGGTGCACCGTCTACTCAATGTTGACATGGACTATCTCACCTTTGCCACAACTGGTCTGCAGGATGGCGACCACCCCGTCGAAAAGGATCTGAATCTGGAGTACAGTATGTGTTCTTTCTTTTGATATATGAGTTACAGAACTGACAAATTTCAATAGTTCACAACAACATTCACGGTTGGGTTGGAGGTGAACATATGGGTCATATGTCTCAGATCCCCATGGCGGCTTTCGATCCCTCATTCTGGCTCCTCCATTGGTTAGTTGATAAACAATCCTCTCGCGAGACCAATGTTTTTAGTTTCTAGCTAACCAAATATATAGTAACGCTGATCGCATCTTTGCCTTGTGGCAAGCCAAAAATCCGGACAAGTGGTTCACCGAGTCCAAGGTCAATGCATTCCTACAAGATGCTATCGGTCTACCCCCGGGCTCTGTAATTACCCCCGAGACTGGTCTGCGACCGTTTCACAAAGATGTTGGGGGAACTCTAATGGTTTCCGCCGATGTTCGTTATCCTCATAAGATTGGTCACACATATCCGGAGCTGCAGACGTGGAAGTACAAGCAGCCAGGCTACCAAAACAAGGAATTCCAAGCAGATCTCCAAACTGCCATCAATGATCTGTATGGAACCTCAAGAAAGACCTTGCTCGATGCCGGCTCTAAGTTGAAGGGTGTCGAGGTCTCGGAGGACAGCTTCAAAGCTCTCGACTTCTCATTCAGTGTTCGCTTCCGCAAGTACGCCTTTGGTGGTGATCCTTTCTGGGTTCGGATTTACTTGTCCCAGGATGGAGTTAAACAAAATCCTTCTTCGGACAAACTAACTGAAGTTTACAACTTCAGTCAGAAGCCGCAAGATGCGGCAGGAAAGCTTGCATGTGCCAACTGCAAGGGTAACGAGAAGAATGGCCTTAAGGTGAACGCCAATATCTCCATTACGCCGGTGCTTCTGAATCTTCTCAAGCTTGGCAAGGACCTGCTCAGTCTTGACAAAGACGAGGTTCTCAAGTTCCTCCAGGACAGAATTTACTGGAGAGTGACCAGGGGAGGCAAGGAAGTACCTCTGTACGAACTTGACCCTCTTGATCTCGAGATCATCGGAGCCACGAACGACACGACCGTTTTCCAAGATGCGAGCAAGCCGCCTCTCTTGTCAAACTTCGTGAAGGAGCCCACGATCTCTGGAGGAAAGGACGGTGCGCTTAGCCCACACCTGAAACAGCCTGTCACTATTCCTCCTCCCGCCGTGCCTAAGATCCCCAAGGCGGCTCTCAAGATCAACACCAACAGGAAATTCAAGGAGTCTCTCAAGGCCGATGCTGTCGTCCTGATTGACTCGACTACCTTGAATCTGACCCCGGCTAAGACCAAGGGCATTGATAATACCCAGTTCTACTTCACCGATGGCAATAGCGATGAAGGCAACATTCTGTTCCTGCTTTCCATCCGTCGTGCTGAGAACGCTATCGTCTTCAACACCAGGATCGACAATAACTGGGGCAAGGAAGTCCGTGTTAGTCTTCAAGGCCGATTCCGGACTGATAAGCCATCTATCCTTGTCCACGATCAAGGCGATGGTTACGAAGTGTTCATCGATTGGAAGCACGTTCTGTGGTTCGAGAAGCGGGCCAAGGACAAGATTGCCACAACCATTTCGTACACTGTCAACGATGGCCAGAAGTCTGTCTTGTCTGCTGGTCTGAATGTCAAGGTCTATTCTTCCATGGCGTCCCTTTTCAACCACTAGGTTGCAAAAGACTGAGTTTCCAGAAAATTCTGACTCTCCCTTGTAAACTGTGGGATGAACGAACTTGCCCGGGTTGGCACAAGTTGTTTTGCACATTCAACCAAATTTGTCTCAATATGATATTATATTGGTCTTTTCTTTATCGAGATGCTTATTTTAGTATTCAAATGAATACTTTCGTTAAAGCTGTTTCCATTTATCTATTGTAGTTTTAGAGTAACTTCAATCTGAACATCACCGAAGTTGTACTGAGTCAAGGGCAATACAGATGATGTGATAACCTCCTGAAGGATGATTCAGCTAGGCACCTGCATTCATGCGGAAACCTTGGAATGCATACTACTCGGTGCCGGTGACATACTACACAAATGGCTTGTAGAATAGCTGCCAAAGATTCTCTTCGGTTTTAGCGACGTTACATGATCGCCAAGTCCGAGGACCAAAAGCTAGTAACTGTAACACTTTCACATTGAAACGGTTCTAATATGTTGGTCGTTGCATGATATATGCTTTCTTCTAGAGGGTATATTATGGACATTAAGTTGAGCAGAGCGGAATTCAAATGATGACGAACGGATTCGAGAATAGTTCTCGTCGCACGCACCGCGAATCCGCCCAGGATCGTGAGACATCTTGCCTACGGGTCATCTCTTCCAGTAACAAGAGAATCTTATCGGCCGAGGGATGTCGTGAAATCGAAGTGGCTGGCTCATTCTCGCGTGCGGCTGCCATTCGTTGCATCTCTTGGACAATCCACTGACGTTGGTCCTGCGAGCCTTCCAGACCTGCGATGAAGATTGGCCACATGAAGCTGACTGGTAGATGACCAGGTAAAGATCCTGCTGACTCGATCGTAGCTAGCTGGATAATCTTGTCGACGGCGCCGTTGACACGGTCTGTCCGAGGATAGATTGCAAAGGCGACTCGGTGGAGGTAGATGAAGTTTGCCAAAAAGTTTGCCACATATTGTCTGAAGGTACGGCAGACTTCAAGAGCAACTGGGGCACAGAGTGTTTCATGCAGGGCTTCCGGTTGCCCATACACGTCGATCACGGAGGGTCTGCGGTGCCAAAGGGTCTCGAGGTCGGCGCCAACTTTGTGTGCGATCTGTAGCACCTCGAATTCGTCGCTCAGTGTTCCACGACTGCGGTGATGTAAATCAATACATATGATGCGTCGAACAACTTGCTGTGCCTGTACGAAGAACTCAAATGCCGGACCCACAATCGCCTGGTAGACCAGATAGCTAGGGCTGTGGAAGAGGTCATCTTTCATTTCTTCTTCTTTGTGTTCTTCGGGCGACTCGATGATCCGGGGCTCCGACGTGCTTTGTACTTCCAGTGGCTTGCTTTTTGGTCTATCCTCTGGAAGATTTCCCATCTCGATCAATAAGTCACCGTCACGGCCAGCAATGAGGGATTTGACATCGAGAAGTGAAACCCACGAGACCAGGAGGCGTCCGAGTCCAGTCCATTCTCGGGTACGATCACTAAATCGTTGCAAGATAAGATATGAAGAATGAAGGTAAGAAGTATCCGCTGCACAAATGTCGGGAGATGAGAACAACTGGTCAGATATTAGTATTCTCCTCAAAAATTGAACACCTCCCATCACCGAGAGCACGAACCTCAGATAGCATCAAGAAAAACACCGAGGCGAACACCTTGAGCAATGTTGCTTCGGAAACATCCCCCAATAAAGATGCATGGATCTCCGAGCTAGCTACTCGGAAATACGTCGGCGCCCAGCGCCATTGCTTGCCTTCCGTTACAGCTTTATGGACATCCGAATAGCAGTATATCGCATTCAGAAGGGGGCTAAATTCCCGGGCATGATCCAGCACGGACGGGCGTACATATTTCCACTCCATATTGATCGGACCAAAGATGACGGCTGGTGGGTCAATAGACAAGAAGTGCTGAAGCAGCTGGTCTTCATACGAAGTGGTGCCCGGGTCGGACCAACTACGCCGTGTTGTCGCGGCATCGGATGCATCCCCAATCGAAACTCCATCCGTCAAGGAGGAGGAGCCGTCGGGACTGAACGACGATCGTTGTTCGGTTTCAAACTGACCTTCTTCTGCTCCGTTCATCGCGAACTCAGCGGTCATTGCCTGCGAGGGGCTCCCAGTGAACGCCTCCAGGCCACTCGTCAAATCGAGGTGTTTTTGCTCCAGCTCCGATGTGATTCCTCCCATGAATCCAAGCATGTCGAAAGGTCCCAGCTGTGCAGCGGGGTATGGTTCGGTATCGGCGGGGGCTGCCATCGCGGGGATTGTTCGATGGTGATCATCCGAGCGCAACACGGTATTGAAGAAATTCAGGTCTGGTGATCTTTGTGAGACATTTGCTGCTGCCGCGATTGCTGCCGCTGCAGACGCAGGTCCCAGGGCCGGGGTGGGAGCGCCTTGAGAGGAGACGCCGTGCAGGCCGGTGATCGAGTTGCGAGACCGACGGGGCGAAGAACTCAACGAGTTGCTGTATGCGATCGGGGGCTTAAAGACACATCGAAGACGCAAGCGGTCACAGTTTGCACAACTCGGTTTGGCCTCGTCACAGCGCACTTTGCGAGCTCTACATGTCAAGCAACCAGTGCGGCGGCGCGGGCCTGATCTACCAGCTCCCCGGGCTTTCGGTACCTGTGAACCGAAGACTGGCGTTAGTCGAGAAAGGCGATCGGAATGTGTATCGAAGAACGGTACCTCCATGATGGAACGAACAGTCCCAGGTTTGAGGCCAGAGGCATTGTTGTTGTGTCAGGAACGGCGGTGGCCGGTTTCCCCGCAATTTTGGTCCCACGGTTGCGCGATGGTGCGAGGATGACGAGCTCGATGGCGCCACGGGTGAGATTTGATGGTCATTCGTGATGTCCAGGGTTACCAGTAAGAAGTATCATGGGATTCACTAGGTAACCTAGGTTCACTGGGCTCACTGGGTTCACTCCATACTGCCAAAATGAGGAATGATCCGACAGCGATCGCAGCAATGATATGCACGGCTCTCAGACTCCACGTGGTCGAGCGGGCGTCATGGCAAAGGTGTTGGTACTTGATATTTACGAAAAGTATCTCAATGTGATGCAAATATTGACTATGCCGCCGATTCTACAGCTCGGTAATGCACTTTGTCCCCCCCCAATACACTTGGATCGATGCAGCAGATGTCCCCGCTCCTTGCGCACATAGGCCGCAAAGCAGATCGCCGCGACTGCCACTGCCCCCGAACTGATGATTACCGGATATTCAAACTGCTCCGGACGAGAAAACAGAATAGTAGACGCGAAAGACAACATCTCGAAGATGTTCTGTAGTGCCATCTCGGTGGCCGAGAACCGCGCTCGGGCATGCTCTTCGACATTCTATAGTTTCAAGTCAGCATAAGCAACAGGAAGCTCGAATATAGACACTATTACTACTCACCTCTTGCACAAGGAACTGAACAGACAGGTCGAACCCCCCAGAGCCCTATCCGACTCAAAGCGACTCCAATAACGAGACATCCCGCAACTAATCGGGAATTCGAATCCCAGGGCACATATGCTACGGCAGCACCGGCCACACAACAAAACTGCCAGTTCAGGAACCAAAGTCCAGATCGGATTGGGCCAATGCGATTCATAACAATGGGCGCGATCCACGTTCCAGATAACTCCGCTGCGACTGAACCAATGCGCATGTAGCTAACCTCCAGCGGGCTAAATCCACTGTGGAGCAGATATGTGACCATTGTAGCGCCGAATGATAAAACTGTCAAATACAACAAGCTCAAGGCAAACGAGGCCATGAATACCCGGCTTGTCGCGAATTCTTGCCATGGTGCTAAGGTGTCTCGCAGTCGGCTCATGATATTCTGTAGCGAGTGATGTTGGGCTTGTGTTGCGATTTCATCTAAAGTCTCGGTTTGCAGAATAGCTGCAGAGGTCCTTTTCAGGTTGGGAACTGCTCGGTATACCTGAGCAATGGCCACATATTCGACCAATACGGAAGCCGTGTTCAGCCCAAGGACTGTCCATATAGCCACTCGGGTCGAAAAGCTGTCGACGAGGGAAATAAAAACAGGAGCGACCAACTTGCAGAAAAGATCAATTCGTCTCATTGAAGCATTCAGGTCTGTATTAGTCATAGTATTGTTAGAAAACCTAATAGCGAAGACCAATTTGGGGGAAACTTACCCTGTCGGGGAACATCAATGCTTTCTGATATGACAATAGCCTATTAAAGGTTGTAAAATAATCAGCAATGACTTGATGAAGCAATGGTCGATGAGCCCTTGAACATACCCAATCTCGTTCGACGGCCACTGTATTGGCGGCGGCCGCCAACTTCTCTACACAGGCCAAGAGGCTAACAAAGACAAATAGAATCGAGGATAAATCCCGCGATTCAGCAATTGTGAATAGTGCTATGAAGCACAAACAAGACACCGCGACAGGGATCCTTTGCCAGACTAGATTGAGGAGATCAATTAGCGAGACCAACCTAAGCCTCATCCACATGAATACATAATATAACCTACCAATCGAATGTCTCAAAGCAACCAAGCGGTCCGAACTGTCAACTTTTGCACCTAGCCACGACGAAAGCGCAACGGCAGCGAGCGATCTAACAAGGGCATAGATTGAGGCATAAAGCAAAGTTCCGGGGAAGATAGAAGCCAGAAAGAGGACTGCGCCGAACTCAAACATTCGCGAATTCCATGCCGAAAGACTGTGGGACACATAGAGTCGCCTCAGAACCGAGCGAGCCTCCAGTGCAGGGCCATTGAGTTCTGTTTGAGATGCATTCCTGTCCGGATGGGGAGTGGGAGGGGGAATGTCGAAGTCGCCTTCGCCCATTGAGGAGTAACTGGTCACTAAACAGCTTTGTTCGTCCCTCATGATAATATCTGAGCGCTCATTGGAGCCCTAGATATTATTGAATATTGTGGACTGTGTACTCCTTGAAGATTGTGAAAGTGGACGTTAAGATCAAGACGAACATGTTGGGAGGGACGGGAACCTTGGCAGTGCGATGCCGGGTGGGCTGATAACGCCATTGGTTCAAGCCTAATTTGGCCAGCCTTACACTTTGAAAGCTTCTTTTTTCTATGTTTATTCGTACGTACTACGATTCGTAGCTAACTTTAGGTCTTCTCAGCGATGAGGGCTTTATAGGCCATACACATGGCCATAAATTGGAACCGGATGTGGAATCGGATGTGGTGCACAAATATCATTGATTGAATGCAACATGATACCTTTAACAGAAAATTGGGGTAGATTCTAATACATACGGGCGGCGGAAAAGCTCTCGCCATCGAAATAAAAATTACATGCTGCAATATAAGACTCTCGCTCTTCAAACCCACTCAATGCCCTTCTCAGTTCGCTTCGTCCGGCGAGCCAGGACCTCGGAGACCTTTTCGCGGACACCCTCCTTCTGGTTCCATCGTTGAGCGAACTCGCTGGTGACCTGAGAAACTGATGTACCGTGGGTACGGACAAATTTCTCAATCTCGCTCTCGGAGGGCAGGGCGAGCTGTTCGTGAGGGTAACTTGTGTAGTCACCCTCGCTCAACAGCTGCAGGCGGCTTTCGCCTTCGGGGATGGCGAAGAAAGACTCAACAGTCTCGTTTGAGACTTCAGCCAGGGTGGCCGGTTGCCACTCCGCTTGACGGGGGGGCTTAGACATTAGACGAGCCTTGACTCCCTCAACGAAATCGGGGTGACGCATGAAGTTGGCGGCAACCTGGTATTCACGCTGGAAGGTCTCTGAGATACTCCACTTCTTTCCGAGGCGCATTTGGCGGAGGGTAACCTTCAAGGAGGTGGGGGAACGGCTTGAGAGAGTCTTGAGGGTCTTCTCGGCCCAGTCCTTCTGCTCGGTCTCGTTCTCCAGCGCCGCGAATATCTCCTCAACGGTGTTGAAGCTGAAGCAACGGTCAATCGCCTTGCGCAGCTCGCCAGCCAAAAGCATTGGCTCCTCCTGCAGAGACGGGAGACCAAGCGAGTACTCAGCCATGGTCTTGTTCACGGTTTGCAGTCGCTCGGGCAGACCAACATGGTCGGGGAAAACCAGCTCGGACAGACGCTGGGTGACGTTGCTGAGAACACTAGAGTGCAAGTAGTGGGTCGCAATGCCAGAGTACAGGGCCTGGACACCGTTCAGGCGCTCAGAAGTCAGAGCCAGGTAGGTACCAGTCTCGCCATCCAGGCGCGGAAGGAAGAAAGAACCACCGACGTCGGGGAAGTAACCGATAGTTGTCTCGGGCATGGCGAAAACTGTGCGCTCGGTAGCAATTCTGAACGGGGCGTGCATGCTGAGGCCGACACCGCCGCCCATGGTGATACCGTCCATGAATGAGATAACCGGCTTGGAGTATGTGGCAATGGTGTGGTCGAGGCGAAATTCGAGTCCAAAGAAGTCTGTCGAAGCCTTTTGTCCCTCCGGTCCCTGCTCATTTTGAAGTGCCAGAGCAGCGACATCGCCGCCAGCACAAAGCGCCTTCGATCCTGCTCCCGAGATGAGGACGATGTTCGCGATTTGAGACTTTTCCCATTCCTGTATCCCCCATCATTAGCATACCCGCTAACCTGTGTATCAAAGGCCGACTCACCTTCAAACGGGGGAAGATTTTTCGGGCCATGGAGCCATTAAGGGAGTTGAGCTTCTTGGGTCGGTTGAGCTCGACGCTGCGGAGGCCGTAGATAGAGTTGAACAGGACATCGTCAGGCTCGTCGCCGGGGAGTTCCTTGGGAAGTTCGGGGGAGGTTGACAGCTTGCAGCAATTAGCATCTCTCACAGGATCACTACAGGTACTTCTCGTAGACTCACCGAAGCTGTTGCCCTGAAGGCAGGGTTGGTCACCTTGGCGCGTAGAGGCATTGCTGGCGATGAGACCCGCGAGATCCAGCTCGGCGGCGAGGGTAATCGTGAGAATGAGTGTCGCAGCAGCATGAAGAAGACTGGTGCCGAAGAAACGACGGAGAGGGGGTAGAATTATAATGGACGATCAGATGTTTCTCCGCTTTACCGTCGACCTCGGGAGTTTTTTGGACTGGATTTTCTCCGGTCCGAGGGCCACTTCTCCGCCTGCGCGACAGTGGCCGCGTCCGCAGATAGCCGCAACGTAGCCACTGGTATCTACATAGTAGTAATGGTAGGTAATGTTTAGTATTATCATTAGAGATAGATAGGGTCAATAATATTGTAATAATGGCAGTGATTCGATGGATCTTCATCTATTTACAGTCATTGTTCCCCGGTAAAGGACTCGTACTAGTTAGCAGGTCTCGTGTTACTAATAGTTGTAAAAGTGGTAATTGTAGTAGATCATACTCTATTTGTACATATTGGCCAGAATACAGAAACGAAAGAAAAAGATATAAATGCACATGTCCGCTCCTAGATCAAGCCCTTCACAGGTCAAGGTAACGTGCCTTGGAGGGCTTACTCTTCAAATCCCGCGAGTGCCACTGGAAGAACCGGTCCAGCGCCCTTTTCTCGATGATTAACCGCTCAGTCTCCAAGAGGTTCTTCACATCCACCTCACTGCTATCCCTAAGTGTCGCGAATCTCTTCAATTTGTCCATCGCATCAAACAATTCCTCGTCAAAGTCCGCGGTGATCAGAGTTGAACGGCCCTTCTTGGTGTTCCATCCATGCTCCTTCAGAATACGCTCCATCAGGAAAGGTGTAGACTTCGAAGGGATGGCAATGTTGTTGTCGATAACAATCATTTCGCCGCGCGCAAATCGATAACTGAGGGCAATGCGCCAAGCTTGGTCGTAGAGCTTAGCAGGTAGCCCGGTCGAAAAATCGCGAGGATGAGGACCATGGGCAACACCACCACCCACCCGAATTGGCGACTGCTTGTGACCCACACGAGCACGGCCAGAGCCCTTCTGTGCCATGAGCTTGCGGTGGCTACCATGAACGTCTCCCCTCCACTTCGTGCTGGCCGTTCCTTGCCGGGTCATGTCACCTTCGTAGATAACTGCGCGGTGAAGAATATCTTTCCGAATGGGCATCTGTAATTGTTTCTGGGAGTATTCCACGAGACGAGTGGGTTCCATAGAAGGAAAGTTGTAAGTCATGACTTGGACTGGGGCGTCCCACGGAGCCAACGGCGAAGTTTTCGAGAGATCAGGTGCGGATGAAGCGTTGGCCTGGGCCTCGGTGGCCATTGAACGAGTGAGGCATTGCCGCTGTTGTGAGTATGGGGTTAGCAAGCTGTATTCCTGCCACTTATTCCACTCATTCAAGCGATCCGCATCGCGCGGACAAAAATGAAGGTTCAATGATCATACCGTGACGGCCTCTGACCCCGACAAAAGTCCACCTGATGTGCGTGAGAGCAGCCTAAGCGCCCGAAAAGCCTCGCTGCCAGGCATTATGAAGAACCACGACAGTGATTGAGTTGTGTGGTCTGATTGATGTGCTGCTTCGAGCGTTTGGATGAGTTAGGGAGCAAAAGTTGACTAGGCGGTGACGACTAGCAGAAGTCTTGGCGGCGACGAGAAAATGTTCCCCCGGGTCAAACAACTTGCCAACACTCGACCTGCACCCCCAAACAATCCAACCACGGGACTCTCACACCATGGCCCATTGCGAGCGGGCATCTAGACCGCTGCTTCAATGTCTTCGCAGCTCTTACGCTAGAAGCCTGACCGGCCTCCAGGTCCAGGCACGTGGCTTCCAGTCAACAGCCAGTGTTGCAGAGGCTCAATCCGAAGAGACCCAACCTTTCCACAAGAACCTCGATCCTGAGCTTGTCTCAAGCCCTCGCCTAGAGAGACGTCTTATGCGACAGGGCACCACTCCAATTGGCTCCCGTCGTCGACGTGCCGCGCTGCAGGGCTCCCCCAACATTCCCTTCGAGCAGCTCCCCTACCAATGCTTCCAAGAAGCGCGAAATGTTCTGCTTGCCGATCGTACAGAGAAACTGGAGGAAATTGAGAAGATGAGACAAAGAATCGCGAGAGTTGAGGCTCTTTCGACCGAAGAGGTTGGAGGAGAGCAATCACGAAAGTCTCGCTTGGGCGCGATGCAATTGCACTTGGAGCAACTTAAGATCCATGCCGATATTAATGACCCTCAGGTCAAGCGCAAATTCGAAGATGGCCAAGGTACGTTCGATAAGGCTTCAAATTTTGAGCATTCTAGAGAATTGGTTCTAATTTGCTTCCCCATAGGCGATATGAGCAAGCCCATCTACCGTTTTCTGGCCGACCGGAAATGGCGGGAGTACCGCCGCAAGATCCTCGTTCAGCGTATCACACAAATGAAGGTCATCCCCGACGTCCTTCCTCACTGCGACCCCGTTGTCGACACGAAGCTGTACTTCGGCAAGCGGCAGGTTCAGGCTGGTGACTACGTCCTCGCGAACGTGAGCACGAGCGCCCCCAAGCTAGACGTGCAGATGTTCGAGCGTGGCGAGAAACTCGTTACCATCGCCGTTGTCGACTCCGATGTCCCTAATGTGGAGGCCGATAGCTTCGACTATAAGACGCACTATCTTGCCGTAAACGTGCCCATCTCGGCCGTCAACACCAAGGTCGATCTCGCCCAGCTTTCTGAAGACTCCCAAGTCGTTCTCCCCTGGCTACCTCCTGTTGCTCAGAAGGGTAGCCCTTATCACCGCCTTTCCGTCCTCATCATGGAGCAAAAGGATGCGCAGGCCCTCGACTTTGCGGCTGTCAAAGCCAAGGAGGCTGACCGGGACAACACCCTCCTCCGCACTATCCAGGCCCGCTACCATCTCAAGGCTATCGGCGCACACCTGTTCCGCAGCCAATTCGACGAGACCACTCTGGAGGTGATGAACCAGATCGGTTTCAAGGGAGTGGAGCTGGAGCTTCGCCGGAAGAAGGTCGAACCTCTTCCCTACAAGCGCAGAAACCCTTCCTCGTTCAGGTAATTTTTGTTCCTGTTCACTATATCTCCTATCAAGGCGCCATTTGAGTATAGATTTGTATTGTACAAGTGAATATGTATGAATATGCACAGCAGACCAATTCCCTCTGAAAACAAAACACCAAACTCCATGTAAATGCTCAGCCCATCGGTAAGGCCTAGTCGTCCAGTTCGGCCGGCTGCATAGTGTTCTTGACCCATTCCATCTTCGACGGTGGCCAGACACGAGCCACGATTTTTCCATTGATCAGGCCCAACGGGACGGGGCCGTAGTTTCTCGAATCTCTTGACCAGGGTAGGTTATCGCCAACGAGGAATACATGTCCTTCGGGGACCTATCTCGACACAAACTCAGTTAGTTCTGACTCAATAAGCATATTTCGGTAGTCATGAAGAGCAAAATACCTGTATCATATCCGGTTGCTTCCCAGCTTCTGTACTGAGTGGCTGATCACGACAAACAAAATCCCCCGGCATGCCAATAACTCTTTTTGCCGCATGTACACCCAAGAACGTTGGGTGATTGAATCGCACAACATCGCCAACCTGGATTCCCTTTCCATTGCTATGCAGTCGTGAAACAAGGAGCCAATCGCCGCGTGGGTTGAATGTCGGGTACATCGAGGGTCCCTCGCTGGATTGTACGGTCACTAGGTGCTCCCAGACCAGGGTGCAGGCGCAGAATGTGCCGGCGCCATTGAGCGCAAGGCGAGCAAACCTGCCCGGTTTGACTGTCAATGCGTATCGAAGTAGCTTCTCCATTGAGTGGACGGCAAGCACATGCCTCGATTTTTTGCAGAGCTCCAGACGTGTTGCTAATCTGACTCCGAATTGGTTATCGGCCATTGCGGAGACCGAGTCACGTGGTAACGGCTCTCTTTAAATTTTGATTTTTCCCACGGCTCCTCTTCCTCCCCGTCACTGCGCGCTCTTCACAATGATGAGCCCAGCAATGTCAGAGAGCTGTCTCAATTGCTGTCGCCATCTTGGGTGATTGACAATCTGCCATCTCGGTGTTTCATTGATGTGTGAAATACTTAGTTGACTCGGTCTATTTCTCCATATGGTTGCCTTGATTTCTTGAGCAGGGGTACCTTGATCATGTCTATTGGGGACTCGGTCATATCACCCTGTTTCTCGGGATCAAACTATACACCGTCTCTCAGCTTATCGCTGTTGGGATCCACCGCTTCTCCAATGCTAGAGCTTGCCGTCGCCGAAATACAGCACCAGGACGAGCAAGTGTGGAAAACGAAGCAAGATTGACACGACCGGTCCGTCTATATGACAGGCCATCCCCCTAACTTGTCTCATCTCGACCCCATTTAACTATGGGACTGGGTCTATGAGGCTTGTGTAGCGGGGAGACAATCTCCTAAACACTTACAATTGTTATGACTTAAAATCAAATATCAAGTTTTAGAATTCCCTCTCTATCCATGTTTCCAATCAGCTTGTGACTTTGGTTCCATATCCAAACGGCAAATCTTTATTTATCTTTCTAATTCATAGTCGCCCACATCGAGTCGGCATCTATGGAAAAACGAAAACATCGTTAGTGGAACGAGCGCTCGCGAAGTTGGAATTATGAAATAATACAACAATCAGCGACATACCTGGATGCTTATCAACCTCCGCAATATTCTCCCTCTTTTTCGCCTTCTGTCGATGATCTACACCAAATCTCTCGTCTCTTTCCTTCAGCAGCGCTTCTAGTCCTCCCTTCCGAGCCTTTTCCACACTCTCGGGAGACGTGAAACTCCCCATCAACTGCGGCGGTCCCATTGGCACTACATCACCACGATCAACTTGCCACATATGATAGGTTTTACCGTAGATGGGAACAATATCCTCCATCTCCGCCGTCTCCGCCGCATCCCAAGCTGGGGCAGCAATGCCTACTGGCGCAGGCATAATGAGCATCCCGCTCTTGACCTCGAACTCGTGCGTGTGCCATAGCTTGCGCTCCTCTTCCGGAAGTGTTCTGAAGATGCGTGGGCTGACCATATACTCAACGCCAATGAGCCGGGCATTAGTATTGGGTGAGTCGTAGATCAGACATTGACGGACATCTAGATGCAAGAATAGATTCTGTGTTAGTTCCTTCGCTCCGGGTTGTACTAGCACTAGTAGTACGGCGAGTTTTGTCCGGAGCTAGGCTTACCTTCTGTGAGATGTGTGCAATAGTGATTCGCCTCGACGCAGCGGGTTGGGTCGTTGGCGTAAACGTGGAATGCATTTAAATGGGCGCATATTTGCTGTATTGGCTTGAAATCCTGCACCATTGCCGCGCCTGTTTCGAGTATCTTGCTTTTCACAGTTCGAGGATCGCCTGGAATACCGCTGAGCTCTGGGCCGGAGCTTCCTGCGCATGCTGACATGTTGTGTACTACTGATACTAAGTAGTATATATTCCCAAGTTCAGACCGACTTCCAACTTGGAAGGTTATCGATTGAGCAATTTTCGTAGTTAATAATTGGAATGAGATAAGTTGAGTGTGGCAAACTTGAAGCACTTCGAGAAGCACAAATTGAATTCGCAGGCAAACATAGAAAAAGACAAGACATCGATGCTAGCCTATGGTTTTGTCCTATCCTGTGTCTCGTGGATTTTGGTTAGTTTGACGTCACAATGACTGTAGATTTACCGCTACTCGGGCATGACATAAAATAATAAATAAACTCCGGCTATTGACCAAGCAAATCCATTGCCTTCAACGATAAACCTGATGTTCAAGTTTACCAAGCCATCCATGCAACTTGAAAATTCCAGAAGAAGTCTTGCTTGAAACCTCTGATAATCCAGGCCCCACCCCACCAATCAATTTCCCTCAATTTATTGCTCTAGATTCCATTCTTGCAACCTCAATATTTGCTTGTGCTTCAAGTTAGACACTGAATATTCATGTAACGCTGCAGGTATTTGTGTTGCCGGGGATGCTGAAGTTATCTGCAACGCAGGTAAATGATGCCCGATGAGACGATACATCCTATGTTGTAAATAAACTCAGACATAACAGAACCACGTAAGGGGCATTGAAGATAGCTCTGAAGAGAGTATACAAGGCTATCCTCTGATTCATCGCATATGTGATGTTGTCAATGCGAATGTTGTGCTACATTTGATCAGTACCCGACATGATTTACTGGGATGATTGCAAATCGCGAATTGAGAGGAACTCAAAAATGATGCGGTTTTCCATCTGCCGAAAATGAGCACGCACAGGTCTATTGAAATCAGATCCTTGACCACATTCATGGCGGGCGGATGGTTTGCTGATTCTACGTGTCATATCTGGCTTGGCATCCTTGCTGGTCTTGCTGCATTATTGGGCTTGGACATATGTACATCGGGGTGTAGGGTGCTAGTAGACATGAACTGTGATCGATAACAACGAGTGTTTGTTGTCCAGACATGCAGACATCGTTGTCAGGGTTGGTTATTTTGCTCAAAGTAAACTTAGTATGCGATGCTCCGTATCTGAAGAGTGGAAAACTTGAATTAAACACCCCCTCCCCAATACGAGCCCCAACAGAAAAATTCTTCACCTCAGAGATTACGAGTAGACTTTCCTCTCACAACCTTACCGTTTGAATACCCAAAAACGGCAAGTCTTCAGCTCACTCCAACTCCACGGAGGAGTCGGAAGAACGAGCCCAACGGTGGGGAGCACATGACCCAGCGATCGGCCGGTAGACCTGCACCAGAAATCAACTATTTTCCCCAATGCAGCCAATCTTGCACTGGTAACGAACCCGGAAGCCACTAAGGACATACAAGGCTATGGTACTCCGTACTCTGTCCCCGTCGATAGGCGAAAAAGCCGAAACTTGCAATGCAGGACGGGCTGAAAAGTTAGAGCGAGATCATATGGATACAGCGGTCTCTCTAGCCTTGAGGCATAGACTCCATAATATGGCCACAGACTCCACCCGATCTACACAAATGAAGAAAATGGGAGATTGGAAGTTTTTAGACGAGAGAACCCAGTGTTTCTAATTGCTGGGAGTGGCTTGACGGACTCCATTCGCGGGCCCAAAGTCAATAAGGGGATCCAGCTGTGGCACGCTAACCTCTGCGCTAGCCATGCGACTGGGGTTACTGTGCACATCGCGGGAAAATGGCACGAGGGCCCCTTCACCTCCACGATGGCGGAACGAGACGGGAGTCCCCATTGTGATGGGCAGTTTGGGAAAGGATGCGCGGTGGAGTCGAGGGTTAGGACTTTGGGAGGGCGTGTTTCCACCCTGAATTGCTGCAGATGCAGATCCCTCTCGGCCGTGATTGACAGTGATTAACTAGGTGGGTACGATCACGAAGTATAGGAGTCATTGCACAGGATGCACGGAGTACGAGTACGGAGAATGGAGTTGTAAGTCGTCACGGAGTGCACCCCTGAGGGTGCTCAGTCAAGGTGGGATGGAGATACACAGCCTAGGAGGCGCTGAGGGGGCCCTCGGGGGCGTCGATTCGATAAAATAGTGATCACGGACATACGTACACCGTTCCCCAGTGGGACGGGCGCATGGCTGGGGGGGGGGGGGGAGCATATATCCAACGCTCGTAAGCAGTAGACGAAACACACCCAGGCATCCGAATTCGCCAGCTGACTCGAGTTCCAAGCCTCGAGCCTCGAGCCTCGCTCGTCAGCGCAGGATGAGAAGGGGAATGAGTATGGATCACGGATCACGGCGTGTGCAGGACGGAGACACTCACCGACCCAATGCCGCTAGAGATAGCCCCCTCCGTTAGCCCATCAGTACTAGGGGCTGCTGATGGAGACCATGAGAAGCCCCAGATTCCTATCACTTGTCTAGCACCCATCACCCGCAGGTCGATAATCGGCGCCATGCCTTGCGGCTGGGCATGTGTGGCCATCTCACTGCATCACTGCGGACTCACCCTTGCCCGCTGCACCGATCGGCCCCTTGGGAGTGGAGGAGGTATGTCTGAGTGCCACCAAGTAGTTACCAACGAGGAACGAGGCGCAGAGAGGGTTCAGGATCGGCCCCTGCAGCTGGACCTATCGTAGGCCAGGAGAACTGAAAATTGGAGCTGGATAAGCATACCGCCAGGTCCCATCCGAGAGTGCATGGACCACACCCCAAACCCGGGGGTTCACAGATTCAATATTAGAAACAGACTTTTTATTAGAGTAAATGGCGGGACTAGTATGTTTGTAGCAAGTAAATTGGGGGCCAAGAAGGTTGAAAGTGAAAATGCCAACCATCTATTGGCCCAACCCCCTGGTCCAGTTGGATCCTTTGAACACACCTTTGAACAGGTATGTACACTACGTAGAGTGTACTCCTGATGGAGTGAGTCGGGAATAGTGACTACGGATACTCCGTACGCCGTACTTTCTGAAAATAACATACCGTACCAACAGAAGTCTTTGACCGCTGCCTCGTACTCTCGAACCTGCTCTAGTCAGGCTCCGATCCAAAAATGTTGATCGGCCTCGACCCACTAGAACCTGGGCCTTGTGTGGCGTCGCGCCTCAGGCGTCAGGACCTCCTGACTGAGAAAGCTGGCCTGCATGCCGGACTCTGCCCGACGGATAGGCGCCCTGCGATGCATGACGAAACGTCGAAGCTCCTTATCTGAAAGAAACATACGGGATAGATGTGGATGTACATATATGCGTGGTCAAAGACCCCTCTCCAGCTGGGCGATGCGCCCTGTCACAGACAGGGACGAGAGTCTGGTAATGGTTCGATTCTGAAGCACAGCCGTCTCGCTGCGTTGCAGCCTACCGGAGAACGGCAGGCTCGGTTTCAGCTGATTTGTGCAAATCGCACATTGAGACAACGGGCCAGCTGCATACCGTTGAGTCCATTATCCATTTAGGAGACGACGGCGGGGTGGGAGGACAACGCTCGGAGGATAATGGGTCCAATCTACCCACACACCATTTACATACAGATTCCAACACCCCTACTCCGTAGGAGATCGTCCAAATCATCAGGGCAACCACCTGGGCAACAAGAAGGGGGGGCCAAGCTAAGCCATACCAAGTGACCGGATCAGATACTAGTATTAGAAGGAATCCAACCGAGAAAGAGAGCACATTTTTGCCCCCCCCTCACAGGCCTCGCGCTGGGAGTTTGTTTTATATCGTCGTGGAGCACATCATCGCAAGGGCCCCCATGCCTTGGTCCCCGAAGGCGGTGCTACACCGTAAGAAGTTGATGACATGCCACTAAGGCAAGCCAAATTGATTTGCCCGCAGTTGTTTCCGACTGAGGCTACGCCGTAAAGGGGAGGGAGGGGAGACGAGGGGAAAGTGGATAGAGAACCCACTGACAAAAGGAGCAATCAGAAGGGCCAGATAGAACGTCTGGAAGACGAAGGAAGGCTGGATCGGCTCCGCCCGTGAGAGTGGAATGGAGTTCGCCCAGGAACTAGCACGCGTCACAGGTCAGAGAGGGAAGTGGGGATAGGAGGGTAAAAAAGAGGCTCGCAAGAAAGAGCTGATCAAAGCCCGATCTGGCATCGGGTCTCGGAGAGTGACCGCCATTCAATCTCGGGCCTTCAATGGATATTGGGGTCATGGATGATGAACTTTTGACTATTTGGTCGTGGATCCTGGATCAGCTGGATCAAAGAAATGCAAGGCAATCACCGCAACAAGGAGTTGACGACGACGTACTTCTGATCTCGTACTAATACCTAAGACGGAGTACCGTTCGTGTTACCAAGGTCTAGAACTGGAAACCCGAACCTGACTAAAGGTAGGAAGTACAGGACAGGACAAGGCTATCAATATCTCTTGAAGGTATGCTACGAGTATGTACTCCGTACATACCGACCCATGCCCACTTTTTTTTCTTCTATACTACAGTAGTTGCATGTACATAGCTACCGTAGCATGTACATATTTACACACTGGCGCAATATCCTTGCTCCATGTACTCCGAACTGCGTACCCAGTACACTCGGCACTTAACAGGATGCCGCCGAAAGCTGACGGCCACCTGCTGCGGTGTGCTCAAGGCGGCATACTCCAGAGATCGGCGAGTTGGGATTGTGTCAGGGCCCACCTCAAGGGGGAATATTGGCCCCTGAGCTTCTGGAAATGGACCGTGGGCGCATTCTCCAATTTTTCACTTTGTAAATGTGGCCCCTGCAGTGCAGGAAGTGGAGCCCTGCAAATGCGTTCCGAGGCGGGCTTGGATCGCTTGCGGTGGGTGTTTTGCATTTTGGCATTGGTCCCCTGAGCGCCGCATCCTGTCCCCCATGACATCGTTTGCGTTGGAAGTGGAGTCAATTGGCCAGAGGGGTAAAACAAGCAGAGGGGGACAGAGATCTAGGGTGAACTATGTATATGTGGTGTACATTAATGGGTGAGACCACCTGAAGAACATCTATAGAGTGAGTACGAGTACCATTATAGTCCCAAAGGGTTAGCGGCACTAACCTGAAAGCCCGAACCTCTCCTCAATGAAGAATAATCAATAAAAAAGAGCCCTAAACGGAAGCAAACCGGTTCCCGGCGGGCCCGAACAGGGCTGGTTTGGCAGTTCAGCGCTAAACACGATGAGATCCGCCCGGCCACGTTGTGAATGGTGGCTCTACCGCCAGAGTAGAGTGGATTTCCTTTTTAGGCTTTTTCACCGAATTTTCGTCGGGGTTTTCGCTCCTAAAAGTTGCTCACAGACCACGCGGGCCAGAATTAGCATTAGTATGTATCTATTGATCCCAACCCCGTTGACTAGTGCCACGTTAGTGACCATCCCAACTGGAAATTGGCCTTGAAGGCACCTATCGGAGTCCAAGTGCCAGGATTCATTGGGCCCATGAATCAGGATTCAGGAATGAGGAGATCAGGAATTATGATCTCCTACTCCGTACTCCGTACTTCGTAGAAAGCATGGCGCAGGGGACTGATCACATTCAAATCAGATCCTGGTCACTATGTGCATCCCCCTCCCCAGGAATACTAGGCCCCGGCCACACGGTCGGAAACTCTCGATATGCTATGTAATTTGGCTGGACTCGACCCTGGCTGACTTGGAAAGATGGGTGTACTCGAATAGGATAACCTAAAAAAACAAAAATAATACATAGAAAATAAAAAAAAACTTTGACCAACAACTCCACGTTCATTGGAATTGCCGAGCTTCCCGCCCAGCGTTGAACACGGGCGAACGCTGGTGCCGGTACGACTTCCACTCTTTTACCTTAATGAAACAGTTCCACTAGCCCGTACAACGCCTCCTCGGGTAATGCATGTTGTGTGTGCCCCATGCAACTCAGGTGACGCTTGAGGATGACTACCGTACGGCGCCGCGCCGTACATATTATATTACTTGACGATGGTGATCCTAAATGCAGCCCGCCTACGGAGCATAGTTCCAGGTGTCTCATTGGCCCAATCAAGAGCCGAGAGGGGCAGGATCGGAAGAAAAGATAGTGAAGATCGCGGTGGCGATGATGCATCTCCTGCATCATGTACTCCGGATGGAAGAGGACGCATGCCGGAGAAAAGAAACCAAGTTGCAAGTCAGATAATCTAGGCTGCGACGAAGCAGGCGAGAAGCCGTGGTGATTGGAGAGAATCCAATACACCAAGGGTGCCAGAAAGCCAGCAGCCAGCAGCCAGCAACCAGGAAAGTTGGGACGTGGCTTTGCCCCTCCGTCAAGTGAGAAAGACCTGACTCTAGCGTATGTACTAATCTAGACCACTTGGGAAAAGCCCCGTGAACAACCAAGCATCTGGTAGAGACATGACTCCGTCATGTTCTCTCATCGACATTAGGGTGACTCCACTTGGCCCCCTTGTCCATATCCCGGCAGGAACACGAAGGATGTGCGAGGCGATCTTGAATGGAGCTCATCACATTGTAACCCTTGCGTAACGGAGTCCGGTGCATGTACGGGAGGTGTGGTATAATGGTTAGTATGTACTCCATTACAGGATGGTTTTTGGTTTTTGGACTAGGGAGCGCCATGTTCCATGAAGAGAACAAAGGAAATGCCAACCACTACGGAGTACCACATCGTCGGTATGTATTGACATTCTCTTATTGCATGGCTGATCATCTCCGTGAAACGGAAGAAAAATCAGTCCTTAAGCGACTGAGGAGGGGAATATTGGCTGTCGATCTGGATGGATCGCGGGCCAAGCAGCATTCCATGGGCGGTTAAGAGGGCCAAGGTTCCTGACTCTTGGGTTGGAAAGTAAAAAATATTAAGCCAAAAAAAAGTCGATAAAAATTAAAAAAATTAATTTGGAAAAAAAAGAGGAAAACGGGAGTTGTGTCGCCCCAGAATGGGTCCGTGTGAAGGTCCACCTTGAAGCCAGTGGAGATGTGACTGGATTCTGACTCTGCTTTTTTCCCCACGCAGACGCGCGCGACGTATAGGAAATCCCCACCGTGCATTTTGTACCTGTACCTCCGGAAGATTCCCTGTCTCCTTCCTATGGGTCCCTGCCCGAAACGGTGGAACTTTGATTCATCATGGACCCGGCCCTTTATTTGGTTCTGGGACTAGGCTCGTTTCGTTAGTGTCAACGTCGTGTCATCTTAGCATGTGCGGTGGGATCGTGGAGCTGGGGCGGGTGGTAGATCGCAGCCTCCCTGGATTCCCTTTATAATAAAGATAATCTGCTCGCCCTGGCGCCGCCCGCCTTCAATCCTAGATACATACACTGTGACTATCCCACGCTCCCGTGCTGCGGTTCCTTCACAGGGACAACGGCCTTGCAATATTCACCTTCCCCCAACATCCCGTCCTTTCTCAACCAGCGAATTTTCCTTATAACTACTTTGGTCATCCTCTCACTGGACAGCCTGGGCATCATATAATTGACGCTCAGCTGCCTCAGTCAACTCACACATCTCCTTCTATGGCCAACTACTGCTATCAACAACCAGCCTCTTCGCCAGGCTCGCAATGGTTCCCGCAAAATGTCTCTAACCAACCCTCCAACATGCAAGATTGGACTCATGTTTTCCCTCGTCCTCGGCACACTAGGGTCATAAAGCCTCGTAGTGCGGGCAACAGTCCCTCGTCTGTCAGCCGAAGGAGAACAACCGTTGCCCAGAGTGCCATGCAAGGGATGCCGACCCAGTATCAATCGTCCCTTGAAGCTGCTTTACTTGCCTCTGCAGCTCGGAACTCTCGCCCGATCAGCTGGCATCCATCTTCAAACAGGGCCCGTGGCCTTTCGCACTCGTCATATGTCCCTGACTTCTCCTCGGAGATGTACCCCGGCATGGGTGGCATCTCAGATCAAATCAACGCCTTCCCCGTCTATGGCAGCGACAACATGATGCCCTATACCATGTCAGCCGGCCCTGCCTATTCACCTGGCTATCTTCCTGTGTATTCGGATCCAATGCAAGAGGCCATTCCCATGCCTCATCCGACTCCAGCACTATCGATGCCTGGCTCGCAGGTCGAGCAAATGGCCTGGGATGTCGCAGCAACCAACGCTGACTTCCCGAACGTGGCTCAAACGACTTCTGATGGCTGGTCCTTAGATATGCTTTCGATGGCCAACGTTCCCCCTGCGGAAACAGCTTGCCCTAGCTATGCTAGTGTGCCATCACCCGGTGAACTCAGCGGGCCCTCAACACCTGACTTTTTGCCAATTCAACAACTCGACGATTTTCCGATCCCAACTCAAACTAAGAAAGATGGTAAAGCCGAGGAGGAGTTAGTTGGCATGGGTCTCTACAACCAACCCGACCGATCTCTCACCCAGACTCAGCCGGGATCCCTGGGCAAGGGTCTCAAACTCGAGGAAACATTTTCGCCATCCGACGACGAGAACGACGAGAGTGTTCAAGACGTGGATGAAGGAAATGGCTTCCAACCTGTTCAGCAAATCCCAACCGAGCAGCCTGCGATCATGATCCAGCCGCAACAACCACAGACGACAATTTCCAAGCAACCATCTAAATCTGGAATGAACCTACTTCACAAATCCTTTTTCTTCGATCATGATGATCTTGATCAGCAGCCGATGCACATGGCACAGCCATTTGCGAACTTGAACCAGTCTTGCATGAACTACGGGTATGGTGGATGGATTTGAAGGCTATCCTGTGATTCCATTTTCTTTTTTTATCTCCTGCATTTTCCCCGACAATTTTATTTGATTGCGTGGTACGACAGCGGCATAGCAAGGAGTTTTATGTTTTTTTTTTTTTTTGGGATTGACGGAGTTAGAATGCATGGTCGGATACCCTGGGAATAGCATAGCGATCAAGCCGTGGCTTAACCATGTTGCTTTTGAGACATTAGCGAGAAGCGACTAGTCTCACAAATACAATCAAATTACCTCACCAAATATCACCTTTGTATATTCTTGTGGAGACATTTCGTAGTACTACTACTATGTAGTAGTATTACTCTTTTGGAGAGCTCAGCCGATCGGACCGCTGATTGGTTGCAGACCAGCTCCGTTCGGTAAAATAATCTCACTCTGAGGCGGCTTTGATCGCAAGCCCGCCAAACCAAGTTTTGCAGAATTCACCGTCATTTTAGTTTGTCATTGATCAATTTGAAATGACTTGGGGTACTGCAGTATCGCCGGTATTCAGAACAAAGGATATCTCAACACATGTACCACTGGTACTATCTAGATACACACTTGCAGTAGATGCGGCGGAAATGACCGAGCTTTCAATGAGACGTATTCTCGTAGCTGGTCCTATTTGAAAGACAGGGCGGGGCCTATTTGAACGTGTAATGTACCAGCACTGTACATTGCATCCAGCAGCTTTCCGGAAAAGAGGAGTCCTCTCTGGGGTAATAATGCGATCCAAGCTGAAGTGCATTTCCACTTGGCTGGCGAGTAAGACCGCCTCGGCAAAACATTCCCGATGGAACAACCTCCTTCCGAAAATATCTCATCGCCGAGAAAAGATATCACCAATCGGATATCGGGCTCGACAAAAATTCAGTGAGAATTCAACCGGTGAATTTACTAGCTCATCAAAATGGCCAAGGTCATCTTCACCGCTTGGAAAGACCAATCGCAATTACTTGACGTGCGAAGCAAGTTCTACCCGTCAGCTTCATATGAAGGCCCTGACTTGCGCTCACACGCCTGTGCCACAGTATGTGAATCCTGCCATATAGAGTATTTTTTCTTTGCTTTGTGCTGACTATTTTGTTTAGGTTGAGGCATGGAAGCTGCGTGGCAATGTTCCGCATCATGTTGAAGCAACTGCGCTGCTGACAGACGCGATTCTTCACGACGATGCCCAGCACAACTCGATTTTCTCCATTCGGGCCACTTACTCGGCGGCCTTTTGTCGGTATGCTACCTCGCAATTATTCATTTCCCCTCTCCATTTAATAAATACTAAGTACATCATAGATTCGTGACCGGTCTTGTGGACTCGAAAATCCAGGGCCCGCGCAAGACCATGTTTCAACGTGCTGTTGACCTGGGGTTGCCTGCCTCATTTGTGGAATTACGCCATGAGGCAACTCACCGGGAACCCCCGTCACTAGTTGTGCTGCGTAAGGCCTCACAGCGGTCCCTCGAATGGCTTTGGGACAACTACTGGGCCGGAATCGACGAGCTGGGTGACGTGCCAATGATTGAACGCAACGATATTGCTTCCATCGGGTCTGCCCTGGGTGATATCCTGCGGAAATATTCAACTGAATCGGAGCAATCGCAAAAGAAGCGGAAGCGGGATGAGGATGATGCACTTGCAAGCCAACTCATTTCGACATGCGCTGCGTCTGATGAAGGGGTGAAATTGCTGCCTGCTGTTCTGTTGGAAGAGTCTGTGTTGATTGATTCTGAACGACAGTGAGTTTTGTGCCCGAAACCGCGCATATGGGGTCGAATTACACCGGAGTATATGCTAACAACACTGATAGACTCGGAGAGTCCTTAAATAAGGCATTCAAGCATTGGGATCCCGTCCTTTTGAAAATAACTGAAAGCAGTTCTTCTTTCTTCACTCATTTTGCCGAAGCGCTGGTAAACAGACTGGCCTTCGATCCCGCAATTGAATCACCGCAGAATGCATACGCAGAAGCACTATACTTATGGCTAGACCATATATCGACCTCGTCTACCTGGGGGGGTTCATCGACCATTTTTCCCGCGCAGTTATGTTCTGAGTGCCTGTGAACAATGCTCTAGCCACTGGACTCAGACGCTTAGCAAGGAACTGGAGAAGAAGGGCAAGGCTACCAAAGTTGCTCCGGTCACAATCGGCAACTCTTCCAAGTTGAAGAGAACATCATCCAAGAGCTCCATGCATGTCGAGACTAACATATCATCGAAGCTCAGCGGGCATGGATGGGAACCTCTTCAAAAGTGGGACAGTCGGCCTTTGGGGATATCTTCAATCAACTAGTTCTATCTAATGTAATTGACCATAGAGTTATTATCACCTTGCTGCAGGCAGCCAAGGCCAAATAAAAAAATCATTTATCCGCCAATTATCATTTGCTCGATTTTCTATATTTTTCGATTAAAGTAGACCAATCAGATCGTATGCAATTACTAAGGCATAGTCCGACGGTCCTCGGGACAAAGTCGGTCCGCATGACGTTGCTGTGTAATCCGCTTTCTAGCTTGAACGAACGCGATAATATTCAATCCAAGAGCTTCCCCCGCACTTCCCGTTGTTGGTAATGAGTTTCACAAGAGCTGCACGATTTATAACTTCTCGTCCGTATCGCTTTCACTCAGCCAGAAACATGCATATCCAGTCGATTCCTATGTGTACGTTCGTTGCTCGACCCGCATTACATCTACGCGGCTAGCAATTGCCGATAGCTTACCATTCTTTTCTCTAGGGACGGGGAAGGGCAACAACTATGCCTATCTGGTGACAGATGAGCCCACGAAGCATTCCGTTATCATTGACCCTGCCAATCCTCCTGAGTGAGCCTCTTTCTCTCTCCATGCGAATTATGTGAAGAACTAACCGGTGCTCTGCGATAGGGTGGCTCCAGAGCTGAAGTCCCAGATCGACTCTGGAAAGATTGATCTAACTGCCATCGTCAACACACACCAGTATGTTTTTCGTTTCATCTGTTTTGAGTAGAAGTACCCCAGACTGACCGATCTACTTAGCCACTGGGATCATGCCGGAGGTAACGATGACATGGTAAGATGTTTAGGATTTATCTACACATTCTTCCAACTAACACCGCTTAGCTGAACCAATTTGGCAAGCTGCCTGTCATTGGTGGCAAGAACTGCCAGTCTGTCACACAGTCCCCGGCTCACGGAGAAACATTTAAGATTGGAGAGCGGATTACAGTGAAGGCACTGCACACCCCGTGCCACACACAAGATAGCATCTGCTATTTCATGCAAGATGGAGACCAGCGCGTTGTCTTCACCGGTGACACTCTTTTCATTGGCGGTATGCTTCCTGCTGATTTATTCTAGTGTCGCGTTGGTTTGATTTGCTCGAAACTAACTTGCTTAGGCTGCGGTCGTTTCTTTGAAGGAAATGCCGAAGAGATGCACAAGGCGTTGAACGAGACGCTGGCATCCCTACCTGATGACACCAAGGTCTACGTATGTTCATGACCTAGACCCGTCTATGGAATATTTTACTTACCCTTTCCAGCCCGGCCATGAGTACACCAAGGCGAACGTCAAGTTCTGCGTTCATGTGTCTCAGTCTGAGCCGATCCTGAAACTCCAGGCATTTGCCGAGGCAAACCAGCAAACACAAGGCAAATTTACCATTGGCGACGAGAAGGTATGTGCCATGACGTTCTCGTGCCTTTGATTAATACTGACAGAGATATAGCTTCACAATGTGTTCATGCGTGTCAATGTAGGCAAATCCCCCCTTTGCTAGGCATATCGATATGCTAATTTCAAATGCAGGACCCCGAGATCCAAAAAGTCACCGGAAAAACCAACCCAGTCGATGTTATGGCAGCTTTGAGAGAGATGAAGAATTCCATGTAGTTATAGCAAAACAAAGCAAATGTGGAGGGCCTAGACTCCAGGGCCCATTCTATTCCGGGGGATCTTCGTATTCCAGCGCGAGTTTATCCGAAGTCAATACTAGTAGCTCCATTGGTCAAACTAGGATAGGATAGGCGTGGGTAATCTTTAGAACAAAGAAATCCTCAAAAGCGTCTGTAGACTAAGAGTTTGATTCGATTTCACCCAGTTCCCCCTCCCTCAAGGGATCAAAAATGCGCCGACCGGCGGGCGAGTCGCGAGGGATGAGCGGATCGACGTCATGCCCACTTTCTTTCTAATCCGCGCTGATTGCCTTTCATTGCATCCCACCACACCCCGACCAGGAAACTATCTAAGCCACGCAAAATGACAATCTGATCAACAAGCAAACAAAGCTTACATACTTTGAACGATGGACTCTGACCGAAAGTCGTCCTCGCCCGCCGTAGACGAGGTATGTGGGCTGCGGACACGCGGGGCATCGCAAACAAACTGACCCACGCATGATAGAGCTACGGAGGGGCCAATGACCCCGATGCGCAAAACCGGCTGGAGGTATGTGATACCTCATAGGCTTCTTATTACCGTGCTAAGTTGTGCGTTTGTTCTCTTTCTCTCTCTAGGTCGTCTTCTACCCCGACTCGAGCCACCGCCGCAAATCCTCTCTGGTGACCATGGAGAAACCTAGATTCCGGCACCACTTCGACCAGCATGATAGGACAACCGCCTGCTATGTGCATTCTCTTATCGCAGGGGAATGGGCATCGCCTCTCAAGAATCCGGACGGGGCTGCGGAAGATGAAGAGGCTCAAGAGGTGATCCGTACACTCAATGAGGAGGAACCAACGATCGATACGAGCGCCCTCGACGACGACCATGTTGTCTCGATGGTTGATGGTGATGGTAGCAATATGAAACCATTTCCTACGGTCATTCAATCACGACATTTGACCAAGCGCCAGCTGTCGGACATGGCTTGGAATGTTCGCAAGCTATCAAAGAAGCTCGGTAGCATTAAGCTTAAGCTTACGGTGAAGAATGTCTTCGTGGTGAGCAAGGCATACGACGAATCTCTTGTTAGCTTAACGCGCAAGGTAACAAGGTGGCTTCTCTCGAAGGACCGTGATACTCTTTATAATGTGTATGTGGAAAAGCGGATGGAGACACACCCAGATTTTGGGACTCTCCAGCTCATTCAGGAGAACTCGTCGGCCAAGGGCCGGCTGATGTTTTGGGATCCAAAGCTCGCCCAGGATCAGCCACATCTCTTTGATTTTGTCGTCACGTTGGGTGGGGATGGAACGGTGCTTTACACCAGCTGGCTATTCCAGCGTATTGTGCCGCCGGTTCTGTCTTTTGCACTCGGCTCATTAGGGTTCTTGACAAACTTCGACTTTGCCGATTACCAGCATATTCTGGAGAATGCTTTTCGGGACGGCGTTGTCGTCAGTCTCCGGTTACGTTTCGAGTGCACTATTATGAGAAGCAAAGCACGATTGAAGGATCCTCATGCCATGGGACTGACAAGCCGAGATTTGGTGGAGGAGCTTATCGGCGAAGAAGGAGAAGACACACTGACACACACTCCTGATAGAGTGTATGAGATTCTAAACGACGTGGTGCTTGACCGTGGGCCAAATCCAAGTATGTCTCTACTTTCCCATCTGCCTGCGACGACTCATGCCCGTATCTAACCATTGCCAGCCATGTCCCAAATCGAATTATTTGGCGACGACGAGCACTTTACCACGCTCCTTGCCGATGGGATATGTATTGCGACCCCGACAGGTTCGACAGCCTACAACCTCGCTGCTGGTGGATCTCTATCACACCCCGAGAACCCAGTAATCCTCGTCACTGCCATTTGCGCGCACACCCTATCCTTCCGTCCAATTATTCTACCAGATACCATAGTACTCCGGATGGGTGTGCCTTACGATGCTCGGACAAGTTCCTGGGCCAGTTTTGATGGCCGCGAGAGGTGAGCTCTTTGCATGCATATATCTAATGAATGTCACGGCTGGCAGCCAGCTAACAAAGGATTGTAGGGTTGAACTGCATCCCGGAGACTACGTTACAGTATCAGCTTCGAGATATCCATTTGCTAATGTCCTTCCCCAAGGGCGACGAGGCGAGGACTGGGTGCATAGCATCTCGAAAACTCTCAACTGGAATTCGCGCCAGAAACAGAAGAGCTTCAAGTAGCGGACCCACTTCATGATATGCAATTTTTTTTTTCTTTCGGCGATATGTTTCAATTTGCTTTTGTTGGGCTAGCAACGACCACTGGATGGTCTAAGCTAGGAGTACATACGGGTCGAATAGGTGAGAGTTCCTAGATAACCAGAGGTATTATTCAAACTTAAAGACGTATGTATTTAGATAGAACCCAACGTATGGGGGCTTTTGCTAGTAGTCGGAGCTGGTCGACTTGGTTCAATGTCGCTGTTGGAAAATTTCGTATAGTGGATCATGCTTCCACATTTCAAGACTTTGCCGAAAAGAATTCTTTATTGTTTATTATTACTCGTACCTAGGTAGTACCTAATTTGAATGCAAATTTTCTCGAGTGGATAACGACCTCTAGAAGCTTCCCACTCTGATGGGTCTCGGTCTCGGTTTCGGTGTGGTGTGGTGTGTGGTTTCCGGGGCAGCTGGACCGCCCTATAAAAAGGGCCGTTCCCTCCCGAAATTTTTTTTCCTCCTCACAATCTTCTTCCACTCAACTTTCGGGCACAAGAAGCTTCATGTTGCTTTCTTGCTGCCTGGCTGAGCATGGAATCAAATCGCCTTATTTCTCCAACAAACTAACTTGGTAAGTTGCAGACTTTTTTCTTCGTTATTCGCATATGCATCTGCATTTGCAACACCACCGTTCCAGCTGGGCCTTTTGGCCCTTCTATGATGAAAACTTTTCCTACATTCGCAGTTTCCACGCTAGCCGTCGCTCGAACCTAAAGTTAGACGGCAATGGGCGCTGAATCTTCCTTGGATGTCTGATTGAATGCTGGTCAACGGATTTTTGATTTTTTTCTTACTTGACTATTGGGTCGAACCTCGCTAACATTGCTGGTTCTTCAGAATAGGAATTCTCTCTCACATACTCGTGTGCAATGCACTCTTCGGTCTGGATTAGACCAAATATGAATATACCTGGGGACTGTCACTACCGCCACCCATCTCCATCTGTGCTTGCTTGGCTGGTGAAAATCTTCATTGGCTCTGGAACGCATTTGTGGGAGGAAGTGCCTGGTTGTCAGTCACGCCAACATTTTATAGACCAAATGAATTACATCTTCTTGAAAACTGATGGATTTATCTCTTACCATTGTAAATATTGTAAACCAAATAAAATTTAAGCAGGATGCTGAGCCTGGACCTGGACTTGCTCTTCGACAAAAATTCCCCCTCTGGCTGCACCCGAGGGCGATGTGCTCCACCGTAGATCGCATCCACGTCGAACCTCCGACACTCCCCCTGGTCTATGTTGAACCAAATATCATAACCCTTGATCTGGACCAGCCACCTCACCACCCACAGCTACTACCTCGATCCTCGTTACCGATATCTATTCCCGTCTGAAGATCGCGCTCGTCGCATTTCCTCCACATCATGGCGGCACCGCCCAGGCACGTCTCCATGCTTTCCATCAGCAACAACAACGCCGGCACCCCCCAGTCCGCAGCAAGCGATAAACCACAAAGTCCGCAGCCACCTTCAACTCCGCAGCAGGCCTCGGGTCTTCGTGTGCCTTCCAATCGCAAAACCATCTACGACAGGCATCTCAACCGCAGCCGCAATGCAGAGCTCAGCCGGGCGAGCTTCGCCTACCTTTTTGCAGAGATGGTCACATATGCCCAGCGGAGGGTAACAGGTATCCAAGACTTGGAAAAAAGGTACGTCGGCCTGGCAATTTTGGTCAATCAGAACACAGTCTGCAGGTTCACTGGAGTATTGTGCCCACGCTCGTTCACGGCGATGCTCTGATTGGTACCTCCATTTACAAGTCCATGAACACTGACAAATCCAGATTAAATGAACAAGGATACCCTCTTGGTCTTCGCCTCCTTGACCTCCTCTTTTATCGATCTACCTCTACCTCCTCCTCTGCTCTCTCCAGCTCATCGACATCATCATCCCCACCAAACCGTCCTCTCCGGATCCTTCCCCTCCTCCATCTCATCCACGGCCCACTATGGAGACTCCTCTTCCAGCGCTCTGCCGATGCCCTCGAACATTCCGTGTCACCAGATACCCCCAATGAATACATGATCACCGATAATGACCCCCCTAGTCAATACTTATATCAGTGTTCCACGTGAGATGAACATGCTCAACTGCGCGGCATACATTGCCGGTGTCATTGAGGGGGTCTGCGATGGGTGCGGCTTCGAGGCCAAGGTTTCGGCTCATAACCAACCTACGGAGATGTGGCCTAGCCGCACGGTTTTCTTGCTACGTTTTGGCGATAGCGTGATGGAAAGGGAGAAGGTGCTTGAGCGCGCAGGTATCAAATAAGCGATCTAATGCTGCTATTGGAATGCTTCTTTCACACGGGTATAACCGACCAATACCAAAGTCACTCTGCTGTTTTACCACTGGGTCGAAATGGCACATGATTTTTGCACAAAGCCTGCTTGGTGATACCTACGCGTTATCTGTGTCGAGGGGATATGGCTCTACTAGATGCCAGGTGTGGTTGCTTGACGAAGTTATGCATGCATAGAACGGCGACACCTGATTGAACAAGGCTAGCCCTAGGTGTCACCTGTGAAATTTAATGTACAAAGTCTTCATTGGCACTAGGCCGATGCACTACAATACCAACAATACAGGCCCTCCCGGCGAGGGAACATATTTCTGTACCCAGTCCAGACATGGGTAAGTAAAGTATGTTTTGCTCAAGATGCTAGTATATCACAAACGAGGCCACCACCTATGCAATTTTTATCGTAGGTTCCGCCAAAACGCCAAAAAAAGAAAATTAGGAAGGAGGGATTCGTCGCTCCAGTCATAAAGCTGCTCATGAAGAACTCTCCACGCGCCGGCGCTTGTCCCGATCTTCATATGGCGAGGGGCTGCGTTTCCGCCGCTCTCTAGACCGATCTCGTCGTGGAGAGCGTGATCTAGATCTGGACATGCGCCTCGAGCGGACCGCACTGGCATTGGCTCCTGTCGGTCCCTGAGGCCCACGGGAATCGCCCTGATCAGGCATGAATCGCTCGTCTGTAACGCCAATCGGTGGAGCATTATCTCGTCGTCGATTCTGGTAACCCTCGCCAAAGTTACCTGTATCCTCAGACTTGAGATCACGGTAACGAGTCCGACCTTTCTTTCCAAGCTTGGTCATATCGCGAATCTGCATGTACTGAGGAAGCGTTTCGCGGTTGACGTCGTCTGCAAATCGCCGACCCATCACGTTCTGCTGATCAATTCCCTCGCGCTCCAAATCGTCGCGGAAGAAAGCACCCTTGTGGAAATATTTTTGCATGAATCCAGTCTCGCCGCGCGTGGCATCTCGTTCCTCCTTCTGCTTCGCTATGAACTCGCGGTCCTCGGCATCTCGCTCCTCTGCGGTGAGGTTGCGGCGTCGCTCGATTTCTTCGCGTTCCTTCTCGGCTTCTTCGATTGATTCGCGCTCACGTTTGACGCGCTTCAATTCTCGTAATTTCCATGCCGCGTATTCTGCTTCTGGGTCGAGGCCGTCGCGATCATCAATTGCTTCCTCCTCGTCGGCCTCCACGAGTTCATCGTCATCCCAGGCCCGGTTTCCAGCAGAGCGCGCAATGGCTTCCTTCTCGAGTTGATCCCGTACTAGTTGATCTGCTTTCTCCTGACGCTGTGCTCGACGCTTCTCGTCATCTGCTGCGGGGTCTGTCGCACCGGGAGCTGGTTGTGATTGTGCGCCGGCATCTTGTCCGGCAGCATTGCCTCTCTTGTCTTTCTTAATGAACGTAGGTCGAATGAGCATCCTCCGTGGCGCCTCATCCTCTGAGCTACTTTCCTCTTCCGAGCTCTCCTCTTCTTCCTCTGATTCTTCTTCGCTTTCCTGTGCCTTGGCTACAGGTGTGATCTTAGGCGCTGAAACTTCTGGGGTGTCGGGTTGTACTGCTGGTGCAGCTTTTTGCGGAGCTTTTGCGGGCGCGGGCTCGTCGTCCTCTTCATCCTCAGTGACGAATCCTTCTTCGTCATCTTCTTGTTCTTCGAGCTTGGGTACCGCCGCTGCAGGGAATGAGCTGGCCTTGGGAGCTTGCTGTCGTCGGAGTCGCGCTTCGGCCTGTCGTCTTATTTCTGCTTCTTGTTGCGCCTCAACATCGTCCTCCTCCTCTTCTTCGGAAGATGAGTCCTCCTCGGCGACCGCCTTTCCTGGTCGGTACCGACCGACAGGCTTAAGCGGGTTTGCGGTCATCCCGCGGTGGTGGGAGGGAAGCGGAGGAGGCATGGCTGAGATATGGAGGTGAAATGAGGTGCGAGGAGAGGCCGAGTGTCGCAATAGTGTGGTCGTATTATAGAAGCCAGATATCCATTGGAGTTTCTATCCAGACTGCTCTTGTGTCGTGAGGTTCAGAGTTGCTGGTTTGAACCAGCGTAGGAAGCAGAGCTTCAGATTGAAATTGATAGTCACGTGATGGGGTACTATAGCGACAAATCGCATTAGGTTCTCAAAGGATGATTTTGATATATTCGGTCTTTTAGCGGCTCAAAAGGGTGCTAGCTTTCAATTTCACCCCTGATATTTTAGGGTAGTATTATGAACACTTTGTACGAGAGATCCTCATGACCTTACGTTCCCACCTGTCTTTTTCTACAGCTTGAAGCTGCAAAGTAGCGTTGCTGAAACCCTTTGCCCTAGTTTCTTTTTTAGAAAAGAAAGAAGAAAGAAAAAAGAAAATTCCGAACATTCAAAATAGTATCTCTAACAGAATAAATACTTACACAGGCCTGCTAAAAATGCCAATGTCTATACTTTCTAGATGGGCACACGTGACCACGCGTCCCGCGCACCGCGTCGAGAGTTCCTACGAATCCTACGAAGCCAAAGTGTTTTTTGGACGTACACACCCACCCGCCAAAATGTCCCTCCAAACTCCCCGCATCCTCCCCTCCCACCTCAACGCCTTTCACCCCTCCAGCGCCGGGCGGCATTCAACTCACACCATCCGTATTCTCGGTACGGTGAGCTCCCTCCGCGGCGACACCGCAACCATCACATGCGGTAACAACGGCGATGTCACTCTCATCCTGAAGCCCGATTCGCACCTGCAGATGGGGAAGATGATTGAGGTTGTGGGCAAGGTTGCTGATCTAGAGGGCGGACAGGTATGTTTGGATTGATATATGGAATTCTGCGATATGGACATGCGAGCCAGGGAACGTCCAGTGTTTCAGTTGATAGCTGACATATACATTTATTTGTCAGGGTCTTGGTGTTCGCGTTTTGGGAACGACGGACTGGGGTAACCCTGCCGATTCTGGTGAGTGCCCTCGATTTCGAGAGACTTGAATCGGGAACATTAACTAACGTTTTTCGTGTCCTTCTTCCCCATAGACTACCGAACCTATGAGCAGGTCGTTGAAGCTACCCACCGCTTCAAGTCGATCTTTTACGATGGCGAGTGAATGATGCCTACGGATGGTGAATGAATGCATATGCGACAAGTTTGACCAACCCAGGTCCCCTTCAGCCGGATGGGCGTCCTTTGAGATGCACGAGTTCTTAGCCCATATTTGGACTTTTTACGGATTAAAGTAGCGTTGCTTTACCTCGGAGGTGTATCCGAGTCTTTCCTTTTCATCGATACTCTATGCAGAAAAGACGTTTCTCTCTCTCTTCAACTCCATGGCTGCCATTGTGAAACCCACCAAGACATACTCCAGTAGGCTTGACGAGCCCAATTTCAAATAATGGCGAATAACAGCTTGAACAAACTCAACCCTATCCTGTGGCCGATAGTACGAACATGCCCCTACCTAGTAGGTATCAAGCACCTCATATCTTTGCAGGTTGTCGTCCTAGAAATCCACCAAAGACCGTCTACCCCGGAGGAATCCTCCAATCCTTTATAAAATGGATCCCATGTTCTCAGCTGCCCTCCATATGAATCCCACTTATCCAAATTAATTACAGTTTCTGCATTCGAAAGCCTGCTTCGATCAAATCTCAACTCGTTCGACAGAACAAGTGACCATTGTGAAGGGTGCCCACCCTTGATTTCAAGTCTTTTCAACGTTGGCCAGCCGTCCAGCAAAATCGGAATCAGATCGTTCTGATGTATTTGAGGATCCGTACCCCCAAGACAGCTGCGCTGTCGATAGCGCGAATAGATATCCTCCCGAGGAAGAGGACCAAGGGCTCCATACATCAGCTTAATCTCTCGCGGGTGAACAGCCTTGAAGAATGCGGCAAGCTCCTTGTGAAGCTCGCGCCAGCGCCAGCGCCATCCGGGTGGCGTATGGAAAGGGAGGTGAATGGGGCTACCGATGGTGCGTAATTGGAAGGTCTGCAGATTCTCACAGCGAGCCTGCAGAGCTGTGGTGAAGAGGCCGATCATGTCGCCGGGAAGTAGTTGCTCAGGGGGATCATCAGCATCTGTGTCCCAGGTTTCTTCTTGTTGGCCACTTGTCTCGCAACAGGGACGTCCTCTACGTGTACCCTGTATGTTTTTTCCGTCACGGGTATGTCCTCTTTCGTGGAGATAGTTAATCTCCAGGGATTGGAGCGGCGCTTTATCGGAACCATGGAGTATTACTTTTGCAAGTGCATAATGCATTTGCCCGCTCAGTTGAATGGATCTAGCTCGTGGAAACAAAGACGGTAACTCGCGGCTAGGGTAAGCGTGGCTGTAGCCTCCGAATATGTCGACCGAGGTTACACATTCCAGGTGCTCGAAGAGAGTGTATGAGTTTTCGAGGTTGTAAATTGCTGGCTTGTCATATTCCTCTCTATTGGATGGACCGCGGGATGCCCATTGTGGAAGCGAACAAGTGCTGTGCAGACTCATACTCCAGACGAAGGATCGAACAAGCTTTGCGAGGCTCGGTTGATAGAATATCGTGTCCATGAACAGGCTCTGTCGACCAAATATGGACTCATCTTTTGGCCAGCGGATTATTATGCCCTGGACATCATGTTCACTGTAGGGCTCAGCATGGTGGATACTGAGATCGACTTTCGAATATAGGATGGGCACACAAGTTGCATATAGCGCCTTCGACGTTTGCGCAAGTCGTTTCACTGAAGTCGTGTCCAGAAGATCGCCAATCATGAGCCATAGGTCCAGGCTTAAGTTTGGGAGTGGAGTCATCTCTATGGCTCTTTCAATATTGGGAGAGAGGAAGAACCTTCTTTAAATGCCAGTGGCTAACCCCGCTTCGGCAGAGCCTGACGTTTCTGAATGCGAGAATGTCGAACAACGCTCTGACCTCGGGACTACGTGATTCACTGTATACGTTTCAAAGTGGTGAAGTTCAGAAGCTAATTTGGTTTGAATTTTTCTTTTTTGAATTTCTTTCATTGATCATAAAATTTGTTGGGGGTTGCCTAATCTACAGGCAAGGGTATGAGTGCTAAGCAACAAGTCACTATCCGCATAGTGAGCGGCATCGAAGTCCGCTGCAGGCACATCTGTCATCATTCAAAGCATGTCAAAGGAAAATGGTGTACTAGACAAATATGCAAAGCGTATTAAAACGAACGTGGTATGCAATCAAATCAACCTCCCAACCGGAACGCCATCGCTAGAAAAAGCATCAAAGTAAAAGAGCAAGTTAAAGTGGTGTTGAGGCATTAGGAGAGTTTGCCTGTCCACTGGAGTTCTCATGGATAGACTGGACCTTGGACGGGCCGTCTCCATGGAGGGCATCAGAGCTGAAGAAGCCGGAGTCAGGGATATCGGTATCATCGAAGTTGAAGATGTTGAAGTCGGAAGGGTGTATGTTCTCCTTCATGGCGCTGGGATCAGAGAGGATAACATTGATCAAATCTTCTGAAGGAGCGGGACCATCTTCAGATCCAGTGGGGGAAACATAGTCTGAGGGAAGCCAGTCCGCCCAGTCGTTGCCAGATAGCTTCACTCCGTCCAAATTAAGGGTGCCACGGTTGGCCTCGTCAAAGATGTCGAGCATCATGCCATCAAGAGCGTTGAAGGCATCCGTGTAAAGGTCCCCATCGGAGAGTGTCGTGGAACCATTTTTATTGGGTGAACGACTCTGGCGAGGAGTAGACTGAGGGCCCTCTTGGACACGCTGAAGACGCTCCGCAGTGAGTCGGGCTGCAGTTGCGGCCGCGCCAGCTTCTCTTTTTCTGTTGGCGGTGGGGGAGTTTGTAGGCAAAGAATGGCGTCTCTCATGCATTACATTGACACAGGTATTGCGTCGACGGGGAGTGGGGCTGACCGGAAGGTCGAAATCCAGGGAGGGACTTTCAAAGAGATCGTCAATGTTAGCATGTCCCTGGTTTGCCTTTTCCTGTTGGCGCTTATCGTCGTGGGAGGTAGAAGCGATGCGAGGGCTGCGTCGAGGAGAACAGCTGTTGACGAATGAGGCACCTAGCTCTCTCAAAGGGCCGTCTTGCTGGCCCGCTTGAAACAACGCCCGGCGTACAGGCTTTGGAGTAAGCTTAGTAGCGTCTGCCGTAGGAATTTTTCGTGATTCCATATTTCTTGCTGGGCTGGATTGAATTGCAAGCTTGAGGGCCTCAACGGCATCTTGCCCTTCCCAGCGGCCCCTAACAGAGTCAGCAGAGCGAGGTGGTTCAGCGCTGTTCGCTCGGCGACGCTTGCTAGCAGATCCTTCACAATCCTCGGCCTCGGTATGAGTTTCGTCATGTGCATTTTCCACTTGAGGAGTAGTCCCCCGAGGAGTAGTCCCCTGAGGAGTAGGGCCATCCTCGGGGTGTACAGACGATGCCTCTGTCGGGGCTGGCGATGAGGCAGCAACCTCGCTCGTGGCAACCTTGCTGCGAGTGCGGGGTTTAGAAAGAGGGCCTCCGCTCTGTTTGCGTGTTCTAGAGGGTCGCTTTCTCTTTTCGCCAATTTTTTCGGCGGGTTGTTTGTTCCACTTGTTCTCCGGGCGCATACTTTTAGCCTTGAAGAGCCACAAGCCACATGGATTGCAGAGGAGGACTTGGATATAGTCATTATCTTCTTCAAGAAGAGTCTTCTTATAGATCTTGAACTTCGTGACCTGATCATTGTCGTCCTTATCCACTACTTCCCAAAGCAAGTGATGCTCGCTAACCATCATGCTCTTCGCGAGGTTTTCGTCTCCGTCAAACTCCCTGGACCACGCCCGTCGCCATGTCGGCGTTTCAATGGAGCCGCAGTTCTCGCAGTAAGGAGGCATCTGACCTTCCCTTACTGCACACTCTAGACGTGTTTGGATTCTCTTGGCCTGCTTTGACGAGTCACCTTTGCGGTTTTTCCCACTCTTAGGAGGTTGAGGTGGAGCTGATGCATCCGGTGTCTGGGCATAGCAGTCACTCATAGGTCCAGCCCATGTTTGGGCGTGGACGAGAGGGGGATGAGAAGGACCGACTGGGTCACTGGCGGGGAGTGTAGCTATCATCTGCTCGAGTTCATTCTGGGACATCGGGGCTGGGGCGAGTTGTTTCGGGGTATATTGAGCGCCAGCTCGTGAGCTAGGTCTGGAAGAAGCGCATGACTGCGTCCGTGGAAGCGGCCGTCGAGCGTTGGCACTCGTCGGGTGTTGAGACGCCGAATCGTTGGTTTTCGGGGGGGATAATGTCAGTAGTGCTGGCCGGAGAGGTGGCCTGAACAGCGGACCGGACAGAGCGAGATCGGTTCTGGTCATCAGCATTCGGCTCGGTCCTTTGAACTTCCTCGACAGGTGTCGTTGCATCGTCCATCATGTCATCCAAACCACCACTCATGAACCCAGAGTCAGTATCCAAAGAGATTGGAGGCAAGTTGGGACTCGACTTGGACGGGAAGCGGTACTCCACAACAGGAGGCGACGATGGCATGCTGAATGACGTCTCAAAGAGACCTTGATAGCGCGAGTCATCAGGTGAAGTTTGGTCCGTAGTGAGCAGGTCATCACTATGGGCGTAGGGTGACATGTAAGAGGATGAACTTTGAACAGAGTACTCACGGAGCAAGCTCGAAGAGGGTCTTGCTCGTCGGGCATGGTCACCAGGGCGTGAAATGGGGGTAGGCGGACGAACAGGCTCTTCGTTGGAGTGTTCAGCGACAAGAAGAGGGTTAACCGGAGTTGGGCGATGGATTCGGACCGAAGCAGCTGTGCTGGCTTGCACTCTAAGGGAGCTTGGCTGTCGTTCAATGTTCATGTCGGATTTACCAGGCCAAGTTGCTTGGTAGACCTTCGCCCTTTTCCGAGGCTGAGGATCCGTGGACTCTTCTCCTCCACTGCCGTAGCCAGACATGATAGATCCTCTTCGTTGGTGATAACTTGAAGGTTGAATGTCACTATCGCGCATAGAGGCACTTGATGACGGGCGAATCATGTCGTTAGATGTGAAGCCTTTCGATTGAGAAGGCTGTTGTTGTGTTGAAGATCGTGTTCCGCCGGGAGTAGATATCCGGCTTGGGGCACAGTACGAATGGGTGGGCGATACAGAGCGAATTGATTCATTGCCAGGGTAGTTTGAGAATTCGCGCGGGGTAGCTCCATCGCTGAGTAGTTGATGCAAGCGTTCAATGCCCGAGCCGTTCATCGGGGAGGAGGCAGATTCAAGTTGTTGGCTGCTTCGGGAACGCTCCAGCAGACCCGGATTTTGACGCACAAAGTTCGTCCAGGATTGGGCGTCGAAGTCGTGAGGGATAACATTGCTGAGCTGCCGATATGTTTGCATGCTGTCGACAAATTGACTTTGCATGACGGTGGGGACCGGGACTAATCGTAGTTTGACCTCCAGGGTCTCCTGGGCCGACCCCGATCCTTTCGTAAAAAGACCGAGGGGATTTTTGCACACACGACCCGTTACCATAGTTTTCGATTGATGGGCTGGAGCTTCGGGTGTTGGCGAAGCAGACGCTAGAACCCAGGAGAGCATTCCCTGACCGACCAGGGGGGTTTCGTATTCCGAGTAATCATAAGCGTAAACGGTGTAGTCCTTGCCCAGCTGAGCCACCAACTCGGGACTAAACAGTTGCATATAAGTATTCAATTGGAATTCAATATAGGGGAGAGAGAGAATTCGAACCTGGCGGACACAATTGCCTGAATGCATGTTTTCAACTCAATCACTCCGATCTGGGTTTGTTCGTCCAGATAGGCAGTCTGAATATCGAGCACGTGAGGCCACCGAGCGAGACAGTTGGTTTTATTGTCGTTGTCGAATGTGTAGAGAACCTTCACTGTTTGATTTTCTTGTTTAGCTTCCATTCCAAACACTCATGGCAAGAATAAGGATCCATACGCCTCATGGGGCGGACGGTGATTCCGTCCTGAGATTCCATCTCACAAAACTCTGGTAGTTCACCATGCACGAGAAAATTGGAGAATCGGCGACAGTGTTGGCGGAGGAATAAATGAGAAGGGAGAAAAGAGGGGATCCGAGATAGGTATAAGGAGACAGGGGACAATGCAAGTCGTTGCAGGGGAGGTGGGGATTCGAGGTAGGGCCGGTAGGAGGAATAGGATCGATAATCGATAATCGATAATCAATGCACTTCAGGTAGCATTCGGGAAAAGGACCGATCGAAATGAGCCAATGCCCCGCGTGGAATACTGGGAAATATCTCGTCGTCCGGGAGAAAAGGTCGGTTATGCAGCAGGGTAGTGGAGCAGTCTCTGCAGGACTGGAATGTTAGTCGGTGATTGACAGGTAAGAATTCTCAAATAGGATAGATGAGAATAGACCGCTCTTACCAAAAGTGACTAAGTGAGAGGAAGGGGGGGTGAAGGAGGAAAGGGCAAAATCAAAAGGGAGCTGCAGCACCTGCAGACGGTGAGTGAAAGGATGGCTGGGGGAGGTTTAAATGAGAAGCCTTGCATGCGCGGTTGAAGCTATCCGACGATCTCGCAAACAAGCGTGTACGCGACGTGACAGCCAATCGCGTGCGGCTTACACGCTAGTAGTTCTGCTAGTAGTTCCCTGGGTTAATGGCCTGATCCACTAGGCAGACATCAGGCACTCAGGCAGAAACAGTCGTGGCTCCTCTCACGTGACGTTAAACCTCAAGTCGCGGGAATCATCGACCACCAGCCAGACCTCTAGGCCCTTTTATATCCCCCATCCCTACACACCATGTCGACAGCTCCGGACCCCAAGATTCAGTTCGTTCTCTATGACTCACCCCCGCTTTTTCAATTGGCTGACCAAACCCCTACAGAGATCTGCTCAACAAGCCGAAGAGCGAGCTCACGTATGTTCCATCCATCCCGGTTTCTCCAATATGATGACTATCAATTCCACGACACGTTTTTTCTCTCTTCCCTTCTCCCTGGTTTCTGCCTAGTCCGACAAGTGCGGGGTTTGAATCTTCAAACCCTAGAAAGACCCAGACCCCCTCCCCTGCCACATTCCGATGCATGCGTGAAACATACAGAAAACTAATCGTGCATCGCGCATCTCAACAGCGAATATGAGGTTGCCCTCGTCGAAGAGCACGAGCTCACCGCCGGCCCGCTCTCTCTCCTGCAGACCGCCACCCGCTCACACACTCAGGTCCTGATCTCCTGCCGCAACAACCGCAAGCTCCTGGCCCGTGTTAAGGCCTTTGACCGACACTGCAACATGGTTCTCGAGAACGTGAAGGAGATGTGGACTGAGAAGCCCAAGGGCAGCAAGAGCAAGGGTGTGAACAAGGACCGTTTCGTCAGCAAGATGTGAGTGATCTGCCCCCAATGGACCTCCCAGAAAGCTCTCCACTTGCAATTTGCTTTCGCAACCTGCTTCTATGGCAGTCTCAACAACTATTCTTGCGCCCTGCTAATACTCTTCTAGGTTCCTGCGTGGTGATTCCGTCATCCTGGTTTTGCTCAGCTGAGTACTTTATCTCATCGCCTACTATGCGCACCTGTTCCGCCCCTCCTCGTCGCATATCCCTCTCTATTAAATCGGATCTGCGGGGCGGTTGAATCTCCTACTTGCATCGCATCATCCAAGAAAAGTCTGTGCCCTGCGGAAGAAAAAAAAGGACCCCAATCATGTAATCGATCTCGATACCCTCTATTTTACTTTAACCCTACGAATCTTTTTTTTCTCCCTCTCGCCCTTGCTTCTCTGCTCGTCATCGCTAGGCAACTCGCACAAACCAGCATATTTGTCTCATGAGGTGACATTCGTATGTAACTTTGATTGAGCCATTTTTTTTCGCTCTGCTTTTCACGTCTCGGTCCGCATGCACCTCACTCCTTGGAAAACGGATGAGTGATCAAGAGAAAACTCCGGCGTTCATTGGTTTGGATTCTTTTACCTTGTTCTTGGGCTGTTGTTTCGGGTGGCGTCTTAGCTTGGAGCAGAGGTGGTTAGCAATGGATTATTGAATGATCGTAGAGATCGTCTCTTGCATTTTTCATCACCTGCGAATTACTCAATTTTCTAGTCATGTATACTATCGTAATACTGAAACCCCCAGTGAGTCTGATGCGAGTGCTCTGATTTGATTTTGTCAAATTATTACTCGCAGCTATATACATAGGTTTTTCTATTTACACTTGACTAGACGACGCTTGGAAACCTCGACGCCTGAAGTACTCGGGGAGCCCTGCTGAGTCGTGAAGGCTTCTCTACCCAACGATTTGAGCGCATAGATATCATCGTCTTCATGAAACGGGCAGAATCACTCATTAGCTCCTCGAGGCGTGGCTCATCGCCCTGGTGGAGGGGCGGATAAGCTTCAAATATCTTAGCATAGTGTTTCTCTGCATCGGCGTACCGAGGAGCCCATTGCGGAAACCAGCGCAGATCTTCGCCTGTCTGTAGCGTGATTTTCTTCAAGTTTGACGGACCTCTGCATTCAAAAAATCGTTTTGCAAAAGCCTGTGCTTTTTCATCCGTCAATACGGACTTGAAAGCCTGATTGTTCCTAATACCGAGTACATCATTCAATTTTCTGTCAGCATTACATATGGTTATCAGGTGCGAGAGTCTCAGTCCGACATGAATGGACAGCTGTCGAATATCCTTGAAACTCGTTGCTAGAGCCTTGACTATATCGTCGGGCTGAACAATAGTAACAGATTAGCTTAATGACTCGAAATAACACATCCTGCCCAAAGCTTACCCATTCGCCATCATGTGGGTCTATATCGAGCTCTAAGCTCTTGAGGTGAGGGTGTTGCCGATCCAAAGCTTTCATTTCCTTTGCACTCAGGGATATCCTTTCCTCGTCAGGCTTCTCAATTGAGTGAAGACAAAGATGCTCCAGGTCGGAATGATGAGCCATAGCAACCAAGGACGGAACCGTCCCTTTAGCAGTGAGACTTTCCAGAGTATGGAAGGACAACAAGAACGCGTCGAGGTCCTTACAAGAGCTGGGATTCCCGTAGCTAGTTATCTTGAACCGTTTCAAATGGTGTACTTTGCCAGTAGCTGCCTTGAAAAACCCCGGGTTTAATTGGTGACCGAGAGTGAGTGATCGCAACTTATCCCAGGGAAACTTTTCAGTCCAAAGGGGCTGGTCTTCTTCATCCTGAGCTATATTGTAGCCGCTCAGTGAAAGGCTTCGCAGCGGCGGGAACGTGGTCTCTAGGGTGGGCCCAGATATCCGCGTAGAAAGAGCCGAGCCCATCATACAACCCCCTCGCAATCGATTGATCGATACCGAAAGACTTTCAATGTTTGGGTAAGCAGAAAATAGCGCGTGCATGTCGAGTCTTTGCGGCTCGAAGGGTTCGGCATCCGGGTCGTCAAGGGCACGCATTCTGGGTTCAGAAGCTCTAGCATCGACCGAGGTACGAATCTCCTGTACAAATGGCATAGTAATACTTATTGGTGTATGCCCACGTTCTCCATGCAGGAATAGCTTCGGAGATCTCTCGTGGTTGAGAAATACCTCCACCAACTCTTCTGACATTGGAAGAGACCGTGACCCTTCGAAGCTGAGTACAGAGATGAGGTCAGTTGCCTGAAAAATTCGACGTCCCGGCCCTGGAAAAATCGGCTTACTTACTAAAGAGCTTCAAGGTTTGGCAGTTTCTTCACCAGCTCAGCCAGAAGATTTTGAGGACCCTGTAATTTGTGACGAGCAAGCTTTTCACCAGATGAGTGAGGGAAGTCTTCCACTGTGATTTGGTGCACAAATGCCCTCAGTACCTCATTTCTATCGTCGAGCAGCCGATAAAATATACCAAATGAAAGATCATCTGCTTCATCTTGATCCGCAACATCTTCATCGTTGGGGAATTTCAACCAATCGCGTCTACTAGACGTCGCCCTGTGGAAAATAACGGACCGGTACATGATCGGGGTCGCGAGTCTATCGAACGACTTTGATACACTGCACACTTTTCCGAGATCATCCCGAGAGGGGAGCTAGATGGTTTGTCTATGATTAGGGCAGGGCACTTGTTGTCAACCTGGGCGTGGGTGAAACCGACAGATTTGAAGATGTGACACAATATCTCCGGTGGCAACTCAGACAGACTCATCTGGTTATTGCTCATCTCGACGCAGCTTCGATAATTAGTTCAACGCTGGCAGGCGGTCATCGAGAGAAATACCAGATGGAGGGTAGTTTTTGAGGGATTGTTCCAAGGTTTTCAAGTTCCAAGGTTGTTTTTGGGGTCCGTTTTTAAGCCGCAATCTGCCGCCGAGACCTCAGAAGTGGGGAATTCAAGTTCATACTAGTACTAACATTCCCAGATTGGAATAGTCCCGGTACAGGTAGTGCTACTAGTACTACTGACTACTACTTGTACTCAAGGGCTTGTCTAAATATTTTGCTACTACCGGCGTGACCCCGCCTGGCGCCTGGGCAGAGGATCTAGTGATTTGGTTATTCTCCCTACTAATGTATCCAATATTGTGAAAGTTTTCAAGCAGACACCTGGGCACCTATCTGTTCTTAGTAGAATCAAACTTGAAGGGTACTAGTATTATAACCATGGGGCCTAAAGTCTACTTGAGACCTTAAACCTTGGAACTTGAAGCTTTCATTGTCATCACCGTCATGAAATTATATTAGAACAAAACCCCACAGAGGGCCGAGGAATCAGGTATATGGCTATTTATACGAGGAGAAAGGCATTTAAGCCGAGTCCGCAAGTCCAGACAAGAACTCACTGAGACCATAGGCACCGGGATCAGGCACCTTGCCAACCCATTCCTCCTCACCACCGACATACACCGAGCGGCCCAGACTAGCCTTCATGCTCTTAGTAGACTCGGTACCCTTCTCAGCCGCAGCAGCCGCGCCACGGATATCCTTGGTATCGAAGAGAGTATCGCAGAACGGCACCAGGGAGTCAATGAGAGTACGGTCACCCGGTTTGGCGGGGGTGTACTTGGCCAGGGCGTTGACGGAGTGCTTCAATGCCTTGGCCCAGACTTCGGTTGAGGCCGGGAGTGCGGAGCCCTTGTCCTGGTCGCGGAGGCCATGGGCCAAGGCATTCAGGAAAATGGCGTAGATGGCACCAGAGGTACCGTCCATGACGTTTTCGACGACGTTGACGATCTGGTTGACCGTGTTGACGATGTCGTCGGTCAGCGGAGCGGTGTCGAGGAGCTTCTGGATGGCTTCGGCGCCTCGCTTCAGGCCGATACCGCAGTCGCCGTCGCCAACGATTGTGTCGAAGCGGGTGACCTCAGGCTCGGCGGCGATGACGCGTTTCAGACCGGCGCTGAGGACCTTCTTCACGACGGCGGGGTCCACTGGTATTTGAGTTAGCTGATTGTTGATTGCGAGATGGTGGGGAGGGAGTTGGGGTTGCGGTTATTGCTTACGCTTCAGGTTGCTGGGGTTCTCATGGCCCAAGTTGGAGTTCTTCAGCTGAACTGGGCTGTCGTTGCGGTTCTCCCAAGTAGGGGTGGGGATTGGGTTGGACCATCCCGTGGCCTCAGCAGGAGCATCCAAGAGCTCGAGCATCGATTTTCCGGCGCCGAGGCCAGTGTCTTCGAGCTTAAGCAGCGAAATACTGAATCCCAGTCCGTTAAGACTTGTTAGGAAGGAGCCCTGGATGACACGGACAGGCTTGATGTTGTAGCTGCCAGTAAGCTGGCGGTGGACCTCATCAAGAATGCCAGAAAGCTCAATAGGGCTGACACCACCCAGGTTGTTGATCAAAAGGACAAACTTATCCTTGGGGGTGTATTTGATGTATGCGCGGTCTGAGTCGTTAGGGTCGAGCAGCTGGCGGAGCATGGTTGTGACCAGTCCAACCAACTCGAACTTGGTACGGTGAGATCCGGGCTCGTTGTGAATACCCATGCCGACTTCGACTTCGTCGCTGGCGATGGAATCTTCGGGGACACCGCGGCCAGGGACGTGGACATGTTGCAGAGAGGAACCAATGGACACGAGGTTGTCGTTGGTCTGCTGGACAAGACGATAGACTTGGTCCAAATTACCACTTTAAAGCATGTTAGCATTTGCTTTCTACCAGCAATTGGTAGTGACTTACCCAGCTTCGGCCAAAGCGCCGGCCAACTTCAAGATCAGGATACCACCGCCAATACCACGACGACCAACCTTGCCACTCTTAGTTCGGCCAACACCAACATCGTCGGCCATGGCAAAGAACTCAGTCTTAATACCGGCCGCCCGCGACTTCTCAGTCGCCATACCAAAGTTGAGGACATCGCCGGTGTAGTTGTTGGGGATGATCAGCACGCCCTGGTCAGTAGGGACGCGATCAATGGCAGTTCTGCGGATCTGCTCGGCGGAAGGAGAAGCAAAGATGGTACCGGCTACGGCAGCATCACAAAGACCCTGGCCGACAAAGCCAGCAAAGGCAGGTTCGTGGCCGGAACCACCACCAGTGACGATGGAAACCTTGTTTGGCTTGCGGGGCGCATCCGGCCGGCGGAAGACAATCTTGTTCTCAACATCCAATGCAAGGGACGGGTTGGTCAGGGTCAGGGAATTCAGTGCGGTCAAAACCAGGTGGTTTGGGTCGGTAAAGAAGTGCTTGGCTAGAAAGACGGTTAGTCCGCTGCATTCAAGTACGGTCTTGGCCACGGGGAAGTTGAACTTGAAGTTGTGCGGGAGAAAATATAGTACTACTAGGAGTAACCTTGGTAGACTCCCCCAGGTACTGGTGGGACAACCCCCTCACATTGGAGTGAACTTGAACTTACTCTGCATTTTGTTGGATCTCGCAAGTCTCAAGTTTCAAGTTTAGCCCGTGTTATTCGTCTGGTCGTGAATTGGTTTTTCTTGTTCAAGATCAAGTTCTCCAGGCTGGAATTTGCAATATGTAACGGGCCGTCGAATATGTAATGTCGGTTCAATATACTGGTTGCACAACCTTTGAAACTGTAGCGATTGGCACAACCAAGGGTGTTAAGTCAAAGCTCAAACTATTCTCGTCACGAGCTGGAACAGAATAGTATGGGGGCGTGCTGGACTTTGAGCGAAGCGGGGAAAAAAGTGGGGGGTGACGCAGGCGAAGCTGCCAGGATGGTTAGTTGCCAACACAGCGATCGGGGGCAGATGGGGAGATAAATGTGAAGTGTCAAGCTGTAGGGATGACAATAAAAGACTTACAGGAGAAATTGGGTATTTTGAGAGGGGGGGATGGTGCAATGGTTTACACTAGATGCGGAGTATGTATATGGGAGAGGAAGCAAGAAGAAAAGGAAAAAAAGAAGTCAAAGCTGTCAACGAGGGCAGTCCCAGCTCTTTATGTCTGGCCCAGCTTCGCCAATGATCCGATTTTTCTTTTCCTTCTTCTATTTGCTCACATGGACAAGCAGATCGGCCACGATGACTGCATCCACATCCACCTCTTCATCCACATCCATCCACATGCCGGTCTGGCTCGGACATCTCGGATTACCCTGTGCGGACATCCCGCCATCCACCAGGTACCCTAAGTTCTGGTGGCAACTTGTCGTCCGAGACTCACCGCTGCACCCGGTTGCAGTTCCTACTGAGGTCTCGCCCGAGTACTCAGTACTCGTAGTGCTCCCAGTGCTTGCAATGCCTGCAATGGTTGGCCACTGACCCTGGGTTGGTCGTTGAGCTGCTGCTGTCCCGAGAGAAGCTTCCCCGAAAGGTCCGCGCACCGACCAGTACTCTATTTCCCTTCAGTTTTTTTTTGTTCTGGGAATATTCGATTCAATTGATACAAAATACTCCAGGAATTTGCCCAGCATTAATTCCTTTGTACTTCAATGTCCTCCGTAGCTGATTTGAGTCGAAATATTCCACCACCAGTACTCCGTACTATGCGCGGATTTGCAATTTTAGCTGGGGATCACCACAGTGAACCCTCTTGCATTGTACTACTACTCTCATTACGCACGTTCTTCTGCGATCTTTCTAGAATCCCTTCTACCGCGGTCGGAACACTCCAGGGCTCCAATTGATGGGGTCGGCGAGTGGCCGGGGATATCGGCAACGGCCGAGCCTGGATCTTTGCGACTCGGCGGATCGGAGCTACTCCGACTTTACACTTGTCTGGTCCGGAAAACAACAAGTCACAAGATCATGAAAAGAAATATCATGTTAAATACTAAGTAGGTTTGATGGCCATGAAACGCCATCATTATCCATCGGACATCGTGAAAAGACTACCCGGTGTGTACTCCCACACGCCACAAATTACTCCCTCCAGGGATCCGAGATCCTTGAGCCCGCTATCAGGTCAATTGAACAGATCCTCCATTCGAAAAGCGTGGCCCCACACATTTCGTGTTCCGGTGGGCTGCTTGGGGCTTAACTTTCTGACTTTCTCTATGCGAGATAGACGTAGGTGTTGTTATCGCTTCGTTCAATGTAGTCCTTCTCGATCAACCTGCTCATAGTTAGTATATCGACAAGGGAAATCAGAACAGGGGAGTGATAACGTACTTCTCAATGTTGGTTTTGATCTCAGCCGGTTGTAGCATGCCTCGGCTGCGGGTAGCCTCCGTCACCTCCACAATCAATTCTTGATGCTTGATCGTCTTGCGGCTCTTCATAATCCGCACAATGGCGGCCTGAGTCTCGAAGTGTCGATCCGCCGCCACGCGCTCGTGTGTGGATTTGTTCTCCTCCTTGGTTTCCTTGAGCTGGATTTGGTTGATCTTGATCCGCATCTTGGGGTCGCTGAATCCTGTGTTGTACGAGAACTCATCCGTCTTGTTCACATCCTTGCCCTTCGGATTCTTGACAAGGACGCGATATTTGGCACAAGCAAGTGATTGTAGCGTTCGCTTTAGTTCCGGGTCCGCTGCGGATAATGTTAGTTGGATTTGGGACCTTCTAAACCAATCTCCACTTACAAAGTCCAGTCGCTTCCTGGATGGCTGCATAGTTCAATGTTTCACCGTCGGTGACGTCATTGAACAAGATCAGTACGATCGCTTGGAATGAGCTGACTACCAGTTCCTTCACTCCTTTGGGGAAATGTGCCCGTAATTGACAGTGAGCAAGCTGGTGCTTCCAGGTCAACTTGCGACCTGTGTGCTTATTGTGATAAAAGCTTTCGAAGTTGCTGATGGATGTCGCAACACTGGGCGGGATCCGGACTGGGACATCGGAGTATGTCGGCCACGAGGCAGCTGAGAGTACACTAACATCAAGATCGATGGGGGCGCGATTTTTACGAGGAAGCTCTCGTTGCAGATTCTTGTAAGCAGCCATCTCATCGCGCGCCACCTCCATATCTTTAAACATGGACTCAAGGTTGTGCGTAAAATTGGGTCCACATTCTAAAAAAAGATAACATTGTTAGTTCAATTTGGAAAGAAGATTTTGGATCGTACAGACCTTTCTTCAACCGAACAAGCATGCTCTTCTCAGCCTCATTACTGGCACTGCGTCCCATAAGAAGACGACGGGCGAGATCATTCTTATAGAATGCCTCGAAAACGGCCTTACCCTGCACAAACCGGAAGAGGTCCAGTGCCTGGTCAAGCTGTCGATCAATCTCCGCATCTTCGTCTGCCATTGTTGCGCCTTGTTGACCGGATGGTAATTTCCAACCGCCCTTCAGCAAACGATCGACATGCTTCGCGATCATCTCCCCCGTTTTCGGGTTGTCCGTACCACCTGTGGCATCGCTTGGCTTACTCATATTCATGAACTTGCCGAAGGCTTCTCGCAAGGTGTCTCCTAACTCAGTGGTTCGATCAAAAGACTTGATCCAGGTCTCGTCGAGTTCTTGCTTGAATTGCAATAAACGAGTCACCATCTCGGCCTCCTTGCCTTCATCGAACACAATACTTGATCCTTCTTCGATTATGTATGCGCTGAAGGCTGGTTTGAGCTTGTTGGCAAGACCTTCTCGGTTAAGAAGGCTGTATAATTGTTTGAGAGCTTTTCTATTGCTCGATCGCAGTAGGCCGAGGATCTCCGTCTGGCCAAGGAGGATATCTTCATGCCTGAGGACCAATATCTCGTCGAGTAGTTCGGACAATTTCTGTTTCGTACTTCGGTTGAGAGAGAACAGCTCACACCGTTCCACTTCCCGTTCGATCAAACGATGACTATTATCAACATAAGAGGCCAAATACCCTCCCGCTTCCCGTTGAGCCCACGATGCGACGAACTTTTCTGTCTCATTGATGAACAAAGGCTCGAATTCGCTGCTGTAGACATCGAGATTGTGAAAAAGTTCGACGGCAGCCCGGAGAAGGGTGGGATCCGGTAGAACGGTGGTTTCTGTGCCCCTGTCAGCCGCAATGAGGTCACAGGCGCCTTGTGAGATCTTGGGCTTGAGGCTTGGATCGGTAAAAATATGAGAGCGAAATAAGATATGTCCCATCTCCTGTATCACCGGGAACTCCTTGGAGTGTAAAAGGAATGACTGGTCAAGGTAATAGAAGATCCATCGGACAGTAATCTAGAGTTGTCAGTATAATGGTGTGGCCTACGCTCATGGGTCGGGAAACATACGAGTCTTGAATGCCATGCCGACCATGCCTCAATCACTGCCCGCAATGTATCGACATCAGTTCCACCACCTGCTCTGGATACCAGGTTATCCCGTAGTTTCCCAGCCACATATTCTTTGCATTTGTCATGGACCTTCTTGGCCAGCAAGGACGCCCGTTCGTGTCGGCAAATATTCTCCGCACCCTTGTAAAGCTCCTCCAGAGATACCTCAGGTTTCCTGCCTTCGAAGATCGCCGCTAATGCCGTGTTGAGCTGGGCCCATGTCTTGGTGAAATAAGGCTCATGGTTGGCCCGAGACCCGGTCCGAAGGTTCTTAACAACCAGCTTCTTGGCCCCGCCATGAGGACTAAAGGCATTCTGGCGGTTGTTCGCGGTGAATGCTTGCGCCTTGACGGGAGGGACATTACTCGCGCCCGGGTTCGCTCGAAGAAAAGCGGCGCCATTCTTGGGTGGTGAGCCGGAGAAGTTGTACATCTTGTTCGGCGAGGCCGGGCGCCCTGATGCCGGACGGGAGGGGGAGTGAGATAGACGGGAGCGTTTCGTAGAGGGAGAGGCGCCCGGAGATAAGTGGTCGCGCGAATTATGGGAGAGGAGCTGAGAGATGGTCTTTTGCGTCTGCGGCGGCGTTTGCTCTCCCTGCTCAGGAAGCTTCCTCTTGCCGATCGATGTGCGCTTACCGCTCCTCTGGTCGGTCTCGCTCGAGTTCTGCTGCATCTACCCGGTTCGACCAGTCTCTTTTGGGGAACTCTTAGCCTGCGATAGGTCGTGGGGGTGTATCGTACATGTCAAGCGCGAGAGTTTGAGCGAAAGCGGACCTCGGGAGTGGGTGTTGTTGAGGGGAATTGACTGCTCCTTGCAAGACTAAAGATGCCCCGGCTCCACACGGCGATAAGATATGGAGCTCCGACCACCTCCACATAGGGTAGAGTAGAGTAGTTGTCTACGATGGCGTTGGCATTGAACTCAGACAGAGTACTAGGGGACTTTTACTCAGTAGAGGTGACAAGACTCCCAAGGAGTGAATTGAAATTTATTGGCAACTAAAACCTTGGAAGCCAGTATAAGAATGTGAAAGTTGTATGTCAAAATGCATTTATGAATCGTAACTCTTAAATCGCTCAGCCACCAGAAAGAAACACCCACTCCGCACTATATGGTACACGCCATGCCCTCCTGAGCGCCCCGATCCATCCACGGTGAGAAGCAAACCGGATCATTTGACAGTATCATGAGAACGACATGAAACTAGTGGGTTGCTGCACCTCTTGTTCCTCATACTAAAGAGAAAAGTTAGTTAGAAGATCATGTAATTAATGATTGTAGATGAATCGGTCTTACCTGGAGAAATTCGGCGGCTGTCACGAGAGCCATGAAAGATTTGACCAATTCACAGAGGGTCTCTTGATGGTCGGCGTTGCCGCTGCCCCCAATCTTTGCAAATCGCTTGAAGATACCGACCATGCACGACCGGTTCTCCGCAATGAAGACGCGAGTTTGCTCTTTGATTTGCTCGTTGTGGACGCCTCTGGAAAACGCGGCTGACACGATAACACGGATGACGGATAGAAGAAGGTCATAGTACTTTTGGAGAGCATCGGAGTTGTCAATGTCTGTGAGAGTTAGTAAATTATTCTTGTGTTTCACTCAGGAACATAACTGACCAATGCCAATATCGGGATCAGCGGCAAATAGTTGTGATTCGCGAACCGAATCGAACAGGCCAGACTTCAGAACATAGGTAGCACCGTTCTTGGACTGAGCAAGCTGCTGGAGAAGCGCTAGTAATGATTCGTAGTATGCTAGCAGGGCAGGGGTATCTGAGAAAAAAAATTAGAAAAACGAAATCAACCAAATGATTTGGGATATTGAACCTACCAACTGCTTGAGCATTCCGCAACTCGACTGGTAGTGACCTGATGGCATCCATGAAAAGACTCAGGTAGTTCGATTGGGAGACAAGTTCGGCTAGGACACCATCTGTCTTGTTGTCCAGAGCCCCGAGGCAATTCAAGAGCAGAAGAGCTGCAGTCCGACAACTTTCCTGGCCAGTGTATGCATCGTCACAGATAGTCTCGACAAAACTTGGACCAGCAGTCCTGACAACTCGCTGGGTATGACGCCTCAGGTTATCGTGTGTTGAATCGGAGGATGTAATACGGGATAGATACTGGGCCGAAATGCTGTACAGGACCTCTCGCAAACCCACATTGTCCGAAGCCACCAAAATTCCTCGGACCGAAACTTGGAAAAGTTGGAGTAGTTTTTCGTCAATGATGTCTCCACTCTGCGAGGCGGGACCAACAGACATGTCGGACGTCAGCTTGCTGATCAGTGTCTCTGCCAACCGTGCCAGCTCAGCGGCCTCGGACGAATCTCCCTCAATAGCGGCCTCGAGCTTGGGAAGGACCAATTGGATGGCATGCAGAACAAATGTCGGCCTGCTCGCCTCATCAATGATGGAACACGTGGTGATTGTGGTGATAAGTTCTGTCCATGAGCGGAGGGCGAGGTAGTGGTTGCGTTGAATCTGACGGTTTTGGTTCGTCGCAAGAACAAACAACTTCAGTTCCTCTGCCTCTAATTGGAATTGCTCCTCGTCATGAGGACGAGGTGGACCGCTGCCAAATATGTCTAACTTATGAGCATAAATCAGCTCTTCTAACTCCGCGACGTTGCAAAGAACCGGCGAGTCCTCCTCCTGCTTAGAGCAAACTTCGGCAACAACATTGGCAAGCATGGGCAGCGGAGGTAGCTCCCTCTTCCAGCCGATATCCAAGTCGGCAAAGTCAAATAGGTCAAAGACCGAAGGATGAGAAAATGGCTGACCATCCTCCTGAACTGAAGTTCCAAGCAACGTCGATAAGATCTCTGTCTGAAGTGTTGGTGATCCAATCTTGGCCGCCGAGCGAATCTCAGTTGCAGCATATGCGAATAGGTGGCTTCGATACAGCAAGAACTCTGCCAATGCCGAGGTGGCATCTGTAAGCCAAAACTGATCTGAGGATATCGGGTGGCCATTCCAGGGTGTGTTGATTCCAACGATAGGCTGACCAGCGAACATGTTGGCCAAGAATCCGTGCGCTCGCATTTCGCCCAGAGTGAAATAGCTCGCAAGTTTCGAAGACCACAGATGCTTCAGGACCTCAAAAGCCATGCGTTTGAGGTGAATAGTCCATGAGATCAAGCTATCACCGACCGTGTCCGGATAAGTTTGAAGGAAGCCAATGATGGAATGTAGCAGGGAAATCCGATTTGCAAACAAACCCTCTGCAGACACATCCAGGATATTACTGATGCAACTGAAACCCAACAGGAGATGGGCCACGGTGGGTCGGTCCGTGATCATGCTCAGACAGCTATTCAGGAGCGCCAGCAAACTTTCTCGAATGACATAGCCAGCAGCCTCAGTGCCATACTCCAGCTCTCTTGAGTCGGGGTCCATCATAGAAACAAGAGAGCGAGATACACTGTCGACATCGACCTCGCCAGCCAGCACCTCGACGATTTTGTTCGAAGATTGCCACTTTGCAAGTTCCGGGGAAGACATTTTGTTCAGCTTACGGGAGCTTGTAAGTTTCTCCAGCAAAGCCATTGAAGTGACCGTAAGTTGCTGGTGCCCAGTACCACAATAAAGACAGAGAGCGGGCACCAGGGTCAAATTGTTCAGCACGCTATCCTCGAAGGAAGCTAGCGTCGAGTTTGCAACACTGGTTCGGTTGGCTGTAGGGTGAGATCGGAGTAAAGGTCTGACGATATTGAAATAAGTAGACTGAAGATCGACGACCAGATTCATGACTTCGACACTGCGGAGGAGAGTCAAAACCAAGACAGAGTCAGAAGATGCACGTGCAATCTCAGAAACATCCTGCTGACTGGTCGCGAACAAGGCTTTGAGTACATCCTCATTAAAAAGCCATTCCATAACACGGGAAAATGGGTGAAGTCGAACATAGTCGGTGACTGTAGTTGTTCCAGGAGGGGTGAGATTCGGTTGACTGAATACGGTGACGAATTCTTCATTGAAGGACCTTAAGCTCGCCACAATGAATTCCAAGCAATTATGGTTCAGTAGACGAGACTGGTACTCATTAAGATCTTGGGGCTTTCGGGTCATAGCATGTCCTAGAACGAAGTCGACATATGGTTCGATTCCAGCCATGCGATATGTTGATCCGAGATTGTCGGTGAAAGACACTGCCAGGGATTTTTCGATGGTAGAGGCGGGCGCAACAAGGGAATTGAGCAGAAGAACAAATGTGTTAGTTTGATCGAAGCTCTCACCAATCTTCTGCAAGGATTGCTGCTGATTGAAAGCAGAAATTTCGGAGGCAGCGGGGACTTTGCCAATGGCCGACGCAGCCAAGGAGCCAGAGGATAACCAGTTGTCGATAGAAATCCACATTGATTCCCCATAAGCGGGTGTCTTTTCAACCATCAATGCCGTGAGCGTGGCAAAAGTAGTTGCCCTCAGATGGGTTGGTATCGGGCCACTGCAGAGACGCAGAAGAGTTTCAATAACTTTAAATGTTTGATTCTGCAGCATCCAGTCTCTGACAGCTGCACTGTTCTTGCACAAGTGTCCCATGAGGCGAAGGTAGCAGGTAAGCATAACTGGACTTTCAGGCTCGCTCATATCGACCGGATCTGGCTTGCGGGAACGAAGCTGGCCCTGCTGGGTATTGCCACCACTAGAAGGCTTTTCGTTGACGCGAGTGGCATATAGATTGAGCTCGGCGAACATTTGTGTCCAGTTCATGCTCGATGAGCGTTTCATCTTAGAGCCCATAAACTTGTCTTCCTCGGACAGAAACCTATGCGCAGCCAATGCGTTCTCATCACCGCCGGAAATGGAGCAAAGCATTTCACAGAAGGCGCTGACACGAGGAACTGTCTGGCGCTTGGAAGCCCATTGAAGGAAACCGTAAAGGTTGCTATCGGGGTCACTCCAAAATTCCTGGGCGGCTTCTTCTCGGTTTTCGAAAGCGAAAGAGATGATCATCAGCAGAGACTCCAAATGTGTTCGAGCCTCTACCAGCCCACGATGAAGGCTAGATGTCAGACCATCCCTTAAGGCAGTAAGCTGGTCTAAGCGCTGGTTATCCTCCTCTGTCTTGAGTTTGCGGATTGCATCAGGCATGTTGGCAATGCACGATTCGACAAACCCTTGGAAATTTTCCATCAGAAGCTCCTTCATGAAGTTACTGCAACGATCGGATTCCGGGAGGGGGATGTCGCTTTCCCTAAGAAGCAGTGCTACCAACTCACTGCGGGCTGGATCAGCCCATTCTTCGCTGTTGACATTGGAGCAAATCGCGAGCATGAAGTCGAGGGCGCCTTCGTCAAGACTGGTGATGAATTGTTTCTGCCATCCTTTTGATTCCGCTTCAATATCGACGCCTGTTGGGTGGGAAGTCGGACTGTCGTCATAGTACCACCCACTATACACTGCAAGCCACAGGGAAATGATAGCGGCATGGAAGTTCGGTAGTTTCCACGCCTGGCCATCTTTGGCCGTGGTAATGGCCGTGTGCAAGCTGCGCGCTTGCTCGCGAGATACACTAGTGTTCTCAGGTGTCCCATACCGCGCAAATGACTCGATTGCAACAGGCATGTAATGGATCAGCAGTCCATCGAAACGATCGATCTTTTTCAAAATATTGACAAGAACGCGAAGATCTTCAGAGCTCAGGTAGGTGGACTTAAAGAGGTAGAAAAGGATTGCGCTCAGTGACTCGTGCTGCTGTTGCAGGCTACGCCGCTGGTATTCAATAGCTTCCATGATATCTGCATCCCCCTCTTGGCCGACGATCGATGCCTTCTGGAGCTGGTCCCCAAGCAATGACAGCCATTTCTCAATGCTTCCCATAGAGTCCATGGCTTTCCTTGCGAACAATGACGCATTGTGCATGGGGGCCCCGTTTTTGATATCCAGCACGAAGGAAACGGTTTCTTGCATCATTATGTGGGTTGACTCGTGTTCCACCTCGAAGGATTCGCGGAGGACAAGGCGTAAACATTCTAAGATGTAGTGTCGGCGCTCGTGGAATCGCATGATCGCAGCAATCAGAGGGGGTCGATCGAGGCGCTGTGAATCTTCCTGAGCGGCCAGGAACAGTACTGCAGCCTCCAGTTCGTCCAGGTCCAGGGCATCGGCCAGCAAGAGCGCGCCTTGCTGGAAGTCTCCATTGATCGAATACTCCACATCGGCAACTGTGATTTTCCCTATGTTTGCAAGTAACGAGTCAGCGAGAGCGCTACAACAAGAAAGAGAATATGATAAACGGATGGTACTCACCTGTCAGAACCTTTTGGCGACTGGCATTGTTTTTGGCAGGTTTGTCTAGGAGTTTTCGGAAGTCTTCAATATGGGTCTCCAATTCAAAACACAGCCGCTCGATATTTGTCAAAGATGATTCCGAGACGGCCGAAAGATCCTGATAAAGGCCACGCAGACCTGCCAGGTTATCGTGAAGCTCTGCCATGGCGGCGCGGGGTGAAGGAGGTGGAAAAGGCAGCTTAGAGAGCTCAGCAATTGTTGTTACCAAAATTCCGGGCGGTGAGTAGCAAGCAACTTCCCACTGGTTGCGACAATCTTCAAATTAGTAGTTAGTTGGTTCATGCTAACTATTGTGGAGAATTTCTGATTATTTGGGATAAGACATACCAGATCAATGAAATCAATGCTAATTATATGATATATTTCAGGTTTTTCTAAACTGCCAACTTGTCCCTGCGCCGAAGGCTATGCTGCGTTTTCTGCACCGGGCGGTGATCCTCTTTCTGCCGCTCCGCAGTTGACTTGATCAACAAACACCGCGACATCGATCAGACAACTACAGGATCGCAAAATGGCGGACTGAATAACCCCTCGTGGTAGCGGATTGTCATTTTTACGACTGAAATTACCTCCGTAGCTCACTCACTCGCGATGGGGGAGTTGTTGATAGAAAAGGCGCTTGGGCAGCTATCTTCGGACAAGCAGAAAGAGCGCATCGACGGTCTAACAGGTCTGTTGCTGTTCAAATACATGAATTTTACACAAAAGAGCTTATACTGATCAGAATACATATGAAAAAGACCTCAAATATATATTACAGCAAAACAAAGGAAGCTCAAGACTGTAAGCCTTTGTCAAAACTCGCACAAGTGCCAGTTTCCCCGACCCTGACATGCGGCTGAACTTTATCTAGCTCGGACCTCAATGACAAGGCCTGTCATAAGATTTTTGAGTCTTTATTTCGGTTTATTGCATCGGAAAGACCTGCTTTCATTCGAGCGCAACGGTCAAGTTCCAGAAGCCCCGTTGTCTCCCGCCTATCCACATGTGCCTCTGTCATTCGAACGGCTGTGGACGTCTTCCTGCGCAACCTGAGAACCAAGACGGTCCGCGCGATTATTGACCACATCACGGACACCATACCCGTCCCCGGAGAAGGCCTATGGGACGTTCTTAGCGTGGATTATACCAAATGCCTGACTTCATTACTTCGCTACGCGCCTCACAATGAGCATTTGGGCGATGCGGAATGGGAAAAGCTTATCGAATTTTGCTTAGCAGTCATCAAGACCCAGGAGGGTAATGAAAGCCAACTCGGTATCAGAAGTGGCAATAGATCTGCTCCGGAAGACCTGCTAGATGCCAGCGACAGTCGTTCAACACCGGTCAGACTGACGACACCCGTGCCTGCAAATAGGGGAAAGTCTACGAGCAATATCAATGCCATAGGCGAAGTGGTAGAATGTGTCCAACTTCTGACAGTAAGCCCCTGTGCTCCTGTTCAGGCTGCTGCTGAGACTATCCTGCAAGCCCTGGTTGAGTTTGTCATAACTTCCCCCGCGATTGCTGGGAACACGCAACAATTGGCATTCAGCAGCATAAATGCAGTGGCCCTGAAAGTGTTATTTGACCAATCAGATCTCGTTAGATCATCTACGCTAGGGCTTATTCCCGTGGTTCGACGCCTTTGGCCCACAAAACTCATGAAACTGAAGGATGAGTTGTTGATTACGTTAATGGTTTGGATGGTGGTTTTGTTTGGGGGGGGTCCAAGGAGATCCATCCGAGACAGTCACACGATCGATTGAGGACCTGATAGATACTTTACATTCCGAGTATTTGAAACGACCGGAGAAAGATCTGCTCCAGATTGACGATATTACCTTGGACAGTACACCAGTGGAAAACAACCGTCCTGTTTACGGACCGTGTCTCGGGAGTTCCCGATCGGAACACAACTGGACGGTTATTTGGTCCATCGCAAATCTTTCAAAGCTGTCAGGAAATTCCCAAGTTCACTCCCCTGATCACGATGTTGCAGACGACAAGTCAAGCAAAAGGCGACGTTTCAATTCTGTAGTCGATGACATTTTTCGGGATGCAGTATCGGCAACAGGCACACGGCGGGTTTGCGCACTGCAACTAGTTCCGTTCCTTGCGAACGAGCGGAGTATCGGGCAAAAAGAGGATCTAATCCAACGGCTTGTCCCGAATATTCTTGACGACAATAGTGCTATCTCTTCGTGGACTATGGTGGCACTAGCCAGGTCAGTGCACCAATATTCGAGATTCTATTTCTGTCTAACCGATTTTTAAAACAGCCTTGTCAATGGCCCTGACGCTCAGCTACCAGTATTGAAAAGCTCGTGGGTGCGCGTTATGGATCTTTCATCTCGTGTGATATCGTCATTTCCCACTTCGAGGGCCGCCTGCAATCTAATGGGCCTGATCCTCGAGGCAGACTTGTTGGAAAATCCTGTCGTGACAGATCATATACGTTCAATGTTGATATCTGCAAACTTGAATGGGCCCTCTTCAATTTCGGACGCCTCTTTAAGCCTATGGGTCTCCATAGCGCGGCGAAAAACACAATTGAATTTGGCCTCTGTTCAAAGTGCGTCAAAGCAGATATGTAGTTGGCTGAGGGAAGTTTGGACAATTGGTAAGCTACACAGCAGTCTCCTCTGATAGTTCTACTTTGCTCACTGTGCTACTCAGGCACCGTTACCGATCGAGTTCAAACTGCCCAAGTTTCGATGTTTGCACGCCCACTCAGCTTGCTCCACCTTTTCATGGCATGTACTGGCAGACCATGTAATTTACCCCTTGACCAAGTGCCAGGGCCAACGGGACCTATAGCTGGGACATGGCTTTTGTTTCACGAAAACAGGGAGCTTCTAGAATATCTCTTCAGCGTCGACAAGGCTTTCCAAAATGCCAACCCCTGGGGTAGACAAGGTTCATGGGATCTGAGCCCATCGACCCGACAAGATGCCGATGACCTGGTAATACTAGAGCTGTTGAGATCAAAAGGGGAATTCTTCGTTCAGGCCTGGCAGACAATCGCCGAAGATAAATCCGTCCATCTTACTACAGATATCCTGCAAATCTTGACATCGTTTTGCACCACAACATCTCTTTTTCTGGCTTGCCTGCCAGAAAAGCTTGGATCTCAGAGCGAAGAGATTCTTCAAAATTGCCAATTCCTCTGGAAATGCATATGTGATTCCTTTGCAGTTTCTGGTCCGATGTCCACCCTTCCATGTCTCGAAATCTTGTCACCGATCCTTCCGTCATCCCTACCCGCTGTTGACGATATCCGCTGGAAGGCTCTTCATCCGCTGATGATCCCACTCTCAGACCTACTTGAGACCTTTCGCGAGAGGAAGAAGGTAGAGCAATCCTTTCCCAGTGATCTTATGGACCTGGACGAGCACATGTCAGGTCGAGAAGATGAAGCATCCGCAGATCAAACAATAATTTCTCAGAACCGACAATATGGCAGATTGATTACGGACGCATCTACATTCCAACGCCTCCTGACTATCCAAGTATCTGTTCTTAGGCGATTTCATGACAAGACTAGTGAATCGGGGCTGTCGACTTTGGTCGAATATCTGGTTGGCTTGGATGAGGCAGACCTGCTCTCCGCATCCCGGTTTTTATCTGATCTCTATCATGGTATATCAGCGGCAGAAAGAGAAGACCTTCTGCAAGTCCTCGAGCACGTTGGAGAGAAATGCCTCCAGTCGTATGAAATGGAACGCTGTGAGGCCTCTCACGGTATCTGTATTAACATGATGTCTGGCTTTGTTTCATCTTGGGCAAGCAATCAGAATGACACGCTCAATGAATCGGCTATGGATCTCTACGATTGGTTCATTCAGGTTCTACTGACCAAAAAGCGAGCATCGCCAAGAGTTTATATCCTGCTGCTCGAACTTTTGCACGCCATGCTCAATGCTTGTCCCTCATACGGCTCTGATCAACTTCTTCCGTCACCGCGCACAAGCCTTTTTCAAATCTTGCAAGAAGGAGATATTGTTGTCAAGTTCACCGCCGCAAGACTAATTCCAACTTTCTTCGAGCGATTCCCTTTCAAGGATCACGATGCCATGTTCGATGACGTGCTAGAGAATTTGCCCAGAGATCCAGACTGGATTGAAGGAATTGCGCTTCGTCTTTTTGTTTTGTCTCGACTGGCCTCAAAATGGCACACTTTGCTGCGCCGAAGTATATATCACATGTTTGAAACCCCAGCTCAGGTCCCTCTTTCTCTGGATTATGCCCGAAAATGTGTGAAGTCTGTTTCGAACGCGCTTGGTCTAGACAACCCTCAGGAACTATTTCGTCTATTTGCCTCTCAAATTCTCTATACCTGGACAGAAACCCAAAGTGTCATGTCTATGCCGTTTAGTATGTTCGCATATGCAAGTCTCCAAGAAATGTTGGCAGATGTCAAGGAGGAGATTATTGGACAAATGATGATGCGAGCCAAGGAGTCTGAAACTCATGAGCTCGCAGCTTACTTAAATATAGCTCACGAAGAGCTCATCAGGAGTTCATTCTCAAAAGCAGAAGCTTACAGCATTGCCCGGGACATCAGCATCCCCCCAGAACAGGGAAGTCAACCCAAAGGCGTGGAGGTTCTACTGAGAAAATTACTCGGTGCTGATGGGTTTATGAAAGAAGTCGAATCTCACTTTCCAAATATTATTGTCACTTTCTTCAAATCACTTGACCGCTATGATCAGATCGAGCGAGCTTTTTCAAAACGACCAAGCTTTCGCTATGCACTTGAAATTCAGACGTCCATTCTCCAAAAGTGTGCAACAGAGAGCACTTTGCCTCCCGGCCAACAACCCTCCTTTCGGGCCCGTTATCTTCTTGATGAACTAGACTTTCTTTGCAAACGCACGGGGTTTGAGGTCGAGTCAATCTGGACGCCTACGCTTGCTACCTTTGTGTGTCGATCTCTTCTGGAATCAATACACCCTGCCCTTGGATCTCTTCACATGTGCTCTGTGATTCGAAAAATCAGAATCCTTGTTTCTTTATCAGGACCAATAGTTCTTCAGGACTATCCTTTCGAGATGCTACTTCACTCAATTCGCCCACTTTTGGCGGAGATCCAGTGTTCCGAAGATGCGCTGGGAATCTTTTGGTACCTCCTTGAAGCTGGAAAGCCATATTTGGCTGCAAACCCCGGATTTACGGCTGGGATAATCCTTACCACGTTCGTGACCCTGCGCAAATTATTCTCCCTGGAGATGGGAGATAATACCGAGGAAGGTCAATTCAAGGCAGCTTTGAAGAGCGCCCAAAGATTCCACGAATGGCTTTGCGGGCTGGTGAGAGAATACAGCTCCCCAGGATGGGAGCCTCATGGCCAGGAAACCTTCCCAAGGCTTTTAGCTTTGGCTGAAGAGATATCAGCACCAGATGGCTCACCAAGCATGGAGAATGAAAAGAAGTTAGTTCTCGAAGTTCTCACAGATCGTGATTCACTACACCCCCTCATGGGCGAAGCGATTGCGGATGTTGTTCTCTCCCTTCTGTGCCCTGAATTCAATTGGTCGTTTAATGTCGGTGTCGAACGTGCCGAAGACAAATTTGATTCCACCTCTCAAGTTATTTCACTGTGGCATACTCTTAACAAGTTTGATGGTGGATCGGAGTACCGGCTCTGGGCCGCCTCAGTCATCGGGCGCTCATTTGCGAGAACGGGAAAAGTTGATGAGAACCTATTACGAGAGCAGGATCTCACTTTGTTCAAAATTGTCGAGCTGAGTGACCAGTCAAATATCTTCTGCTACTCCAAAGCTCGAGTAATCCAAGCCCTGTGTGAGAAGTTACAGATCCAAGACAACAGAGAAGCCGGATTGATCGAACACACATTACAACTGATCTTGAGCAAGATCACCCAATCCCCAAACCTCCAAGGCTGCGCCGAGGTCATTCCAGAATCACTGATGAAAGCCCTCATTTGGAGTCCTTACACCTGTCCTACAATACCCCTTTCGCCGTCGGAGCTAGAGCGATGCAACAGAACAGACATATCAGCTGATGGGCTCACAGTCGCCGAGTGGGCCCGTACAATTTCGCTCTTCCTTTCCAATGCTTCATTAGAAGATCCTGTAATTGGGCCATTGTGCAAGATTCTCAACGTTATTCCCGATCTAGCTGTTCAGATCTTACCATACATCATTCATGATGTGTTGCTGGCAGAAGGGGGTGACACACCGACAAGACAAGTCATTTCAGAATCTTTCAAGCAAATCTTGAGCGATGTGCGCGAGGAGAGCGTTTTGCATGCACGACTCGTCATCACATGTGTCTTGTATCTTCGGAATCAGCCGGTGCCAGACGAAGTCACGATCGTCCAGCGTGACAGATGGCTTGACATAGATTTCGGCGAGGCATCCTCCGCGGCACACTACTGTGGCCTTCAGAAAACATCTCTTCTATTCCTTGAGATTGAGGCATCCAGAGCAATTGGGGCTTCTCGTCGGGCTTCTGTTGCCAAGTTCGAACCGCCAGTTGGTTTGTTGCACAATGTCTTCAAAAACATTGATGATCCAGATCTTTTTTACGGAATCCAGCAGAGCTCGTCGCTAAGTACAGTCATGGAGCGACTGGAGTATGAGAGCTCGGGCTTCAAGAATCTGCTCTTCCAGAGTGCTCAGTATGACAGCGAAATCCAGATGTTGGGCCACGGCAATGCTTACGGAGTTTTGAAAGCTCTTAACTCCACTAATCTTCAAGGTATTGCGAACACGATGGTGAATGCCTCAGGAAGTGCGAAGGAAATGTCGATCTCTTTTGATAGTACCCTCAAAGCCGCAACGAACCTTCAGCAATGGGACATTCCTATCTCGCCCTTTGAATCATCCCCACAAAGCATGACCTTCCGCGCATTTCAGAGCTTGAACGCATCTTCGTCCTTGTCAGAGATTAATATTTCTATCGACAGCTCTCTTCTGACAACCCTTGATGCTGCTATCGAGAACGGCCAATCAACCATGCAACTACGAGCTGCGATGCGCAGCCTGGGAGTTCTGACAGAAATGCGTGATATCCTCCGGTCATCATCTTCTGATGACATGCGGAATGAATGGAATGAGATCATCGGTCGGAGCAGCTGGCTAAAAACTGAAAGTTACCATGAAGTTGGTGAGATATTGAGCTGGCACGAGGGCCTTTGCTCCTCGATAAGAAAGAACGATGCCTTGCAATCAAAGCTGAATTTGACCCCCGGAGACTCGCGTCTTCTTGAGGCCAAAGTCTTTCGCCAATCGCTAGAAATCACAAGGAGTCACGGAATCTCACAGGCGTCTCTGAAATCCGCAATCAGTCTTTCCAAGCTCTCTGAGCCCTGTGCTGAACTGGGAATCAACATTGACGGTGCAGCGCAATTCGATCTTGCAAATGTTTTGTGGGACCAGGGCGAAATGACAGCTTCGATTAGAATGCTTCAACAACTCAGGGGTTACAACGATCTGTATAAGCAAGCAATCCCTCTTAGTCGTGCTGAGTTGCTCGTGACTTTGGGTCACCATGTCGCTGAGGCTCGATTAGAGAAACCAGAAGCGATTCTTCAAGATTACTTGTACCCGGCAGTGAAAGAACTAAAAGGAGCATCCGATGGGGAAGCAGCTGGGCGGGTCTATCACGGATTTGCTGCGTTCTGCGACCAACAGCTCCTGAACCAGGATGGCCTAGAAGACTTCAGACGAGTGCAGCAGCTTCGTGATCGCAAAGAGAAGGAGCTTCAGAGCCTTGAAGAGATGATGAAAATTTCCACAGGCCGCGAAAGGGAGTCCATGAAAATCTTCCGAGCCAAAACGAAGCAATGGTTCGATCTCGATGATCGCGAATTTCAGCGTCTATCACGAAGTCGAGAAGCGTTCCTACAGCAGTGTCTCGAAAACTATCTCCTTGCCTTAAGGGAGAGCGACGCATACAACAACGATGCTCTACGGTTTTGTGCGCTTTGGTTCGATAAATCAGACAGCAAGATCGCAAACACCGCAGTCTCCCGCTATCTGAACGATGTCCCAAGCCGGAAGTTCGCACCGCTCATGAATCAATTGTCTTCTCGACTGCTCGACGTGTCCGATGACTTCCAGAAATTATTGACGGGATTAGTATTCCAAGTTTGTGCTCAACATCCATTCCACGGCATGTATCAAATATTTGCTAGTAGCAAATCTAAGGGAGGCAAAGACCAATCCTCACACTCCCGTTTCCTCGCCGCCAACAAACTTGTGGATCGCTTGAAGAATGATAAGACCATCGGTCCAACCTGGATTGCTGTTCATAATATGAACATCACATACGTACGGTTTGCCGTTGATCGAATGGACAACAAGTACAAAAGCGGAGCCAAGATTGCCTTGAAAAAGCTGCCTACAGGTGAGCGTCTTGGGCAAGACGTGACAACGTACAGGCTTCCTCCGCCCACCATGAAAATTGAACTTCGAGAGGACTGTGACTACAGCAATGTCCCTACAACGGCTAAGTTCCAGTCGGAGTTCACACTTGCGTCAGGCGTTAGTGCACCCAAAATTGTGACTGCGATCGCGAGTGATGGTGTCCGCTACAAGCAGCTGGTAAGTCACCCCCAAGGAGATACTCATAAGTTTCTGAAGCGTAAATCCATGGCCCATGCTAACTGATACATAGTACAAAGGAGGAAACGACGACCTTCGCCAGGACACGATCATGGAGCAAGTCTTTGAGCAAGTTAGCAGTCTGCTCAAAGACCATCAGCCTACTCGGCAACGAAACCTCGGGATCAGAACCTATAAGGTTCTTCCTCTCACTCTCAATGCAGGAATCATTGAATTTGTTCCTAACACTATTCCTTTGAATGACTTTCTAATGCCTGCGCACCAGCGGTATTTCCCGAAGGATATGAAGCCCAACTCCTGCCGGAAGCATATCGCCGATGTGCAGACCAAGTCATTCGAGCAACGCGTCAGAACTTATCGTCAAGTCACAGAACATTTCCACCCAGTCATGAAATACTTCTTCATGGAGAGGTTCAACAACCCAGACGATTGGTTCAGCAAGCGAATTTCGTACACGAGGAGCACAGCTGCGATCTCGATCCTCGGACATGTTCTTGGACTTGGCGACCGACATGGCCACAATATTTTGCTTGATGAGAAGACTGGAGAGGTGATTCACATCGATCTGGGCGTGGCATTTGAACAAGGCCGTATCTTGCCAGTCCCTGAAGTCGTGCCTTTCCGCTTGACTAGAGATTTGGTTGATGGATTCGGCATTACCAAAACCGAAGGGATCTTCAGGAGGTGTTGTGAATTCACACTGGAGGCCCTCCGACAAGAGTCCTACAGTATCATGACAATTTTGGACGTTCTTCGTTATGATCCACTTTACAGCTGGACTGTGTCACCTCTGCGAATGAAGAAAATGCAGGATAATCAAGAGGGAGGCGATGAGCCACCAGTAATTACCGGGGCCACTGACAAAGGCTCGAGCCCGACCAATGAGCCTAGCGAAGCTGATAGAGCTTTGACAGTGGTCGCTAAGAAATTGAGCAAGACGCTGAGCGTTACTGCTACGGTCAATGAGCTTATCCAACAGTCAACCGACGAGAAAAATCTTGCTGTTCTATACTGCGGTAGGTTTCCCCAAAATCCTGATACTCAATTAGAACTAACTAGGCTTTTAGGTTGGGCCGCTTATGCTTAGCACTTCTAGTTGTTAATCGATTCTGTGGATGTTTGTACATATTGCAGCGCTCATTCATGAAACAGCCCTGTATGCATATCCAGGTATTTTATGGGACTTTTTTGAGATTCACTTATTTATTAAGTACTAGCAGCTTCGAACTGGCTAGATTAGAAGTTCTCTGAAGGGTTAATGACAAAAGTACTAACCTTGGAACTGAGGTCTACGGAGAATATAAAAATGGGCATGGCGCTCAAGTCTACAATGGAAATGCGTTCACTTTTTCGTTTCTTCCAAATGGACTTCAGAACACTTGCTTTGGATGCTCGCGTTCAAGGCCAATTCAATTCTTTCCCAGGAAAGTTTATTCGACCCGTAAAATTCTAGGAACAATTGCCTCCAAATGCAAACTAAACGCCATTACCATGCTCCATATCGCAATGTTTTGAAAAATAACAAATGAAGAGCCAATTCATGCTTCAGTTGGTGGGGCCATGTTGCGCTTTTTGGTTGTCAACTTCAGCTGCAAAGGGATAAGACTCCGCCGAGGCCCCGCCGTATCATTCTTAGTTATTGATTTTCGGCACACAGGACATGTGCCTTTATTTTTATTTGAGTCGGAATTCCTAGCATCCGCAGTCGCCAGGCATTCAAGGATACAACGATGGCAGAATAAATGGCCTATTTACAGGAAAGGTCAGTATAAGACGGAAGAACATTGGCTCGGAAATGTCCAAAGCATTGCCGGCCAGATCGTTAATAAACGTACCGCAAGCCGTGCTTGTCGCATCTTCTGGTGTATCCATGCAGATCGGACATTTATATGATCCAAGTACAGAACGTGCACTATTCGCCTCGTCTCCATGCGGTTGCTGGGATTTGACTGCGTCCTCTCTTAGGCTGGAGAGTGTCTTGGCGAGCTCGGAAGAGCTATCAACCTCGGTCAGATCGATAGATTGAATGGGCCCTTCTATTCGAGGATCTATTGGATGATCTAGTCGAGGACGAGACGATGGTCCTGCATGTCCGAGCTCCTCCCCCTCTCGCCTTCGTTTAGCGCCCCGTGGTATCGTGCGGTTCGTTAAGTTTGGAGTTGGCTGCTCCTCCAAGGAGTCCGAGAAGGAGTCCACAGAAGTTATATCGGATGAAAGTTGGCGATGAGTGGACGTAGATGATAATGTGGGCGCGGGCGCGGGCGCGGGCACGGATGCCGATGTCAAGTCGATTACCGATAACCTGCGGCTCATGATGTAGTTTCTTTCAGAATGTCCTTTTCAAACGGAAGGGGCCTTGTTTATCATCGGGTGCATTGTTTTTGAGAGGGTTGTGGCAAAGTAAGCGTGTGACGGTTTATGAAAGGAGTCTGAGATCGAGAGAAGCAGTCCGGTGAGCCAGATCATAGGAGGGATGATTGTAGACGTAATGAGTGATCATAAATCATAGAAAAAAAAAACTCGCAGCCGTTAAACTTCAGGGAAGAAGACGAAGGCGACGCCGACCCAAGCATTAAAATTGGCGACGATCCTAGGCTATCATGAGGAGAGGGGAGATTGGAATGGGGAATGGGGGATGGCTATCGCTGCGCCGATAAGCCAAAGAGGCAGGCGGTCACCCGATTAGGTTAGTACCACCGGGGTCGGCGACAGGGTTCCTCCGTTCCGGCATGACGCCTCAGATACCGCGATAGGCAGTGGTGATATACGCTCACAAAATCGCAATCTGCATCATCTCGCGACTTCGTCCTTAATCACCAACACAACCTTGCAAGGGTTGTAGTCGCTTACATTATGACCTGATATGATCGAAATACTGATCCCCATACGATGTTATCTTGGAAATTCGCCTGCACGCCTCATTCCAGGGGTGTTGTGAGCTCCGTGCGACCACGGCTGTGTTCAGCATTTATTCTTCCTCGATACCCATGGAAACCAACTACGACAGGATGTGGAAGACAATATTCAACCCCGCCAGACGTAGAGTCTCGAGGGAAACGACCTTTATCGGGTAGGCCCATTGCGATTTTTACCCCTCGGTTGATACGAAATCGCAAATGCTAACCTAGCTCAGTGCCCGCCTCGCCTAGATTCAATGAGATTGGAGTGCAACAACTGAGCGATTATGTCCATCCTCAGGTTTTCCCGAACAAGGGTCGCATACCGGACCCGGAATTGGTTGCGTTAGCAAAGGACCATCTCGCAAGACATGAGCTCCTGGGCAAATCGCAAAAAGGCGCCGAGCCGATCGCATTCGATCTACCGAAACTACATGGCCAGACACTAGACGAACACTTTTATAAGCTTGGTATGGATGCGTCGGAGCCCTACTTATCTTACGCGAAATCCTTCGTCGCCGTGAATTGCCCGGACAAACCGCGCAAGTGGGTGAATCGCAGCGGATGGACCAAATACAACAATGATGGCTCTGCGGAACCAGTAGATGCACCAAATGAATCAATGATTACATTCGACACGGAGGTTATGTACAAGGAGCATCCTTTCGCCGTCATGGCCTGTGCTGCGAGCCCTACAGCATGGTATGCTTGGATATCCCCGTGGCTGCTCGGCGAATCGACAAAAAAAGAGCACCTTATTCCCCTCGGAGATCCAACTCAACCACGGATCGTGGTTGGCCACAACATTGGCTATGACCGTGCTCGCGTTTTGGAAGAATACGATATGAAGCAAACACAGAATTTCTTCCTAGACACGATGTCCCTCCATGTTGCTGTCAATGGAATGTGCTCCCAACAGAGGCCGACGTGGATGCGACATAAGAAGAATAAAGCTCTGCGGGACAAGATCGCAAGCGAGCATGATTCGGCTGAGTTGGCTTCATTGCTTGAAAACAATATGTTGAGAGAGGAGGAAGAAGAGTTGTGGGTGGGGAGGAGCTCAGTCAACTCCCTGCGAGATGTGGCCAAGTTCCATTGTGATGTGACAATCGACAAGGCACAGAGAGACTTCTTTGGTGAACTTGACAGAGAATCTCTTCTAGCAAAATTGGAGGAACTCCTTGATTATTGTGCTGCCGATGTCGCTATCACCCATCGTGTCTACCGCAAAGTCTTTCCCAACTTCCTAGAGACATGCCCCCACCCGGTTAGTTTCGGTGCCCTCCGACATCTGTCTTCGGTCATACTTCCTGTCAACCAGACCTGGCAGGAGTATATCAAAAATGCTGAAGAAACCTACCACAAACGACTTAATGACGTGCAGCGAAAATTGAATGAACTGTGCAATGAAGCTCTGAGCGTCAAAGATCAGCCAGATGTTTATGATAACGATCCTTGGCTTGGCCAGCTGGACTGGTCCGGCCAGGAGATCAAAATGGTTAAAGGGAAGAAAAAGGGTGATCCTCCTCGCCCTGCCGCGCGCCAGAAGAAACCGGGAATGCCCAAGTGGTACAAAGATCTTTTCCCTTCAAGCCACGCGGAAATCAATCTCACGGTTCGAACTCGCATTGCTCCCGTTCTCTTGAAATTGGCATGGGATGGCTACCCTCTCATTTGGTCTGACAAATATGGGTGGACCTTCCGAGTTCCCCATAGTCAGGTAAAGCAATATGAAAATCAGCCAGTTGTTCGGTGCGATATGACCGCTGAGGATAAGACTGCACAACTTCGAGAGGACCGGAAGAACGTCTATTTCAAAATACCGCATAAAGACGGCCCACAAGCGAGATGTACCAATCCTCTTGGCAAAGGATATATGCAATACTTTGAGCGCGGAATTCTTTCATCTCAATTTGAGCTCGCAAAGGAAGCTTTGGACATGAACGCTTCCTGCTCTTATTGGATTAGTGCTAGAGACCGTATCATGAGCCAAATGGTTGTCTACGAGGATCAAGTACAGAACAGTGGCTCTTCAAGTGGGGATTCCAGTCACAGAGTGGGGTTCATATTGCCTCAAATCATCCCCATGGGTACCATAACTCGTCGTGCTGTGGAAAATACATGGCTCACGGCGAGCAACGCCAAGTCCAATCGGGTCGGATCTGAATTGAAGGCGATGATTAAAGCACCCCCGGGTTATGCTTTTGTCGGCGCAGACGTCGACTCCCAGGAGCTCTGGATTGCTAGTCTCGTCGGAGATGCTTCTTTCCAACTGCATGGTGGAAATGCGATCGGTTTCATGACTTTGGAGGGTTCCAAGGCGGAAGGTACAGACTTGCATTCAAGAAGTGCATCCATTCTCGGAATTTCTCGAAATGACGCGAAGGTATTTAATTACGGCCGAATCTATGGAGCCGGTGTGAAGTTCGCTGCAACTCTCCTTCGCCAATTCAATCCATCCTTGACCGAAAGGGAAACGCAGGCAACTGCAGCCAACCTTTACAAGGAGACCAAGGGAACACGGACATCCCGACGAATTCTAAGTGAGACTCCGTTCTGGCGAGGTGGCACCGAATCTTTCGTGTTCAATAAGCTCGAAGAATTCGCAGACCAGGAAAGACCTCGAACCCCCGCCTTGGGTGCTGGCATAACGGAAGCCCTGATGCGACGATTTATTAACAAAGGAAGCTTCATGACTTCCCGAATCAATTGGGCCATTCAGTCATCAGGTGTTGATTACTTGCATCTATTGATCGTCGGTATGGACTTTTTGATCCGGCGATTTAATATCCATGCGCGTCTAGCCATCACCGTCCACGATGAAATACGATATATGGTCAAGGATGAGGACAAATACCGTGCAGCTATGGCTCTTCAGATTGCAAATCTCTGGACGCGCGCCATATTCTCGCAGCAAGTTGGTATTGACGATCTTCCACAGTCCTGTGCCTATTTCTCAGCTGTCGACATCGATCATGTGCTCCGGAAAGAGGTTGACATGGACTGTATTACACCTTCACATCCGAACAAGATTCCTCACGGTGAAACTCTGGATATTTCTCAGCTGCTGTCCAAAGATGAAGCCGCTTTCCTGGACCCATCGATCACCCCCGCGTCTGCTCCAAACCCAGAGCAATACAAATATACGCCACGAGACTCGGTCATGTCCGCCCTGCAAGCCTCCAATGACTTAGCTCTCATCAAAGCTCAGATCACGAAAGATGACGCAGAACTTCGTGATATCATCAAACAAAAAACTCAACTCTCCGCGTCTAGTCCCAAATCCACCACCTCACGTTCTTCCCCAAGCAAGAGCCGAGTTAAAACGTCAGGCTGGGCATCTGCGGAACCTCAACGTGCTGTTCTGATGGACGTTGAATCAGGGCTTTATCCGGATTTCCGCGACTCCCCTCGCACCTCTTCCCACACTGGCAAACAGCCTCAAGTGGGTCTATACCGTTCTCAATGGAAGCCACGGCCAAGTGCTCGAGCATAACTCTCCACAGTCCACCCTCCTTACCCTCTACCCTCCTAGCACCTACCCCTTTTCTTTTATCTCTACCATTCTTGTACCCAATTCCCCTTTATATTGTTCGAATATCCTCACGGATGTATGGCTTACGTGGTGTGATTGGAAGTAGCATTGGGATGGCGTCGAAGTGCTTACATTTAAAGTGATACTGTACAAAAATAACAAACCTAATACAATTTCAGGCCCCTACCTACTAGATATTGTGGAATAGACACTATTTCAAGTTATTTCGTGAACACATCGGCATAATGAGTTTTACTCCAGGGCTGAAAGGTCTTCGTGACTCGTCTCCCAAAGAGATGCGGGTAAATTGCACCTGGCAGCTTTGCTAACTTCTTGCTCAAGCTCGAGATTAAAAACAATGTTTCCCGGTTGTGTGACATTGCCGGTTCGAATAAAACAGCATCGGGGCTAATTACAGCTTGGATGGGTGTGTCGATGTGTACTAAGTGATCTACCAACCCCTTTAAAGAGAACTCTGTAGTTTGCTAATACTACTCGCATATTAATCAGATGGAGACCGAGTGACTGATAAGGTCGAACCAGATGCTCTGTTGAATATCCATGGATATTAGTCATGATCCATTCCTTGTCAACTGGCAAGTCTCATGAGCAGCTTCGAGAAGCCTGGGAATGGGTCGTTATGTAGCGAATCTCATCATTCAATTGAAATATTCGGCCGCTACCCTCATGATTTGTCTAGGTCTCTTTCCAAATGGATGGTACACTTGAAGATGTTAGCCTACGCTCCTTGGATAATCCTTTCAACAGTTGGAATACACTCACGCAACTTCAATAACAGCACACTTCCCAGCTTGCACAATCTCTGTTGCTTGCTGGATGGCAGGGTCCAACTCATTCTGTGTTTTGACCGTGGCCCCCCAGGCATTCCCTGCGGCAGAGGCAATCCCTGGGTAGTCAGGCGACGGCTCAAATGATATGTTCAAATCTAGTTCGTTGTTTATTATCAGCTTTGACTCTTCTTCGCAGGATGAATGACCCGGTTTTAGTCACCTTTTCTATTGGACTTTGATGATAATCCATCCTCGTGGACTAGCAAAGCGGAGACCTTCGGTGCATTCCATCCGCCATTGTTCAGGACAATAAGCAAGAATGGCACATCGTAACGCCTAGCAATCCAATACACGCTCTCCATTTGCGAGAAGAGGTAGGTTCCATCGCCAACTCTAAGATTTTGTTAGAGGTGTCCATATATCCTTGAGCCAATATACTCACATTCCACAGACAAAAGAATTTGGCTTGGCCATCTTAGCGCCCAGAGTGGCGCCGCCTCCCCAGCCCAACCCACCTGCACCACTGCCAAGTAAGCTTCCTGGCTGATTGGTGACGTTAGAATATGATTTTCACACTATGCACTGGCTGGATTACCTTGGTCAAGTTCAAATGATGAATCAAATGGCCTGCGTTAGTGACGGCTTCCATGACGAAAGTCGTGTCTTGTGGAAGTTGCTCCCGCAGTCGCGATGCGAGATAGGGTACTGTAACAATGCCCTCAGATGAGGGTGATTCTAGAGATTTGAGGTTCGCTCGCCACTTTGTATAGCGCGCCCGGCGAGATTCAAATTCCGCAGAGTATTGTTTGTTGTCCAGGATTTGGCGATCTATAAAGCCATTCAATTGCTTCAAGGCAAGTTCGCCGCTCACCTTGAGCCTTCGAATGGCGCCAATGGAAAATACTAAAGAATTCAGTCTTGGACGGTCAATGAAAACACATAGTGGTTACATACGGGGCATTTGTTGCTTCAGTGGATCGACATCGAGGTGAATGATTTTGGTGCCTATGCTGTCAGCGAATGCTCGTTGGGTGTTCGGAAGTGTTAATTCCAACCTTTCTTTGGTTTTCCAGCAGTTGGAATCCAGGGAACATCACAGTCCATAATCAGGATGACGTCGGCTTCTAAAACTGCCGGATGTGTAGTAACTGTCACACCAAGATAGGCCTCGTGGTCACTGCGGATGCAGACATCAGAACCGACCATTTCAACCACACTAATTGGTAGCTTGTCACAAAGCACCTCGAGCAGAGCAGGCGTGTTATGGTTGCGCCCCAGATAGCCCGTGATCACAAGAGGCTTCTTTGCACCCATGAGAGTTTTTGCGATGAATTCAACCTCTTATGAGCGAGTAAAAAGTCAGATTGTATTAAGCATCGTTATCGAGGAAGTATTACCTGAATCCGGCAATGCACTGGCAACGATAGGGCTGAGCAATTCTTCCTCAAGAAATACTCTATCAACTTTCTGCAGATGAGGGTTAGCAGTCGTGTTTGGTTAAAGATACCACCATACTTACCTCTTCTAGGACTTCCCTTGCTGCCATGAGGTAGGCTGGGCCCTTGGGGTCCGATAAGGTGAATTGCAATGCTCTGTTCACCAGTTCTTTGATATTACGCCCGGATTTGATTTCTGCCGAGTACCTGCAATACTGCCGAACGATTGCCGCTTGATCGGGCACATCTTGTAACCAATGAATAAACCTTCCAGTATCCAATTGTTAGCATTGACAGGAATGAGAATAGAGCCGGGTGGTCCATACTCGGTGCGGGAGCCAAGAAGTTCCCCTCTTTGGGTGAAGGGGCTCAGGCCAGCAAAACAGAGGACGGGGACTCGGCCGACCGAGGCATTATGGACCGACTGTCCCAAGGCTAAAGTCCCGCAATCAACGTGAACAAGGACGCATTGCTAATGGGAAATGAGCAAAAAATCTTGAAGAGAAAGACCGATGGAGCTCATACCGGAATGCCTGTGACCTGGGCGTATCCAAGTGCTGCCGACAGGGCCACCAATTCTGAAGGACAGGTGATTATGTTGGGGAATTTGGCCAATTTCTCTGAGTGATTGTTAGTCTCGTGGTTCTCCATTCATCTTGGCATTGTCGCACCTTGTTTGGCTTTAATCATGGCTTCAAGCATGGCAGGGTGATCGCTCCCTCTAATGAACAGGTCAGATCACCAGGTGTTCAGTTTATTGAACCAATTGGGTGGACGTACAGATTGACGAAACAGTGGGTGACTCCGGCCTCGGCTTTTCAAGCATTCGGTCAGTTGAGAAAATTCAGGGGAGGCATCAATCATACCAAGAGCTTCAAAGAAGCCTTCCGCGGCCGATGTCAACTCCCCATCCTGGACCACGTCATCATCATACCGAGCACGTTTGTTGGAAGTCATTTTCAAGTTTGTAATTTGCCCTTTTTTTTGGTTCAATCAGTTGAGGGGTATTGGGGGGGTTGATATACTCGTACAAGCTGGATTGTCGAAGCTCCTAGGGTTGGGGGGAAGAAGAGAGGAGAAGACCTCGGGATGTCCGCGAGCCAATCGATGGCGGCCCACAACCCCCAAGGGCCCCCGGAATCCCTGCCCCCGCTTGTCCAGGCGTTTGTACCCTTTTCGGGTGCCGAAGAGTCTGCCGTGCTGATATGCGGTGATATCTCAATGGACACTACAGAACAAATCAGAGGTTTTCTCCTTGTTGGTTACAAGACATAAGGAACAGCGGGAAATGGTCCTGAAGGCCATTTTTCTAATGGATCTATTGTCTATACGAGATCCAATTTAGGGCATGGAGTTGGAATCATCAACCCAAGCGGGTCCGATTAATTTCGTCGCGCTCGTATAGGGTGGATTCCAAACAAAGACGAATTTCTGGGGCTCATCGATCGGATTAGACAGATCTCTGGGAGAAAGAACCTTGCATCAACTTCACGTAAAGTCGGAGATCAATTGATGGGAAGGTTTCAATAGATCTTTAGCTTAAATCCCACATATTTTATGATGCATAACTAAAAGGGTAACCTGGCACCCACTAAATTGTACCTACATGGGTGTCATATGGCAATTCGGAAGGTCGAGGAGTCCTAGTAGTATAATAACAGGTAGTATTGGATCCAGAGGTCGTCGATGTCAACTTGAGGGCAAAATACCCATTACCTGCAGGCAAGTCACAAGTCCTACTGGCAGAATATACTAGGATTTACTAGTAATACTCTAGTATATAGTACGTAGTATGGTAAGACTCCGAATGGGAACTTGAATCAAGTATAGTTGGAACGGAGTGTGAAACTACTTTGACCATGAATTTACGTTATTTCTGTGCCGAATACTCTGAAAGTAGTATAAACTGAAACCCCGTACAACTTATCAAGCTGCACCCCGAGCCTAATATTAGCGTTGTTAGGTATAGACTAACCCAGACGCTTCAATCTTGAGATACTGTCTCAGTAGCAATATCTACTTTCGTCTTTTCGAAATCTCGTGCCTTTACTTGATTCTTGAACAGAATGTCCATTTCCGCAAATGTTCGGTTCTTCGTCTCCGGGAGTCGGAAATACGCCCATATCAAGCCAAGTCCCATGATAGACCCGTAGAAGAAGCCGGATTTGGCTCCCCAGTTCCAAGATGCCTTTTGCATCATGTGGGGTACAAGCTGTCCATAGACCAAGACTGCGACATTGTACACAGCACGGGCAAGAACAACGCTCTTGTTGCGGAGATAGTTGGAAGGAATCTCAGTCACAATCGTGTAGATGATCGGGCCGATAGTAATGAAAAAGACAAAGTACTCAATCAATAAAATGCTGCCAATCCCGTAGCCTATGTTGGGATGGGTGCTGATGCTGGGGATTCCCATAAAGCCGATCACGAAGGTTGTGGCGGCCATGAAAGCAGTTCCGGTCAGGACTAAGGTACGTCGGCCCACCTTTGGGACTAGATACCAAGCAATAAACACGCCTACTATGGCTAGAGCATATTCACCCATGCCGAAGTCAAATGAAGAGGTGGCAGGAAGACCTGCTTGCTCCAGAAAATAAACGATATAAGCGACGAGTGGCGCGCAGAGCTCTTGTATGAGATAAGTCCCAACCGTGACCTCAGTGCGACGTAGATTGACGCCTTTGAATAGATCCCAGTAGCTGCTTGTAGTCTTCATTTCGTTCTCAATTTTGACTGTTTGCTCCATCATTGCCAGAGTGTCCGCAATTTCGTCTTCTGAGCTATCCTTCGATCGTAATTTATGTAGTACCTTCCCCGCCTCTTGGACACGACCCTTTCGAATGAGCCACCAAGGTGACTCTGGTGCCAGGAAGATTCCGATGGCCAGAGGAATTGGCAATATCCACTGCAATGCAAAGGGAATCCGGTAAGCCCATTGGCCGTGTGAAGAAAGGAATGCGCGGAGAACACCGGTGCCAAGAAGGTAGCCTATGCTCCAACAAAGAGACACCAACATCGTGAGATAAGGTCGCAGGACATTGGGGCAGACCTCAGCAGCGTATGTTGTTGTGAGTGTTTGAAAAACACCCCATGGAACTCCCAGTAGAATTTCGGCTCCGAGGTACATGTAAATGCTCGTTGCAAAGAACTGCAGAAATATGAAAGCTGTCATGAGGATGAGACAGCCGATCATGACCCATCGGTAACCAATCCAATCTGCAAGCAAGCCGTTTATCAACAGACCAACAATTTCCCCAGCATTGACACCATTACTGACAGCTGACTACAAGTTTGCGGGGACCTGGTAAGATCCATCGCTCTGCAGGGTGCCATATCGCTCTTGGAAGGCAGGGAAGGCAAAGAAGCCACTGACAAATGCGTGGTCGAAGCCTTCCATGATCAACGCTGAGGAGAACAAGATTGACCAGAAAACTGCTTTGGGGTATTTCCGAATACCCTCGCGTAGTCCCATGGCGTGTTCATCTTCAGTAGCTCTCTGGGCGCTTTTTAGGGTCTCCATGGCCGAGGCATAATTCTCCTCGTCCTTATCGTGAACGACCGTGGTGGTAGTCCGATCACGAATATCTTCTTGGTGCTCTGACATATTGAATCAGAGAGCCGACCTCAACGATGGAAAACGTAGTGAGACTTAGTTCGCAGTGGTGGTGATGATTTGCATCTCACCCTGTGTCAGCGCATTCGGCCCTCTTTGTACCGCAGAATGCGGCGCCATCCCTGGCAACAACTCCGCACCCCCAGGCAGGCAAAGGTGGGGGAATAGCTTTCCCCAGAAAACCCAAATACCCCAGATGGGGGAATCTCCGTGCTTTGATCAACATCTGCGGGCTATCGATCGACCGAGATTAAACGGTTTTGGACAAACCGGGTAAACAGGGGCCGAGCCCTATGTGATTACACTTTGGTGGGTATGGAAATGGGAGCTTTCTTTGGTGGAATTTGAAATGAACTTGGGATCAAAGTGTGTGCTAGTGAATTGTTAATTCAAAGCCAATCCTCGAACGGTGGCGTGATGTGTCGTTTACAACCGAACCCCGCTGGGGAAACCGTCAAAGACTCACGGTCGTCCCAGTAGCGTGCTGGAGTTCCTTTCACCCCTGCCACGCTTTTCTTGGCCTCTTGTCCCGCATTGCTTGTGACGCTTGTTTCTCGGACGGTCCGAGCGCAATATTGACTCTTACTTCGCTAACATGTCGACTCCTAATCTTCGCTGGCTGACCGGTGATGGTCCCCAGGCCCTGGAAGATGGAGTGTCATTTGGAATGCCATGGCCCAAGGGTATGTACCCTCCTGGCCAAAACTTTGTTATTGAGGCAAATGGGAACCAATGGCCGCTTGATTCGCGTGAACTTGCTTATTGGCCAGACGATTCGCTTAAATGGAGCGCCCACTCCGTCAGCGGCGACATTGGGTACAGCACAGAGTACACAATCAAAGGTGCGCCATGGTCAGCTGAGGGGAGAAACGAAATTCAAATAGTTCAGAATGAGAATTATCTCTCTGTGACTACACCGCGGGGCCTTCAAGTCAATTTTTCTCCAAAAGGTGGCTCATCGATCTTGAAAGACGTTGCGATCGATGGGCGACTGGTGTGCTCTGGAGCTACCGTGATCGCATCAATCGATGACAAGCCATACACCACCCTCGTCAGATCGGTCAAAGTTGAAAATACATCATTCAGCAGAGCTCTAATCAAAGTCTCCGGGGTTGTCTTGGACAAAAATAAAGATGGCCAACTTCCATTCGATGTGCGATTCTATATCCACTCTAATGCATCATCCGTCAAGATAATCCACTCTTTCATCCATGACCTAGACCCCGATCAGCTGCTCACTTCTCTCGGGCTGCGCTTTTTTGTGCCATTGAACGATAGCGACCTTTACAATCGTCACATTCGTTACGGGGGCTCTGGCGGTGGCGTCTTGAAAGAAGAGGTCAAGGGCCTATCTGGTCTACGACACGGACCTACGATACAGAATCGAGTGGATCAGACATCGGGTCACCATGTTTCTCTAAACAAAACAGACTGGACCAGAACTGAACTGGCCAAGGGTCTTTCATATATCCCTTCTTGGGATTCGTATTCACTCAGCCAACTTTCACCTGACGGTTTCATCATCAAGAAACGGACGAATCCAGAATGTTCTTGGGTCAAAGTTACTGCAGGTGGACGGTCTGACGGAACTACTTTTGTAGGATCCACTGAGTATGGAGGCCTCGCCATTGGCATGTCTGACTTTTGGGAACGCTATCCAACCCAGCTGGACCTGGATGACTTAACATCCCATCAAGCATCTATTACTGCTTGGCTATACTCTCCTCTTGCAGAGCCGCTGGAAACGGCACCATTCCATGATGGGCTTGGCCTAGACAGCTATGACCAACAACTTGAAGCTCTCAATGTGACTTACGAAGATTTCGAACCTGGATTTGCTACTGCGAACGGCATTGCAAGGACTAGTCAAATAATTCTCAAGCCATTCCGCGATGTGCCTTCGAATCCCTCTTTCAGTGCCTTCTCATCCCTCGTGCGCAGTCCCCCTCGCCTGATGGCTACTGCAACGCATATGTATGATGCCCATGCTTTCCACGGGTGTTGGGCTCCCGATTTCCGCATATCGGGAATAGCGCCAGCCCCTAAAGAAATCAAGATTGAAGAAAACCTCAATTTATTATTCAACTATTATCATCAGCAAGTTGAGCAAAACCGATGGTATGGATTTTGGGATTACGGTGATGTCCAGCATACCTACGATGCGTATCGGCATGCTTGGCGCTACGATGTTGGAGGCTTTGCTTGGGACAACTCGGAGCTCTCCACCGATTCATGGCTTTGGCTGTACTTCCTACACACGGGAAGAGCTGATGTTTTCAAAATGGCGGAGGCTATGACAAGACACACAGGGGAGGTTGATGTCTACCACTCTGGAAAATTCAAGGGGTTCGGAACGCGACACGGGGTACAGCACTTCAGCGACAGCTCTAAGCAACTGAGAATATCCAACGTACTATATCGTCGCATATATTACTACCTCACAGGAGATGAACGTACTGGCGATCTGATTTCGGAGCTCCAAGAGTGCCAAAATACATTGTTGGTGTTGGACTCTCATCGCAAAGTTCAGAAACACGCTGGCATTCCAGATGGCTTTGCAATGACAAATATTGGCCTAGATTGCGGTCCCCTTCTTGCTACATGGTTAACGGCATGGGAGAGACGAGCAGATGGATGGTCTCAGTTTCGCGAACTTCTGTTTCGACTATTGGAGGGAATCTCCAGTCTCAAGCATGGGATTGGAAACAACTCGATTTTGCTAAATCCCTCAAATGGAGAAGTACGCGAATGTCCACCCCCAACGCCAGAATACGCCATATCCCACCTATCTATGCTTTTTGGCTTTCCAGAGGTGATTGCAGAGCTATTCTACTTTACTCGAGAAGAAGACTCATCTTCCATGGAAGGCTTTATGCAAGTTTGGCTAGCATATTGTCGAGCATATAATGGGGGGGCCTGATGTTCAACGCAAAGAATTCGGATTTGAATTCCCCGACCATGCGACCTGGAGGCAAAGTCACTCCACCCTCACAGCGTTTGCAGCCGTGGAACAAAGCAGTGACTTTCTTGCAAATGCGGCCTGGGATCAATTTTTTGATTCAGATGGATACACAGATCATCTAGATTGGACCATTCTCAAAACTTCACCTCCTGAATATTTCAGTGAAGGCGAGGAGGCTCCTTGGGTCAGTACGAATGAGACGGCTCGCTATGGCGTCTCCGCTATCTCCAACCTGGCGAATATTGGGCAATATTTGAAACATAGGCAAATTATGAGATAAAGTAGTACCTACCAATTCATTACTTCATTACCTGCACGTGGATGAAGAATATTGATTTAACCCTAGAAGAGAATAATATCCTTCGACGAAGCTTCCGCTCTAATTAGATGCGTGTTATCACCAGTAGCTACGATGAAGTGACACTTGCTTTTCTTTGCTATCACCTCGGCTTATTTATACCCGGTGCCCCCACTGCAGTTGATGAGCAGGACCGACGAGATCGAACGGAATAGAACTAAATGTATCTTTTCTGGGGAAGCTATTGGATAGCGTGGGGTATAAAATTATTTGGTACTGTTTGCAACCATTCTATTGATGGAAAAACTCGATGAATCGGGGGTCCTTGCGGGGTGATCCTTTGGTTGTGAGGGGTAGTTGTACGACTCGGAAAACAACATGACTGAAAACCGAGAAGCAAAGATATGCTTTCCTGCTCACTGCGTTCGGAAATAACCCTTTCTTTTAATCCTTGGAACTTCGTCTTATATTCACTATCATCAAGGTACAATATGGCTCCTACCAAGTATGCCGTGGTCGGCACTGGAGGCCGAGCAGCGTTCTTCTATAATGCTATTGTCAAAGATTTCAAGCAAACCGCAACCCTTGTGGCATTTTGCGATAGCAACCAGACTCGAATGAATGTTGCGAATAGTCGAGTACAAGAGCTCGGATCTGAGGCTCTACCAACTTACAAGGCCACGGAGTTTGACCGCATGATCGAAGAAACCAAGCCAGATTCCGTGATAGTGACAACTATCGACCGGACACATCACTGGTATATCATCCGGGCAATGGAGTTAGGCTGCAACGTCCTCAGCGAAAAGCCCATGACAGTGGACGAAAATAAATGTCAGGAAATTCTTGATGCAGTGAAAGCCACCAAACAGCAGCTACGTGTCACATTCAACTATCGATACGCACCCCATAATACCAAAATTCGCGAACTGCTGCTAAATGGCTCTATTGGTCAAGTCACTTCAGTTCATTTTGAATGGATGCTTAATACTCGACATGGCGCTGACTATTTTCGCCGTTGGCACCGGGACAAACGCAATAGTGGAGGGTTGCTCGTGCATAAATCAACCCACCACTTTGACTTGGTTAACTTCTGGCTTGGAAGTCAGCCCAAAACGGTTTTTGCCCAGGGAGACTTGAAATTTTATGGCAAGGAGAATGCCGAGCTACGAGGCGAGACGAACTTTTATTCTCGCGCCCATGGCAGCTCTGTCGCTGTTGATGACCCTTTTGCGCTTCAGATGAAAGACCACCCACAGTTGAAAGAAATGTATCTCGATGCAGAGCATGAAGATGGATATTATCGCGACCAAAGTGTATTCGGCGACGGGATCAACATCGAAGACACAATGGGTGTGTTGGTGAGCTACAAGTCCGGGGCCATCCTAACCTACAGCCTGGTCGCATATTGCCCATGGGAGGGCTTCCGGGTCTCTTTTAATGGAACTCGAGGTCGCCTTGAGATGGACGTTCTCGAGCAGTCTTACGTCAATTCTGGCGGTGATCAAAGCAAAGAGGGAGCCGTGGCCCATACGAAAATTACATTACATCCCATGTTTGCTCCACCAACTGTAATACCCATTATCGAGGGAGAGGGAGGTCACGGTGGCGGAGATCCAAAACTTCTCAATGATCTATTTGGAACTCCGGCGCCAGACAATTTCAATCGCGCCGCTTCTCATGTTGATGGGGCTATGTCAATTTTAACGGGGATTGCCGCTAACAAGGCTATCCGAACCGGGCAGGTGGTGCAAGTGAAAGATCTTGTGAAGTTCTGAAAGATTCTAGATAACATATGGTAGATTATATTTCAAAACTTGGTCCCCAACTCCATTACTCGCATCTATAGTATGTCTAATTATCTACTTTTGGTAACAAAGGTGAGAAAACAAATCACGAACAACATGGCGTGCTTGGCGTATTCCATGGCGATTGTCAGCGTTGCTGCGATTGACGCCTAGAATGATGTGCTCCACTCGAAATACGTAACTCAATTCCGAAACTACTCTGTTTATAAACTACTATTGTTCCTCGGTGAGTATCTAGTTTTCCAATATTCTTTTTCTCTCCTACGCGTTCTTCATGGGTGACTTCGTCCAACTTGAAGGTGAGAACTGAGCAGTATGTAGGAGCACGAAAGACGCCCGACGAATGTTGAGACAAACCTTATCGGAACGTGTTACCCGGTGAAAACAATTCATTTACGCTCAGGCTCCGGCTGTTGTTTAACAATTCTTCCTGCCCAGGTGGCCTGAACTTGGTAGTACTAGTAGCCTGGGCCGTGCTTGATATATATACTGCCTGGCCCTAGCCGACTATTGTACAAATGGGACAAAGACGTATTTTCTGACAATAAATTTAGGCTCAATGATGTCAGAATTTATATAGCAACTGTCTTTCCTGTATGTAGAAGGGCCTGACTTTATGTATTGTGCCCTGGGTTTACCTGGAATCCACATATCGCCACTCGCTCACCAACCAATTTTTTTTTCCTTTTGCGAGAAAGCTAGCCTGGCAGAGCTTGAATGGCTCAAAACTTTCAAATTAATATTGTAAGTTGGAAGATTGGGATTTTTATAATCAAGTATCGAACCTCGGTCGGATACTACATAATACTAGTAATGGAATCAGGCAAATCGGTGGTGCGATCATTCAACCTTGGAAGTTTAAGTTTCAGTAGACTCCAGGGCTCTTTTGTAATATAACTTGAATATATTGTGGGGGAGTGGCCGGGGAAGGGCAGCCCACCTCGAGGGCTAGACACGCCTGGGGCTAGTGCTAGGGCGGCAGTCATCCCAACACGATATTTTAAACTTCCTGCCATCATGATCTAAGATAGTGTATGACAGCATTTCTATCTTCTTCTAAATGAGAAAGGATATTAATATCAGCCCCGCTAGCTGATTTTAGCAGATGCCGTGTTGGCGCGGCGCGGCGCAGATTTTGGAGAATTGGAGGCAGAAAGACAGGCCAATACCATATGAGCGGAGGACGAGTCTTAATTATCTGGTGTCATACATTCAATTCTGTGGAGGAAATAATGCGGGGTTTACGATTTGGAGAAACCATAACTCTAATGCGATCCCTTCTGTACGTCGAAGGGGCCGAAGAAGCCGAAGAATCCCGGGACCTGTACACATATATTGGGTTTAAGTTGTCTAATACTCCGGACTAGGTGTAAACATGGCTCCACCGCCCCTGGGCACACTCTGGGGAAAAAGTTAGAAAGAGTTACGTGAAATAAGTACCCAATCACAACCCATAACAAACCATGGTACCCCCCGCCCATCGGCTTATCTGGCCATGGGTCCTCCAGCCATTCTGCCAAGACGAGGCAACATGGAAAATCTCGAGAAAAACGCCGAGCCAAGATATTGCCAAGAAGCTATCGAGCCGCAATCAGTTGGAAGGTGACCTGTTCGGGCGAAGCGTGCCGACTGAAGGGGTCCGGCTTCGAAAAATCCCTTCCCGTGAGCGGCTAGTCAGGGCTACATTCGGGGTTGCCTTCCAATCGCATCGGAGGCTGGGCATCCCCCGGTCTCCCCGTTAAGGATGGCGAGAATTCATACCTGGCATATGAAGGATTTCTGGGGAGGGGGCAAATCATCGCAGTTTCTGTTTGTCATAACCCCGGAAACCTGTCCCCAGAGGTGACCGGTGTGGGCCTTGCTTATCTGGTTAACCATATCTCCAGGAACTTATCTGATATCTCATGAGATACCAGATGACTTCTCGGGCTTCATTTTCGGCACGAAAAATCTAAGCAATTCGGATGATTGACTGATTTGCTCACCGTCGACTCTAGATGCGCCTCACCCGGTGCAGGAGGAGATAGGCAGCGAGAGGGAATGGCCGGTAAGCCACTGCCAAGCACTGCCAAGTGCCCAGACTATCCGAGCACAGTCAAACGTGGTAGTTAGTCCAGTACAATCTTAGTTCCGAGGTCCTCCAGGAATTTGTCTCCACTGTTCGAAGGGGGCGAAGGAGGAGAGAGATAATGATAATGGTAATGGTAACGTAGTAGAGTTTGACCCCGGGTTTCGCTTATGAACGGTGCGATGGGCTAATTTATTTATCTTCAGCTCCCCCTCCCACTGCTGCTCTGGCCTCTGTTCATTTCCTCTCAGACTCGTCTGCTGCTTATTAAATTTTGAGTCGATCTGATTCAGCTTGAAGCAAGATGGGCCACCCCGACGAGATCAGCGCTCTCGAAGCGCAGCCCGATTACATTGACACTAAGGAAGGCGAGCAAGATGAGCCGGTTCAGCTGCACCGAGATCTCAAGGCTCGTCATATTTCCATGATTGCAATTGGTGGTGCCATCGGTACTGGATTGATTGTTGGCACTGGTAGTGCCTTGACGTGAGTTTTGCCCCATTCAAAAATCCGTATAAATCCTTGCTGACCCGAGAATTTAGCGCTGGGGTATGTGAATTTTCGCCAATTTATCATAAACGGTTGCGAAATAGACTAACCATTTTTAATAGCCTGGCTCTTTGTTGATCGCGTACTGCTTCATGGGTCTTGTTGTTTGGACAGTCATGTGCGGTCTCGGTGAAATGGCCGCCTGGTTGCCCCTTTCATCTGGTTTCACGGGATACGCTGGTCGTTTCTGTGATCCTGCCCTCGGGTTTACCCTCGGATGGTGGTAAGTAAACACTTGATCCCACCGCAGCAGAAAGAAGAACAAAAATGCTGATATAGAACCTGGGCAGCTACTACCTCAAATATATTATTCTCCCACCTACGCAACTTACGGCTGCAGCCCTCGTGATCACCTATTGGCCCAAAACCTCAGCAGAAAACGTCAGTCCGGGCGTATGGATTGCCATCTTTATGGTGACAATCATCGTGATCAACTACTTTGGTGTGAAGTTCTTCGGCGAGCTGGAGTTTTGGCTTTCCTCCTTCAAAGTGATCATCATCCTGGGTATAATTCTTTGCACTTTCATCTTCGCCATGGGCGGTGGTCCCGATCATGATAGGCGAGGTTTTCGGTATTGGCAAGAACCTGGTGCTTTTGCCACCAAATATACCGACGGCAATCTTGGAAAGTTCCTTGCTTTTTGGTCCACTATGGTTCAAGCCACTTTTGCGTTCCTTGGTAAGAATATTCCAGAAACATGCTAAATTTGTCGCGTCTTCGCTTTTGGATTTTCTAACTCTGTTGTTTTCCAGGTACCGAGCTTATTGGTGTTACCGTCGGAGAGGCCCAAAACCCTCGCAAGACCATTCCCAAGGCCATCAAGCTTACCTTCTGGCGAATCATCGTCTTCTACATTCTCAGTGTTCTTTTCGTTGGCATGCTGGTCCCGTACAACTCCCAGGATCTGGCCTTCGCCACCAAGGCCAAGAGCTCTGCCGCTGCCTCTCCCTTCGTCGTCGCAATGAAGCAAGTTGCTGCTCTTCCTCATATCATCAATGCCTGTATCCTTGTTTTCGTGCTCTCCGCCGCAAACTCGGATCTTTACATTGCGACTCGAACACTATATGGTCTCTCGCGTGAAAAAAAGGCCCCCAAGATCTTTTCTCGCACCAACGCGGCCGGTGTGCCCATCTATGCCCTGGGCCTCTCGGCTTGCTTCTGTCTACTCGCATTCATGAGTGTTTCCAGTGGCTCCAAGGCAGTTTTTGGATATTTCACTGACATGGTGTCAATCTTCGGACGTATGTTATATTTCCCCCGTTCCTAAAGTACGACTCGGTTCTAACTTTCTACCACAGTGCTAACCTGGATCTCCCTTCTGATCACTCACATCTTCTTCATCCGTGCTCGCCGCGCACAGGGTGTCGACGAGTCAACCTTGGCATACAAGGCTCCCCTGGGAATCATTGGTTCCTCCATCGCCCTATTTTTCTGTGTCCTGGTGGCATTCACCCGCAGCTTTGGCGTGTTCATCCACAACCCTGAGAAATACGGAAACTTTGACTACAAGACCTTCATCACCTCGTATCTCGGAATTCCTCTCTATGTGATGGCTTTCACTGGCTGGAAGTTCTTCAAGAAGACCGAGCTCATCAAGCCTCACAATGCCGATCTCTTCACTGGAAAAGCCGAGATTGATCGCGAGGAGGCCGAATTCGAGGCTATCCAGGCAATTGAAAATGCAAACCTCTCTGGCTGGAAGAAAGTTTATAAGAAAGGTTTCGCGTGGCTTTTCTAGTCACGTTCATACACATGTTAAGATAGAATTTTGGCATCTATATCTACAAGATACTAGATAGATATCTTTCTCTAAAGAGCGATAACTGCATTTAGAAATGAATTAAGGACTTATGATGAATTATACTACGGGCGCATATAATGATCTACTAGTAGTGCTTATGGAAGACGCAGATCCGGGGATCAGGGCAGGTGCAAGTCTGTTCTGAACAGGCAGCTCAACACAGTCAAATGATAGGCTCGGGGGAATCCCGGCCCCCAAAATCTGCGTGACATAATCAATAGTGGGGGCAATAGTTATAATATAGCCAGGCCCTCCTCATGATTAATCCAGATAAGAAGCCCATAAACTTGAATCCGTCATCCAATGTCTATACCAGGCCGCAGGTTAACCACATCAATCGGTGCCCGGAGAAAGACGACAGAGGCTTGCGATCCTTGCCGAACTCGGAAGCTGAAGGTGGGTCCTCGAGATTCTGGGTATTTCATACCACCCCGGGACTGATACTTCGTAGTGTGACGGCCTGCTTCCTTGCAAGTCATGTGAGAAGGGTAAAATCGAGTGCCTCTATGATCCGTCTTCAGGAGCCAACAAAATTACCGGGTATGTTTGTCCCAATTAATTATAGTATGGTCAGATCCTGACAATAGAACTAGGGGGCTTGACATTATCAATGCACGCGTAGTGGAACTAGAGCGAGCGGTATTTGGCGAGAGAACCTTGCAGCCTAGAAATACTGCGAGTATATCAGGTACGTATGACTTGTTTCCTAGGCATGGATATACACCTGACTCTTCTGAAGACAGTGGTCAACTATCGGACCAGAATCTACCGGGAGTGACCATGTATTCTGAGGACAATGGCTCTCTGTCATTTTATGGAACCACTTCTACACTGAACCTGTTTATCCCAGTAGAGAGACTTTTGAATGGCCCCCAATGCGATAGCGAGCGACCAAACAAAAAGCAGAAGCGCTCAGATCGGGGGTCTGAGGCAACCTCCACTGTTCTGAATGGAGCGCTTCAAGATCAGATATATACGACGAACAGCATACAAAAAATAGGGGGGTTGATAATACGGGAGCGAATAGCCGATGCACATTTCGATTGCTTCTTGGGGGCTGTCAGTGATACCATACCGGTTCTGGCACCGAGAACTCTCAGGGCTGCATACCAACAATTTTGGTCAAGTTCGCCCTCTGAGTCGGAAACGTCTCTATCCCGACAAAGGCAGTGTTTGATATACTCTGTTCTGACATTAGGCTCCTTGTACTCAAATAAAGGATCGGAGGATTCTGAATGGGCGTCTTACTACTTCACCGAGGCCCAGGGACTAATTGGAAACTTGTTCAACACGAATAGCTTAGAGACTGTCCAAGCTGCGATGATGATGGTGATTAATCCTCCTCGCGATTCCGCATATCTATGCTCACAAGTGAATAGGCAATTTATGCACATCATATAGCACAGCCTAGTTGTATGTTTCCACTGAACTCATTTCTTCTGTCTCGACTAATATTTTCTCACAGTGGCATATAACTACTTGGGCACCGCTATCCGAATGGCCTATTCTATAGGCATCAACGGCAGTCCGAGTCATATGATAACGGAAGTAATAGATTCACAGTCTGCACTCCGGACTTGGTGGACGCTTTATAGTCTGGAATCTGACATTTGTCTCGAGTATGGCAAGCCGCTATGCATACGCGAAACTGATGCCAAAGCGCCATACCCACAACACACTTCTGTGAGAATTCATTGTTCGCCTTGGCTTATGTGACCACTAACCTCAGTGGCAGGATGTTGTCTCCGACATGAGCAGGTTTAACTTCATCGTCGCCAACGCAAAGTTTAGCCGGATTGTTCGCAAGATTCTTGATTTGGTGGGTTCCTAGACATATGAATCCAGAGGAACAAGCATACTCATACTTCTGGGAATAGGTTTCGAACATGAGTGAGAAGCGGCATCCTTTGGAGTCTTTTGTTGGTCGTATGATGAACCACCAGGCTGAACTAATGACCTGGCGTGGAGAACTCGCATCACATCTCGCACCTACGTACGCGGCGACGAGTGAAGACAGGCGAGCATGGAGCAATATGTCCTGGGTACAACGGCAATACTTTGATATTGAACTACGTAAGCTCTCTAGATCTGTGTCAATGGGCCAAGCCTTACATTCTACTAGGCTTCAACCATGTCATGCTGGTACTACATCGGCCATTCTTCGCCGATACAACCTTTTTGACGCCGTTCTATTCTTCTTTGATGGCCAGAAGTGTTTGTCTGGGTGCGGCACGCGAAACAATTCTGCTCTCAAACAAGGTACTGATCGATAGCCCTGGTGTTCAGCATTGGTCGTGTTATTACCACCGAGTCCTGGCGGCCACATTGTTGACATTAGAGTGTGGTCTCGAAAGCGCTCTGGAGGAAAGACACAGCTTCGTGGATCTTTGGACCAAGAGTGTGGACATTTTCAAAAGTATGCCGCCTGGGTGCTCCCAAAAAGGCATTGCTTTGGTTGAGGGCGCATTGGCTCAGGTCCGAGATCAAGTATTGAGGTCAAATATAGTTCCAGAGAGCTCAGCTAATGTTGCAGGAAGATAAAGCTTCTTCCATTTTGACACGAGCTAAGTGGATCGTCAGGTGTGGTGACCTTTGGTTCGCGCATCGCAAGGCAAATCAGAGAGAGGCGGACGCAGAGAATGTTGCTGCCTTGGGGTCCCCGTCAATGCACAGTGGGGACGTTGAACATCTGCAGGCCTAGCGTGTTGTTTAAAACTTGGAAGCAGATAAACGAAATCGAGCTTGTTCAGGTACTCCGTATACAGAGTACAGTATGTACCAAGGGAAATTGTACTCCGTAGGAGAGTTCAAGTTCCACTCTGGAGGCTGTGCAGTCAAGTCTTAGTCTTGTCCGGACCGCGGCTGCCCTGTGCGCGTCGCCCCTTCTCTTTTCTCTGGGGGAACTTTTTCAGGTTATCATCCCGTCTTGTTTCATCCCACTCGTCTTTTTCTTGGATTCTGTCAAATCTGGGATTGCGAGCGATTTTCTTTCGAAGGCCATACAAAGCTTTTTTTTTTTGGTCTCTTGCGTCGCCTAGTGCGTGTCCATTAACTTCAAACGTCATTTCCCCGCAGGCATGCCGATGATCTCCTTTGTCGCGATTGTTGCGTCTCCGTGAAGACCACTTTCGCCCTCGTTTCTTATTCATTAGGGCCGATGAAGAGACACTATTTCACAAGTGGAACAGGGCTCTCGCAGCCTGTCTAATTACTCATAGCCATGAGCGTCCACTCCTTCGACTATGCCCAGCAACCTCCTACCCGTCACGAGCCCCTTCATACGATAGATATCGAAGCCGGACGTGCCTCGCCCTCCTCTCAGATATCCCCCACTGGAAGAGAAGGATCTATTGTGGACTCGTTCGTGCCGGCAGCGAGGGTCAACACATCTGAAACAGCCAAGAGACGAACCCGAAGGTCGAATACCGCACGATCATACCATCCGGAGGGATTCGCACAAGACCCATCCTGGCAACCTGGAACAGAACCGGGTATTGACCCGACAAAACCACTCCCCGCCTACAGCTCGGAATGGTACTCCAATCTACCTGCAGATCTGCAACGGCAATGCGAAATCACGGTCGTTGACTTCTCGCAGAATGAGATGAGACAGTACGAGCTCGATAATGAGACGCTTGGGCCATTCCTAGCACGCGAAAGAGAATCCTGGGTTCAATGCCGTTGGATCAACGTGAACGGGCTAAGCTGGGATGTAATCCAGATGCTTGGAAATCACAAGGGGCTGCATCGTCTGGCAATCGAAGATCTTGTTCATACGACCAATCGCACCAAGGCCGATTGGTACTCAGACCATGCCTTTGTTGTCCTGACTTTACAGAAACTCGTCAAGCTCCACGACGAGAAAAGCGACTCGGACTCGGAAGATGAAGGACCGAATGGATGGGACAATAAGCAAAGGAGGAAGAGCTCCGTCTCAAGCAGTAAGAGCTCTGTCACAATGAGACGACCAACCAAGAGACATCTTATATGGGAGGCGTTAAAGGATCTCTTCCGGTCTCAACGACCCTCAAGCCGGCATGGCAAAGAAAAAACGACAGTTGGGTCGAGTGTCCGCCCTGGCCCAGGGATACAAAATTCGAAATTCGCATCTCAGTTCGGCGATGTGGCGGACGGGTCAAGGGCGACGGCTCGAACCATCCAGCGTTATCGTGGTGGACCGAACGAGGACCGAATCGAATTCATGGAACGCCATGCTTCACTTGCTTCGAAAGGGCTGTGCGTCACGTTAGAGCAAGTCTCCGTGTTCCTTCACGCAGATAACACAGTGACGTCCTTCTTCGAAACGAGTGCCGACGATATTGAAGCTCCGATCGTTCGACGTCTTAGCTCACCCGAAACAATTCTCCGTCAGTCCTGTGACGCTAGTATGCTGCTTCAGGCAATCTTGGACGCCGTGATTGATCTTGCCATCCCGGTCACTATGGCCTATCAAGACGCTATTGGAGACCTGGAGCTGGAGGTTTTGACTGACCCGAATATTGACCAGTCAAAGAATCTCTATATTTTGACTTCTGAAATTGCTATTCTTCGTAATTCAATGCAGCCATTGATGACTGTCATCAATGCTCTTCGTGATCATCGATCGGTACCTGTTGGCACGCCCGGCATTGGGATACTACGCGGCGGCCCATTCAGTCCGACTGGGGCAGCTACTCCAGCCGACCCCTCTGAGCTTCGACCACCCACCGAAACACCGCATATTGGAACCATTACTCCCAACCTAAAGAGCCTTGGAGGCACGACTATCACCATCAGTTCCATGTGTCACACATATCTTGGAGATGCGCTGGATCATTGTATTACTATAGTTGAAGGATACGATCAGATGAGGCGCGCCGCTGACAACATGATCGATCTTATCTTCAATACGATTGGTGCCTATCAAAACGAGAGTATGAAGCAACTGACCATTGTCACCTGTTTGTACCTACCAATGACCTTTTTGACGGTATGTCAAGTCCCACTCTCGATCGCTTTGAAGATGCAGTCTGCTAATCTCACGTTCAGGGATATTTTGGAATGAATTTCGTGCGCTTTCAAGGCATCGAAAACAGTGATTCGTGAGTTTTGGACTTGAGCATGATAACGATCGCTTGAATTACCTACTAATTGGTCTTCTAGGTACTTTTGGAAGATTGCAATCCCTTTTATCTTCGTCACGACCCTTCTATTGATGTAAGTTCTAAGATAGTCATGCTATGTCGCTCGTAAATGCTAACAAACTCTCCTTAGGCGCGACAAAATCCAGCGCTATGCCGTCATGCTCGCACAGAGACGACTCATTGTCAGTTCGAGGGAGCAGCGACGACAGAGAAAAAAGAAGAGCTAGTATTGGCAAAGCTTCTGCGACGTATACGGAAGTCGTATCGGGGAGTGGGAAGTATTCGCTGTATTGTACATTTGCCTCTTGGGCGGGCCGTCATGAGGCCTTGTATCTACTTATAGTACAGGTATATTATTGTACAAGGGCTTGCCTGTTCACCAATTAAATATTTTTCCGTCGGAAAGCCATGTAGGACTTCCAAGGAAGTCTCCAATCTGACCGAAGGAGCTCAGGTTGAAAGACGTCGAAATCGTGCTGCTGCAGGCGATCAAGCCACAACCGCGTAGACACCGCTGGCATAAAAATGCCAAAGGCACGATTCACCTCATCAAGCGGCGATTCCTTGGGGCCACCCGAGAGGTCCACAGAATCATACTCATGGCCCTCTTCACCTTCATGCTCGAATTCATGCCCGACATCCTCTCCAGCTCGGAGGTTGTTCAGCATCTGCTCCACCGTAATCAAATGGTCGCTCGCCCGTGTCGCGACGGTGAAAACAGCATCACGTAGACCTTCCGCCTCTGCACCCCGTCGCAAAACATCTTCCTCTCTTACCCCCGCTTGCGCCATGATATCCAACGGCAACATAACGGCACCCTGTTTCCCACCAGCATTCATCCCAATACCACCCGTACTCCCACTAGGCGATTGGCTCGGCGGCGGCGGGAACGCAACGAGCGGTAATCCGCGCAGCACGGCCGCGATTCCGACAGCTTTCCCGATATGTGAGGCGACATGGTCCGCCGTGACGGACGTCATGGGCAGCGCGGCCAGAGTCAAATACATGAGTGTTGAGTAGGTATTTTCGGAGTAGGATTCCAGGGCGGCGATATTCGGGTACGGGTCGTTGGTGAGGGTTTGTTCGCGCGCATTGATTAGACGGGTGAGCCAGCCCTTTGTGATTCTTGCGCGACCGTTCGTGCGCTGGTTCAGGTCTGAAATGGCCGAGGCGAGCAGGATGGCGACGGGTTCCTTTGGTGGGGCGCCGGCGAGAATTTTGGCCACGGCGTCGCGCCAGAATTGCAGGCGCATCAGGCCTATTGTTGGGGAGGAGGTGGTGTCTGGGATGAGGGACAGGGAGACGTTTAATGCGCGGAGGGCGATATAGAAGGTTCGGGCTTCGGATGGGACGAATGTGCTCATTGTATAAGAAGGTCGGTCGTATTTTCTGAGTGGTTTGGAGAGTCAGTTGTGTTTGTCTTACGATCGCGCAGCTTCAAAAGCGAAGTGGAATCGATAATTCAAGAGCAGGAGGCGAACATACGAGAGTAGGCCTACACAATACTTGTGTGCGCCGGTGACTTCTTCAGCGGTGATGGGCGAAGCAACTGCCCGAGACTGGCTGAATAGCCTCTTCTGAGGACGTCCAGAGCGCAATGAGCATTGCCATGGTATATAGGCCCGGCATGGCCGAGCGACATTTAAGAAGGACATGAGGTGAGAGGTGGAGAGAAGCAAAGCAAAGTTGAGATGCGGCGGAGGATGGTAATGCACGGCACAGCATTGGTCCACTCCCACACAGTCCAGGTCCACGGCCTTTGTCAGCGCATGCTGTAAGCCTACAAAGACTAGAGTCTAGAGAGATCAAAAGAATATCAATACTAGTAGTAATAATGTATTCTATGCAGTAGTAAATAAGCAGATATATACGCCAACACTGGTTTTCATTGATGTGAAATGTCTTGGCTTGGATTTCTTTAATCGCTGATGTCGATCAGCTGATTTCGCGTTCTTACGGCGCGTCTCCCCAACTTTCGCCTCACTTCATCTTCAATCTATGGCTCTAATGCCGCCATTCATTCTACCATCACTATGAGTGGGGACTTGGATCAGCCGCCTCTCAAGAAACAGCGCTTCTTCACCGAAGATCCGTCTGTGCCCCATGCTTCATCGTCTCCAACCCTCGACGCGTCTTTACCTCGTCACTGCCCCGACATCGAGAATTCCGACCCCGAGCACAACGACCAGCAGCGCATCCCCGAGACACCAAATCGTGATCCCTTGAACCGTTCCGATCGAGAAACGGCGGCATTAATCGATTCCCCAGTAACTATTGTGACAACTGAGGCTAGCCCGACCCCGAATGAAACCATTAAAGCAGACTCGGAGTCTGTGCCTCCGACTCCGATCGTCATCAAAGGCTTTGATGTCGGTTTGTTCACCAGCATTATCGGCGAACAGCTCCCCTATGAGTCAATAAAAGCCATCCAGACCGCCGCATTAAGCAATGTCGAACGAGCCGTGAACATCTATTTCGATGGTTCTTGGAAGAAACCCACGAAATCAGCCTCTATAACCAACGGGGGTTTGAAATCGAAGACAATCCGAGCAGCCCTTCCCCTCCAACAAAACTCAGCCGCTGAATCCTCCGGATCGTCGCCTTCGATTAAAGACAATAATATCTACGATGCTTCACCCGTTCTGCGTCAGCAACCCGCGACAAGATATATCGGTGCTTTTGGAGTAGGTGGATGGGCAACAAGGAGTGGACTAGCACTGCTGAAGCATGGCGATCCGGTCAATATCGAGCGTGCAAGATCCCAGCCAGTCACCAAGCGGGCCCGCAATGGGAAAATGATTGTAAATCAAAAGGGCGACGTCTTGACTCGTTTCACGAATACCCAAGGACAAGAAATCGGCAGACTGCCTCATGAGACTGCGGAATGGGTTTCAACCCTTCTAGACCAGAAAATATGCCACTTCGAGGCTGTATGTGTATACATGCCGGACAGAGTGCGCGTCAATGATACGGTCTACCTCCAGCTTCGATGTTTCTTACGCAAAGAAGCCTTCCAGCATGGCCTTTTTGTTGGTACTAGTGACGACAATCGTGCCGTTAGTATGTTTGAAGAGAAGGAAAGCACCGAGGAGAAGAACCTTCGACTTCGTCAAGTTTCCCTTGTCAAGCTTTTCCACGAGATCAATCTTCAGCCGACTTCAATCAACCCGACAACCGAAAAGCACAAAAGAGAAGGACTGCTTCAGGCTGCTGAAATGGCAGAGAAGTATGATGGGGTCAAGAAGGAGAAATCGAAGACGAATAAAGATGACGATGAGTCTTCTTCCGAGGACGAAACCCAAGAATTAGAAGAAGATCAACTGGACAGTCTCTATCGCAAGGCTCAATCTTTTGACTTCAACATGCCCGAGGCTGAACCTGGCCCGGACTTCGTTCTCGACCTTCGCAAATACCAAAAGCAAGCGCTTCATTGGATGTTATCGAAGGAAAAGGACAAGCAAGAGGGTCGCGACCGCTCGATGCACCCCCTTTGGGAAGAATATATCTGGCCGACCAAGGACGTGGATGACAAAGACCTGCCGGCGGTTGAAGGCATTGACCACTTTTATGTGAATCCCTACTCAGGCGACTTGAGTGTGGATTTCCCTGCGCAAGAACAACGTTGTCTGGGCGGGGTTCTAGCCGATGAAATGGGACTAGGAAAAACCATTGAGATGCTCAGTTTGGTCCATACCAATAAGACCGAACCTCGTACTGAGACGTCGAATGGAATATCCTCCGTCAATGACCTTGCCAGAGTTCCAAATTCATCTACAGCCGTGGTCCCCGCGCCTTATACAACATTGGTAGTTGCTCCCACGTCATTGCTCGCCCAGTGGGAAAGCGAAGCGCTCAAAGCCTCCACTCCCGGATCTATGCGTGTTCTTATGTATTACGGTGCGGAGAAAGCAGTAAGTCTTCGAGACATTTGTTGCGAAGCAAAACATGCATCTGCTCCTCACGTTATTGTCACCAGTTACGGTGTTGTGTTGTCTGAATTCCGCCAACTTGGTTTACAATCAACGCTGGCTGCCGGGGCCCACAATGGGTTGTTCTCGGTCGACTTTTTCCGTGTAATTCTTGATGAAGCGCATCTGATAAAAAATCGACGTTCAAAATCCGCCAGAGCATGCTATGAGCTCAAATCACTTCACCGATGGGTCCTGACTGGTACCCCTATTGTCAATCGCCTGGAGGATCTATTCAGCTTGGTCCGATTCTTAAAGGTCGAGCCGTGGAGCAACTTCTCTTTCTGGAAAACCTTCATCACGGTACCATTTGAATCTAAGGAGTATGTCCGTGCCTTGAATGTGGTACAAAGTGTGCTGGAACCTCTTGTTCTCCGGCGAACCAAGACCATGAAAACGCCCGAGGGTGAGCCATTGGTTCCCTTACCTCGACGTGTAATCAACATCGAGGAAGTAGAGCTCTCGCAACAGGAACGAGAAATCTACGACTGTATTTACACCCGTGCCAGGCGCACGTACAACGAGAATGTCGCGGCCGGCACTCTCATGTCATCTTACTCGACAATCTTTGCCCAGATTCTTCGGCTTCGACAAACATGCTGCCATCCAATCCTCACTCGCAAAAAAGACATTGTTGCCGACGAGGAAACTCTAGCAGCCGCACTCGATGCGACCAGTGAGTTGAAGGATGATATGGACCTTCAAGAACTAATCAATCAATTCTCGACTTCGACTGAGAACGCCGAAACTGAGACCGCTGAAGCCGAGGACCGATCGATGAAAAAGTTCACAGCTCATGCCCTTCGACAGATACAGACCGACTCTAGTGGAGAATGTCCAATCTGCTGCGAGGATGAGATGATAGAACCGGCTGTCACTGCCTGCTGGCATAGTGCTTGTAAGAAGTGTCTGCAGGACTTTCTCCGGCATCAAATGAATAAGGGAGAGCAGGCACGCTGCTTCTCATGTCGTGTGCCGGTCGACGCCAAGGATATCTTCGAAGTAGTCAAGCATCCGGCCATGCCCGTGGAAAATTTCCCTGGGGTCGAAGATCTGCCCGGCATCACCGAGCCTGTTCCTCGCATATCACTACGACGTATCAACCCACTCTCTCCCTCCGCACACACATCAGCCAAAATCCACGCCCTGATTAGCCACCTTGGTCGAATTCCACCTAATACAAAATCCATCGTGGTTTCACAGTTTACATCCTTTTTGGATCTTATCGGCGATCAGCTTTCTCGCGTCGGGGTATCACATCTTCGTCTTGACGGCTCGATGCACCAGAAGGCTCGCGCTGCTGTCCTGGCAGAGTTCACCAAAACAGACACATACGTCGACGAAATAATCGATACTGAAGATGATACCCCTACAAATAAAAGGGCATCAACATCCAAGACGAAACCATCCTCGCCGCCGGCCACCGTCCTCCTCCTTTCTCTCAAGGCCGGCGGTGTCGGGCTCAACCTCACGGTTGCGAGTAATGTGTTCATGATGGATCCATGGTGGAGTTTCGCTATCGAAGCGCAAGCCATCGATCGCGTCCACCGAATGGGTCAAACGCGAGACGTCGCCGTAACACGATTCGTTGTCAAGGATTCTATCGAGGGCCGCATACTAAGTGTGCAAGAGCGCAAGATGAATATCGCCGGTACACTTGGATTACGCGTTGGCGACGACGATTCCGACGACGATAAAAAGAAGGACAAGCTCGCCGATCTAAGGTTGCTCTTCGAGTAACCATGTCTCGGGTTGAAAATTGGTTGTTTGCATATTGGTTGGGTTTTTGAGACAAGATACCCAGGTCTGGCGTCATGTGAGAAAAAGCAAATCGGATCTGTGTTTGGGCAATCTGGCGCTATCATGTATATTTTGAAGTAGCATTTATTGTCCTTTATAATTTATATCCCAAAAAGAAATAGATCAAGGCTTTTTTTTTCTCTCTGGGTGACCGATTCCGCTTAAGTACAACTAGTAGTAGAGCAAGGAATATAATCAAACCAGTAATTAAGACAAGGGGTTGGAAGTAATATGCACAAAGGAAATCCATTGGGTACTAATACATCCTTAAAATCCAAATACAAGTCATCGACACAACCAGGCGAGAGGGGAAATAAAAACATGGCAATCAACCAACAAGTGACGTCAATATCCATCAAGTAGAGTACTAGTATATTACTCAAACCCATTAAGAAGAGGACGAGGACTTGCTTCCATGTCGCGGGTGGGCAACCTTCTTCAATCCTTCCTTTACCTTGGCCATGGTGCTATGCTTGCCATTACCATTACCATCACCACTAGAGGCTTTACTTGGGCTCTTAGCGGAAGGATCACTCTTTGCAGAGCTAGAGCTGGGTGGAGATTCGGACTCGGCTTGACGTCCACGTTAGCACCAGTTAGGCACAACAATAAGTATGGTTCATATAAGATAATTTGCTTACCTGGCTTGGCCGCCTTGGCGGCAGGCTTCTTTCCCTTGGCCTCGTCCTCGAATTCCGACGCGGGGTGGGGTGCAGGACCTTGTGGTCCCTCTAATGCTTCCTTGCTCACACCCTGTTTCGCCGACCCTGAGGTATCGGAATTGCTGCTGCCAGCGCCGCTGCTTCCCGCTGTTGTGTTTTCTGTGGGTTCGGATTTCTCGGTACTTTCTGTGCTGCGCTGCTCTGATGCCCCGGTCTGGGTTGGCGCATTGCTGCTAGTAGTTTCGGTAGGCTTGGGAAGAGTAACAGCTGTAGTGCTATTGATATCAGGCACTTCGGTGCCCGTGGCATCTGTCTTTGCATCCATCGTTTGCGGCTTATAGTCTAGCTTAGGCTCCTGGGCCAATGGATCGATCTCTGTGGTGGGAGCTGAGGGTTGTTCTGATAAGGCATTTATTAGTTGGAAGTGTTCGGGCAACGAATGGTGTGTCAGGTGTGGATATGCTCGATGTGCAGCCGGCCACTTGTATAGATCCAAGGGCTGCGAGGAAGTGGTTTTGAAATGCCAAGTAATAGGTATAACTGTGTATCTCCAGAGGTAACAGGATCAATTCCTCCAGCTGATTATCACTTACCATCACGATTTCCCGCGTCATAAGGGTCATTGGCAGCACCTTTGCCCTGCACGCCTGAGATGGGCTCTTCGCCGTGTGGCTGGGTCGACTGGTTGTCATTGCTCTCGCCCCATATAGCAGTCGAAGCTGCGTGGACGGCCTTGGTGACGGTTTCCATTCTCGTTGGTGTTGGTGATATGGCGATATGGCGGAGCTATAGACGGTCGGTGACGAGGTGTGTGACACACGAGAGAAACTTGATGTTTGAGTAGGTGTAGTCGATGAGGTCGATTCCGGGGAATATGGAAGTTAAAATAGGAATTGAATGGGAGGGGAAGAGGGAGACCCAAGGATCGGTCAATCAGGTCAATACGTCAGGTATCACTCTCTGGTAGAATACCCTGAAAGGGAACTGTCTCCTCCGTGGATGGTCGCAAGCTCTTAAGGGGGCCCATGTTGTTAGTTACGTCAGTGGAGACTGGGGGACAGCTGGCGACAGCAATCTTGTGTAGCATTGGCCCAGGCGCACCTCGTGGGCTGCCACTAGAGCCATTCGATCCATCGCAACACGACAGATCGTGCTGATCTCCATGTCATCATATGATGTCATGTCACGTGTACACTATAAATTGGGTGGGGGCTGTAATTAAAGGAAGGATGAGTGGCTGGGTTATAATTCTGAAATAGATTAGGCTACTGGAGCTAACTGCTTTATTTAGTTACTTCACTCCCTCGTATTGGCTCCGGCTGCGTGGCGGTGTTCCTATCTTCGCCGTTCCTTGGGCTGAGGGGATGTTCGGGATCATACCCAATGCCCTTCACAATGCCAAGTCCTTTGGTTTTCCCTTCACGGAATAACACTCGGTCGCCCGGCGCAAGAAACTCGGGGCGCTGCATGAAACGAAATGCAACAAGGGCCCGGTCTCCGGTTCGAATGAAGGGGCGGTCAATGTCAATCACTGAGCAGGTTTGGCTGACCGCTCCAACGTGCAGCATGGCTTGGTACTTGGGTTTAATAGTGGTGGCGTGTGACAAAATTAGCACTGCATAGGTGGCCGGGGTTAGTCGAATGGGTAATGGTAGATACATCATAGCAATGGAGGGAAAAGCTTACCTTCTGCAGTAAATTCACGGTAAACCTTGGGAGGATCCTCCGACTTCTTCAGCACAACCATTCCTTTACGCACTTCCTTTCGACGCACACGCTTGAGCGCGAAGGATCCAGACTGACCAGCAAAGCAAGCGTTCACCTGTATTCGCTTGCGCTCAATAGTCTTGATCGTAGTGGTGGTGAACTGACCCAGCGAGTCGGGACCAACCACCACCTGGTCACCCGCATGGATCACCCCGGATTTGACGACCCCAGAGACGACTGTTCCCACGTGCGGCACGGAGAAAGTATCATTAATGAGGAATTCAAATGGACCATCCGGGTTGTAATTGCCCCGATGGGGAGAATGTTCAGAAACGTTCGGACCAGGTCCAGATTCTTGCCAGTAACATTCGATACTTGGAAAATAGGACAGATACGCTGACTGACGAATTGATGTGCGGTATTAATGGTCTCTTCCATGTCCTTAACAAAGATCGGGATCTTCCGCGCACCAGGCGACTTGAGAATCTTCGCGAGCTGAGACAGGGTCTCCTGGAGAATCTGTGGCGGGCAAATGTCAATTTTCGTGACGATCACCATAACAGGGACATTGAGAGCCAGCGCAATGCCCAGGTGTTCACGACTCATTCCAATCAGACCATTGTTGGCAGCAACCATTAGTAGACAGTAATTGGGGCTGCTGCTTAGCATGCCGAAGACGGTAGTGCGAAGGTATCTCTCATGGCCAGCTAAGTCGGAGAAAGAGATCACCTTGGCCGAGCGTTTTCCGATTTCTTCCCAGGAGAGCTTTCGACCTTGCGAGTTACTGACAATTTCACCCCGGCTGTCGAACCCCATAATCTCCAATCCCACGGAGCTGGTCCTGCCGCTCTCGATTTCATGCTTGTGGCGGAAAAGGTTAACTCGAGCACGACCTCGACCGTCATCGAGGCTGCCTTTTACAAGTACACCAAGCATAGTACTCTTACCGGCGTCAACATTGCCGACCACAGCGATGCGGATCTCTGCCATCTCCTCAATATTAGGTGCATCCTGGCGGATGAGGACTTTGCCCCAAGCCCCCCTTGACACGTTCATTCATCACTGGAGATTCCTCGGGGCCGCCAACATTGTAGGTAAGAAGTATCCTACAGTGTGCGGGAATGGTTTCCGCCGCCTCGCGCAGGCGCTGGAGTGCAGTCTCCCACTGAGGGAGGTCGAAGCCCATTGAATCACCGCCGTCTTCAAGGCCAAGGTCGAAGAGAGTCTCTCCCTGGCCCACATCAACGCGAGTTTGTATCGTACTAGCCAGAACTTGTATACTTTCTTCGGTGGCGTCTCCGGTTCCAAGTAGGAGATCCTTGAGCTTGATGGCGCGCGGGGTATCGGTCAAGCCGAGCTGGTCCAAGATCTCCAGCTCGGCATGGTCTTCGAAGTCGCGCGACACGCTGGCAGTACCGGTGGAATAGCCGCTATCGCTCGGAGCGGCAATCGCGGAACGGTGAGCTTGCTGCTTTTCGGCATACTCGGCGAACTCGCTGAGAGCCTGTAGAATGATGTGAGTAACGGCCGCTCGTATTATAATGCTGGAAAGGCATAGATCGTACAATCTCGCCTCGTTTCCGTTCCTCCGGGTTCAAGGCTCTGGAGCCCTTTGTAGTCATGTTTGTTGTTGCAGTTGTAGTTGTGAGTGTTTCCAGCGTCAAATGACGGTAGATCGCTTCAATTGGGGGGATCGGTGACGTTGCGGTCGGATGGGGGTGGATCGCCGAGAGCTCAGGCGTAGCGTATTCAGACGTGTATTCGGGGGATCATCGCTCGGATCTATTCTGAGGTGGAAATTATAGTTGAGTTGGATTGAAGGATGTTTTGAAAAAGAAAAAAAGAGAGAGAGAAAGTAATTCAAATGGGGGGTGGCGCCAGCTTTATCGCGCCGAGTCATCTATTCCCCTCTCCCCCTCCAATTCCTTCGGTCGTCGGTTCCCCAATTGGGATGGCTCTTGTTTGAGTCATCACTCCAGCCTCCACAGTCAGATGTGCCGCTGAGCCACGGATGACTCGATCATGCCCAAGTTTTGGAAACAAATAGAACTGAGAAGCACAGATGTGACACATAAACAGCCGGGGGGGGGAAGCTACAGGAAGCCCAGCCTTGCGGCTCTGCTGAGGGTCTGCTACTCGTACGTGCTTGGAGCTCTCTACATTCAAACCATCAAACAGAAAGGGAAATTTCATGGGCGCGTATCTATACGACTGGATTGTATGCGGATGGTATCTCGTTTTTGGTTCCTCCCATGGTCTCGCCAGACGCCTTTTCCTCTATCAATTCGTGTCGATGGGGCTTGGTTGTTCAAGCTTGGGGAGAGATCAAAACGACGGAATCACCTGGGAAGGAAGCGTTAGTGCATGAAGGGGAGGAACAAAGTAGGTGGCTGGTCCTGACTCACCTCGGACGAACAGCATCTCTTCTTGCTTCTTGATTGTCTGTAAACCCCCACGGACCTCGAGTTAGCGTTTCTAGTGCTCCGCATATTGTAGGTCGGCCTACCCTTGTGGTTTCCTCTTCATTATCATCTTCCTCCACCACGTAGATGGTCTCTTCCACATCACCCAGAACTAAGTTGCAGTGGCTGTCATATGCCTAGGGAAGTCATTGGGGTCAGTCGTCACGTTCGCGCGTTCCGGCCTGGTGGGATTGAACTCACGTGGAGGCGGCCCTTCAGCTCGCGGTCACCGCGCAGCTTCACGAAAACAATCTCATCGAGAGAGAGACGAACGAGATCGAGGGGCTCGGAAGGGGCACCTGCATCTTCGTTGTCGGCCATGGTGGAATTGCGGACTTGGAGAGTAAGGTTGGAGTCGAGGGGCACAGCTGGAGCCGACAGATTCAGCTTACTGCCAAGACCAGGCGTTCCATATCGGGACTAGTCTGGTGTCTGATGACTCAGCGAAGGTTTACCCCAGACTTTTGCACACTTTCGACACCTCGACACCTGAACCGTCCTGGATGACACCTGGGGAGGGAGAGCTTTGTTTGAGTGGGGTGGGCCATTGAGGTCCGAGAGTAAAGTCAGCCACGTATGTTATGTGAAGGTCAAAGGTCACTGCTACCTTGCCCTGCATGTCTCGCCCGTATCCGACCGCGTAACGCAATGCAGGAGCACAAGTACCCTGTACTCCCTCCATTCCCCATTCACCCAGTCGCATGTCGCATGTCTGCAGACTGGGGTCGATGCGCCAATGCGCACCCCCTCTTCTCTTTGTCCCCCTTCTGCCTCCTCTCCTCATTTGACCTTCTTTTCCTCCTTCATTCCCTTCTGTTCTGATTTCCCTCATGAAAAGAATTGTTTCTACTCGTGAGAGGCTGTCCTCGGCCTGGCTTAATCACCCACGATGGAGCTCTATAGAGTCAACTACACTCTACACGACCCAAAGATCCTCGGTCCTCCGTCACCCTGGGTACTCGCGACACATTTCCTCCCAGCGTGTATCCAGAGCTCGGCATTGGGGGGCGGAAATACCACCAGACCACGCTCGATATGACCCATTGCTCAAATATGAAGATGGCACCCTCGCGCCTACTACGACCGCCCAAGCGTCCACCAACGGTGCACTGGCCGTACCCCAGATGAATTACGAAGAAGAGCATACATCCCCAGCCTTTTATTCTCCACAGGAAGAGGCAGAATATGCCGCGAGATTCTATCGCATTGTTGAGGAGGGACAACCAGACTGTTTGATGACAGCAATGACAGACCCACGGTCGGCGGGGCTGGTTGGATCCCTACCCCAGACAACCTTCCTCGAGGCGCTCCACCGACTCTCCCCGACCCATTTTGTGGAGCCCTTCCGCGACCTCCACCACCCCTTACATTCTTGGACGATCGTCCTCGAAGGCCTCAAGCGATTAGAAGTGCATTTCGATGATTTTACGGCCAATTTGCTCACAATTGTCGGCTATCGAGCTCCCGCGCAGCCCTTGCAGCTGGCAGAGTACACCCACCTTTTAGACTGTGCTCGGTCAATGGGGAATGCGCCCTTTGCGAAAGAGATCTGGGAGTCAATGCAGAGGCGGGAAGTCGCCCCAAATACAGCATGCTACAACCACTACATGGAGGCACTGGTCTGGGACCACTGCTACTCTGGACGTGAAGCATATAACCTCCGAGTCACTCCACACTCTTATCGTAAACGTCGCAAGGGGGCCGCCAGCTCAGTTGGCTGGCGAGGGTTTGGTACCGGGAATCCAAATAGTGTTCGCCAAGCTGTTCTGGAAATCTTTCACACCATGCTACGAGAAGGACACTTGCCGGATGAGCGCACCTACATCAACATTCTTATTGCAGGCGCCCGGGTCGGTCACAACAAAGGGATGCGTCTTGTTCTCAAAACAGTATGGAACATCGACATGAAAGCAATGAGAGCCCATGAAGACTCGTCAAAGCTACCACCTCTCACTCCGTACGACCCATGGTCCGCACTGCATCCGACTGAGAATCTTCTCTTTGCGATCGCCCACGCCTTCGGCACCAACAACGATATCCCTAGTGCGATACGGGTAATACAACATATCTCGTCCACCTACAATGTTCCCATTACAGAAAGAGTGTGGACGGAGCTTCTTAAGCGCGCATATATCTTGTGCAGAGCAAAGATGACAGATAACGACTCCGAAAATGCCAAATTTGCAGGCACAGTTGGGCGCGTACCTATGGATCTGGTTCAGTCTCTGTTCGGCGTCTTAACCTCCGCGCCATACAACTTCACTCCGAGTCTTCAGGCGTGTCGATACATGTTGAACATCAGCATGCACAATGGCAATCTGGAAGAATGCAAGATGATTCTTCGGGGCGCGTACAGGGTCCTACAGGAGGCGAGGAAAAAGCAAGTAGAGGCCCGAAAGGCCGTGTTGAGGCTTTTGCTGCCACTGATGGAAGCTGCGGAAGAACGAGTAACTTTTGGTCATCCCATTGAGGAGGACCTCTTTGCGTGTCCTACGCTCGCCGATGCGATTCAGGCCTACGATCTTCTCCGGCTAGAAGAATTCCAAAAGGGTTACCAGCTCAGGCGTTGCTGTTGGGCGGTATTAAAGGCCAGAGGCTGGAATGACACCCCAGACCACGTATGGCGAACACAGGAGATACCGAAGATTCTGGAAGAGTGGGAAGATTTTCTACCGGACATGAAGCATCTCTATCTGGGCGAAGATTCCGGAATGCTCACTATTGAAGGCAGAACGAGGTTAAGTTGGCGCGACTGGCATACCGACTCTAGAAGAATACCGGTACGACGACTAGCCAACAAGAAGAAGCTGTTCGTCCCAGCGGAGCCACGTCGTCTAGCGGAGAACAGGATCTGGTACCATGTTCGCCAGCGGTATCCGTCTGCTGATAGAAAATCGGACCTTCTCAAGAGGCTCTTCTGGTGGCAGGTGCCTCAATCCCCGGAGCTACAGGAGACAATCCAGAAGCTCCGCAATACTTGGACAGAATACCCCGATGACTCGCCGTGGGGACCTAAGAACCGTCCTGGCGCCGGATTCTATGGTCGTCTTGCAGCGTTAGGTATGCTGAAGACTGAAAACCGGGGCATTTACTATCTCAGCGAAGGGAGCTTGGTTTGAGCATCCAACTGTACTCGTGGCCTTGAGCGTCTGTTCTACTAGCGTCGATACCCTATCTGTTCCAACCATCGAAAGAAGATTAGCTTAAAGTGTAAACCACAAAATAAAACCTAGGTCTACCCGAAGTTTCATTCATGTCTTCTGTGTCGGGTCATATTCATTAAATTTTTACTTATATTTGAAGAGTAGTCACTAAAGTAACATAACATTTTGTACAAATCTTCCGGGATCCCACCTGTGGGAGGGTTGTCGCCTTCTTTTCTCGAGAAGAATCGAAATCAAAGTGATGCAGAGGTTGTGAGCAACGGAGGACAATCTCGATCATCATCCCAGGTTTGTTCAGGACCATCCCAGAGAATCATTCAGGCATGTGGCATATAAAGGCCGTGCAATCTATCTGGAGGTATAAAACACTACACACAGGCAGGAAAGAGAGTCTGCAGCAAAGGACCACTAGCCAATCCAAGCTAGACCTTCTCGCGCTGCAAGTCGTTGACAGTCATATATCGACCGATAGTAATCCAGCCCCAGCGGAACCAAACCATCTGACTCTTATGACCCTTTACCATAGCCGACTGCGCCGTCATCCATTCCCGAATAGAGCTTACAAAGAGCAGTCGCTTCGGTCCCACTGCCGAACCATTTTTCTTCGACCCAAAAGAAGAAAAAATGTTACTCAGCGCACCCTGGACCATCGTCACCGGCGCATCAAGCACACCGGCATATTTGCGGATCATCGGAAGCGATGTAAGCGTATAGAGCGTAACAGGCGAAGCGAAGCCTTCCTTGCCCTTCATCAGGACCTGGATGAAGCTCACCGCACCATGGTAGAGCGAGCGGTGGTTGGGGTGGTTGCTAACGCCGTGACGGTCGAAGGTGAGGAGGATGTCGATGGTGGCTGTGGGCGCTTTCTTGGGATTTTTCTTCGTGGTGCCGTTTAGGGTCGCTGCTAGGTCGGGCGAGAATGCGGAGGCTAGGAGAGAGGTTATGTCGTCTTCGGCCCAGTTCGCACTCATGCTATCGGGGAATCGGGCCGGGTCGTCGACGACGAAAACATCTGCTGGATCGCGGACGCCGAGTTGGAGGGCGGATTTCTTGAGTTCCTCTTTGCGAACGTCCCCGAGGCCATCTGCGTCGCCTATAGTGAGGGTCCATGTCAGTATTTATTTCCTAGGTGCTAGCGTTGAATCGCGGATGGGGAGGATTTGTGGAGAGGGGGAACGGGTCCGTACCGGTGCTAAAGCACAGGATCTTCAGGTGGTTTCCTAGCTCTGGCTTGGTGAGGGCCAAGACCGCTGGCGCAAAGAACATGGCTTCGTCATCGGGATGCGCGATGAGCAGACAGATCCGCTTGTTTTGTAGTCGTGGGAAGGACCGCATGAATGGGGAGGAGCTTGTGGATGAGAGGGTCCAGAAAAGGAAGACCGCGGCAATGGCCACTGCAATTGCGGGCCAATTGAAGGAAGGCGTCATGTCGGCTTGCGGTATAAAGAGGCGGAGAATAGAATTGGTCGGCAGTCGAGAGAGCTGATCTCTTCTCTGTCGCTTGGTCTAGATTGACGCTGTGCTCTCAGCTTCGCGTCGAGGTCCCGGATACTGTAACAATTCTGAGGCCTGGCGAAGGCAATGCAACCGAATATGGGAGAGGAGGATCGTGGAGTTGCGGATCAAGACCTGCAAAAAGTCAAGAGCTTTGATAGTGGGGAATGCGTAGCGGACATCCCTCCCCCTCGGTGGGCTCGATTTCAAGCAAGCTCGACAGCGGGGCGAAAGCTTTAATTGCGGAGGTACCGGTTAGTTCAGTTGGGGGATCAGTAAGACAGACGACAGCGAGCCCATGGCTTGATGCTGGATCTAGCGGCAAATCACTCCATTCAGGAAAGAGAACACGGTGGCAGATCTGGTCCGGAATAGGGGGGGACACAGCTCTGGCGTCCATCACGCTGGCGATCCCCCGGAGTTGGTCACGTGTCAGGGGTTCATGCAAGCAAATTGGGGAAGCAATGCGATTGTCGATTTTAGCTACCACCTCGAAATCCGACACAGGCGAATCTGCATGCTAGATATTCTCGTCGTCGTCTTAATGGATGGCTTGGCTTGTGGCCAAGCAGGTCCCTGATAACGAGCGGGGCTTCCGTTACTCTGATTTCCGTGATCTGCATGCCGAGCAGTGGTGGCGGCTCATATATAAATCTGTGCAGTTTGACCACGATTGACTTCACGTTGACTTCACGTTAACTCATGCATGATTCACATAAACGTCGGCCATTGGCAATATTGCTTGTGATGCTAGACTTGAGGCTATCCTACCACTACTAGTACTGTATCCTACTGTCGTCTTTCATCTTTCACTTGGCATCCTCTTAAGGTCGATTTATTAGGAACTGCTACCTCTACTTCCCTAGATAATGGTCACCGTGGAAGCATAGGATAGACTTAAGGTTCTGACCTCTTGTACCTTTAGAATCTTGAAATCTTATCAATCATGATCATCGCTGCCCAAGTGTCACCGGGAAAACCCAGATGACTAACTACAAGTCATGCTGTGGTACTTAACATAAATAGTAACCATCCAAAACATCAGATGTCTCGGGATGATCCATCTCAGCTGCAAGATCCTCACACACCCGGTCTAGACTCCATGAGTGAATTAAAACTGCAGCAAATCCCAGCACCGCTCTGCAGTATGGAGTAGAGATCTACTATTTTACATCTAGTGTAATAAAAACAGAGAGAAACTTGGGATATAAAAAACCTGAAACCTTAAAAGCAAACGAATATTCCGCCGACTAGTCATCGGAACCCCACCGACGGCCGGCAACTCGTAAAATCTCCAATTCGGCCCGGTCTTTGACTCCAACGCCCGTACCTAGAGTCATTGGCGACTTTCCCGACGGACAGTCACGACATACCGGGGACCCGCCCTATGGAGTTCCCTTGGTTCGAGGTGGATGGGCGGTCAACGCCCACCCGCGTGGGTATAAAACTACAAAAAGATCAAGGGAAAAAGAACAAAGAGAAAAAGTGAAAAAAAAAATATAAAAAGGGGTGGATATACAAAGAGGAAGTTGGAGTAATGGGTAAGCAAGTTGGTTTCAATTTTTTTTGACCTCCCTTTTTGTTCCTTCGATCAAAGAGTCAAAGACCGATCAACCACTGGTGTTGAGTCAGAGCATCACGTTGCGCCGGGCCGAGTCGAGAGGCTTTGAAGGTGGAGAGGGCAGAAAATTTCTACCGGACCGCTTTGGCGGGGCGGGAGTTTTCCGTCGCAAAACAATGGTGCCATCGGCCATTAAGCAGATTTAGTGGGCTTAGTAGGATTAGCGTGAGGGCTAAGGCTAAGGCTAGTACTGAGTCTGAGGCTGAGGCAAAGACCAAAGAAACAGGGCAATTGGGAAAAAGATGAGACAAATGGCGTGTTGGATGAGTCGGTATGTAGTAATAGTTTCAAAGCATGGTGGAAATGGAGAATTGGAAAAACAAAAAGGCGCAACCAGTGATTCCAAAGTACGAATAGTAAAGGACCTTGGGCCAAAACTATAGCCAACAAGGCCCTCACGCGGTTGCTCCTCATCTCCTCCTGCCTTCCTCCTCGGAGATGGGGCCCGAGATCGTCCCGAAACAGGAAGTTGGCTGGAAGGCGCCGACCATTTTGATCGTCACGGCAAGCCATGGGATGTGATTGGTCGGAGACTCCGATGGAGATTCGCGGTGATTCACACTACCCGACACATTAGAGATGCCGTGCTCAGATGATGGATTGTGATATGATGTGATGCTGGTGGTGGTGGTTCTCTGGCGGCCTCCTTGAACCGGCTACTCGACGCGGTGGGTGGTGGGGACTAGATTGGATGGGGATCGACAAGCGGCCTTGAAAGGCGTAAGCCAAGGAGGGGGCCACGCGGGCGACGCCGCCAATGGATGTGGTGTTCTAACTAGAAGGGCATCTCTGGGCAAGCTTGAGATGTGGTCATGGCGTGATCGGAGTTGCTTGTACAACACAGAAAACGTGCAACAGTCAGAACATCGTGTCATTATCACCGGAAGCTAACATTGGTCTCCGAGGGCGCGGGTTTCCGAGGGGAAACCAGTCACGTCAACGCCTGAGCTCGGACTCGGACTTTCTTCAGGGCTTTTGATCCCATGCAGGGATGCGTATGCGTATGAGCATGGACGTCAGACGGTGAGCGATACTGCAAGTCAGAAAGGTTGTACCTGATACATGTTGGCCCATGCGCCGCGGACAGGATGTGGTGTCAAGGTCAAGGACGATCGAGAATACTGTTAGGTAATTAGTGCGGGCAGGCGAATTGATGATTCGCCCAATACAGCCTGGGGGGCCAAGCGGATTGACAGCTGCGGGCTAGGCCATGGTGATCTCGATCTTGAAGCTTTTTAGATCCCTTTTCGGACCCCTCTGTCACTGTCTTCTGATGCTGTACCACCACCGCTGTTGCTCCCCCCAGTTGCAATTGCGCATGGCTTTTCCCATGTGAATACTATGCAAGCGAGAACTCTGCGCCCCGCAAATTGCGCCATGCGGGGTTATAGATCGGTGAGGCTAACCTCGAAATGGGCAATCGGCTGGACGAAGCCGGCGCAAAAGAAAAATTCGAAGAAGTGGGTCCTTCCAGGGTCTGTTCTTTCTTTTATTTTTTCACTCTTTTGCCTCGCACGCGTTTTCTTCTCCAAAAGCGGTCGAGCGGGAGGACCGAATCGATCTGCCACTAACTGAAAGCCGCGGAAATGTATTGTCAGATGCCCGTATTAGGGTCACTGCTTCAAAAGGTACTCGTACTGTGTAAAATACAACTGCCTTTTACTTTTTACTCTTTACACCTACGTAGGAAAGTAGTTCCTCAACATTTAGATTTGGTTCTTCTGGTTCTTGCTGGTGGGCCACGTGATACAGGCAGCTGACCGAACAACACATACTTTTAAGTCTACAGCTTAAAGTACATACTCATAGTTATTAGTTCCATACTAACTATGCCGACGTAACCCGTAGTCTTAGGCTGAGGTCCTAACGCCTCCCGGCCTATTTTCAGCATGTTTGTCTCGGCACCGGTCGCCGCTCAACACCGTCTTGCAAAGTGGCACCCGTAGACGTAGACGGAGACGGCAGACGGTACGGTAGATTGACTGTATTTTGTAAACAACGCAGGCCATCGCTCACCGGCACCAGGATCCGGGGAGGGGAATTGGATTGGGGAAACCATGCTCAGGTGATCGGACATCGCTCCGTGGCTTGCTAATCATCCGGGGTTGCGATGCAGCAACTTTCTCCCCCCTCTCTCCTTTCTGCCCTCTCGAAGCCGATTAGGAATACCCCGCCGCACCGAGAGGCACATGCACTGGGCCGAGTAGAGACGATCGCAACCCCGAACAACCGGGGTGCGTAGCCGACCGTGAGTCATTGTCAATCCTGGCGCACGGTCGCAACCAAAAGGTGCAAGCCCGTCCAGAGCTGGCGGGGGATGGCATCAGCTGGCCTCGTTAGAATGCCTGAGATGGGGGCTAGCTGTTCTGATCGCAAGATGATGCCCACACCCTGAGATGTGGGGTATCAACCAACCGTGTTGCTCTAAAATTGTAGTCAGGCGATCCCCGGTCGGCGTATGAGTCGAGATCCTTCGATGGGGATGGATGGTGGTAGTGGTTTCGGCACCGAACCGAATCGCCGAGGAGGGGGGAAAATGAGGTGAGAAGGACTGGGCTGAGGTGAGGTGAGGTGAGTTGATGTGAGGCGCTCAATGGTGCAAGAGCTGATGTTGTCAGTGTAGGATACCGGTACAATTGAACTGCACTGAGTGTGTGCTGTGTGCTGTGTGCTGTATGCTGTATGCTGTGCTGTATAATACAGTAACTGGACTGTCACAACGGCGTCTCGTCCGGTACGGATCCACTGAATGACGATGTTCTTTGCCCCACTACTCCTTTCGGCCTTTTCTTCTTCTTTTTTTCCCATTCATTTTTCCGCTTTTACTATTTTTTACCATTTTTTACTACTTTTTTTAGGTGGCCAGACCTCAATGCAACGAATGACACGCCGGTACCTGACCGGCCGCATGGTAGAATAAGTGGGAACTAGAAAATTTAGATCAAAATTTCTTGAGCTTTTCCACGGATTCGGTGGATTTTAGACTCAGCGCACATGATCGTGCTCGGAATTCAAAAGCAGACAACCTCCCGCCGTATCGTGACTCTTTGGTTCTGCTTCTGTCATTCAATCTTTTCTCCAGATTATGTTGCTGCTTCCTACCTTTGCTCCTCCACTCGACCGTCACCGCACTGCTTCCTAAGACTCAGGAATCTATACTACTTCCAACCCCCACTATTACTATATACTACATCATCTCTCCCAAACATCAACCACCATGCCGGGCCGACTGATCCCCAACTTTGTTCGGGGCTCTGGCTCCCTGCACTCCTCGGTCTCTTCGACCCCAATTCACTCCAATGCCTCCTCAACT